CCCCCTTCTCCTGTCTTCATCGGCACACGGGAAAAAGGCAACTAGATGGGGGAGGTCAGACTTGTTCGTGTGCTGGTTTCTGTCAAAGTAGGCTGAAGGGGTTTGTTCAAGTCAGACACGTTTGAGAAAGGGATCCTCAATGTCCTGGGCCCCCACGCCGGACGCCCCCGGACGAAAAGAAGGAGGAGGAGGAGCCGTAATGTACGGCCGAATGACCTGGTCGACGTACGCCTGTGGCAGTCCAAAGAGCTCCGTCGCCTCGTCGACGCCGCGGTTCATCCGGTCGACGTACTCGTCCCACGGCGTCGAGGGTTCGGTCCTCTCGGTGTCGACGTAGACGAGGGCCGTGACCTTGCTGCCCGTTTCTAGATTGACGGCGGTGCCTGCCGTGGTAGCGGTGACGACGTTGACGGTGAGATGTTGTTTTTGGTAGGCGTGCGGGACGCCCTCGCATCTGTCGAGGACGGCTTCGTCATCGGGCGGGAGGGTGTAGAGGACGCCGTAGACGCCCGGTGCCGAGGTGGGTGTGGGGAGCGGGGCGGCGGCGGCGGCGTCGTTGCGGACGACGTTGGCGTAGCGGCGGGAGTTGATGATGAAGGTGTAGTTTGGGAGGTGGGCTAGGCCGACCGGGGTAGCGGATGGACAGCGGTGGGACATTTGTGTTGGGGACAGGTTGGAGCCGTAGGCGAAGTAGAGGCGAGGGGGGGTTGCTGAGTCCATTCTGGTGATGGAAAGGCGATTTGCTGGCGGGGGATTGGTGGTTGTTGAGGTGTTGTCGGAGGAGCTGTGATGTGAAGTTGGTGGGGGTTGGCTCTTGTGGCGTTTTTCTACTTATGCCTCGGACTTTACTGATGACCTCTGGTTATGAGGTCGGTAAAGTAGGTATGGCCCCGCCCTCTGTTTCGAAGCGGTAATTGGCGATCGAGATCAATTCTTTGTATGTTGACGTGTGCGTAGGTAAGGTGAAGGATACATGGCAATGCCGTCTTCAGGAGCATCCCAGATGGAAAGTTCTTCTAGACGAGGTCAGTTATGTTTCGTCGTTGTCTCTCGTCAATGAGGTCGCATTGAGATCCAACGGCGTCGTCCTTTGTGTCACGCTAGTGGTCCGGCTGCCGTGGGAGGGCCTCGCCAACGACGACAGCCTTCCAGATCTGCAGAGACGCCTGCCAAGCTTTCTAGCGGATCTGGAAGAGTTATTTGGGCATACCTTATTATCAGAACTGTGGACCCATTCTACAATGGAAAAATGGTTGCGATGCTGTCGCTCGCGCTTGACGCACGGGAGCCTTTGTGCTCTGGGGTTCTCCTCATTTCATGATTTCGAGTACGATGACGAGAACTACTCATCCGAGGAAGCCACAGAGCTCATGCCCGCGGATCTTAAGGCGCTCAACAAGGCCTTCCGCTCGGTATCACGATGTATCAACGGACGTTCGAAAGGTCTCTTAGAACGCAATGGCGATCGCAGGGAGTTCCTTCACCGAACCCTTCACAACTTTCTCCGCTCCGATGAAATGAACGACTTTCTGAGGGACCATAGGAAGAATAGGCATTGCCCCAGTATGTCGCTGTTTAAGGCCTTTATTGCGTGGATAAAAAGATCAACCTTTGCTCGCGGAGTTTTGCGGGAGCACAATGACCCCCAATGGTTGAAATCAATGCCCTTGTCGACAGATTGAGGCAAGGCCTAGGGTATGCTCATTTTACTGCCATGCAAGGCGAAAGTTCGGCAGCGCTCACGGCGGCACTTGTGGATAACACGGAAACCGGGATGTCTCGAATGGTTTCGCGAGGGCAAATAAAATTGACTGATATCTCACTTCCAACGGGTGTCTTCAGTCAACTTGTTTTGGAAATTGGGATCGGCGGGTGCTATAACTGAAATAAGCTGTCAGTCAGCTTTGCATATTTCATGTTCATGGGCCCTTACGCGGGCCGAATTCAGTCTCCCCTTTACCTGGTTCTCGACTTGTCCTGCAAATTTGGCCACGACAGACCAGTGTTGGATTCTCGACAAGGTGCTAGAAAGCGGCCAGGATATCCCGATACACTTCTGACGACCCGAGACCGGTGAATCGATGTTGCAGCCCTTGGGAATACTTGTTTGACCACTGCTTAACAGTCGATGAGCCACTAGCACCGTACGACAAGCAAGACTGGCAATGGGCTGATGGGCTGCTCATCTTCGCGGACAAGCACATGCTTCTTATGCTACCCGAACAAGGGGCAGACCCAACTGCAACCAACGTCCGACACCCTGGTGGAGGATGTCGTGTGGGAGATGGCAGTTTGACTGATATTGTTTCTCACGATAGCGCGTGCTCACTCACTCAAGCGACCAGCAGCGTACGAAGGAGACTCCATGGGCGATGTTGAATGATTTCAAGACGCTCAGAAACGTCACCGAGTTCAAATGTTTCTCCCCCCTCCAAAAAAAAAAAAAAGGCATAGAGACGACATGGTGTGAAAAATGTTCAATTTTTGGACCGTGTGTCGTCAGTCTTCTTTTTCACTGCCTAGGTACGGCAATAGGTTTGTGCTGTGACGAGTTCCTCACCTGAATGTTCGCACGCGTCCTGGCCAAGATCCTCGCCAGACAGAAAATCGTGTGCAAAAGCTGAAGTTTGGTGTAAGAAGGTGATGTCGCTTCCATGCGATCGGGAACTTGTGTTCGCCAATCTAAGAAGCCAGGTATGGTGGAAGAACAAGAGGGCCCAGAGGACGGAAAAAGAAGTAGGAGGACGACGAGAGCAGAACAGTAAAAACGACGATCTTGTGGTTTACAAGTTTCAGTTATCCCTGCTTGGAAGTATCTTGAAACTTTGAATTTCCTAATAACACTATAGCAGACATCTATGGACATTTCTTCGATATCAGACCTAGATAAGCAATGAATTCCGAGACCGCCTCATGGAGGGTGGCATAACTGCAGCATGTTACAACGAAAGAAGCCATGTGAACCCCAGAAAAACGGAGGCTTGAGATTTGGACGGTCGTGGATCTGGTTGCCCCTGAGCGATGGAGTTGTCAACTGTGATGATGCCATTCTCCATCCATGAATATATGCTTTTTGGATCGATTTTCAGCCTCTCGGTGTCTATATAACAGTGGTGAAGTTTTGTGGCTTCACATTGTGAATGAGATGCGTTTGGTGTCCCCTGTACATAATCAGACAACCCCCCTCGTACGCCATCAGCGCTATATCGATGCAACATGACTACCCTCGGGCTGCCGCCCACCGTCCCACCGTCCGTCCGTCCGTCAAAGGTGCCTATCCCATCCGCATTCCTCCTTGCTTTACGATGCCGAACCTCATCTCTCCGTTGGATATCATCAGACATTGAACCCCATTTCCCCTTATACAGCCAATGGCAAATCCCGAGAAAGCCCAAAAACCACGTGTTGTTGGTTTTGCAAAGAAACCACATGGATTTCCGATGTCACACACCCGCTCCTACTTCGCATCCCGTGAACAAGCCCCCCCCCCCCCTCTATAACCCTCTTTTCCCGCCTACTCGGTAGTTCCATTCCCATTCAACCCTCCTGAAGCCGCCGCCGCCGTCGATACTTCCCCATTCTCAGTCCACGTCAAGTCCCCCACGTTCGCCAGCAAGGTCCACGGATCAATGCCCATGCCCATGCCTACAGGCATCGAGTCAAAATTCCCATTCATAAACGAAATCGGATCCGTGCTCGGAGCGTACTGCAAACCCCTCGAATCCCACGTTGTCGTCAATGTCGATTCCGACGACGGCCCCGCGGCCGAGGTGCCCAGCATCGAGTTCTGGATACTCGTGATGTCAATAATCTCATTGACATTCCCGCCACCCGTACCACCTTCACTCTGCATGCCCCCGTCGTCTGGCGAAGAAGTGCTGCCGTGTCCAGGACCGGTTGGCGTATTAGTGGTGGTGGTGGTGGTGCTGCTGCCGCTGCCGCCCGTAGACTGCGACGTCGGCGACGGTTGTGCCGCCGCGGGGCTCCGATGGGGAATGCTGACCTGCGAAGCGGCGGCTGGCCCTACCATGCCGCTCCCTCGGAGAAGCCCCGACCCGAAACCGCCTATGCCGTCAATGCCGGAGGCTGTGGGCACCGGCTGATAGGCGAAGGCGACCGCCTGAGCCAGTTTCGGCACTTCCGGGTTCATCGTCGTCGCCTCCGTCCGTTTCCTTTTGTTCGACCCCTTGTCCCGCGGATCGCCCGGCGACGCCAAAAATGACGGACCCGTATCTATGACCTGGTCGAATTTCCCGAGCCAGTGTTTGGAACCGCCCATGGAGATGGGAGTGTTGCAGCCGCGGTCGGGGTGCAGCCTGGGATAGTGCTCGTAGGCCGTGCCCTTGGGGTTCCCGAGCGGGAGTCTGCCAGGCAAGGGCGATTGGATCTCGGTGTGTTTCGATATGGACGTCCTGGCGAGTAGAGGGATATTGGAAGATGACCAACCAAATAGATTTTTGTAGTTGGACAAGTTTGGGAGGTCGATGACACCCGACAGACCGTTCCGCTCAATGTCCATAAAGGTTTGCTGGAGGAAGGCTTGGGTGATCATGTGCCTTCTTCCCATCGCCTCCATGGCGTTGATGATGAACTTGAGGTTTTGTAGGTCGGCTGCTGAGAAGCCAGTGTCTAGGTTACACTTGGCGGTGTAGACGTACACCGACGCCGCCGAGTACAGCGACAGCGCGACCATGGGGCTTTTCTGTAAGATGTATTAGCGTTTGCGAAGCCGGGTGCCCGAGGCGGACGCCGTCACTCACGTAGCCCGAGTTCATATGGCTCGTCAACTTGATGATGCTCACCACCTCCTCAGCCGCCGTCCGCAGCCGAAGTTCCGAGGCCGCCTTGAGCTGCTCCGGTAGTTTGTTTCGTTCTATCCGGTCAATCGCCGCGTGGTGCAGGCAAATTACAGAGGCGTGGAGATTGAGGTTCGTGTGGACGGACGTGGGGTCGCGGATGCTCTGGGGCAGCCGGAAACGCTCTGGCAGGAACATGAAGGCGCTCGACAGCATGTTGTCAATGTCTCTGTGCCGCTTCCAGAACTCGCCGTATTCGACATCCGCGGGCCTGTCATTCGGCCTCTCCCAGTGGACATGCTTCAGGAGCATATTGAAGATGTAGCACATGACGACGGCGCCTGCAAAGGTCGAGTACGAGGCCCCTTGAAAAGCTTGTGGCAAGCTGGACGTTTGTTCTTCGCGAGCCGCGTTAAAGGCCTCTTCGGAGGAGGGAAGATGTGTCGTGATCTGCCTTGGGGTCAGTGTCAAATTCAGGCCAGACAAGCAGGCTTCGTACATCGTGAGGGTCAATGAGGGTAGGCCAGCCAGTCGCAATACTCGCGTGACAGTCGATGCAGTAGGCGCCCCAGAACGCCCTCCTTCGCTCCTCAAGGTCAACCCACGACGTGGGCGGCGCAAGCGTCGGCGCCATCTCTTGGCCATCGCCATCGATACGGTGAAGACCCATCATCTCCACGAGTCGTACGCACTTTGCAGAGCTCATGGCCGCTCTGGTGAAGAAGAGGGACCTTGCTTCGTCCGTCGCGATGAGAGCCCAAGCTTGTGCGTGTTGGATAGTGAGGAAATGCTCGCCGAATCCCTAGCAACTGGTGAGCGTCAGCGGCCCTTCTGGGGCCGCGAGGGAAAGACTCACCTTCATTTCATCTGCGTCTGCGTATTGTCGAGCCCGTTGATAAAAAATGTCGTGGTACTGGCTATACTTCTCATGCCCATTGGAGGCCATGGACCAAACTGCATATTGCAGACACATGGGCGGGCGTTTATGAGGCGCTGAGTAGAATGCTTGGAGATATCGACCAGGGTGGATGATTGGGATGAAATGCTGTTGCCTCTCAAAGAAGCTCTTGTTACTGCTCAAGTCAGATGTGCGCTGCGAAGCAGACGAGCGACAGATACAACATACAGCTCTTCCATCATTTCAAAAGGGGGCAGAGCTTCTGAGAGCCCTAGTCCTATGAGTTCCCCCGAAGAGGAGTTGGCGAAGCTGGGTTGTTGAGGTTGTGAGGGCGGGACCGACTTGTCCATATTTACTCCTGAGTGGAAGCCCGAGGTTTCGCCAAAGGTACCATTTTGCATGGCCATGATCGTCTCGATATCAACATGGAAGTCATCCATGCCAATGTTTATCCGGCTATCCAAGTCACCCTCGGAGGACAGTCCCCCATTGGTCTTGCCGGCAGCTTCTTTGAGGAGATCCTCCACTTGAGCTACACTCAGTGATTAGTTAGAGGTCCTTTGGCATGAGTACACGAAACGCATACCCAGTCTCTCTTCGAGCTCCTTCACATTCTTCCGCTTGAAGGCAGGCTTCCTTCTTGATTCTGGGTACACGCATTCTCCTTTGACTTTCAAGCAACGGCTGCATGCCGGCTTCACTCGATCACACTTCAGCTTTCGTGACCGGCATGTCACGCACGCCAACGGCTCGGAGGCATTGGCGGCAGAGCCCGGGAGGTCCGCTTGTACACCGTCGTCGGTGTCCATCATGAGCCGCGAAAATTTCCCTCCGAGACCTCGGCAAGGGAGGTAGGGAGAGTGCCGGAAGTGGGTCTCGCGGCCGTGCCAAGAGTCAGTGTGACTCGGACGGGACGAGATGGGATAATCAAACTCGGGATGCAGCGTGACGCAGGTGACCGCGGTACGTAACGCGGGCTGTGAATTATTGCGGGAAAAGGCCAGAGAGTTACAGACTGTTTCCCCGTTGCCCTTTACTGCACTATGAGGAGCATCCGTATCCGTACACCACGCAAACACGGACCCAAGTGCGTGTCGGCCCCAGTCTCTGCTCAATCGGACAGTTTTTGTACCGATGTCCGATGTCCGAGATGGACCTAGTGTCTCAATCTGATTGGCTTTGGGAATCTCTATGACGAGTCCATGATGACTCATCAAGCAGGTCAAGACTTGATATTCCAACTGGTTGTAACTTGGCGACTATTGGGTACGCTTCTTTACACGTGGGCTGCAAATCATGCATGCCAAGTCTGTGAAACGGCGCAGAATGGATTTTAGCATTGAGATCTTCGGAGCCGTCGCCGGATACCGTCCGTTGTTTTCCCGCTCTTCAGCCGGTATTTTATGGGTCTCCAAAAGCTCCGCGACAAGGAGATTGGCCGACATACGGCGACCTGTCCGCTTGGGCTCGGCTCCGGCTCGGTCGAGCTATCCGCTTATCCGCTGCCAGCCGCGTTTATGGTGGCTCTTGGCCCCGTGATCTTCACCAGGAATGCTGGGCCGACCGCGGCACCGCCGGTCCTCGGACAGTTCGGGTGATGTTCAATGATCGGCGGAGGCTCATCGTCGCCTCCCCTGGATCCGTCACCAGAGGCCGAAGTTAATAACGAGCCGACGAGCGAGCTTGTCAGTGTCCTAAGAGCTAAGGTATCAGGTGAAAGGAGCCGACGGGAAAGCATCTGCAGTCTTGTTGATGACGAGTTTTTTGAGTTTGCATCGTCGAAAGACTAAAATTCTCCGTGGCGCCTCCGGAACAAATACCCAATGGCGTTGCACCTGCTGCTCTCTCGGCCCAGGTCAGTTCATCGACTGCCATCCCAATTGTGTTGTAATAGCATTCGGCCTGAGGGTAAGACAATGACAGTCTCTTGCGGTCAGATCTTGGTGGGACGATCACGAGTGATCATGTCTACTCTCATTCGTCACATTTGGCGGTCTTAAACTTTGTTCCTTGAAGGATGAGGGAGGTTTGGTGACTTCACCGGTGAAGCGCGCCGAGGAACGGCAGCCACTGACGATGGCGCCGGCCAGAATCAAGGTGATGGCCAGGCCTTCTGCTACACCTCCTACGGCATCCTCCTCGTAGTGCAAGAGAGTCGGGAAATTACCAGTCGAAACCGCGCCGAGAGAATTGCCACTAGTCTCACAATCATGCCGAACTAAAACACGGGCGAGCGTGGAGGATTGACGCGCGCCGAACGCCACGGTCCGCTTTTGTACCACGCTTCGAACACTGTCCCTAGGTTGAGTATGACACCAGAGGGCGTGCCATTGCATGGGCTTGAGAAGCCGAATATGCGAGCGAGAGACATTCTGCCCTTTGACAGCTGCACACAGTATTCCAGTCTAGCGCCTCGTGGCAGGAGATATCGTTAGGCCGGGGCCCAAGGCTGGCGATCGTCGTGGTCTGGATGTCAGCAAAGCGCCAGGTGAGAATTTGACACAAGACGATGTATGGAGGCAATTATTGAACGAACGCGGCCACGAGGTTCCCGAGGTTGACAACGAACTGCCTCTTGCATAGACAGCGCTTGTCCGCCACCGCTTACTGACTTGGGTGCCTCGCTAACTCTCTGAGGGGCCGAAGCGGCCACAGATCGCGAGTCTTTCGGAAAGTGTTTTTTGTGGGACTAACAGGATCGCTGCAGTGGCTTCTCGGGAGGCCAACTTAGGAATAATCGGGTGAGAGAGCTGACGGGAGACGAAGCCAACTAAGATTGACAAGCCGAATGGATCCGGGGATTTCAATGTTTGGCGCTTGACTTTGCTGATCAGGATCGACGGTGGCCAAGCCTTCATGATCTTCCCGCCGCGTGGTCAGCAGACAAGCCATAGTCCTGGTGGTTCACGAAGATTGGCGACATGGATTCAGAAACTTTGTGATGCCCGCCCTGTTATCAGGACTGTGCGTAGGCAAATCCAACCCACCAAAGCCAAAGATGAGGATTGCCATGACGGTGGAATGAAAGGGGTTGGAGTGGCCTCTGCTAGGTGGTTTCACCAAAAACATGCTGTTTGGCTTGCTCCCAGTGGGTGGTGGGTGCCCTTCAGACTTGTCATCTGAGCGCCCTCGTGTTTTGCGCATCCTTTAAGCAGGCGGGCATCGGAGGAAATTCCCAACCAGTGAGAGCTGAGGAACGAAAGGCCCCCGGCAAGGCAACAGGCAGGCAACGGGGATCGTCGGCCGTTGCGATTCAGGGCAGCCTTCCTAAAAGCACTAACTTTGAGGATGAGAGACGAGCCGGCGTGAGTTAGACTGGGGGAGCATGACCGCCCGGTGCGTGCTAGTCAAGTGGAACCAAGCGGCTGACGGGTGTGAATCGGGAGAGACGTCAGAGCAAACTATGATTTTAGTAGGTGGAGGGGGGCGAGGACAACTCACAACTTTTGAAGTCCGTTATGCTCCTTGGCCTCAGCAGGCCAGGCCAGGCCAGGCCATGCTAGACTTGCTCTCTCAACCCGCAGGGCACACTGGTCTCGAGGAGGTAAAGTGTGAAAAACGATGGGGGCCACACGCGCAGCAACAACGTACATGAGCGAGTGATCAAGACTGCGTGATGTTGGTGAGAGGCTGCTCTAGGCGTACGCCTCGACCCAAGGTCCGAGTGTGACTCCATTATCAAGACAAAACATGATGCTGGTGGGTATGCTCTGGCGATGCTTTAGTGTCGACTTATGCAGCGAGAAGTCTCCTGGACGAGGTAGCAACTCGCAAGCTGGCAGATGGGGCGTCCAATGTCTGACTGGCACTTCACGCCAGGTCACATTGCCCTACGTTGGCCGCAGCCGCAGCCGCAGCCGCAGCCCCAGATCCGTACGTCCCTTGGGTCGCCATGCGTGGCATGCGTGGTTTGAGGAAGGAGGCGCTCATTCTGAGGCCTTCTGAATCCAGTGACGAGGTGATTCTGCAAGGGCAGGCACAAGGCGTCACGTATGTCACGTATGTACCAAGTCTCTAAGATCATGACGCAGCAAGCAGCGTGCAGCATGTTGAATGAGGAGGAGGAGGAGGAGCAGGATAGCCTGCTCACGTACCTGCACTCGCACATGGGCTCGAATGATGTGTGTGTGTGTGTGTGTGTGTGTGTGTGTGATACCTGGCTGCTGTTTGCAGAGATTTCCCTTGCTTGGGTTGAGCGACTAGGTAGGTAACTACCTATCTCAGGACGGACCATGGGGGTATAGCCCGAGGAAGCACGGATGTCATCGTGATGGATGTGATGGAAGAGCTGGAACGAGGACGTTGCTTGAAATGTTGGTGGGACATCTGTCTCTCGCGACTAGGTATCCGCAGTGCTTGTTGCGTACCATTCGTCACCTGTTACGACAAGTAAACCTTGAATGGCAAAAAGCCTCGTCACGGATTTCACTGGGGATTCGGGAGAAGGAACAAAACCTCTTGGGACAGGGGTCGGAATAATTGAGAAGCTGAGCGGGAGCCTGGCACCCTGGTTAACCTAGCAGTTCAGGCTCGATGGACCAGGGCCGAACGAGGGGCGGCCCTGGGCGGGTGCGAGATGGCGACCGGGGACCGGCGATCATTCGCTGTGGATGATAGGCGGAAATCGGGGTTCCGGGATCCTGGCAGCCTGAACCGGATCATTCCCCACATAGGCCCCTGCCCATCCTTGTCCTTTATCCTTCCCCTACCCTTCCGCTTCGAGCCCGGGCCTGGCACCATTGCACCACCCCCGCCAGCGGAACGTGGCGGATATTGATCGCGATACGGCACTCTTGGTGATGGCCCGGCGATTAAGAGTCGTAAATTCCTGGGTTCAAATCGCTGAATAAGGCCCCGCTTATCTTTTGACAGTGCCTGCCGTCTTCTCGTGGAGGCGATGGCTGGGTCCCGGTACTTCCCCAAAGGTCGCAGGGTCACGGTGTTCTCTTTCCAAGACTCATCCATAGTTGCTTGTCCAGGGGCTTATTTGAGAAAGTTACATCAAGGACCCACCAATACTGGTATAGACGGAAAGTATCTTTTTGGCAAGGCCTGGAAAGGAAGGAAGGAACATGAAGCTCAAGTGGATACCACGGGACTTCGCAACCTACATACCTAGTGTAGTAAGCTCGCCAACGTCAAGAACGCATCTTTCCTACTGGTCCGGACCGCATGACCAGGGGGGATAATTGTGGGACATGTGCCAGCTTCGATCTCCAACATGGACGACAATCGTCCACTCACAATCTTCTATTTCCGTCCATTCTTCACTACGCACTTTCCGAGGCATGCGCCTCTTGCAAGTCAACCAGCCACAAATTGAAAAAAAAAATATAAAAAAAAATACTCCAGACATCACAGAGTTACATCCTCAACGGTCTCTCCCCGGCGAGTCACTGTTGGCATACTCTCGCATACCAGGCCTTCCCCGGCACGTCAAGGCACTTTGGGTCAATGATCAATGATGTGCGCGGCACACACCCCTCGGCCCTCCCTCTGCCCGCTGCACGATGGCTCTGACAGGAGACACCTCGTTCCCGAACCTGCCCAGTACTTTGTTACGTTTCCGAAAACAAAGGAGGCCGGAGAAATTCAAATCATCAAGTGGTGCTTGCTCGAGGGGTTTGATACACTGACACTTCTTGGCCCAGGAGAAGCATTCTTGGAGAACCCCAGGAGAAGTATTCGAAACATGGGGGCGACGACTGTGCTCGACTACCTGTCGCTGCAGGACTTCTCACAGGCGCGGCTATCCGCTAAGGACCAAGAGGCAAACCGAGTCTATGGAACTCTTTGAATCCGTCAAAGGAACAGCCTGAGACAAGGACGCCCTCCTTCTAACCTTTCCAGATGCGCCCTATCCACCCTGCCATGCGAGTCTGGCCGACCGAGAGACAAGCCACAAACGCCAAAGAGCGAGCAGAGCACGAAACTAACGCTCCTGGCGCCGCTGCAGTCTATTGACCCTTGAAAGCCCTCGAAACACTTCCGACATCCGCACCTCGAACCCTTTCGACATCTACTGCCAATGCCAAACAGCCATTCGCCTTGACCTGTATCGATGACAACCCCCCACCAAGACGAGCATCGACTCCAGTCTCAAAGTGCCATCCATTGGCCTGCAATTCGTACGCCATGAAATTTCATGGCCACGTCGCCCATTCCGCATGGCCCGATCTGCTATCCTGGAAACGTGATTGCTTCATCGATGGGCATCAAGACCTGGTCTCCCCTACATCCGGCCGCCATGGCTTGTTTTCATCACAATTCCTTGTCATTGCGCTCATCCTTGTGTTCGTTCAATGGATCTGTACGATACGGTGGCAACGTGGTCGTCGTTGAAGGTAGATTTGCTGATCTCCGAGGACCCGCTACAGATTGTAGACCCGCCCGCCGTTTCCATCACGCCGATTGTCATTTGAACCTCTCCTCACCATCCCCTTCCTCCCCCCCGCCGCGCCCCCCGCCCCGCCCGCGTGCCCCCCACCGCCGCCGCCCGCCCCCGCCCGCCACGTGTCCGCCTCGCCNCTCCCCGCTCCCCCCCCCCCACCCCCCCCCCCCCCCCCCAGCCCCCCCGCCCCCCCCCCCCCCCCCCCCCCCCCCGGTCTACCGAGGCCATGCCCTCTATTGATGCATCTCAAGTCGCACATTCTTGGATCTACGCCATCCCATCCCAATAACCGACCGTCTTCCTATTCTACACAGTATGCTACAGTAACAGGCATTACGACACTAGCCATATTTGACATGGCGCGTCCACTTTGAGCGCCTTCCCACCCTCGCCTCCATCGGCAGGCTGAGCGTGGCCTCGTTGCTTACATCCATGATGGCTTCCTGCCGCCTCAAGCTCTATTGACATTGTAACAGCAACAGCTGTACCAAGGTGGAGTTTGACTCGCCATTGTTCCACTCCAAGTCTCATGTCCCGTCCCTGAGGGTGGGCAACTGACATCCCTTCTGAGCGCCGGCCGTTCTTGGCCCGGCTTGAACCAACCGGACGTGCGAGCCCTGTTCCCTGTCGACGGCGGCCTTTCCTGGGTCTCGTCTTGTGTTGTGCTGCAGTCCACACGTTGTGAATCTACACACCCTCCCCCCCCTTCTTCGTCCAGTGGCCGTTGCGACTGGCTGTCATCTCACACAAAGCTTGTGCATGGGACGTGAGGCCCAGTGACATCGCAGCCACGACGAGTCTCGCTTCCCACTCTAGTTCGCCCTCATTCGCCCTTTGGACACCTGCCGCACTTTGCATCGTGCCCAGTCACTTGTCGAGATTTTGCTGTAGCACACTGGCAGATGCTAATCTGACTCTCGGTATACCTAGCTCCCCCAGAGCCTTGAGGCGAGACGGTTCTGAAGCCCCTTGGTGGGGAGCTGTCGAGCTCATGGCGTTGTGACGTGACTTCCAACTACCCCCCTTGAAAGGCCTGGCTTAATCCCCCTTCACGTCAACGTCTCAGCAAGACCAAAGTCACTTTATCGGATGACCATGCTAATGGCTACGACCAGTTCTATTACCCCCCCTATCCAGCTGTCTTAGGTTCACTGTCACGTCCAGTCAAGGGGGCTTGGAGGAGGTATCCTGACACCGGCAGTCGATCACTTCGGCCTCGACACGAGCTCAATGGACCAGCAATCCATGTCCTTGTCAACCTGTCATCATGATTCTTGCTTTTTATTTGCTCCGGGAATTAATAAAGGTTTGGCTGCCAAGATGTGAGAGGCAGAGACAGGAAAGGAGGTTTATCTCGACCTCCTAATTAGCAAGGCCCCAACAATCCACGGGCCATGCATTGCAGCTCGCATGTAGCAGCAAGTCTGAGGACAAGTCGGGAGAGCAAGGTTAGCCATCCGCATTAGGGGGTGACTGCAAGGCATCGTCAGTAGCATGCCATGGCCGCCCATCAAGTACACTGAGGTTTCTCGTGTAAGGGCAGGAAAAAACAAAACCACAGCACAAAAGGGCGGGACAAGCAAGTCTGTACGAATACGTACGCAGGCAAGCAGGGACCAGAGGGTCAGTCGAGAGATCTGCAGCTCCCATTATCGAGATCGCGAGGCGCTGGCCATATCGGTACAGGATATGTAACCCACTTTACAGACAAAGGTGTGCCCATGCCACCTCCAAAGGGTTGCGACGCCGCTGGCGTGCATCTGGGTGGACAAGCTCACCGACGTTTTTTTTGGAGGTTCCCATCAGCTCGTAGAGCGAGGCATACCCCCAAGAAACTAACAGAAGGGGCCCTCATTCCCAGGTCTCTGTGACGTCGGCCGACCATGGTAACTAAGGTAGGGGACGTGTCTAGTTCCTGTGGAGTAGGATCCTGCGGATGTTGGTGCATGTCGGCCGGTCGAGGGGACAATATTTAGCCCATTCCGCCTTTTTGTTGATCCATTCTGTGAATATCATCGTCTGTCCGGAGACTGCGGCTGGCCTCGTTTCTTCACGATAATTACGCCACATGATCAAGGTGGGTGTTCTGGTACTGTACCTCTGCGCCTAGGTACTCTCCTACTCCTTTGCTCGTATTATCATTTCCCCCCTGTACCGTGATTCCGAGAGAGGGGGGACCCCCAAATCCGTCTGCGCCTGCAGCGCTCTTTGTGAAACCACCGACAAAAGAAAATATACTCGACCTGATCTCCCCTCTTCCCCATCTCGTACACGCAGGTAAGGCAGTTTCTATCCATTAAAATTTCGGAATCCAGCGAATCACCTGCCTGCCCTGACAAGTTGCGAGCGTTAGTCTTCTTTTCCCCAAATGCGTCAGAAAGAGAGATGGAGAGGGCCAGAGGAGAAAGCGTGTGAGAGGTTTCATGTTTCACGACGCCACATTATTAAACCCGCAGTGTGCAACATCACACACCACCACCAACCGCATCACCTCACATTAGAGCATACAGCAGCTCCGCGCCTGCATCCTCCTCCTCCTCTTCCAGCCTCTCTCGGCCTCCTTGTTTTAGTTCTGCTGCCTATCCGTACATGAACTAGTTAATGTGATGCATATGCTTTCTGCACAAGTGTTGACTTCTCCACATCAACGGATGACTCGAGGTCCCGAGGAATAACAATGGGAGAGGCGGCTTGTTGCCCATTCGCGTGGGGTTCCAAAATAGTGGGAGAAAATTGAAAGGGGTGGAGGGGACCACGAACTCGCAACAGACTAGCAAGCAGACATTAATTAGCCCGGCACCAAAAAAGGGCTCTAAGAGGGAACTAAGAGAAGGAGGTGGTGGCCGTCGTTGAAGAAACTCGGTCAGCTTAACAATTTATTTAACACCACGAGGGCGGCCGCGCTCTCTCACCGGCTTCTTTTTGTCACCGCGCGCGCGTGTGTGTGTGTCTTGTTCATTCTGTATACCAATCACCCACCCCATCGTGACGGAATTCACCATGAACCTCACAGGCCCGCCCGCTCAGTCAAGTCCTCCTGCTGCAGAATCCGTGTGTAATGATGGTGCAACCAACCGACCAACCACCCCGGAGCGCACAGGAAAGGAGGCAAAGCGGCGGTGACGGCGGGAAAGAGAGAGAGAGAGAGAGAGAGAGAGAGAGAGGCAACTGCAGTAGACCCATTGAACCAGACCCCCCCCTCCCTCCCTCACGCCCTTCATGTTGACCATACATCTCAAGAGAGAAACGTTCATCCGCCACGCACAGGAGGACGACGAAAGATTAACCAACTACTAATACGAGAGAACCACATGAACCCCAGCGGCAAAAAGGCGGGAAAGCGGAAAACGGGGTTTGGCGAACGGACGTGGGCCATGGCGGAGCTAAGGCTCGCCCAGTATCTTGGGTTCGCCCTTTCTTTCTCACACGCCCCTCTCTCTCTCTCTGCCTTCACTAGGTATCTCTCTCACACTCTGTGTTTTCCATGACCGCCGCCGCCGTAGTCGTCGTCTTCTTCGTAACGCACGAGGAAACGCAAACGCACACGCACCTGTGGCCTTAAACAGCCCACTCGCTATAACCCTTCACATCCAGGGCCTCGTAGGGAAGGAAGGGGTGTGTGTTTGTGTGTGTGTGTGTGTGTGTGTGTGTATAATCGTTTTGGTATAGGGATAAGGTGGGAGTGAAATGGTTGACTGTCATCCAGGAACCGGGAAACCACACAGACATTTCATGTTTCTTGTGTGCTCGACCACACACACACACACGCGCGCGCGCACACACACACACATATGCACACATACGTACCTAGCCCGACCTCTTGAATTTTCCTTAATGCTGTGTGATGTGATGATGCTTTCTTCCTCATTGGACGACTGGGAATGTAATCATTGCGCTTGGATTCTCTCCCTCTATCTCTGTCTCTCTCTCTCTCTCTCTCTCGTCTTCCCCCCAGCTAAAGTCAGAGTGAGAGAAGTTGCCAACGTCGAGTACCAAAGAGGCCCGTGGACTTTGAAGTCTCTGCCAACCGGTTTGTTTGTTTGTTTTGAAAAGTTCCTGGAGGGCGGGAACAGAGAACAGAACTGCTCTGCGAAGGGACCCCCTTCCCTTTCACTTTGGGGGCAGGGCTGTCTGGCCTCTCCAATGGTGCCGGGCTGCTGGGTTCACCAGGTGAACATTGAAGAGTGGTGTGAGAACACAGTGTCTCTCCTCCAATATTGTTGAGCAGATGAGATGGTTAAATCTTAGAAAAGTGCAAACTATTGGGTCAAATGTGATTTTGGGCGTTGGTACGATATACAAGACAAGGAAGTCCATATTTGTAGTTTGGTGCTCCACACACAGGATAAAATAAAACAGAATTTGTTACAATGATACCGTTCTACGTATCCTGTGAAGAGAAGAGCCTCTACTTTGGCTGTGGTAAGGAAGAATACAATGTTGTTCCCTTTGGCCCGCATGAAACACACACCCCCCTTTCCGAAGATGAACAGTTGCCAAAGAAAGTAAAAAAAAAATTGTTATGCATATCTGTCTGTCCCCAGTCGCCTGCCCATCCGTTTCCCATCCGCCCCTTCCAAATCCTGCCCCCGTGTCCCATTGGTGTGTGTGTGTGTGTGTGTGAGTGTGATGTGTAAAAAAGGCTTCCAAAAAACCTCAGTCGCCTTTTCTTTGTGTGTGTAAGAATACATTATCCCCATAGGTACAGCCGATGTAGAAAAGGGTGCTTTCAGGAGGAGGGACTTGATCCCATCAACTCTTGGTGGTATTGTTTTTATACAAAAGCTCATGAATATTAGAAATTTGCCCCTAGTTTGCCGATTTTTGTGTTGTTGGGTCTTTTGCGGTCGTGGTCCGTCGTTAATGATAATGGTGAAATATGAGGCGCGCGTCTGGTATAGTGATAAAGAATTCTTGTTTCGAAGAGGACCCTTTGTTTAGGTGGTTTTTTTTTTTTTTTGACTTGTTTTCTTTGTCTCGGATGATTCAAGAGGCGTTTCCTATTGTCTCGTTCCCTAGATGCTCCCCCTCTTGATATGCGCCGAGCGCCGTTGCTTCAGGTCGAGGTCCTCGTCAAAGGCCTCACCGTCGCTGAGGGGAACGCTGGAGCGCTTGCCGTCGTCGTACTCGTTGCGCTCTGTCGACGGGAGGATCTTGCTCTCGCCGCTGCGACTGGACATGGCGTCGGACTCAGCACGGGCGTTGCTGATCATGGTGGGAAGCTGACGGCGCCGCGCGTTAATGAACCAGTTGGAAATTTGATCTAGAGGCGAAAAGATTAGCGTTTTGTCCAGCCAAGGGAGAAAAAGAGAACACAGTCTGACGGGTTTACACTTACTCATCTGCAGACCGGTCTGACGCATGAGCTCCTGCTTCTCATCCTCCGTAGGGTAGGGGTGGTGCAGGTGAGCAACGAACCAAGCACGCAGCTTGTCAGTAGTCTCCTTTGGCAGGTTGCCGCGGCGCTTGCGTTGTTTGCTGTCACCGTGCATGCCCATTGCACCAAGCTCTCCGATGCGCATGAACTCAGGGTAGTGACCGTAGCCGGCGGCTGAGAATGGCGTGCGATCAAAGGTGTGGATGGCACCAAGAGAAAGAGACTGAACTCGGCTGGGATGGTGGTATCCGTAGGCGTATCCACTGGGGCGATATGAAGGAGCGGCCTCCATTATCGGCCCTGCAGACATGCCCATGGAAGGGCGGATGGGTTGGAATTCGTCTTGGGAGTGGCCACGGACACGTTGCATGGGGATCGACTCTCTCTCAAAGTTCATGGGCGGTAGGCTGGGAAGTGTTGGGCGAGATTCGAGACGCTCGTTGACCTCCATGGCGGGGGATCTCATGGAAGGCATGCCGGAGGAAGACATGTAGGGGCTCGTCCTTGCGGATCCAGTCCAGCTCTCAGTGGCAGCGCGGGACGGTACTGGCGGGGAGATTTGGCGTTGAGGAATGCGGGCAGGGCTCTCGTACAATCTCGGGACGCGGCTGACTCTCTCGCTCTCTTGCTCCTCATCGATGGAGAGTCTCCTCCTCTTGTTCGAGTTTGGCGAGTGAACATACTCAGGAGGTGTCATAACACCGGCGTATCCTACTGTTGGCGAGGTGTTGGAAGAAGTAGTTCTGGTGGTTGAGGCCTCCTGGGGTTGCAGACGAAGGTGGAGTTCCGGGATGGCCTGTATACTGTGTCAGTCAATGTTCAAGCCGCTCCGCAGCGGTTAGAATCGTCGTACCTGACGAATTGAAGGCAAGGCGATTCTCTCGGGCTCAGTACGAGGACGCGAGGAGTAGTCTGAGGAAGACCTGCCGCCATTCCAGGGGTAGTTCTTGAATGCTGAATGGGGGGACGGAGCAGCCATGGCGAGCATAGACATCTTGTGCTGTTCTCTTGGAGAATGAAAGTCTTTTAGACACGACCGTGGCGGACAAGGCACTTGGGTGCTCGATCCTGTGGGTTTTTAAAGAAGAGAATGGCGGACTTGAACGGTTAAGCCGCACGGCGGTTTTAAGGACTGCTGCTGATCAGCCCAGGTGCTTATGTGGAGAAGGCCTGCGAGTAGACTGTACCTAATACGGTCCAGCCAGAACAAGTTCGTCGTGTGAAAGTGGCACGTCGAACGACGATGCTTGTTATGTTGCTTGATGAAGCTTGTTCGGCGGCGAGGTCGAACAATAGTAGACGGTATTTCTCGTCAACGACAGACAGGCAGGCGTCAAGAAGTAGAAGCAGTAAAAGGTTGCTGATGTGATGGTCAAGTGGTCCCAGCCGTGAATCAACAAGCAGCTCGAATGGGATGATAGTCGGTGATAATCGAGGTGATGCAAGGTGGGATGGCAGTCCTTTTGTATATCTTGGAGCTCGGGAGAGGTCTTGTGCAGGTAGATTAACGGGCAGTGGTGCACAGATGTGGTGCCAAAATAGGAAATGGGAGAGAAGTGTCGAGGTGGAGGAGGAGTAGGAGGAGGAAGAGGACCCGGCGACAGGCCAAATTGGACAAATTAAGACGGTGATTTGAGCACACTGAAACTGACACGAACCAGCCTCAGACGAAAGAGCCCCCAACTAGTAGGTTCTTGTGAATCGGACCGTGGAGAGTAGAGCAAGTGAATTGGAGAAGAAGCGCACAGCCCACGGATGCTTAATGCCTTGCTATGTATGTATCTGGGAACGAGGCCTTTGCTGATGTGGGGGAGGGAGGATGGTTTTGACGGAACAGACTAAACCTGAACTAGCCCAGAGCTGCGAGGCATGGGCATGGGTGGCATGGCAAGAGGACGATCAGGGTACAAGCAGGCCGTCGATGAGGAACAAGAGGAGGATGATGGGATTGCCCATCTCGACCAGGGTCGCAGGACCACACCGTCCGTACCCACACCCAGTCAGGGCCTGGTCCTGGGATTGCTTCGGTGGCGTTCCCTCTGGTGGGCAACGGACTGATTATGCTAGCTCGAGGTGGTACTTGAGGATGTGCCAGCAGGACAGCATGGATAGGGGTCTGAACAAAAGTGACCGGGATACAAGAAGAAGAGTGGAAGAGATGGGAGAAGCACTAGCCTACTTGAACAGTGACACGAAAAGAGCCACTAGGGAAGCCGTAGCGTCTGTGGGCAGGGGTCTACTTGTGCTCCCCGGCTGCTCGTGGCTCCCACCCGGGGCCAGGACGGTTGTGATGTAGATGAAATTGCCCGAAGGGGGGGGGCGCGCGCGGCGGACATGGAGATGCTCAATGGCGCTGCATTACCTCAACGACTACTATTCAACGTGCCATCACATATGCAACTGGCGCGCTGGCGTAGAGTTACCTCACCCTCCAGCCAAGCCCCTTCATCGTCGTCTGTAACGCTCTGGCCGCGCTCAGGTCCTTTGACGGATTTAGAGTGAACAATACGGATATACGAATAGAAAGAGATATGCACAAATGACATAAAATACAGTCCCATCGACCGGGGGCCAGCACTGGCGGCCTGGTTCCTACTCTGGTACGTAAACGTGTCTGACCAAGCAGGCCGTCATTTCCCGATCGGAGGAGGTTGACCGAGGGAACATGGTAAACCGGAGATGGGTTCAGGATAGATTCTGTCCAATATTGACATGAATGAGTGTCCATAGCATTGCCGAAGAGAAGATGAAGACTATCGAAAGCGACAAAGGGCGAGCAGTGAAAGCCTTGTCGGCTCCGTCCACCACCCTCGAACCTTGAGTAGGTACGCAACTCGTATGCGAAGTACGGCAAATGCAGCCATCGCCCAAGAAATGTCTGTTGTTCGAGATGGCGTTCTCGACCCGCTGAACAACTGCTGTCTGAGCTCAGCAGTCGAAAATAGAAGACAGCGGGAGTCCTGAATCTTCCTGAACCTCTTGCTGGACCAGCTCGATCGTCCGTGAGCAATCGGGTCTGGAAGACGGGTTACCGTAGAAAAGGTCTAGCAATCTAGCAACTATCTCTCTCTCTATCTCTCTCGATTTAACATCTTGAAACACATCGCTCGTGCTCGCCCCCTCGGTGAGGCGCCGTTAATTCTGCAAATACCGGGCTGCTTTCTTTTTGGTGCACATGGTCAGGGAGTGAGACAGCTCTACATAGGCTTACGTCCAACATGGCATGACTTGAAGACATCTTGACAGGAAAGGGAACTCCCGTCAAGAAAGCGAGTGATGGATGGTGTGTCACAAAGCTGTGGTGAGTGTTGATGAGCGTATCGTTCTGCAACTGGTTGTTGAAGTTCCGGTTCGAGCTCGTATGCCAATGTGCGCGTGTGTGCATGTCTGGTGTCAAGTGTGCGGTGTGTCTGACGAGTGTGCCTGCGGATGAGGTGAATGGATGGACAGACGATGTTTTCAAGTAGGGGGACTGGGGGTAAGGCCAGGACAGCAGCAGCCAGGGGAGCCTTGACGTGATGGCGCTCCCCTGCCTGTCTTTTCTCGATCCCGTCCACGCCCCCCCCCCCGCGCGCCCCTCCTCCCCCAAAATTCCTGTCCAACAGCCATCCTGAACAACAGGGCGGGTCCGGAAGTCTCCTCGATGGAAGGAAAGGCAAGCAAAGTTGAGTTGTGCGCTAGAGCGGCTATGCCATTCGCCGCTGACACGCCCACCCCCTTCAGCCCAATCCTAACGCTATACAGGTATCGCATTCTTGTGCGAGGCCTGAATAAGGTCCGCGAGCGTCGCAGGCTCAAGTATTTGACATAGCCGCGCGAGTCTGCGGACGAGTGAGAGGGCAGGGAACACGATTCAAACGTCCATCCCAAGCTTTCCCAAGCTTCGGATTGAAGAAACCAAGCCGATGAACTCTGTTGTTGTTTTTCCGTCTCCCTTGGACTCTCCAAGCCACCCGTCAGTTGCCTGGTCGCAGCTGACGTCTGTGACGTGCCCCAAACTTCCCTTGTGGTTGTGTCTGGGTGTTCTTGGGTTCAACCAGTCGCTGAGCTTCCAACTCGGCTCAATCCCTCGTCCGCAACATTCGATGATGGAGGCTGTGCTTGTCAACAGAAGTCATGGCACCTCGATCCAAGGACAACCTATGTAGACTGAAACGACAACCGTCATTGGATGCTTTTCTTCCGTCTGAGTGTTTGGGAACAGTTGCGTGCGATGTATGCGGCGCGGCTTCCCATGACGGGCCACATCTGGCTATCGGATCGTTCTGACATTTGCCTTATCAGGAAGTGTCTGCAGGCGTGACTTTAAAACGAAGCATCCAGTTGAGCAGAGTTACTGGTCTGCGATTGGTGAGGATCAAACTTTGACATGTGCAACTTTTGTCACTCAGCCGTCCCCTCCTGTCCCTCTCCCCGCAAAGCATCAAGGTGGTGCAGAGTGTCATGCGGCTCAAGACGTCTCTGTGACTCCATATTCTTTTCCCGCCCACTGTAAGCCGCCCGAGAATGTGTTTTTTTTTTTTCAGCGACGCATTTGCGCTCTTGAGCAGCATCCAGGCCTGGGAGAACCGCCGGGTCGGAGAAGCGCACTAAGTGTGTTCTGGTCAAGACCCTTGACTACCGTTTCAACTTCTGGTAGAAGTCCTTTTTTGGGAAGCAGGCTAATCAGGGTATTGGCGCCTCAATCGTCAAGCGTCAACTTCAGGAAGGGGCCGAGTTCTTGTCGTCTGTCGCAGGGTATACAGGCACACAGGTACAGGCAGCACGTCCGGAGCCGAAGCCGTCCGCGCGAGGAAGAGCTGTCAAAAACGCAGATCTACCGCGGTGATCCTGTGGCCCCGGTCAGCACCATAGTTGACTGGGGCTGTCTGTGGCTGGAAAGGAAATGGCAGGTTCCGAGTAGCATCAATGTTTTGCCCTGGCGGCCGTGGTGAATCCTTACGACGGCACCGCCTGGGATCCCACGATGTTTTTGCTGCTCGCAATCCCTTTGACAGGTCCCAGAAACGGCTCAAGGCGTGTGCATGACAGCTCAAAAGGCTGGAAGGTTCGTGAGATCTGGGTAAACAATAATTGCGATTGGCTGCAAGGTGCGACCACGGTATGGTTGATCTGAGGTTGATCGGAATCAAAGATGGGATTGTTCACGTTGTCAAACGCAAGCTCGACTTGCGATTGGCTCTTCAGGAACTGTCATGAAGGCTCCTTGTCAGGTGTCGCCTCAAGTTGCTGCGCCCCAACAGTCGAGTTGGGTTTCCGTCGGAACGGGGTGCACATCATACACAGGAGTGCAGACCAGGCGAGACGGAAGCCCGGGTGCTGACTGATGGGTCGACAGGGGCCATGGTAGCTTCACAAGCCTGACGTCCGAGATGTAGGCAAGGAGGAGGAGGAGACGTTGCAGCTGTGATGTCCATTATCCATTGGACGTGCCGGACGCATGTTCAGCCCGTAATACTGTCTGTGTTGCTTAAGTGGCCATGGTTTGGGTCGCCTATCTTAATCACTCCTCGAGTAGTCCGCACTCCGACTGGCTCAAATGGCGAGGAGCAGCGTGATCACTCGCTGGCCCTGGCGCGGCGGTTGACGGCATCCCGGTTCCCAGACGCCCCCTGCTGGCTGTTTTGTTTGATATGGCGAGAATGCAGTGCGAGGCCGATCCCGTCACAGCTTCGAACTCAGGGCCATTCGTGGCTCTCGGGGTACTCGTAGCTAGGCTTTGCTGCTCTTCTTCGCCCTGTAGCTTAGCAACGGCCAGCACGACGATCCCCCAGACGCTTTGCGCTAATTTGAGTAGCATCTTAGCCGGAGCAACCAGGCGGACTCTGCGCCCACTGCAGGTACCGATTCCTCCGGCGGTACAATGGCCTCTCCCCAGCGCAGAGCGGTCCATGCGACAGGCCAACAGTCTGTGTTTAGGGCTGGCAGAGACGATAACAGCTGCACGCCACCAGCCAACGGGCTCCGTGCTGGTCGATACATGCCTGTCGCAAAGCCAAGCAGGAGTGACAGCGCACCGTACATGGTTGGGCTTGGCGCTTGTGATGGCGACTAGATTATAGCCGCAGGCAAGCTGGTTGCAGAAAGCTCCGAGCTTCGTGAGCACGTTCGCGTGGGATCAGGCTAGATAGCAGAAAGCACCGTAGTCTATCGTTGGCTTGTCTGAGGGTAGCTGTGTCCTTGGATAGTCCAAGTGCGTATCTAAGGAAAAAAGATACAGTTTCGCGAGGTAATACAGACCGTGGCGGGTTGTAGTTTGCTTGTTGATGAAGTGCCTGCAATTGCGCATGTTGTAGTGGTTCTTTTGTCGTGCAATATGCATCGACATCGCCATGGCTGCCACCAACTTTGGATCTGGGGCATCGGAAAGCCTCTCCAGACCGGCTGGGATTGCACACAATACTCTTGTCGGCACGGCAGTTGTCTTTGGTTGGCTATAACCGGCGACCGCATGGGTCGGGTGATGGTGGGCGGTGCGGGAGGCTGCTGGTTTGCTTGCCCAGATCTCACAGCCGATGCTGGGTATCGATCTCGGGGATGCACTGCACCGACTCTCATGTGCATGGATATGCCCACCGTTGCGGTCGCTACCTTGTCGTCGTCCTTCGCCGTTGTCGTAGCCATCGGCATGGAGCTCCCGATGGCTTGTACGTATCGATACGTACTCAGCTCGGGCTTGACCGAGAGGCTCAGGGTGGTGGTCGGCGGCGGCGGGGTGGTGGGTGGTGGGTGGTGTTGATGGCGTTGTGCTTGCGCCCGGTCTGGCGCGTATATCGTCTTCAGACTTGCGGTCTTTTGGTGTGATAGGCATCTGGCAAGCAAGACAGGCGCACCAGTTCGATTGCGATGCAGAAGCTGATGCATCATGATTAGATGGCATCTGCACCCGTCCGTCAGAGAGGAGCCCGGACAGCACAAGTCTGAGATGTGCATAAAAAGATGCACTGTTGAGAACTGCCTTGTCAAGGTAGCCTGACAAGTGCAGCATTCTAGAGTTACCTTATCTTACGGTATCCGTGGTTCTCTGTACGGATACGTACCTTGGGTTTATCCATGACCAGGCACCCAAGGTCTAGCTGGCCAATGAGCAAGTGTTTCTTTTCATTAAGGTCTGAAAAGTGGATATGCGGGTTGAAGTTGAATTGAAGGGGGAGAGAGCCACTGGGTGACTTTGCAACTGCTCTTGCACTTTGCACTTGTGCCTGCCGTCTCACTTGCACCTGCCATTTCTCTTAGCGGCCAGCCTCCTTTCCTCCTTACTCTTTCCTCTCGTCGCACTTCTTCTCATCAGGACCCCAAACAATGGAATCAACGACTCTCAGACAAAACGCAAATAGCCACCACGCTCATGGCACTAGTCCACTTTGATCGAAGCTTTGATTCTCTGGCCCAGACTACTCCGATGTCTATCAACAATGGGCTGGACCGCCAGAAAAAAGCAGACGATAGCAGGCTCCAGCAGTCTGACACAGCTGGCTTTAGAGGCGGCAGGGTAGACTACGTCTAGCCTCATGGTAGTGCCTCGCCGACCTTGCCGTTCGTGTCTTTACGCAACTTCACGCCCCCAGACGGTTCGAAAACGAGTCTCGATTCCCGCACGCCGCTGCGTCCTCGGTCCCGCCCCAGACGTCACTTGACACCCGGGCTACGTGCTGATGGCTTGCTTCTACGCCGGTACTGAAGGAAATTAGAGAGAAAATAGAAGTGTAATCTTATTGTGACCCTGCAGAAAATAGAAACCCCAACCTAAACCCGGCAAAGCTGGAATAGTGAAGCAGGAAGCAGACAAAAAAGGCAGACAGCGAGACTGACTTGCATTGAATGTCGTTGACTCCCTGTCTGGTCCGGCCCCCTGGGCCCCCGGTCTTGAACCTGCCCTGCCGCCTGCGCTGTCCACCCGTGACGTTGACCCTTGGCTGGCCTTGGACCTGGAGGAATGCCGCGGCGTAGTGTAAGCAAAGGGCCCACTTTCCATCTCCTAGGTGAATTTGAATTGATGAATTGTTTGCCTGCAAGCGAAAGCAAGTACAGGCTCGAGTGCAAGGCCTTTGGTCGCACCTTAGCAGCCCTGCCTGTGCTTTGTATCTGTATCTGTATTGGTCGGGTACCCAAGGTATCTTAACGAATACAGAGTACCTCAAGGCAAGGAAGGTACAATCAAGGTCTGGCTGGCACTCGCATGCATCCCTCCCTCTGCCTGCCTTGCCTACCTTGCCTGCCTTGCCTGCCTCACGGAATACTGGTCCTAATTATCCGTAGCATCTCTCCTTCCGGAGGATACCCCTTCCTTTCGCCCTTCCCATTGGCTCCCATCCAAAAATTGACGGATGGAGCGGGGAGGCTTTTTCCGATCCAGATTTCCCATTTGCTAACCGTCCACACCCGTCTTCACCGGTGCCATAGACCCGGACTTGATGACTGCTGCGAACATCCGCCAACGACGACCCTTTCCGATGTGATATGTGATGTATTACCCGGGGAGACAACAACCTGGGCAACCTCATCTTCACCGATATCCATCACCGGGATCTGGGTCATGCATATGCGCACACACGCCCGATGGCGCTTCATCGCACGCCCACCCAACCGCACCAAGCACCAGCAAGCACCAGCAAGCACCTCAAACGCATCCATCTACACACTTGTGCAAGCAACCGACCTCAGACACTCGACTGTTTACTCTGCATGAAAACCCGATCAACAAACACCCTCTGCGCGCACGCGCACAAGCTTCAAATCCTTCCCAACACGGCACCGTCAAGCGCGGGTTCCTTCCGGTCCACGCACAGAACCGACCAACTGTTCAGTGCCGTTTCAAATTCTGGCCAGACTCGTTGACCGCCGAGCTTGAATCTTTCTACCTGGAAAAGCCGAAGCAGACTAGAAGAAGTCTGCTCTTCCTGCTGCCGTTGCGGGATGCCCCCCTCCCTAAATTCAGTTATATTTTCCCCGAGGCTGGACGCCACTGGCTGCGCGTTGACATGAACGAGGGCCGACTTTTGGCTATCAAATGGGGACCGAGCCCATCAAGAATACATCGGCATTGTTCTACGACGTCGGAAGTCCAGTCTTCTTCAATCCTGCTCAGGGGAACGGTAATTAAACTGCCAAACTCGACTTTTTTTGTATCCCTGCGCGTCGACCAGGAGCTGGGAACTCCCGTCAACTGCTCGTCTCCGTTCCTTGAAAGCCTTCGACCAATATTCTATTGCCTCAGCCACTGAGCGGTCCCGGCATCACTAATCATCAATCAACCACAAGCTACCACCATCATTGCACGTTCCCGCTGCCCTGTGCACCGGAGCACATGCCCACCTGCAGAACGGGACAGGACGATCTTCCCACTGGACTCCTGCTGGAGTACTTCGCGGTGCTGCCTGAGGGGCTCCAGCCGCTTGTCAGTGTGCCAGCCTGCGCATGCCAATGCGACCACCCCATTGGCTGCCAATACTGTGTCAAGCAAACTGCATGATGGAGTGCTGCTATTTCTTTGGACCATGTCCGAATCCCCTCAGGTCGCCCGCCTCACCGATGCCGCCAGATGCAATTTGCATCGGTCGGTACTGCAGACGCCAGCAGCATGCGCGATCTTGACTTGTCGCTGTTCCCAAATCGATCTTGCTTCCCGTCTGCACATCGTTCGACGCCAAGTAGAATCCATACGCTCGCGTTGCCGCCCTTCTGATATGTCCAAATCAGCAATCCTCAGTACCACCAGGCAGCGGTCAACGCGGTCCAACTTCACCGCGCACTATTGCTCCTCCACCTTTCAAGGGTAAAAAGGGGATTCACAGGCTGCTGTGGAGGTTTGCTTCGTCATACCCACACGGTCCAGATACGTTCTGACCGCATTGACAAGGAAGGGCCATACGTATGGGGAGTGGACGATGGGACCCTAAAAATACCCTGTGTCACAGAGGTGTACGCTCCGAATTGCTCCCGAAGACGTCCATCCACGACTTGGAAAAGCGCCTTCTAAATGATATTTGAAGCTTCAGGTAGCTGTCAGGTACGTTTTTCTAGAGAACTTCAACGCAACAGCGCAATTGATGAAATAGTGATTCTAGCCCATCTCGAGTCGACTGAAATAGATCATCCATCGACTAGATCGCCCGAACGGACACAACATCACTATCGCGTGGTGAGCGTCTGTTCGCCTCAACGCCTCATGTTTCAGAAGACTTGATTGACTTGCTGCAGCTTCCCTTCATCTATTTGCATAGCGGCCCAGATATCTGTACTGCGATGTGCAATGCCGGCGGACGGGCGGCGTCGCCTTTGTGCTAACAATTCTTCCCGAACCATTGCCCATTCTCAACGTCCGTGTTCGCATCTGTCTGTCAAGCGGCATGTTCGGTCTTCATTGCAGAAGAGCCCGCAAAGGATCGCTGAGGTGGAGACTTGACTCCAGGTTGTCGCGCACCAACACATGGCATCGTACGTTTGACAGCTCCACGATGTCCCCATATGGGAGAAAGAAACGGGACTCGTTGTTCTCGACGAAATGCCAGGCTTACTCGGCCTGCCAGATCGCTGGGTGGCCCATTCAACCGCAAATACAGGGATCATATTCGCAAAAATGACCAAACTAAGCAAAGATTAGCCGTCGCGAGGGTTCCCATCCAAATGGATCTCCTTTGTTAAGACAAGGGGCCGGCTTTCATTGATGAGACGGCAGAGCCCGCCAGCTGGGGTGGTTTCAGGGATGTCTTGCTACCGTACCACCCCACCAATATTCTCTGGCTCCACGTTTCGATTCGACTCGGAACCGGCTCCGTCCCTTTCCCACTACCGAAACGTACCGAACGCCCGTACACGAACACAACTGCTGTATCCGCAGCCTGCGAGGGAATGATTGGGAACACATGTAAGTCATTTGAAGCGGTACAATGTCTATGCTGAGGATACTGCTCAAGTGTGGGGGGAAGCAGCTGAGACCGCACCGGGAGAAATTCTGCTATCGCGACATTGTCAAGTTCAGCTGCTTTGGCGTGGTGGCCCATCCCGGGAGTTTGGTCCTTTGGGTACCCGGGGGCCGTATCCAACTGCAGTATGCTGGTGTGAAGTGACCAACTATTGTTCGACGACCCTAGAGCTGGCGGGCAGAACCGCACCAGTGAATCGTGGCAAGATCGAGAATCTTGCCGTAGCAATGCTCCTTCGCCTGTCAAGTGTGGGTGAGCCGCAACCTTAAGGTCTGACACTTCACGCCAACAGTCACGGTCACGATGACCCGCTCATTCAAGTTGCGCCTGTGGGTGGACATCAATTTTATTGAGGTTAAAGCCCCTGGCTCGTGCTTCTTGCAAGTCGCTGAGGGCAAGCATCGGTCTCGCGAAGATGTGCTTGACTGTGCCATACAGTTGTGGCCTCCCTAGAACCAGCCGCATGGGTTTCTTGCTCAAGACAAACTGTCAAGGACCCCCAAAGTACCCTCTTGCTCATCAACCTCCCAAAGGCGTCAGCAACAAATTCAACGGGTCTCTACATTAACAACTCCTCGAGTGGACGGGCGGCTGTACGACTGAAGGACGTGCAGTCACATACCGCAAGCATACCGGCGTGTCACCAAGACTCGTGTTATAGCCCGTCATCTGGCAGCTCCTAATCTACATGTCACAGAGCGCATGCTTGTTCTCTTTCTTTACCTAGAAAAGAGCTCAGCATGCTTTGTACTTCACACGCGACCCAGCGGAGCCTTCAACTCGTAACTGAGCTACCCATGCACATTCCATTCTGTTGCGTTACTGTGCTTTCGAAGCGTCCAGAAGGGTTGGTCAGATGTAGCAGTCGGCCACAAAGACAGCCTTGGCCTATAATGGGTTCCAGCACCTTTAGGCTACAATTACGCATCGAATGTCGGCTAGCCTGGCTAAAGGCAGTATTTGGGTTCTGGGAACCATTTGCGGAACTCGGGTTGTCTTCAGAGTACAGTTGCTACAGTACAGCCTCGTAGCTGGCAACTCCGAACAGCACCGAAAGTTTTGCTTTTTTAAATACTCCTTTGGGTGCTTTGCTGTACGATGAAGCATAGTCTCGCATGATCTTCAACCGACCGGACACTTGCTTTTCTTTTTGATAGCGGACTATGGCCGACGTCCCACCGATATCCTGCAGGTTCCTGGAGAGATGCTCTTGACAGGAGAAAGTCGACTGACTACCACGCTACACACGACGAAATGCTAATATACTTTCGATCCAGATTCTGCAGATTGTCACAATCTAGTCTCATAATGGGTCTGTCGGATATTCGGATACGAGGGCCTGCCATCTGACGATTTCCGCTTTTCGAGAACAGGGTTCCCTTGAGCTAACAACCGCTGCGACCACCTAGTATTCTCTATCGTTAGTAACTCAACGTTGCTGGGTGTGTAGCTTTCACTGAGGGCCTCGCCAATGTAAAGCCGTCAGCGGCTCGTGTTCACCTTGCACAGGAAAGATACAACGGCACTGTACTGCACTGCCGGGGTTCACCGGCATCATCATCATCAGCTTGGCCAAACCTTTCATTGACGTCCAGGCACGTCGTACGAGATGCAGGCTTCCAGATAGGCCCTATCCCGCTTTGGACTCTCTTGGTGCAATCAAGACAAGCCAAGTTGTCCAACCATCCCGTAGACCTGGGAATTCAGTGGATCCTTTACGAAGGCCGGCATCACTTGTACCTCGCGAATGGAAGTCGTGACGATATTTCCTTCTCTGGGACACCCAGATCGGATCTTTAGGCGGTGGTGACCCTGGTCACAGCCCCGTGAATCGCGTCGCGCAAGCTGCTCCTTATTGAGTAACACAGCCGCCTTGGGGCGGCCGTGCTGGATACATCATGTACGGGCCTTGCTCCTCTGGGCGCATTGGAAGTGACACAGACATATCTGATGGAGATCATGAGGTCCACCAACCGGTAGTTCCGTTCAGACTGAACCTGCAGTCTTGTCCAGAGAAATTCGGTTGCGGCAACGTCACTTGATGCAGCCGCGTTTTTACTCCGCATGTCAAGCGCGAAGCTTTAGGGTGACAGCAACGTTTAGCGGTAGGTAAACAACGCAAGGATGGACAGTCACATCGTCTGTTTTGTGAAAGTCAGGCGCAGATACTGTTGTGAGTGGTTTGCAGCTCCGGAGCCATCACGACTGCAGCCTGTCGACATCCTACAGGGGCAAAAGCATATTTTGCCTGGCACCGCTCAAGATCATTCCAGTGGCGCTCTTCGACTGAGGGGGAATTGGCAATGGAAGGAAATTTTGGGTCCGATGAGATCTTGTGCAAGGCTAATGAGCCTGCAACCTGCATACCTTTACATTTGACACGGTGCATAGTCCAAGTCCAGGCCCAGATCCAAGCGGCCGTCGCAAGGTTGAAAGAATCGCAGAAACATTATTGGGAGTCGGCAGATATCGGACCCCACTAAAAGCGTGTTCAAGGACAGTTGATTGACGAGATATCTGGGCTCATTATGAAGTCATTTCCCGCGGGCACAGGAGGTCTTATTGCTGGACCTGGTCGAGAGCTCCATCTGCACCCCTCGACGGTGGGAGTCACATCGATTATCGGCCTCGGTTCTCCCCACTAGTAACCAAATTGTGAAGGGGATCTGTCAAGTTTGACAGCCGCAAGGGCACCACCAGAACCAACGCTGATGGATCGGACTAGGACGATTCGAGTGGAGTGGCAAAGTGGCTAGGAGGTTTAACATCCAAACATGCCTTCTGCCGACACCATGCTCCCCGTCATCTCCAAGGATCAGCCAGGCTTGGGGGAGCAACCTTCATAACGCTGGACGCAAGACTGGCGTGACCAGCAGGGATACGAAAAGGCAGAAGGCTCACACATTGGCTTTCCTGGCCCCTGAGGCCGAAGCATGGGGCTGTCTGGCATCTCATCCACTCGCAACTTGTCAACTCGCCCCGCGGGCAATGACCGCAGGTGAAATCTGGGCTATTCGCGGCAGACCTTGGCCCGGAAGCCGTGCACAATTGGCAATGTTCTGGCGTTGCTTCCGGACATCTGAAACTGAACAGGCAGGTCCGACCGGTGCCAGAAATCGATGCCTGTTCTCCGCTCGTTTGCCTTGATCTGATCCCGGCCAGCCAGCCGACTGTTTGGCTGCCAATCTGCCGAATCCGGTGTACGTGTACGTACGCGAGTGCCGCTGGGGAACCCGGCGCGGCTGGAAGGGACCCCGAAGACTCAACGCTCGATGGGAAGGAGGAGGAGGAGACAGGAGAAGGACAGGGCAGGGCGGCCAGAGCCAGAGCCAGAGCCGGATGGCGATGCTCATCAACAATCCCTACCAAACACTCCTTGTCTTCATCCACCCAGCCCACTGTCCATCCGCTTCCTCGTCCCCTCACATCTTTCGTCCCCTGGAGCTTGAACCCAGCCTTAACATGGCCCAAGCGCCCTGTCAAATCGTAAAAAAATCCTTCATTTTGGGACTGGGAACTCCTCCCCCCCAATGTGCCAGGGTGTACCCTAGCACCTGTCACGATTTCTGGCGAGCGAATCGCAATCCGTTCACGCATCCAGACCTTGGATGCGAATTCCCGACGACAGCGGAACTTGACACTTTCAGACATGCAACTTTTGACATCGACGTCCGGTGCAAAGAGCAAAAGGACGGATAGAGAACGGAGAGCGAGACCCAGCATGGAGAGATTCGTTTCTCCCAACTCCCGACAGATGGGCTCAAACAAAAAGAGTATGGTACGTACAGCACATGGCGCACGGAATCTAGAGAGAAACTCCAGAACCTGTCTTAGTGCCAAAGCGGGAGCGAGATTGTTTCTTCACCGCGTTGGCCTCGAGATACCCTTTCTCTGATTTGCCTCTTTTCCTTTCGGATTCTCGCATGATGTTATGTCGTGCATATCCATGACCCGCTGTCAAACCACCGTCTGTCGATGTTCGGGTACTCTCGCTGACTCTTTTCCTTCCTTCTCCGTCGTGGTGCAGGGATGGAGGGGGTCTCTCCTCTGTTTATTTTCTTTTTCCTCTCTGGAAATGGGACGGTTTGCAACGTACAGGATCTTGCTGCTTGTCGGATCCCTACACACACAACTATCCACGCCTTTTTAGAATTTAGCATGGCAGCAAAGACAGAGGGGCCCGACGACTTGTCACATCTGCCAGCCAGTCGCATTCTCTAGATTTTTTTTGGTTTTTTTTTTGACAGCAACCGTTGGGGACCGAGTTGACGGACTGCGCCACCCCCCCCTCTTTGGACTTGTCGCGAAAGAAGAAACATCAGTCCCGCCCGCACACTCATACAATGTACAGAAAGGCACTGCCCTGTTTGCCTCTTCTAGACGACAGTTTGCGAGAAAAAGGTCTTGAGGTGAAGCTTGTCACAGAAAGACGACACCAACCGACACCAACCGACACCAACCAACCCAACCCGTCGCTTCGGGGCGTACGCTACGCTTGCTTCCTGCGCCGACCTGTCAACTACGGACGGTTTTGACACCCGGCGTCAGAGCGATTTGTCACTTTCATCTTGTTGATCTAAAGCCCGTGGTCCCTCGTCTTGCCGAGCTTCGGATTGGTCAGGTCGTCTCTTGACTGACAGCTCGGCACAGAGATGACAAGTCAGCAGGCACACAGATGTTCCCGTCGCTCGCTCTGACTGTACTGCTGCTGCTACTACTGCTACTGACGGTGGCGGCGGGAAGTTCGTCCTTGCCCAACCCTTCTTTCATTGCCATGCGATGTTTGATACTTGGCCATACCCTACAAACGGTCGCTGGGCCTAGCCTATGTGTCCCGCACACTTAGACGCACACACGCCACATCAGACCAGGCACAACCGCTCTCCGTTATTCGTACTCGGACGACTGTGAGACTGAAATGTCGTGGGTGACTTGTGCAGATGGGATCGAAACTGGCATGTTTTCAGATCGGACACCAGTTTCCCCAAGGCGGCCAACCAGCTTCTCTGCCTCGCTGAACATTTTTCCCTCTCTGTCCATCCGCCTCTTTCACACGCTACTTGACATTTGTCGTGATGACGGTGGGAGTAGGACGAGGCCCTAGTAGTGCCCATTACCGTACTTGAGCCAATACATTGGAACTAAAACCATGATATAAACGAAAGAACAGTGTGTAGTGTAGGAAACAAGGGATCTACACTGAAAACTTGCCACAGATCTATGATCAACCACTTTGACTGCTGCAACCCTGTAGAAAGAGGCAGGTAGACTCGGATAAACCTTCCCCCCGCTTCCCCTTCCTCCTACGTTGGAGATTTTCCCTTTGTGCCCCTCTTCATCCATGCCGTCCCTTTGACAAATCAGACAAGGCATGGATAAGCCCGACTTGAAACGAAAAAAGGATATGCTAGTCTGACTCGGCCTCGTCTCTGCCTCCATGTCTATCTTTTACAGTTTTTTTTCTCATTTCCTTTTTGAGTTGTTACTCTTCTCTAGGCCATGAAGCAGAGCCAAACGCTGATTAGAATGAGAACGGATGACGTGATACCCGAGTTTCCGGGTTCAAGGGGGGAGAGAGGTTGATTAGGGAAATAGGGGGAAAGGGAAAAGAAAAGGGGAGGGGGATAAGCATTGGGAACAGCGGATTTCAAAACGTCAAGGGAAGAAAGGAAAAAAAGTATTTCACGTCTCTCATCGTTCGAGACGAACGATGCTACAAGGCGTCCAGGTCTGTCTGGTGTTGTCCGTTCCCCTTGTATGCTTGACAAGCCCAGACAGAAATATCCCGAAGAGACGGGAAGAAGAGGAGCGGGGAAGGGGTGATCCATGGGGGAAGGATAGAAGAAAATACAACTTTTTCGCGGGAGGAGTCTGGAAGAGGGATGACCCCTTCCGTCGCAAGTCTAATCGTCTCTATCATCATGCCCTTGCCTTGTCGAACGTCCGTACCCCCTCCCCCTTCGAGAATGGGTAACAGGCAGGAGGAGCGTTGTTCTCGCCTATGTCTCCAAACAACTATGTGACCCAATCCCATTGAGAGAAGGGACGGCAACAAGCACGAGGCGCGAGGCGCGAAATCGAGGGGGCACTACAGATGGAAGGGGGCCCATTGATGTTTTCACATACGAGTGGAAGAGGATTAGGATAGAGCAGCCAGCGTGCCAGCGCACGGAAACAAAAAGAGAGGAGGGAACATCTTACGAGGCCGGAACCAGGCATGCTGCCTACTCCTGATTATCATGTCCCAATGTGGTCCATGTTTGATAAAACTATGATGCTCCGGTTTCCGAACATCATCATTCCTTGCCACCCCGACTCACCCCGACTCAGTGTGTGGTAAAGCTTCCATCTTACTCTCTCTCTCTCTCTATCTCTTCGAAAGAGTGAAGCCGAGGACTGATGGACAACCACGAATAGCTATTCCAGACCGGATCAAACCAAACCAAAGTATCCTCATCTCTCTTTCCAACTAATGCCAACCAGAAATTGCCCCTGGTCCCAAAACATCAAATCACGGTGGGGGGGGTTCAAAGGACGAAGTTGGTGGTGGTGGTGGTGTGTCCTGAACAGTATCGCGCGTATATAGATGGTTTTCAACCCAACAATCTCTCATTGATGGCTTGGTGTGCCCTGACAAAAGAGGGTGACACGCGGACACACACCATATTTCCGTCCAAAACCAAAAGTCCGAGAAAAGATGCCAGCTCGCGGAGGTCCTGAGACGAACGCCACAAGCAGCACATCTTTTCCCCTCCCCAATCTCTCCAAGGCAGCCCCTTGGTTGGGGGGGAGGGAAGGTTCCCTCTCAACTCTTCAGAATCACACACTGTTGTGCGTTGTAGAGCAAGGGGGCCGCACGCTTTCAACATTTATGCCCTTCGTAGAACCTTGTTCAGGAAACCACCCCGGCCCTTTTTGGGCATCTCATCCCCGGACGGGCCAACGACGGCATCCCTCGTCGTCCCGTCTTTTCCTCCGACGCCACCGCCGCCGTGGTGTTGATGCTGGTACTGCTGTTGGTTCTGATGTTGCTGTTGCTGTTGCTGTTGATGGCCCGGGTTCGGGGAACTACCGACACCAGCAGGATGATCGCCCGCGTACTGCAGATCTCCCCTGCTGATCTTGACAAAAGAATCGTCCGAAGGGGTGGGCGTGGCGACGGCGGCCCCTGAGTCAAAGTGGGCATGACAGCCCTCCGCGGCAAGTTTCGACATCCCACCAATCGCGGTGGTGGTGGTGTTTGTCAACGACGACGACGAAGATGACGGGGGGACGATGGGCCAGCTGTCAGTGGCGGGGAACGTGACTGCGTCGGCGGGTCTCCCCTGCCGGATGTGAGAGAGGCCTCTGTCGAGATACTCGACCAGCGGCGCCTTTGTGTCGAATCCAAAGGTTCTGGTCATGGTCCTGTCCTCGTCGTCACCACCTCCCCCTCTATCTCCGGAGCCCACTATTGCGTCTCCTCCCCGTCGTCGTACGGCAGAGCCGTCCCACCTCGCCGCTGTTCTTGCTGTTGCTTCCTCTGATGATTCCGCTGCTGTTGCTGTACCCATCACCGTATCCCCTATTCCTGTCCCACCGCCAGTGTCAACAACGCCAGGGCCGGAGGCGTAGTGCGGCGTCTCGGCAGCCCGGGCCCCACCGCTGCCGCTGCCACTGCTGTCATGGGCTTCCAGGGCTTTGCGGTAGAGATCCGGGGCGCGATGCTGGAACTCGGCTTCGAGATCTCGTTCATGCTGGCTCATAGCTTGCGCACCCCGGCCCAAGCTGGCCGACGGGTCGTTGGGGTTGGGTCTCGACGAGGCGTAGTGGCTATTATTGCTGTTGCTGTTGGTCACTCTGCCCTCATCGTCGATCTGAGTCAGCAGATCTTCGTACTGCACTCTCCTCGCCGCGTCATCAGTCTCTGACGGTGCGGCCGTCGTCGTCTCTTGGCGGAGGGGGTCCACTTTTTGCTGCTGCTGCTGCTGCCTCGCCTCGCCTGGCACCTTGGATCCGGTGATAGATGTTCTGTATGAGGCGCTGAATTCCTTGTAATGGCCCTTGAGGACGAAACATCGGCCGGGCCAGCCCCAGGTTCTGAACTTATTGTAGAGGACGTCGGCTAGGGGACATTCCCAAGAGGAATCGATGACGCGGTCGTAAATGACCAGGCAGGTGGCAGATTGCCACTCGCCGAACACCTGTCTGCTGTTTTGGTCTGAGAATGCTCGCTCAATCATGTCAAATGAGGCCTCTTGGATAAAGTTTAGGGGGGCGCGGAGGTTGACAGCCCCTTTAATGTGAGATCGCTCAAAGTCCGTTGGTGGACGGAGGTCAATCATCAGGATCCCACTGGGAGGTAGGACTTCGATAATCCTGTGAAGGTGATGCGGCAGTATCATCTGGGCTCCTTGAGATGCCCCAGATGCCGGGGTACCACCCATCCTGAGGCTCTGGAATTGCTGCGAGACAACATCTCGTTCCCGCCTATGATGGAACCAGGCCTGCTACGGTTACTATGCCATTGCTAAGACGTTGGTGTGAGGAAACCCTACCTCGATGTGCCACAGCTCTATGCCCAGATTTGAGGCAACAAAGATCTTTTGATCGTCGTTGGGCAGCGGCTCCTGCCGGTAATATTGCTGGAGCAGGATCTCCACATGCTGCGAGAACTTGGGCGGTTCTGGGACGTCATGCAAGATGGTCCTCCGCGCGCTTCTCTGCTGGTTTGGAATCATGGACCTGGATATAGCCCCCTCCGATGACACTTGGGAAGATGAAGTATGGTGTCGCCGTAAGGTTCCCATAGAAACTGTTCGGTTCGGAGGCTGAGGTGGCCGCGCTGGTCTGACGGTTGGCGACGAAGATGGTGAGACCATCTCTGAATCCTGGGCTCGAGGTGGTCCACCTGCAGTCCTTCTCATATTTGATGTGTCACCTGGAAAGAGTGATTTCAGACCTTCCATTTGCGCACCTTCGACGCTACCCGTTTCCGTTGGAGCATTTGTGTATGTGATATCTGAGAAGAATGTGCTCATCGATGCAGAGTCCGGCTGTGTGTCTTCTTGCACTACGCGAGTGCTTCTGTTTACCGGAATCTGTACCTCTACCTCCTCGTTTTTGTGAAACTTCTGGGCCATCATGTTGTTGGATCTGATGAAGGCTATGAATGAGGTCGCATGATCCTCGGGTAGGAGATCCCACACCATCACCGGCATAGACAAGAGGAGCAGTGTGGAGTGGCTCTTGAACACGCCCTGGACTTTGACGTATTTCGCCAGGGCTGGGAAGTTGGATAACCACTGCTCCCAGGCACCGAGGTCCAATTGCTGGTTGTCTTCAAGTGCCAGCGAGATCATGACGTGCGGTGTGTCCTCGTTCGGTTCCCCTGCTGGTGGAGCGCCAGGCCCTCGTCCACCCGTCACCCTTTCGGGCGAGCTGGTGCCATCTGCGGCCACTGCGATATCCAGCGGCGGCGATGGCGGTCGCTGCTCAGCCGGTACGACCCGAGTCAATTCGATGCTTGGTGCCTTGTGGTTCGACGTCATCATGAAGTGGACTGGAGTTGACCTGGCCTCAAAGACCTTGCCGTTAATGGTGACGGGACGAGGGTGCTTCAGGCGCGCGAGAACCTCGGCGTGTAGCATCGCCGCGGAAAAGGTGCGAAGCCTCCACTCCTGCATCACCTCGATAAGAGCATTTGTGAATGAGTACCGACCCGGATCCGGGGCGATGGCATCCCAACTCGAGGCGGATATGGTCTCGGTGATGCTGTTGCCGTTGGGGAATGTCGCGCTCGCAGCCCCGGCGCAACAGTCGAGAAGGATGAGAACGTCAGACGCCGAACGCTCTAGCAAGGTCTGGATCGCCGACCACTGCAGCCATGGTGAATCGGGATGTCGGGTTCTAGTGATTTGTGAGACATATCCAGCGTGAGCGTGAGACGATGCCATCGACTTACGCGCACCAAGTACTCTGTCGAGACTCGTCTATCCTGGCATGACCGCCGTAGTAGACTAAAAAGAGTGTGTCTTGAGCCTCGTGGTCTTTGATCAGCTTGCCAACCTGCATCATGAGCTCTAGATGTGAGTTTTCAGACGGTATGGGAAAGATCTCTGTATCAAAGGCATAGTCCTCGCGCAGGCACCGTTCCAGGTCCTCCAACTCGGGCAACACGAAGAGGTCATCGCAGCCCCAGTGGAGGAGCAACGCCTGAACTTTTGAATACCGCTGTGACGATTTCCCGCGGTTCGGAAACGCTCGGTTTGCAGACTTTGCGGTGAAGTGTCAGTATCCTGATAACGTGACTCATGGGCGACTCTTTCGTCTGCTACTGACATTCTCCAAGGTCTGAGCGAAGCTATCGAGGTGCTTGACATGATAGCTGACTCGGCTGATATCGTGGGTGGCGGGCCGGGGCGCATCGCCGGAGCTGGATCCGTACTGGGCATGGCCAGCTTGTGAGTCTACACGTACTCTGCGCGACTGGATCATCGAGACTCTGGCACCTACAGTCGAGTCTGCACTGCTCACGCTGTTCCCGTCATGGGGTCGCCGGGACCGAATGGTCACGTACGGCTGGTGATCGCCCATTTTTACCAGCTCTGCCCGTGATATACGTCACTCACTCTAGGGGCCGTGATTGGTGTTTTTTTGATCGAGGCTGTCTGCGATACTGTGATCAGGGGAGGAAACTCAGCGCCAAGGATCTTTTGCTACAGTGTATTGATGGGATGCATGTCGCGGGTGAGAGAATCTATGAGGGCCGTGGAAGCCAGAAAGACTGTAGCATCCGGAGTGAGGTCAGATGCATCGTTGGGCACAGCAAGCGGGAGCATCTGGCGTGAGAGAGAGGGAAAAGAGAGAAAAGATGTCGTCGGCGGTATCTTTTCGTATGGCCCCGTTCATCTCGGGCGACGGAGCGCGGGCGGGCTGGAGGGGCATCCCACTCCGCGCCAGCGTCGGTAGCTAAAACGGCTTAGCGTGGCTGATGAGCCGGTGACCGAATGTGGTCAGGACGGCCTGGGCCCCGTAAAGTTTTGGGTCTCAATTTTAGCCCCCACACGTGTCTTCTCTGCTGCGCGTGGCTGAGTGTGGCTGGTGTATCTAAACCGTAGCCAAGAAACCTGCGAGGATAGACCTTTTAGTGGACCAATCCCCTGAATTCGGCACCGAGCGAGGTGTCCTCAGCAACGGGTCTCCGACATCGATGCCAACGGACCCATCTGAGTACACTGTTCACTCACTGATCACACCTATCCATACCCGTTCACGTCACCGGAGTGCCCACTTTCATTGACCTTGCCTGCCACCTTGTATCCAGCTCATTCATCATCGAGTAACAATCAGAGTGTTAACATCAACCGGAACTTAGTTGCCGAGTCTGCTGTCGTGTTGCGTAGGCCATGACCCAAGATGCGTCAGCGAATCACCTACGTTCACAAGCCTAGTGACGGCGTGCCCCCGGAGGCCCTCGAAATTAGCGATGCCGGCGTAAAGGGCCCTGAGCTCTTATCTGTCCGAGAAGACAGAGTGACACTGGCCCTTGAGGAGCTTCCTTCTGAGCTATCCCAGCTTCTGAGTGAGAGTCATGAGTTGCACATCAGATGGGTCAGCCCCTTTGCGTATGGCACTATTGGCCCTTTGGCTTCGCGACTATCACCAGGTTTCCATCTCTTTTACACGCCAAAGAAGGAGGAGATCAAGTGGGATGCGTAAGTTTTACCCGAGGAGTCATCAGAATTGTTCAAGAAGATTGACATGAGATGAAGGACGAAATTGTGTACAGCTCTCAGGGACGCCTTTGGCAGCAGCAGCTGCACATCGTCCGAGGTAAGCTACACGCTACTCTCCTCCCGCCTCATGCTTACCTAGGCGAGCCATCAACTAACTCGATGAAAAGTCGTTCACGAGCCTCCCCAACGACAGGTTCTCTCACTCCGCAGCTCTCCAATTCTATGAACCCCTAGAAACCCTCACCGCATTCACCCAATACACTGCCGAGAAGCTCTGCGCGGCATCAGGCGCAGCCTGCAAGTCCCGCGCCGAGGACCTCAAGACGGCGGCATCCTTTGACATATCCTACGACACGATCTCGCACGCCCTCAAGCTCACAGCGCAATGGCCCTACAGTAAACACCGCGTGGCCGTCGCCTCGACCCCGAACCACAGGACCGAGGTCGGCATCCTCACCACCGACTCCACCGCGAAACCGGAGCCTCACGAGATCGGCATGGCAGGCGGCCTCACCGTCCTCGGCGAGCGGAAGAAACCCGCGCCCGTCCTCTTCAACGTGCCCGCCCGCCACCGGCTACACGGAGGGGAGAATGAATCACAACGCCCCAGCTCGTTCTCTGCGAAATTCCTCCAGCCGACGGGCCTACACCCTACGCTGCAGCTGCACTTGGACTCGGCCGAGCCGCCGGTCGAGGACGCTTACTGCGCCGTCCACGCGCACCTCACGCTACCAAAGACCGTCTTTGCGGACCGCTACCAGCTCGCAGATGACCTGTTTCTAAAGTCCAAGAACCTGACAGCCCTGCGCTACGCCAGCTCGCCCGTCGACCTCGAGGCCCCCGCGTACGCCACAAAGCCGTGGGGCTCCGGCGTCCTGCTCGAGCTCGCGCCGCCGGCGACGACGACGGTGGAGAAAGAGGGGAGCAAGAACCAAGAATGGACGGCGGAGATCCCGTTACACCTCCGCTACCTGGAGCCGGCTGCTGGGGGCTACACAGACGTGGAGGTGCCGTACCCCGCCGTCTTCTGGGCGTGCTCGTCCGAGGAGGGCACAAAGTTCCCGAGCAGCCCGTTCGAGAGGGTGAATCTCGGCTACGACGCGTTATTCGGACCGAGGACGGTGTTCTGGCACGTGGAGCCGCGACCCGTCGGAAGAGGAGGAGGGGGGGGAGGTCGGCTCACGAGCACCGTGCGGGTGCCGGTGCTCGAGGCCGGGCAGGCCGAGTGGGTTCGCGCGGGGACGGCGGCCGCGGTGGTGGTGGGATTCGCGTGGGTTCTGTGGAGGCTCGTGGCCGCGTACTCCAAGACCGGGTACGGCCGGCGTGGCGGGGGCGTGGATGAGAAGAAGGAACAGTAGATCTTTTTTGGATGCTACGATGCCTTGGTAGTCGGAACTGGCTATTCTGATTACCTACTGTAATTGAAATTAATTGGAAGTGAAATGAGGATCATCTCGCATTTCCGAGCTTCTTACAGTGTGTCGAGGATTTGCACGGCCCGGCTGTGGCGGAGCGCCTGCCCCCCCTTCTTCCTCCAACAACCTACTCCAAGTTGAGAGTCGCCTGATTATCCATCTCAAGCAACTTCTCACCCAAATTTACGACCGATGCTTCACCTTTCTTTTCTTCATCTGAAAAGAAACAAACAAACGAGAACCACTTCGATCGTTTGCAACTAATGACTCCCATCTCCATGCCTGTCAGCCCCCAGCCATGATCTCCTACGTCATCGCCCTCGTGGCATTCCTCATCTTCTTCTCCGACCCCCTCGTCAACTTCTTCTCGCCGTCGTCAACGCACGGCGGCCGAGGCAGCCGGGGCCGGGTGGTCCGCACGCCCCGGCCGCAAATGAACGAGTCGTTGCTCGCCATCGAGTACCCCAACGCGACGGCCCTATCCTGTCCGCCTGACAACTACTCTGTGCGCCTCTTTTCCAAGGAGCCGCTGGTGTTGTACATTGAAGGGTTTCTGAGTTTTGAGGAACGGGCGCATTTACTTGAAATCAGGTACGTTTTTTTAAGTCTTTTTGTTCGTTTCCCCGTGTAAAGAGGTCTCACGCTACTTACACATACACACATTTATACGTATGCACAAGTCTGTTTAAATGTGGATGAGAGACGGCGTTCCATCCATGCTCCAACTTAACCTCTCTCTCACTTTGTCTCTCACACATAAGCATCCATATTTATCAATACCGTAAACACTCAACTAACAATCCCATGCCACAGCCAACCCATCTTTGAACCCTCAACAATAACCCACGACGGCGCCGGCGTCCACCGCGACGCCTCGGTCCGCGAGTCCGAAGTCGCGCTGATCCCCCGCACCGACACCGTCCGCTGCGTCGAGGCACGCGCCCGGGCCCTCCAGGGCTGGCGCGAGGACCTCTGGATCGAGAGGCTGCGGACGCAGCGGTACGTCGAGGGCGGGCACTATTCGTACCACTTTGACTGGAGCGCCAACCGCGGGGGGTGGGGCCGGGTGAGCAGCATGATGGCGTGGGTCGATGCGCGCGGCGACGATGGCGTGCCTGGGGAAGGGACCGGCGAGGGTTTGGCCGGGGGCGGGACGGAGTTTCCGTTGCTTGAGGTCCCCGGGCTGACGGAGGAGGTTTGGTGTCGGTTTCTGGAGTGCGGTGAGAGAGGCGAGAGAGGTGACGGGCTGAAGAAGCAGGAGGAGGATGGGGAGCAAGGGAAGGGGACTGTCTTCAAGCCTGTTCCGGGCAATGCCGTTTACTGGGAAAACTTTCGGGCGGATGGGAGCGGTGCCGGGTATGATGAGACGTGGCACGCTGGGCTACCGGTCAAGAAGGGCGTCAAAGTCGGGCTCAATATCTGGAGCACTGGAAGGATAGAGTAAAATATGACAAGATGGACGTCCACATTCTTGCAGCACGCCATCTTTTCAACATGGTTACAAAGATTTCCATTCAATGTCCCTCAGTCTGTCCTTTGGTACGTGAACATGAACGCAAACCTTTTCAAAGCGTCTCAAATGATAATGCGTCTCCTCCAACAAATGTCCGCCTAACTATAACATTATGCAAAATACCCACCAAATGCCCCGGCTTGCTTGCAGAATCAGACAAAGGTATCAACAGAAACACAGAGACACACAAACACACACCAAACACACCACATTAGCCGCATCTCTCACAGACACAACCTACTATGAAAGACCGAGGAAATTCGGCTCTCCCCCGCCCCCAGCGGTCCAGTCAAAGTCGTCCATCAGCATCGACCAGTCGATATCCTGCAGCAGGTCACTCGTCGGCACGACGCTCGCGTTCCCATCCGTCGCCGCCGCTGCCACAAGGTCAGTAATACTCACACCGAACCCCCGACCCCCCCTGCACTCACGCGTCGACGCCGTGCCCCCGGGCCCCCCCACGCCGTGCCCACCACCGGCCCCGCTCTGCCCGACCCGCGCCTCATCAAGCACCTTTTTCCACCTCCTCAACGTCCCAAACGCGATGACGGCGCCGGTACGGTGAGGGTACTGCGATATGGGCGCCTCGAGCTTGGGCATCATGTGCCGCAGAGTCCAATAGCTCTCCGACATGCGCAGCGCTCGCATGGCAAAGTCGCCCTCCTGCACGGAGCAGCGCCGCAGGGCCTCCTGGGCGTTCTTGATGGACACGTCCGCGTTGGCGAGCTCGACGTCCGTCGCGTGGCCCGAGGCGAGGACGTCAAACACCACGGCGACGGCGTCGAGGATGGTGCGGAAGACGTGTTGCGGGGCGTGTAGCAGGAAGCGGTGCGAGGCGTCGAGGCGGAGGGAGAGGTTGATGAGGGCCTGGGCGGTGCTGTAGGCGCGGTTTACGTTGTGGCGGAAGGTGGGTTTGTCTACGGTTGAGAGGGGGGTGAAGTAGTAGGTTTGGAGCTCGAACTGGACTGCCAGGATGGTGAAGAGGTCGAGGTCTTGCTCATTAGCATGGGGGTCACGTTGTCATTTGGGGTAGGGGGGAATATCGATCTTTCACGAACCAGAGTTATGTCGAGACTGTAGCTGCTTCAGCTTGTTCAGCTCATCTTCCAATAGTTGAATGACGGTGTCCGGCACGCCCTCGCCTTCCTCAGCGACGGAGAAGATGGTCCGGCTCAGCCTGTTGGAGAACTTTTGCATCTCATATAGCAGGCCAAAGTAACCCAGGGCATCGGGGAGAGATCTTCCGCCGGCAGCCCTGTTGACGGCTTCGTTGAAGAAGCCGGCCGGGGGCGGGAAACCATTACTTGAGGCGACTCTGCGTCACTGGTCAGCCTAGGTGGCAAGAGAAAGGAATACGAAAAAAAAAGGGCGGAGGAAAGGAAGCACATACCTCTGAGCCTGGATATTATATCCCATCCACGTAAAACACGCCTCCTCGTCGGTAATGTCGGTCTGCCGGTTCGGCCCGATGCAGAACTCTGGGTGAGTGCCGCGGCCCGTGTGCAAGCCCAGCTGCAGCGCGGCGTTCTGCGCGATGGCGACGTACGAGGACGACGGGTCGTTGAGGAAGCGGATGGAGGGTAAGGGCCAGGTGCAAAGGACGAGCAGGGCATCGATGGTGGACAAGCTGATGGGCGGGTTCGAGACGGCAGCCCAGACCTCCCTTGGCAGGTTCTCGATGAGAAAGGGGAAGAGGCCGGCGTCGCGCGTGTACCGCCGCGAGGAGATGGCGATGAGGGTCCAGAAGAGAGTCGGGCTCTGCTTGTACAGCTTGTCCGGGTCCTGCGAGCGGACGATGGGGAAGTAGGGGTGGAAGTGCTCAAAGTAGCTTTTTTCATATGACCTCTCAGTCTCTCTTCTTTCTCTGATATGGATACAGGCTTGGGGGATGGGAAAGGTGGAGTGCAAGAAGAAGAAGGATTCACGTGGGCTTACTGGTCAAAGTAAAAGTCGATATCCTCGCCAGACAGGACCTTAGACCCCAGAGCCCTCGGTTGGGCGGGTTGCCTCGCGGGTCCCGTGGGCGTCGTGTGCGACGTGAGGGTCGGCGTCGGGACCTGCTCCGGCTGATGAGGCTGGTGGACGGGAGAAAGGGCCGGCAGGCTCACCCTCGAGGCGGAGGGGGGCGGCCGGTGGTCTGAGAAGGCGCTGGCGGCTCCGGGGTAGGCGGTGCTCGGGCTCGGTAGCGGTAGCGGCAGGGCGGACGGGGGTAGGACGCCGGCGGCGGAGACGGGGCTCGGGTTGACGGCATTCTTGATGGTTTGGACTTCCTTTTCGAGTTGTTCTAGTTTACTGTTTGATGCTCACACACGGTGCGGATGCATTAGACTGGGATCTATGTGGGATGGACGCACATAATAGTACACTGGACGCAGGGGGTGGGTAGACAGGCTGGGTGTGATGGGGGCAAGGGAATTGGAAGGGGAAGTGAAAATGAAAGTGAAAGTGAAAGGGGAAGCCACCTTCTTCTAGTCATCCGCTTGTGAGATTTGTCAATAACACACTGGATGCCGAGCTTTGAGCAACGCTGGCACGGCTTGTTGGGCGTGTAGCTTGCATTGCACTTGACCTAGTTTCAGCCGTCCAGAGACGCTCCATCAGCATACGGGACGTCATATTAGGTATAGCAGTGCAACGCAGTAGGCAGAAACATTGAGGAACAGAAGACTCGTCGGCATAGTTGCTGACATTGCATGATGTGCCCCAGGGGACCTGACGAGGTGGCCCCCATCCGTCCCTCCCGATTGCCAACCGCCATCCAATGGGAATAGGAACCGGGAGAGGGAGGCGTTGGACGGGCACAGGGCATGCGTGACATGCGAGGCAGCCAATGTTTAAAAGATTAAAACACCACGGGTAGCCCAGCAGGGACGGGAAGGCAACATTGAATACAAGATGAACCAGTCCAGGTTGAGTATAAAAGGTACAAAAGGGAGGAAGGCAACCCAACCCACCTTGGAGTCGCGACAGCTCGTGCAGGCTGTATTTCGCCGGATCCGGTTCGGCACTGGAGGGCTGGGCGAGGTATCCCTCTGTGCCGACGCGGGGCTCTTGAGCGGCGGGTCCATGGGGAGGGTCCCACGGGTTACTTGTGCTTGAGTAGGGTGACCTGAGTAGGGTGCGCGCGTGCGTGCGTGCGCTTTGCCTCGCTGCAACGGCTCCTTGTCAGTTTACTCTTTGTACTTTTGCGTTTAAAGTGAGCCGACTCTGGCGCACTCGCCGTTGTGGGCGCGCTCTGTCTGGCTCACTTGCTGGCAGCTGCTGTGGTTGTGGTTGTGATTGTTGATGACAAGGTGGAGAGGAGGAGGAAGGGAAGTTCGGCGCGGTTTCGGCAATGCAAAAAGTGAGGAGAGTGGTTTGATGATAAACGCTGCAGCAGCGACCGCAAGCAGAGAAAGAGGAGACGATCACGTGCGCTGACCATTTCGGAAGGATTCGCCAGCCATCTCATTGCGGACATTGTCCGTACCTACTGACTTACTTTAGTAGTACCTAAGCATCATGCCCATGTCTGGGTCTTTTACCTGTAGCCCAGTTGATATCAAAGTCAAGAACATTACTTTGTCCGGCATTTGGATTATCGCGGTGAATCTCTGGTGTTTTCAAATCACCGAGTCAGACGCGCATATTGTCGTACACGACTTACTCGAGACACAGCTACTCGAAACATACACTACTTGAACGCCACGATCCAAGACTAGTTTCAGGCTGATGCAGCGACCTCGGTCAGTCTCGGTCAGTCTCGGTCAACTTAAAGCGTACATTGACGTCGTGGACAAGGTAGGGGAAGGATGGAAGCAAGGGAACGTGTGAAGAACCATTCATCAATCGACCTATTGAGTTCATGTACCTTACCGCGCGCCATGGATGTGCAAAGGTTGGTTTTACTTTTGTGAGTCACTAAGACTCAACCACCTGAAAAAGGTTTATACTCGACCTGGTCGTAGAAAGGGCAGGGCAGTAATATTCAAGGTATTCGAAAAAGGCTCTCGGTTCTTGAACAACAAGAGCAGGTCCTCAACCACTGTGATCATTTTGTGAACCTGCAACCCTGCCTATGACATGAATATTATCAATAAGATGCCCTGCTTCATCTACATCAACGGCTACCCAGGCGTCGGCAAGCTCACCGTCGCCAACGCCCTCTCCAACCTCATCCCGCGCAGCCGCGTCTTCCACAACCACCTGGTCATCGACCCCGTCGCCGCCATGCTCGACCGCGACGATGCCGACGCCGACGCCGGGGCCTACAACGACCTGAGGACCTCGTTCCGCAAACATGCCCTCGACGCCATCGCCACCCACCCGGCGCTGGCCGACAAGACTTTCATCTTTACAGATGCGCGCGAGTCAGGTCCCCTGGGCAGCGAAGCGGCGCGGGATCACAAGACGGCCGCCGATAGGAGGGGCGTGCCGTTCGTCTCGGTCGTGTTGCGTTGTGACGCGGATGAGAGTGTCAAGAGAATTGCAAGTCGGGTGGGTGTCGGGGATGGTGTGGCGGCTGGCAACACAAAGTTGACTGACGGCGAGGTTCTGCTAAGAATTCGGGACAAGGAGACCATCTTTCAGTTCGGTGATGAGAACGAAATGTGTTTGGATACCACGAGCCTAGGGTCGGAGGATGCTGCGCACTTGATTTTCCAACATGTCAACGCCGTTTACAGTCGTCTTGATAAAGACAGCCGAAGCTTATGCCTCGTTTCTGCCGCCAAGCTCCATCGTCTTAATCTCACCAGGCGTATACCAGATTAATCCTCTTGTCACCAAATGTGAAGAAGTCAGAAAAGGGACACATTATACCTCATCATTATTCAAGAAAAGACTCAAACAGCTAAGAAAAACTCTTTACTCATCAAGTCCACTTCCTCTCGCAGCTTCCAATCCACATACCCCAACCTAGAACTTTGCCTCGGACAGCTTCGGCGACCTGTTCCCTGGTAGCCCGTGCCTCCAGCATCTTCTTGTCCAGCGGCTCGCTCAAAGCCACGATTTGGAAGAAATCTGTCGATAGTCAGTCAATCCCGTCTGTCCGAAATAGAACAGAGATGAGACTCACATCTGTGGGTGCCGTGGTTCATGAGCGGCCGCGGAGGGACATACACGCCCTCCCTCCGCCCCTTGCCCCAATGAAAACCTCCCTTTAAGAGAGATTTGCTCTCATCTTCAATCTCAAAGTCTTTCGGGTTCACCTGCTTCTTCTCAGAAGCGATGCCGCCATATACTCTGCAAGAAACAACTCAGCATTTTTCTTCGGGATTCCAATCATCTTGTATTTGGACCACTCACCCGTGGCAGATGGGCGTCGGCAAGGGCGCATCCGGGTCCTCGACAACGATGAGCCACTCCTTCACCTTAGACTCGATGTCCAGCGGCGCGGTCCACGAGAGCGCGGGGATGCGGCCGCCGCCCTCTGTGATGTACTCTGGGCCCAGGGTCGCGGGAGACGCACCGCAGTCTGGGGACGTGACGGTGATGGTCTGCTCCGGGTGAGAGGCGAAGGCGGGGGATGTGTAGAAGGATTTAGCGTCGTGGGCGCGGGAGTTCTTGAGGAGCCAGCTCAGAGTCACTTCAACATACGGATTCATGCTGGCGGCTGTGAGAAGACTCTGATACGGAGCAAACAGTGATGACAGCTATGGTTGATTGATGGGTTGCTAGTGAGGTGATTGAGAAGCGTGATGATAATGACTACCAAGATGTGATCAGACGAGGAGGGGAAACATGGAGCTCTTTATCGACCGTTCTCAAGAACCATGTTTAAGCTTATTTCCGACTTCAGACGGTCTTACAGGCCTCAAGTCCGGGTGGCTTGATCTTGGTTGGTCTCGGTGCCGAATCGGTCACCATCCGGCCGATCAGTCAATCGTCAGGAATCTAGGCCTATGGAGTTAGTCGAATGACTTGCCAATATTTTTTCTTTTTCCTTTGTATTATGTTGAGACCTCTGTGTCGGCGATATGATATCGAGTGCTACGTCAACGCTACAACACGTTGAGTTGCTCAGAATGCGGCAGAGACGAGATAGGAGGGAGAGCATCACTGCAAGGATGCCCCCTCGCACGCCTCCGGCTTGGCGATGCTTAACGGCTTTTAGTGGCATACCACCCCTGCAGACGAACGCCACACACGCGTGGCTCAAAGTGGCCCAGGTACGGGCCATTTTTACCATTTTCCGAGATGGGAAAGAACATCATAATCATGCGGGAACCAACCGCAAGTGACCATCACCTTTCAACAACGTCGTCGGCAACAAACGCCATTTAACTATTGTATCATTAACAAAAGATGTTTCTACAAGCGACGAATCGCACCTTTTCACATAATATCAAGGGTGCTGCTTCTAGGCTGTCTATACTCTCCGCAAGCATGTCATCGACGCGTCCGTATTCGTCGCGGTCATTTCCCGCCCTATTCGTCCGCGGCGGGACGTCCAACGGCCTCGTCATCCACAGACACAACCTCCCACCAGAGAATGAATGGCACAAAGTACTGCCCGCCGCCATGGGCTCGCCGGACCCCTACGGCCGCCAGCTGAACGGAATGGGCTCGGGCATCTCATCAACGTCCAAAATCATTGTGCTATCTCCGCCCTCGCGCCCGGACGTCGACGTCGATTACACCTTTGTCCAAGTTGGCATCAAGGACGGCAGCCTCGACATGGCAGGCAACTGCGGAAACTTGTCGTCGGCAGTCGGTCCGATGAGCCTGGACGAGGGTCTCATCCCTAACCCTCGACTCGGACAAGACGACAAAGGCCAGACGTTCGCCATCGTGCGCATCTTCAACACGAACACGTCCAAAGTTATCTCATCGCGCTTCAGAGTCGGCGACGGGAGCCCCTCAAGATACTCCCCCGACGGCGACTACACCATGGACGGCGTCCCCGGCACCAACTCACCCATCACCCTCAGCTTCCTGGATCCCGCCGGCGCCAAGACGGGCAAGGCCCTCCCCACCGGCAACGCCTGCGACTGGCTCCTCCTCCCAGACGCGAGCACCATCCAGGCCTCGCTTGTCGACGTCAGCAACCCGGGCGTCTTTGTCCGCGCCGCCGACCTGGGGATCCCTTCGCCAGAGGACCTCACGCCGCAGGCCGTCGAGGCGGACACCGAGCTCAAGGCCAAGCTGGACGGCATCCGGCGCGCGGGGGCGTCTCTGATGGGGCTGAACCCGGACTTGGAGAGCGTGCCCAAGATCGTGCTGCTCTTCTCCGAGACGCGCTCTCCCGACGTCGATATTCGGTGTCTGGCGCTGTCCATGGGCCAGGCCCACAAAGCCGTGCCGTTGACTCTTGCGCTGTGCCTCGGCGCCGCCAGTCAGTTGCCGGGTACCATCCCGGCACAACTCGTGAATGGTCGCTCCAAAGAATCCGTCGTCATTGGGCACCCGAGCGGCAAGGTGGATATTGGGGCCACGTTTAACAATGGCGAAATCGTGTCTGCAGATCTCCACCGCACAGCTCGTGTCCTGATGAAGGGTGAGGTGTTCTACTAAGACCCCGGGAGATTGCTACAAGCGACGGCGAGCAATGGACGCGCAACAGCTCCTCCAGCCATTAATGGACAGACTCGACTCTCATACCCATTTGTTAGCTCGACGGCCAACGTGATCCCCCCGGCATCCCCATGCGTCCCGGAGGCGTAACGACCTCGGGTCAATGCATTTCCCCGCAAACACAAGTATTGGCCAGGGAAAGAAGATGCTATGTACCGCCTTAATCACTGGTTTCGTTGTGATGCCATCAATATCATGGTATTCAATGTATTAATATTGGCGCAGCCTCGGATAGACTCAGGAACCAAGGGTAAAAGTTCCAGCAACGCAGAATCTTCCCCCAAGGAGAGGAACAGCAGTCCAGGTCCTTCAGCCCAACCAAGCAGACCAGGTTGACAATCTCCCACGCACAGCTAGCGCTCTTGTCAAGTTCAGGCACGGATTTGCCCCGTCGGGTCGTCACACAAAGCTATCCGAAAATAAAATCTTATCACGCTGGGGATACGATTCTATGGCAACTGTTAGGGGCAATGCTCATTCGTCATTGTGGGATCGGGAGCCAGAGCAACATTGGCCTGCTGCTGTAGGACGCCAGATGCCGTCCTCTGCAAGCTTCTCGACGCCACTTAGGTGACGAATTGCGTACCACGACTTTATATGGACAAGACGAGAGGGCTCTTTTGGAAGCTTGACTGACGGAACACGTTTACAAAGTCCCGTTTCTGAAGTTGGCATACGCGTGAAAATGGAGAAGGTTTGAGGTGTTCACAGATCCATTCTGCAAAATCTAGGGGGTTTCAGGCGTGGACAGGACAACTCTAGGCGTTGCGGCCCGGCCACAGGAAACGGAATGGAGCACATGTCTCGACCAAGATGAATGCAAGGGTGCTCTCGGACCGCGGTTGGACATGCACGGAGCGACGACAAGCAATAAAAGTAGGTTGAGCTGTAGGGGTTGGTGACGAGTGCTACCGCCTAACGCTCGGCGGGACTTTTGCGTCCACTCCTGTCATAGAATGGCGGAAACCGGCCCGCCGTTAACCTTCAAGGCGTTGGTGCCGGGTCCCCGTTACGGGTGGCCCCCGTCCGTCTCATTAGGATTAGGCTGTATTGCTTGATGCGGGCCCTGCACTACTGTGTAAGAAGGCAAGGCACGTGGCAAGCATCCTAGATCGTTCAGCTTGGATACGGTGGACCGTTCCAGTATCAAAGTTGTAGAAGAGGCGGCTCAACATTGGGCCGATAAGTCATGATGGGCGGCTTTGTGCTAAAGAAAACCATATACGACAAAGCAGTCAACCCTCAAACCCCGATGCCTTACCGGACCCGGCCGCTCGGATCCGGAATGGCAACCAAAACAGGAAAGTGGAGAAAAGCAGCACGCCGCGCCGACGGGATGTACCTAGTAGACTTTCGATGGTTGCTTGGTCTGTTCATAGACCGCAGACGTCACGTTTCAGTCAACTTCATATGGGCTCACAGAGCCATTGGGTTCTCGGGATAGGCTTGATGATGACAGCCGCGGTGGAAAGGACGAAGACACGACGCCGACGCGAGTATTTGTCGATTTCACATGAAAGGTTATCACAACCCTTGTCACCCTCTTCTGCATAGGTAGGGCGGCAGTATGCACAGTTCAGCCGCACGTCTGCTTCGTATACGTCTGCTCGAGGCTTTGTGCTGCTGAGTCTTGTGTACTTGCACTCGTGACTTTCGATCTGCGAGCCGCACATCTCGCGACTCTAAAGGTAGCTTCAACCCCAACGCAAGCCATGTCGAACGATCTGATAAGTGGATAGATATATTGAAGCCGCCCATGGCGTAGTGCACCGTCGACGATAGTTTAACTAGGACGACAGTGGTACAGATCCTGGGACGGAGTAGCGGATGACCATGGATCCCGCTGACGTGAAAAAAACTAAGCTTAGTTCCCTTTCCCCCTGACCTCGCTCACAATGCTCGTCTTGCTCGTCACCAAGATCCCAACCTCGGAGCCCGAAGCATCATCCCCTCTCCCCTTGAAGTCCCTCACCACGCTGTCTTCCGACTGGTTCCCATTAGCCACCATAACCGCTACATCATGCCTCTTCTCCCGCAGCCTATCCAATTCCACGTCATCGTCGTCGCTGTAGGTCGAGGGCATCTGGCTGAACCTGCCTCCTCCTCCGCTACCGGCCGCGGCCCTGGAGAGCTTCGACCCGAGTAGCCCGGATTGGCCAATCGTCTGGAGAGTTGTCGGCTTCGCGGAGGCTGCCCCGGAGCCGCCGGATCTCGCCGTGGAGCCGCGGAGGGTCCAGAAGCGGCCAAAGGTGGCGTCGAATATCGGTTTCAGGAGGGGGCTGCTCGATACTATGATCGCGACGCCAGGCTCGAGGGTCCCCATCAGCACGACACCGACTTGGGAATAGGTCACGTCGGTGAAGTCCATTGACAGGACATTCTTCAGGCGTATGGCAGCGAAGATCATTGTTCTAGGAAATGTCACGGCTACTGTCAGCTTTCCATATCAAGGCATGGCATTTCGAGGGTGAGGAAAGGGGACTTCTTACAGAGCGCCGGCACCAAAGATGGCGTACAAAGCCACCTTGTGCGGCAATCGCAGTTGCAGATTGTAGACCATGGGGATCGGAAGCACGAGGATTATGAGGTCGGTCGCGAGGTCAAAGAAGCCCACGGCGGCGAAGCCGGCGTTCTGGTCACCGCACCAGCCACCGGGTGTCTCCGGGTCCCAGTTCATGGCCACGGGCTGGCAGATGAAGATGCCGATGAGGATCGTGAAGAGCATCCAGCAGACGCAGAGGCCCATGGTGATGCGGGCCGCGATCACGAACTTCCGCACGAAGAAGATGCGCTGGAGCATGATGGTGATGCCGATCTTGATGAAGCCGAGGCAGATGGCGAAGAGGGTCTGGACACCGTACGCGGCCTTTTTTTCCCGGGGGCATTTGTTAGTCGAGTCTCTATGGCAAGAGTCTTGGACGTTTTATGAGGAGGACTGGATGGACTGACCTTTGACATGCGTGTGATGTGGTAGGGCTGGAGGGTCAAGACATGATGCCCAGTTCCCCCTAGGTAAACCACTAGAACCACCTCCTTTAGTCCAGTTCAACGCTGTGGGACTTTTGAGATTCAACTTACTGACGAAATTACAGGCTACCAGCCCATAAAAGGCAATCTAGTATGTTGTCAGCAACTTTCGAAACGATTTTTCAACCGTGATCGTCACCTACCAGGGCAACAACAGTCATGTAATCTTCGACGGTGAAAGACTGTCCCTTCTTCCGCCGGCTGTAAAGCCGCATGCCCGTCCATACTCCTGTGAGCAACACGAGCAGCACGTTACAAACGACTATCGAAACCGCCCGGTCGGCGAGGGGCACGATCTCGGTCTGGATGACATCCTCTGGCCGAACAGTGCCATTCGTCGGCAGCGCCAGACGAGCGAAAAGTGCACCGTTGATTTTCATGATGGCTTGATTTGTCACAACGACAATTCAGTGGCTGCCATCCTGCTCACTAAGTACCGTGATTGCGCCACGCAACGGGAATTCTAACGGCTTAACAAGTCCGTCAACCTCCTTTCTGCAGCGGCACAGTAGCGGTTGATCCACATTCTTCAGGCGGACGGACTTATGCATGATCGAGTCAAGACACATGTGGGAGACGAGGGGAAAAGAGCAAAGACCTTCCTATCATGGGCCTCTTCCAGCGGACCAACCCGTCCTTGTTGGCTGTTGCTGCTGCTGCGGATGGCACCCAAGGCAACCCAGGTTCCAGCCATGGCTCAATATGGCAGGGAGAGTGCTCTGCGCTGGGATCCCGCGTGGCAATGATGAGATATCACAAGAACTCGAGAGGGAACGTGGAAACGGGCACGAGGAAATTCCACATGGTGATACGATTGGGTGGTGCAAGGGATGAGAGTCCCTCCTGTCCATTTACTCTACATGAAGCCGGGATGTCGAAATAGGGCCCGCTCCGAAAGGGCTATGGAGCCGCACTAGCCCGAGCGAAGACGACGGCATGCCGAGTTATCTCAAACGCACAAGAATACCTATCCCAAAAGAGAGTAAGCATAACCAATATTGGTTCTACCTGTCCGCTGGCAAAATCAATTATTTGCTACCGCGGCCGTGCGGTAGCAGTAGGCCCGCTTGACATGTTCAGTGACGGCGGACGGCGATCGCCAAGTCATATCACCACAATAACCTACCCGTGCAGTGGGGAACAGGGGATAATGGACCGCAGAACGAGTGGTCTCTGCTTTCGGAAATCTAGTCCGAAGTACTCCACAGCTCGGTATCCTTGAACACAGAACACTCAATCGATTCATGACTCGAGAACACAGAGGAGACCAAGAGTGCGAGAGCTTCGCCCGGAAACATTCCCCGTGGGAGGAAGATGGTGGAACCGTGAACGGGGGAGGGGGCCTCTTGGCATTTCAATATCGCTCACCCACCGTTCCCGAGCCACTTTCTGGCCCTGGCACACTGCCGACTGTGATATCAGATAATTAATCAGAATGCCCAAATTGCGCCGAGTTCCACATGGCAGTAGGTCCCGCAACGGCCGCATAACGGAGGGGCGATGCTGACCGACGATGCTTGCGTATGTGCCATGCGTCTGGCCTTAAAAAGAAGCGGTTGCAGCGTCTGGATGGTTTGCATGTGAGGTTTTCCCCCTTCCACCTACGCTCGGTTCTCTTTGCATTGCATCTTGCAACGGTCGTCACCCTTTCTGTCCCAGCCCCCCGGTTCCCGGCTGCAACGTCAATCATACCGCGCCAAGTTTCCCTCTCCACGTGCAGTATCAAGTCCTGTCCGTGCCATCACCCTGCATATGCCCATCGACACCATGCTGCCAACGGACGTCTGGGACTACATCGTCGTCGGCGGTGGCCTCGCCGGCTCCGTCGTCTCCAGCCGGCTCCTGGCGCTCAACAACACGGCCAAGATCCTGGTCATCGAGGCCGGCGCTAACGCTGCCGGCCGGACGGACATTCTCTATGTCAACTCGACCAATTTGATCCAGGGCGATTTCGATTGGAACTACTTCACGACGCCGCAGCCTCAGCTTAACAACCGTACCATTCAGAGTGCTGCTGGAAAGGGCCTCGGCGGCGGCTCCCTCATCAACACATGCAAGTTGTCCCATGGTCTGTGGTGAAATATGTCCAAAATGTTGACCAAAATTCAGGTGGATGGATGCGCGGTGCCCGTGTTGACTATGACGAGTGGGCCGAGCTGGTCAACGATTCCCGTTGGGGCTATGACGGCCAGCTGCCGTTCTTCAAGAGTTCCGAGGAGTTTTGGACCAAGGCGAACGCAGACGAGCACGGGTACGACGGTCCCCTGAAGGTCGAGGTCCCCTCGATCACGGGTCGTGTCTACCCCCTGAGAGACGCCGTCTACGCCTCGTACGAGTCTGTCGGCATCGAGGCCCTGCCAGGCCTGGACGCCAACTCTGGTCAAAATCTCGGCTTTGGTGAAATCGCAGAGAACCGCCGCAACGGTGCGCGTCAAATCGCCCCAAAGTACTACCCCCTCGACGGCGTCACGGTCATGACGAACACGCTCGTCGAGAAGATCCTGCTCCAAAGTGACAACAGCTCCGGCTCTGGTGACCTCGTCGCAACCGGTGTCCGTCTCGCCAACGGCACGGAGATCCTCGGCAAGGAGATCATCGCCGCCGCCGGTGCTTACCGCACGCCCCAACTCTTGATGCTTTCCGGCATCGGCCCGTCCGACGAACTGGCAAAGCACGGCATCGATATCAAGGTCGAATCACCCGACGTCGGCCAGAACTTTGCCGACCACGCCTTCTTCACCTACAACTGGCGACTCTCGCCCGAGTACCAAAACGTGACCGTCGACTCGGGCAACCCGCTCTTCTTCGAATCGCAGTACGGCCTGGGCCAGCCCAACAACTTTGTCGCCTCCTTCAACATCGAAGACAAGGCCGGCTTCATCGCCGCCATCACCGAAGAGGAAGGTGCTGCGCCCGACCCGGCGACGCACCCCCTCCTCAAGAACGAGCGCACCCTGATGGAAGGTTTCGTTCTCTACGTCAACACCGACCCCAGCCTCCCCTCCAACAGCACCTACCTCACGACCGCCAACGTCGCCCTCAACCCCACGTCCCGCGGTTCCGTGACTCTCAGCTCCGCGGACCCTGCCACTGCCCCGCTCATCAACCCCAACTTCTTCGCTTCCGGCGTCGACCGGTTCGTGTGGCGCGACTCGATCCGCCGCATGACTCGCATGATGATTGGGGGTGACTCGCCGCTGAGTCAGGGTATCGTCGAGGCCGAGGCGACGACGGGTGGCCTGAAGCCTTTCACACTCGAGTCGACTGATGAGGAGATTGAGGAGCGCATTCGCGCCTCCGTCATGTAAGTGAAACTACCACCACCCACATCTCCGATGCCATCCAAATTTTTTCCTCCAATCGACTGACACGTATTCTGTTTTTTTTCCAGCGGCACGTACCACCCCATGGGCACATGCGCCATGGGCAAGGTCGTCGACAGCAACCTGCGCGTCAAGGGCGTCAGCAACCTCCGCGTCGTGGATGCTTCCGTGTTCCCGACAATCATCACGGCTCACATCCAGGCTGCGGTGTATGCCCTCGCCGAGCAGGCTGCCGAGATCATTGCTTCGTCGTAGATCAACAACCCGGTCCTGGCGTTGACGACATGTTACAAGAGAAAATGAGAGAGGAGACTACATGAGTAATACGGTGGACGTGCATACCTAATAGTTAGATAATAGTTAATAATGACATGTTGAACTCTCCCCGTTTGTTTCTCGTGGCCTCTGGTGAACAGTTTCAAAGTTTGGTTCCGGCCGGACGTGAAAGGATTTCTCAACGTCGCCGAGAATGATCGGGCTGAGCTCATGTACACCAACTGCTGGGTTGCCTTTCTGGGCCTTGCTAAGGCAGGCTTAGCGTGTCAGCGTCGTTTGGTACCCGTGGCCCGCCTCGCACGCGGCCCCACTTTCGGCACCGTCCGTTGTCTCATGCTGGGCCCAGCCGACTCCGGGGAAAGAGATCCAGCTGCTGCGATTTTCAGGACCAAATTCCAAATTTGAAAGAGTGTCTTGGGGCTGGAGATTTAGAGACTGTCACTCGAGGGAATAGCAGCAACATGAAAGGTCGACCAAAAGGCCAGACCAGAGCAACGTTGTCCCGAGCGACTCAACAATTGTGGCCTACAAAGCGTAAGCAGAATCCACCAGTGCTTCCTTTCCCCCCGCATCTGAGCCCATCGATCGACCTGTGGCGGCCCGCTACCGAATCTCCAGGCACTTCACCATGTCTCGGGAAGTCGCGATTGTCGTGATGAGTAAGCTCATGCACAGAGAGCTTCGAGTCCGGCTTGTTCCCGAGCGCGTTTTGAAAGACATTCCACGACCTGCCAGAGACGGACACCTTGATAAAGGGGTTTCGGGATTCGTTCCTTGAGCGTTTGACAACCATTTATGTGAACGCTTTCAAATTCATCCAAACTGGCGATGAAGAAGATGATGCATGACAGGTTGTCCATATGGACCCCGATGAGTGTGAGCAAGGTCTCTGACTCAGACTGCCGCGGTGAACGTCAAGACCGCTCCCAAAGGTCTGGCATAAGTTTTGGGATAAGTGCGGGTTTCTGGGCTGATATGCCGAATAGAAGGGAACGCAACAGAGCTTCCAGTGACTGTTGAATCGGCACTCCGTAGATGGTGAAATAGTGGCCGACAACAAAGAGGTCCCGCGTTCCGGCCCACGTCTCCAGGCACTTCTTTGTCTCTTCACTGTTCGCGATGCATGTCGCAAAGGTCGAATTTCCAGATCCGGGCTTTTCAGAGACCCCAAAGAGTGTGTTATCATCCCTGAGCCAGTGCCTCAACTTGCCGTACTTGGCCTCTGTCTGCTCTATTTTTGCCAAGCTCCACTTGGAGGTTGTGAAATGGGTGTCGGTTATCTTTTCATGCCGGGTTGGTCGGTCCATGTAGTTGAGTTTGGTCAGCACCTGGACTTCCTTCTCGAATACTCGGGTTTCTAGCGACAGCTAAGAGATTCCGGAGCAGACGTTGGTGATATCTGCCGATATAACTATTTTCGTCTTGTCCTGTCCTTGAATATAGTCTTTAAGCCTCTTGATCTCTTCCATCATGAAATCCAACCGAGATTCGCTCTGGGGTGTCCAGATCCCTCTCCCGTGATCTCTGACGTGATTTTATAGGGCCAGTATGCTCTCGCTTTAGTCAAGATGAGCAAGCAGTCGCGAAATGAAGTGACCGGGACATTCTCACTTCGATACTGCGCACAGCAAAAGAGTCATTGTGCGCTGGCGGTCGGCGATCCGTATCCTGTATTCTCCGCTTTCACTCGATTGCCAGACTTCAGATAGGGCAGCTCGGAAGCTGCGCCAGTACTTCGGGTCATTGAACCCGATGACCTTGAGCTTGTTCATTTGTGAAGGAAGACTTTGTAGTCTTGCTTGCTGGTGGTCGCGAACTCGGCGAGCTGTTTACAATGTTTCGGCATATTTCTGCCGAAGCCCATCATCGAAGTTGCTTAAATTAGCCGTCAAAGTTGATAAGCATCCCGCAAATATCGTGGAAGTGGTTGTTGTAGCAACTGGTCCCTGTGTTGGATGCATGGAGTTTCCGGGCGTCATTAAAGACGAACTGGAGAAATTTCAGCAAGTTGCCAGTGGATGCCAACAGCCTTCGTGGGGTTGATGGCTGGAGATCATGAGAGACTTGAGTCTCAACGGTCTCGTAATCCCACAGGAGTATGGGGGCAAGATGAGATGGTTTAAAGTCATGATGGACATGGAAGCGAGAGGATCTAGGCAGCTCTTGGTTTCACAGAAGAGGTGCCCAATGAAAGAAGAGCATTGCCTGCAATTGGATTCAAAGGTGAAAATTCCACCCCGTGACACCAGGCGGACAACGTTGGTGGCCTCCATTGGCGGCGCCTCAATGTGGTGCAGGTAGCAGGACCATTCACCGCCACCACCACCACCTGCACCTCGAAAGCCAAAGAAAAAGAGCCCGGTTGTTTTTCTCAATGCTTGCAGTGTATTCATTAACAGTAGTCATATCATCACAGGAGCAAACTACTGAGTTACTCGGATACGTTAGCCGCGCAGCAGGCTCACCAAGCAAACGAGTAGGATGTAGCGTCATCGCACAGCCGTTTGGTGCTGCGACTTTGCGTAGAACGGCTGATACCAACAGAAAATGAACGCATCAGGTGGCTACTGATCCAGGAGTCTCAAGTATGTTGATATTACGTCTGGCCTGCGGGGAGTAGATTGATTTTCATAAAAATCAATGTTGCGATTCTAATACATAGGACCTATTATTGCTTTTTGAAACTGATGAAATATAAAAGCATTGGAAGACAAAACGTCCACCGTCCCATGTGCTGACGAAACCTCTGCATCTCATCACGCACATGGTCACACCGAAACGCCTCTCATTTCCCACTCTTTCTCTGCCAGCCCGACCATTTTGCCTCAAAAAGTTCTCACCGAATAAGAACGAATTTAACCCACGTCGACGAAGAGCCACTTGGCAAAACCAGGAATACCGCAATCGTAAAGATCGCCCGGTACCACAAAAATCCGCGAGAAACCCAACGAGTTCAATACTTGACTCACTTTCCAGCCCGAATCTCGGGATCTTCGTTAGTTGGTCTTATCAGTAGCCGCCGAGGCGCGCCCTGCATTCGCGATGCATCTGCCGCGCAAACGCGTGAAGGTGACCACCACTGGCACCCCCTGCCCCCCCCAACCCTTTCTGTGAGGCTGACGACTTGCCACCGGCCGGTCCCCCGCGCGCGGGGGTACATGTACCATGGACGCCAAATCAGATAGTTTGATGTCTCTGACCACTGACGATTGTGGCGCGGGCCGGACTTCACAGGGTTACCTCAATGTCTTGCGGAATGGGGTGGGTAGGAATGTTGAATCTATGAATAAAGATTGGGTTGAGAGTGAACACCATGTTTTGTTGAGCATCATCGTGCTATTTCGTAGAAATGATACTTCCGTACGTACTGCCAAATTAATCACAGAAAGGCAGACTCGGGGACTGGGAAATAGATTCGGTGTAGAATTTTGCAATTTTCATCTCGACCCGCTGTCTATATCAAGGTAAGACCTTTCTGAAAAAGGAATAGCTAAATAAAGGCTGGAAAAGGAAAAGAAAGACAAAAAAAGTAAAACTCCCTTTACAAGCCTGCACGCTTTCTATAGTGAGACCAAAATCTGAACAACCATTTTGATGAATCTCCAACCCATGCAGATATGGTGTCCGTAACAGAAACATGTCGGGGAAAGTGCATGTATACGTACACGGAACACCACGCGTCACAAGCAATCTTTAAAAAAAAAAAAAATAAAAAAACCCAAAAGGGGAAAAAGAGTAAAAAAACAAAAAAAAAACAACCAAAAAAAAAAAAATAAAAAAAAAAAAAAAAAAAAAAAAAAAAAAAAAAAAAACAAGACATATGCAAAGACGCCTCCATCCCACGCTAATCTCTCATAGTTCCGTCAAGAGCTCACCCGCTGACCTTGCTGATGCTGAGGCGGCGGCGGAGGCGGCATAGTGATTCCGTCGGGATAAACCTCAACCTCAAACTTGGGTATATCTTCCGCCTTGAAGTACATACCCAAGTGGTCCCCGCCGGCGCCCGAGATGGCGTACATGTCCTTGCCCAGTGCCACCTTTCGAACCTTGGCACCCAGCCCCCAAAGGCTGCCTGGCGTCACCTCGTGGGCTAACACGTTGTCAAACGTCTGCCACTGAGACCGTACGTGCGAGAGCGCCGTTCTCTGCAGGGCTCGGTGGCTCGGTTGGCAGTTCTCGATAATCTTTTTCTCGCCGTGGCCCCTCCAGCTGATGATGAGGCGGACGGGCTTAGAGGGCACCGTGGGAATGGCTGGGACGACGGCAGTGGTCACTGCCATGGGAGCCATACCTTGTGGTGGTTGTGGTGGTGAGGGACGCATGCCTGGTGGGCAGCTGGGGAGTGGGGGCGGCGGTGGTCCGCTGGCAGGTGCGCGAGGGAACATTCGTGCACGGTGGCCTGTCCAGCCTGGAGGCGGAGGGGGAGGTTGAGATACGGTGGCCATTGGGGGCGCGGGGATGTACGACGGGCGTGGCCCAGGGGCAGGGCGGCGCGTCCTCGTGGTATGTTCTGGTTGCGAGTCAATGTCATCTTCTTCAGAAGAGGACGCGGACTCGTTCTTGGTGGGCTTGCGAGACTTGCGCTTGGGGTTACGGCGAGAGCACTTTGTCTTTTTGCCCCTCCTGGATATGATGTCGTCGTCGTCACTGTCCGAGGAGACGGCGGAGAGGGAGATCACATCGGAGGCGTCCATGGTGGAGGCCTCACTGCCGGAGCTTCCAGAGTCTTCTGACCTCACGCTCGGGGGGAAGGCAAAGCCGTTGGCTTCGATGAACTCATAAACCTCCTGAGAGGATTTCGTGTGGAGGTTCTCAAAGGCATCCTCGAGATCGCGACCTGTTGCCGAGAGAACTTCCTGGCGTTTACCCCGGTGAACCTTGACGGCGTAGATGGTGTATGACTTATTAGGCTGGCGAGAGGTATAAATATCGATCAGAGCACTGCGGCCTGATATCAGGCGAAGATTATCTGAGAGGTGTGTTAGTCCCCTTATACTCTACGCGTCACGAGAGGAGGTGAAGATGCTGACCTATGATCTGCTCGCGCCACACGAGGCACAAGGGGTTGGGAGCCATTATCGTAGATGCAGGACGTCTTGACAATGTTGTGGAGTCGTTTGTATTGTTCAGCAGGACGAGCATGTGCCAAAAGAAGTGACAAGAGGCTTGAGAATTAAAGTTGATGGAAAGAGATGGTGAAGACGAAAGGCGAAGGGCACTTCTTATATATCTATCATGGCTGCATCTCCGGGTCATCGTCCAATGGGAAAAAAATTAAATTATAAGAGGACCCTGCATAACCCACGAGTTATGTTCTGGGACAGCATGGCAGGACACAGGAAGAAAATGAGGCGCGCACATTGGCGTGGAACGTGGTAGGAGTCTGTATGTATTTGAGATGTACCGAGTAATTCAGGAAGCAAGGAGCTTCAGCTCTTGTGCCCCATGCTCTTGGGATCATGCGGTCACCGGAAATGGAGAGGGAACAGGGTGAATATGGAAAAAAGAAACGTGTAAGGACAATCTTGTATTGGACTATAGCATTGAGAGCGGCCAAGCCCCTCGCTGGAAGGAGGAGGGTTAAAACCATGTAACCAAAAGAAAAAACAAAGACTTCGTTCAGGTCCAATACCTAGAAGAAGACCACCCCTTGGAGGCCACATTCGGCATCTGCCCTGTCTGAAGGAGACTTACTAATCGGTACTCATCTTCAACGCATGCCTCCTGGGCCGCCATGCATACCTACCTGGCTTTGTGGATGGGTGGCCAGTCAACTGGCGTGACTGGTTCCTACATCATAGACGCGACGTGCAGTCTTGCGCATTTTTTTCCTAGCCGTCCACTACTGACTGAGATGCGGCTCGAGGGATGACCACGACGACAGAACTCGTGGCTGACTAGACGACCTGCTTCCGGACCTGAAATAATATATAACAGCCAGCTGTTCAGGTTGCCCAGCGTTTTGTCTCGCTGGCACGAGTAGCGCAAGCAACCGAAGAACGAGGCCGAATGCCACGCAAGAGTCCTTTGTCTCTTGTCTGTTTTTCTCCTCGCACAAAACTTCAAACCCGAATACGCCGATTCGTTATCGTGGCCCGACTCGCGAGCCTCTTGTTGCTCTGATTGCACTACTTAAACTCTCATCAACAACGAAAAAGCCCGCTGCTTTGGCACACACACTGACCCACGCCCCGCCCTAGGCTCGTTGCTGGCGCGGACTGCTTCATGCTTGCCTGCCGTCATCGTTGCCCCCAGCGAGGGGATTTCTCTAGAATGCAGAAAAATATAAAGCTGAAACAGATGATTGGTGCTCGGATTTGCTGAGCGTTGAAGAAGCAGCCGTGAGCTCGCAACCCCACGACGACTATCGCACGGAGCTCTGGGGGAGAAACGAAACAAGAAAGAAAAGGGCTTTGCAATCCTCGCTCGTACGCGTAGACAGAATGGTACCAAACGGGACAACGTAAGACCTTCGCCTACTCTCTGTCGGCTTCATCTGAAGTTGGGAGATGCCGAATAGACGTGCGAGGAAGATGCCTGCCAAATATGCGCCCGATCCCCATGTGGTGAACGACTGGACCTGGCAGGGCAAGGTACGGCAGGGAGTGCCAGGCATTAGGTACGGTAGGTAGGCGCAATTCAACCCCATGCTGTGCGATGTGGAAAGTGGAACGTGGAAATCAGCAACCGCAACCACGTCGCATTCAAGCTTCGCCCACGAAGGCTCGACCGTTGTCGGGTACTGCCAAGAGCCACGATATCCGAAGCCCACATCAGGCACCCGATGGTCTTGAGAATTGGTGACGCTTTTCCAAACTCCCAATTAGATTCTCGTGTTCTGTCGGCAATTTTTCTTACACATAATGGTCGGGCACCCAGCCCTCGTAGATAATACTGGGCTTCGAGTGACGGGGATGAATTCCAAGTATCGCCTTTCTGATAGGTGAGATCTCCACGTATAGGTACCTAAGGAAAGTAAGGCTGTTTGATGATCACGTGCTTGATTGGATGACACTTGTACTATGTAGACCCACCAGCTTCGGGTACCATTTTTCGATTCTCTCACTGTTCTTGACTACCTTCATTTTCAAGGCTGAGTGATACCAGCATGTTCCTTGCCCAATGGCAACACCAAGACACGGTAAACGGGCACTAGGCGGCCCTAGAGGAAATCTTTTCCCGAATCTTTGATCCAACTTCGTATCATGCTACGGCGGCATTCTCGAAACATTTGTCTGTGACCCCCTATTATTTTTGTGTCGCCCTAAGCGCTGCAGCGCTGCGCTTGCTCTCGAGCCGATTGGCGCTTCCGTCCATTCGCCAACATGTATCCATCGCGCTCACAAGGCTCAAGAGCCAGAGTGATGGGCGCCTTTGTGTCGCTCTTGGGCATCAAGAGAGACGAGGCTTCAAGTACAAACTGCCTGATATCCTATCATCCCACCCTGTCTACCACAACTCCATCTTACTGCGTCTGGAGACGCTCCAGGCGCGAGGATACAGCCTCGACCAAAGCTGTCTCCCGTGAGAGAAGGGACATGACTTGTTGCAGCTTGGCCTTTCGGATCTCCGCCGGGATCTTGAGTTCGGATACCGAAGATGACGATAAGTCCTTCCCACCCTTGCCGTCTTCACTCTGTTTCTGTATCCGTTCCACTTGTACCACCAATTCGTCCTTGAGTCGTTGCACGTCCTCCAAACGTTTCCTCAGCTGCTTCTGCTGCTTCACCCCCGGGCTGTTCTCCGAGGATGATCCCAGGACGCTGGCCTCCATGTTCTTGACCTCTGCCACAAATGCCCTCTCCTTGGCACTAAGCTCTCTCGTCGCCGCCTTGCCAACATACTTGCGGACGCCTTCTAGCCTCTCATTGAGTCGTTTCTGTCGCTCTTGCGCCTCGGTGATACGCCTTTCGAATCTGACGTCGTCACTTTCGCCGTCTCCGGCCTTGTCGTTGCCCGCAATCTTGTCAATCTTCTCCTTGACCTCGTTTGCCTTCTTGATCTGATCCCTGAGCTCATCTTGGAGAGTCGCGCACCGGCGGAAAATCTCCGCCACCGCCGTGCCGAGCCGGTAGGTATCTTCGCCCAGGACGCGATGGGCGTCTGTGAGAATCTGCAGCGTGACTGGAGACAGACGAATCTCCTGGTTCAAAATGGTCTTGTGGCGGGAGCTGCGGAGTCTGTTGATTAGCTCGGGAAGGTCGGATTGCTGCTCGAATGCATGCGAGGGCTGGAAAGCTGGACGGGGCTCATAAAAGTCCAAAGGTTCCATTGTCGCAGGCTTCTCTTCAAAAGGCGTTTCGTGACGGACAGGCGAAAAGTCGTCCTCGGGCGTCTCGAAAGTCAAGGCAATCGGATCGTACGGAGTCGCCGACAGAAGGAAGTATCCCAAATCCGGATCGCGGATCGCGGCGCACGCGGCGAGCGGCACGTTGACATCGCTCGAAGATTGATTATATAGTCTTTCGCGGATAGAGTTCTGCCCATTGACCAGGAGGCCGAGACGGAAGTCAGAGCCCGCCTCCGACTCGCCCGAGAGCTCACCCTCTAGGCGGAAGACCCAGGGAGACAGGGAGAGGAACGTGACGCCAGCGTGCGAAGTGACAAAAAGCGAGTACCGTGACATGACATCCGACGAGAACGTCGGCCAAGCGTCGTCGTTCATTTCTCCTGCGGACATGGTGTCGATGCACTGGAACGTTAACAGTGAGGGTGGATCGGCAGCCGACAGGAGGCGTCCAAGCTTGGACTTGTTTCGTGGCGGCAACCATTGTGCTTCGACGCCCTCCATGTCCAAGTAGACGCGGACTTGGCCGGTGGTGGACAGGAGGCAGACGACGGATAGAGAGAGTCCCTCCTGATCACCTTCGTCAAAGTCTAGGTCTTCGTCCTCGCCCATCATCAGGTCGTCGGTATCCACCTTCTTCCCGATTACGAGTATGTCCGTCAGCAGGCTGTCCCCGACATCTTCGCTTTCGGGGTCGGCGTCGAACTCGAACGGGCCTTGCAGTCTTGGTATAACTCCCGGCCGGGAGGGTCGCGTGTAGACCTCCACGGTGTCTTCGCCCGGCGCTGTGTCGAGGACTTGGGGCTCCTGGGAATCCAAATCACCCATCCACTCGAGCTGCTGCTGAGCGAGGAGCTTATCCATTTCGGACACGGCAGGGTCATCCTCCAGGGCAGCCACCTTGGAGACGATGGACACGGAAAGCGACGGAATAAGAGTAGGAGGCGGTGCCCATTTTTGGGGCAGCAAGGGGCTCAATGCGTATACGTCGCCTTCCCTCATGGCAACCCAGAGAGTCATGGGGCTCCATCCTCCCGAGCCGCGGCCAGCGAAACAAGCCGAAGCCACCTGCATCTCCAGCGAATACTGCGAGAAGCTGGCATTCGTAGCAGCCGTGGATGCGCTGAAATCCTGGTCCAGCGTTGTACCATCTACAAGTTTCTTCAGGTCAACCGATAGTGTGGGAGAGTCGAATGACCACCGATCGGTGAGTGACAACTCCCAGATGCGTACAATAGCATCAGTCGTTACGGTAACAAGGCAAGAGCCCTTGACGCCGAGGGGATGCCATACAGCTGACGCAACTGAGGATCGCGAGGTGACGTGGGTCGTAGGTCCCAATGTCCAGATCTTGGGTCGCAGAGGTCCAGTGTCCTCGGCTGTGAGATGCGAAGAATCGGGGACTACACAAATATGAACGGTATGCGTCGTAAGAATAGCGAGGTAGTCGGAGTTTGGGGAGATGACGAGCTGCCGGATGTCATCTGCGACAGGCGTTTTGATTGTCTGGGAAAGTTGTTAGCATCCTGGTTCAGTCGTCCAATCTGAGGCCCGAACCTACCCTGAAGCCCTGGGCCGTAGCCGCCTCCTCCGTCGAGGGAACAGCTTCATCGTCGAACGATTGTGACGAGTCCTCCCGTTTGACACGGCTGCCCATGCGACGGTGTGCATGTTTCGTTGACCATTTCTCCTTCAGGTATGCCAAATCGCCCCATCGTAATTCCTTGCCAACAGCGACGAAAACCTCGGTCCCTCGTCTCGCAATCGTCCGTCTCGGGCCATGGATCTTCTTCTTCTTGGATCCATAAGGCGACGGCGCGCTCAACGCCTTGTTGGAGGCGTCGTTTGAGGGCGCAAACAAGCTGTGGCCGGGTCCATGCGAAAGCCAAGGGGCCGTATAACTCTTGACCTTGGGCATCGCGTCCCTCGTAGGCGGACAGGCTGTGCTTTTGAAGATCCTCAGCAGCGTCGCGGGTGATTCGATAGGTGCTGCAGGCTCAATCGAGCTCGAAAGTCGTTTGTGGAGATTTCGGTAGTGTTTGCTGGGTGAGCTTGTTGCTAGAATTATTCCTCGTCGAAAAACACGGCTGTTGGTAGCAGCCAACTCCGGACCCACTTCAAGCTTTCTGGGCGCTACCTGCTTTGTAGGCATGGGCGCTGCGCCAATCAGAATGGCTGGACAACCGACCATGTAAGTCTTCAGTTATTCGTGCTCAGAGCTTGAGCAATATTTTGGGCATTTTGGACGTCTGGGTTGCCAATTCCTTCCTCTCGCCGGAGCGATGCTTAGATTTCTGACATGAAATGTAGCGCTTATGTGAGTGTTTCGATGGACATGATATGGTTGATAGCCCATCGCAGCGCATAACTTGCCACCAGATCTGTCCAAAGGCTAAGACCTCAAACTACAAGTCATACCATCAATCTCAGGCTGAGAACATAACAATGACTTTTAAACTTGGCCCCAAACCACGAAAATCTCAAATTATTGTAACAGGATCGTGTGGCGAGAGTCATTAGCCCGGTCAAACGTAGCGGTATCGCAATAAGTGGTAGAATACTAATGCATTCCGATGCCAAGCCACTGATCCTCAGCTTCTGCCTGACTTACGTTGAATCTATCAACATTAATAAATTACAACAAGACTAAGACATCATGCCACTGACGGAAAAACAGCTCGACAGAAAATCTTAGCTACCTGTAAATTGAATGATCCGGGTTGATGTGAAAGCTATGCACAGACCATCAGGTTACCTGCAAGGTGCACCTGCCTGAGGTACCTAGGTACCTTCGGTCTCGATCTGCAGCCAGGCAAGTGCCGCTCCTCCAGACCCTCGCCCTTCAATTCACTTACACGATCGACGACGAACCAATTGTCCTCCAACACAAACCCCCAATTCCTCCATAATGCAGGTCCAACACAGGAACACAGTAGAGCGCCTCGATAGGCCGAGCGCATACTACCACAACCGGGTATGATCCCTAGCTCTGCTTCCCTCCAGCTTTCCCACCAAAGCTACTTATCCAACCCAATGTTCAAGCAAGAAGAAGCAATCCCAAAAGAAGCTAACCACCGACGCTTTCGTAGAACAAGCGCAGGAGAAATGACCACCGCGACGCGGCCCGTGACGCCCGCGACGCCGAAGACGAGGCCGCCTCCAAGAACGAGCCCCTCCCCGAGGACCCCCTCGCCAACGCGACGACGCTCTACGTCGGCAACCTCTCCTTCTACACCACCGAGGAGCAGGTCTACGAGCTCTTTAGCAAGTGCGGCGAGATCAAGCGCCTGGTCATGGGCCTCGACCGCTTCAACAAAACCCCCTGCGGCTTCTGCTTCGTCGAGTACTACACCCACCAGGACGCCCTCGACTGCATGAAGTACATTGGCGGCACCAAGCTCGACGAGCGCGTCATCCGCACCGACCTCGACCCTGGCTTCGAGGAAGGGCGGCAATACGGCCGCGGCAAGAGCGGTGGGCAGGTGCGCGACGAGTACCGCGAGGACTTTGACGAGGGTCGCGGCGGGCTAGGCAGGGCGATCCAGATGCAGAGGGATCGGGATGATCGAATGGGCGAGTACGAGGAGTCGCGATGAGCGTGGATATGTATGTGCAATGGGCTGGTAAATTTTACCCTCGTCTAAAAGAAGACGGCATCAAAAGTAAATGGGACGGACGTGCAGGGAGAGAAGGAAAGAGATTCAACGTTTGGGTGGTGGGAAACAATGCTTTTGCAACAACTAGGCAGGCTTTTGGGAATCGATACCCTCAATATTACATCATCAAGGACATTAAAAAGGGTAAACTTGGGTGCGTGATTGGAATTTTGTGCTTTTGGTTGATTTCACATTCAACATTCTATGCAGCTGTACGAAGAACTTGTCTCGTTAGCCCCCAACACAGATGCTATAATATACAGAGAAGCTGCTCTCATGTGCTCCTGTTGATTGCAGCGGCTTCAGCAGCAGCCGTCAATTGATAACCCTTCCCTCATCTTTGGGCCGCGTAGAGTACATATTCGTACAAGGGCCGGACTTCCCAACAAGGCCATCCCCTCTGCCCCGAGTATCTTGCTGTAAAGAGGCCCATCTGGTCAGTTAAAACCGTCTCTGACATGGCTCTGGTGGTTTAGTAACCCGGCGGGTTCAATCTCTGCGAAACTCTCGTCCACTTGGGAAGTTCTACAGGGACAAATTGTCAGCCGAAACCTCTTTACTTGGATGCTGCTCGTCTCCCTAAACAGACACATGGAAATTGAAAAAAGAGCGGAAAGACAGTAAATCAACATACTGTGAATGCCCTTGCGGTACTTCTTCTCCTTGCGGTCAAACATGGTATACTTGTCCCGCGGCAGCATCTCGGCCTCGGTGGGCATCTCGGCCTTCCACCGCTCCAGCGCCGCGACCGTCTCGCCCTTCTTCGTCAGCGCGGCGTCCACCGTGGCGATCACGTCGTCAACGGCGCGGAGGCGCTCGCGGTGGCGGCGCTTCTGGAACTTGGAGAGCCGCCAGGGGATCTTCCAGAGGAGACCGCCCGAGAGGGGCGAGGTCATGCGGAAGGCTCCGAACATTGTGTGTGCGTGGATGTGGATGTATTTGTCAAGGTGCGAGTTGAGTGGGAGTCGCCTGCGAAATTGGGCCGCTCCGTCCGTGGTAAGGGTAGCTGATCGTTCGGTTTCGATTCGGTATCTCGAATTCGGATGGATTTTGTTCGACGTTCCTTGATTATCTTCCTTCGACACGGGCCGTGGTCGTCGTGACTCACGGAACTTCGTCGCTTCGTCGCTTCGTCGTCAAGCAGAGGTCGTCGTCGGTTGTTGGCCCAGGAGCTTAGAAATCTCTCCTACCTTTCATTGACAAGCAAAACCGTTCGATGCGGTCGGGTGCTTCCCAGGGAAATTTTGGAGCTACGAAAGCCGGTCAAAGTGGGGACGTATCGGGCAGCTCAATTGGTTGACTCGTTGGATGGACGCCCGGCGCGCGAGTGCGGAATTTCCCATGCCCCGTCAGCTGGAGTGGCAGTGGACAGCAGCAGCCCGGGAGGAGTCTCCACCGCGTCCTGCAGGCCCGCCCGCCCGCCCCGCGGGCCCTGCGCTAAGGTTCCCAGAAAGGGTACCTTACCTTGCTGTCGCTGAGTGCGAGGTGCAGTGGGAACCCGGTGAGAGAGAGGCGCAACATCACCAACGAAAGCTCCAGCGATTCTCAAGATACCCCCCCGTCGTCCTCCCATAGCAACGAAGTCCGTCATCTCGGCGCAACGCTGCCGTGCCTCACGAAAGGCCCGACGCTCTCACCAGAATACCTCTTTACAGAGCCGCCTATCGTTTAGAACCCAACAACCGCACCCAAATCCCCGAAGCCGGATCCCCTCTTTCACAGCCCGCCGACTAATGTCGCGACGGTGAAGGGGGAAGTACCAGAAAGAGACAGGAAGAGACAGAGACAGAAGGAGGAACGCACATACAAACACACACGTGCGCAATGTCGTACTACTTCGCCATCGTCGGCACGCAAGACAATCCCCTCTTCGAGTATGAGTTCGGCACCTCAAAGCAGGGCGGCGACGGCCAGTCGCGCTTCAACGAGCAGGTCCGCCACATGAATCAGTTCATCCTGCACAGCAGCTTAGACATCGTGGAGGAAGTGCAATGGGCGCAGGGGCAAATGTAAACTCCCATAATATTCTTCCTCTCCAGCACCTTAGCACCACCCTATCGGTCCTTTACTCTTTTGACCTTTCAAGGTCAAGCTTGATCTACGTCAAACGGTCCAGCTCAACGCAGGACCTCGTAGGCATGTATGTAGCGTGCTGACACCGCTTTCCCCCTACACACAGGTACCTCAAGATCGTCGACAGGTTCTTCAACAACTATGTCTCCTGCTTCGTCACGGCCGGCAACGTGAAGTTCCTCCTCCTCCACCAACCCTCGGCGCCGTCAAACACGGCATCATCGCGCTCGTCGACGGCTATTGGCGCCAACCCCACGAGTCCCGCGACCGAGGAGGCCATCAAGAACTTCTTCCAAGAGGTTTACGAAAACTGGGTCAAGGCCATCATGAGCCCGTTCTACAGGGTCAACATGGAAGTCAGGAGTCCCGTGTTCAGGTCACGGGTGGCGGCGGCGGGCAGGAAATACCTCTAGATACTGGATGATGGACGGGCCGCTAGACTAATAGTCACACAACATCAAGCTGCAGCCTAGAGCTGCATCACTTCTTCATAGTGGATCATTTCATCGTCACAGTAAACAAAACACGCGTCACTAATCAGTCACGTTCAAATAATTTCATGTGTTCAAGTCACCATATCGGTGTGTTCCATTTCAGACAATGCGTCTTCCTGTCGACGCCATGAGAGCCCTATCATTCCCAGAGTCTCGTGATTCCCAAACGCCATAAATCAACGTGATGTATCCATATCCCCATTACCGTTGAAAAGACCAATGAATTCACAGCGAAAGCTCGCACATCGGCAACCAAGATGCCACGGCGCCATGGCATCCAAGCCGCGAAAAAGGCGAAGCCAACATTGAGAAACGCTTAACCACCGAAACCGTACAGGGTGCGGCCCTGGCGCTTGAGGGCGTAGACGACGTCCAGAGAGGTGACGGTCTTGCGCTTGGCGTGCTCAGTGTATGTGACGGCGTCACGGATGACACCCTCGAGGAAGGACTTAAGGACACCACGGGTCTCCTCGTAAATCACTGTGAGCATCATGTTAGCGAGCTGCGGATGACAGAGGCGTAGGTAGCTGTGCCAACTTACTGGCAGAAATACGCTTGACACCACCACGACGAGCGAGACGACGGATGGCGGGCTTAGTGATACCCTGAATGTTGTCACGCAAAATCTTGCGGTGACGCTTGGCGCCACCCTTTCCGAGGCCCTTGCCGCCCTTGCCACCTGGAGAATGTCAGTACAATAGTAACAACAGTGGAATGAAGACCTTGGGTGTTTGAGATGTGACCATAGTGAGACGCGCCTCCGCGATGGATGAGGTTGAGACGCGGTCTGAAGGCAGAGACGCGTGCCAACTGAGCCTCATCCAGGCCGCGGGGTTTCGCCACATTCAAGACACACCCCGACACCTCAACAAGGAACAGGGTTAGGTAAACGGAGGTTCAACTTACGTCCAGTCATTGTGAATGAGTTTGAAGTGGATGATTCTTGTGTGGGTTGGATAAGCGCGTCTTGATAGACGTGTCGTTGATGACGTTGGAAATTGTAGTGATGGATACGTTGGGTGTGGGAAAAGAGGAGAATCAGGATGGGGGGAAGAAGAGGTAGTTGAGGGGGTAAAGAATAAATAAGGCGGTGCAGCAAGTCCGGGGGGACGGTTACTGATTGTGTGGTGCAGGCGCTGATGGCTCGGATCAGTAGGCTAGTCCCGATTTGGCGAGTGCCTTTATTCCAAAGAAACGGCAATTGTCTTTATTTTCCGCCGGGGACTATGTGGCTGTTAACGAAGCGCTGTTTTGACAGGCGCGCGTTTTTGTTATGGGCTTATTGTTGGGTGGAGAGGTGGAACGTGCACGGCTTCTATTTTTCTAGATGGGAAAGGATTTGGAGCCTTGGAGGAAGGGGGCCAAGCAGAAAGAGCCGTTCTGAGCAGGGATGCGTGTTGGTTGCCAAAAGCAGAGGTCAAACTCAAGGCAAGTGCGGGTGAGTTGTGACTGGTCCGAGCTCTCTGTCCTCCCCTCAGAAGTCATTGTCGCGGTCACGCGTCAGCAAGTCTTTCTGCACTCCTGGTTTGCTGTCTGCTTTCGCCTTTTCCTTAGCCAGTCAGACTTAATTTTGATTGGCTGGGTTTCTCTTTAGCCCCCGCTGCCGGGTTTCTATGCAAGGGCTTAGGGGACCAACAAATCCCCATAAATCACCCTTCTTCTGCCGATTCACATGAGTTGTGGGCCTCCTCGAATTGCAACGACGGGAGAATCAATAAACGGCCCCATCTCCATCTCACGACCTGGGGTACTAGCGGCCGTTCTCAGAAGACTTTGGCGGCTCAAGACCACGAGTCCACAGTACGGATGGCGGTCGTCCCCGGTATCAATCTGACCCGATCTGACGCGACATGGATCATGGTCGACTCGGGTTAGACTTTGATGATCTGCCGTGGGTAGTGAGCCACTTGATAAACCTGGTTTGATTAGGAGCCTTGGATATATCTCGTCTCTTTACCTTTCGATTCGTTCCATCCAACATCAGACGTCATCAAGCATCGGCCAGTCCGATTAGGTGATGCATTACTTTTCATGACCAGCGATCTGTCGTACCAGTCACTACCGTGGCGCCTCACAGGGCGCTAATATACAAGAGGACCACCCGTTCAGCCCTCCCCAAGCCAATGTGCAACACTGCTTTGCTTTCCTAAACGCCGATGCCATGCAGCATGCAACATGAATCCGTATCATCGTGCTGTTATACCATGCCCAAATTCCAAGCTTGGCCAAACTCGCTGTCGTCTCGTCGTGGGTACTCGGACTTGTTACCAATTCTCGCACCGCCCACAGAAAATGCATATACAATTGCGGTTCCTCTCTGCTCCCATCGGCAGGCTCAAACAGCCTCAGTCGTAGACCATCCTTTTTCTCTTGCCATCCTATGTCATCATGGAGTCTTCCATGCCCATGTCATCCTCAATGCTCTCGATGGCGTCCTTGATCGACTGACTAGCCTGCTCAGACTGTTAGCTCAACCTCTACTTCTTTCACTGACCGACGCCATACCTTTGGATCTAGAGCAAGAGCATTACTGAATGAGCGCACCGCCATCTGCTTCTCATTCAGGCTTCTGTACAACTTGCCAAGAAGGAAGTGCACCATGGCCTCATCCGGCGCCACGTCCTTCAGAATGAGCAGTTCCTTCTCTGCGAGGTCGATCTTACCCAGACTCATCAGCGCCCGTGCCTTTTTGTACCGGACAATAGGCGCTCGTGGCGCCAGGTCTGTAGCTTTGGTGTAGAATTGCAGCGCGGCTATCATTTGCTTCTGCCTCTCCAGGATCGCCCCGATACGGCAGATGAGGACGGCATTAGTCGGGTTGATATCGGATGCCGTATGGAAGTGGACGTAGGCCTTTTCGTAGTTGCCTAGTTTCTCGAAAACCTGGCCAATGCCGTAATAGGCATTGTAATGACGCCGGTCGGCTGTGACAGCCTTGCGGAAGGCGCTGAGGGCCTTTTCGTACTCTTCGTTGGCGACGTGTTCGTGGCCTTGGAGCGTGAAAGCATAAGCAAACTTTGGATTCAGCTGTGTCGCTCGCTTAAAGCAGCGCAACGCCATTTCATGCTCTCGTGCCAACGACCAAGCGTTGCCGAGGGCGCACCAGGCTTGTGGCGATGTCCAGTCGGCGTCGACCAACTCATGAGCCAAGAAGGATAAGTCCGTCTCACGCTTGAGATGCCAGAGAATGGTGGAGTAAATTTCCATGTCGTCCATACGGGTAGGCGCCACGACACGGAGCTTTCTGAAATATTTCTCGGCGTCTTTGTACGACCCTTGTTCGTGATGCGCTCGGCCCATTTGCGCCAGTACCCATGGTGTATCTTGCTGGCTCCGCGGCAGAGAAGCGTAAAACTGTAGCGCCTCTTGACATCGGAATGCTTTGAGTGAGTAGTACCCAGAGGCGTATTTCTTGAGCAGCTCCATGACCCATCTCAAAGCCTCCTCAATCCTGACGATGTCAACTTCATGTGAGACGGCTTTCGGTACTGCGTGTTGCACCGTATGAGGCTCTCTCACACGGGTTGCCTCGGCGTGATCGACATCCATGCCGCCATCTTCGATTGGCTTACGATTGCCGCTCACAACCCTACCAACACTGGAGCCACTAGAACCAGGTCGCATTATCCGTGAGATCTGGGGTCTAGCCTTTTTCAGCTCGCGCGTTGCAGCGGCGCCGATGGTAGCAGCGCCAGAATTCGCTTTGGCAATCGAGGGTTTGTTAAACATGTTAAGCCTGGCACTTCTCCGTTGTGCAGGAGCATTCGCTTCTTCAGAGTGTTGCCTAGATACTGGATGACCCGAAACTGTCCTCTTCCGCTCCGTAGGTGCCATGGTCGACCGCAGAGTTCCGGTCCCAGTGTCGGAATGCAACTCGACATTATGCTGTTGATCCTTGTCTTGGCTTCTGGTGCTTCTTTTGGCGCCTAGTTTGTAGCTCATCTTCGGAGGGGCTTCTAGAAAGCCGGGGTCCACGGCCTGAGCTGTTCTAGTCCTCCGTGGCGGCGCCTGTGGTGGCTCCGCAGCGCCGAAAGCTGAACGCATAGTAGGTACCTCTGGCATGGACACTGGGCCGGTAGGTGTCTCCATGAGGTCAAGCTCACCGTTGCTCGTGGATGGTGGGGCTAGTCTTGATCTTGCTGCTGTAATTTTTGACATGAAATCATTTTCTTCTGCTTCTGCGGAAAAGACGTTTGCACTGTAAGGCATATCCTGATATGTAGAGGATCGGTGAAGGTTGAAGGGGTCGGATGAATCCGCCGTTGACCGAATCGGAGGCCGTTTGGGCTCGAAGGAGTTTGTCGAGCTCTCCTTAGGCTCTTGGGACAACCCTACCGGTTCCTGTTCGAAACAATGGACGAGGGGATCAGTGACCTGGAAGATATTTGGTACGCGCAATTTCACGCCCATGTCGCTAAGGGCCTGGAAGGCATCCCACATGAAAGGGTTGACTCTCACTGCAGTCTCGAAGCACTCGACTGCCCTCCGCTTGTCATCGTACGCACGGTACAGCTTGCCCAGCAGACACAGAACCGCAGCTTCATCTGGGTAGAGCGAACGAGTCGAAGTGGTGTGCTTGCCCATGTTCGTCTTGCCGATCCACTTCTCCCGTGCTTTTTCTAGGGCGTTGATGCCGTCCTTGTATCGTTCCATTTTTACGCATGCATGCGCAAAGACCCAGGCAGCGCCCAGGTTCGTTCCGCGGGAAGCTGATGGCCTGCTGACTTCGAATGCAGTCCTGTGGTCACCGAGACGGAGGTGGCATAGGGCCAAGAGATGTGCAGACTCGCTCGACTTGGGATCTTGGGCGCTTAGCCTTTCGGCGAAAAAGAGGGCGTTCTCGTAGGCATTATTGTCGACATGGTAGTAGACAACCTGCCGTAGCAGCCCTGTTATGGCCGCGCTGGTGGGTGCCATTCTCGGTGCGCGGTGAAAAGGTGTAGGCGGTTCGGTGGAGGAGGGTTAACGACCAAGGCAGTTTTTGGCCATGGGATCTCGCGGGTGGTGCACCAACTGCCGAACTCGAAGACTGGCAATCGCAGTTAACAGCAGTTTCCCGAGGCACTGGAAGTGCAGCCTTGGTAGGAAAGCGTTGGCTGAGCTCTGTCGAGCTTGGATATGGGATTGTGTGCCGGCGCAAAAAGTTGCGTCCGTGAATTTCGAGGTGGGCGGTTGCGCAAAGCCTGAGGCCGAGAGTGGCAAGGGTGCTGGAAGCGCGTTTGTACTGACTGATGGATGAGGATTAACAATTAAAGAGCAGCAGAAGGCGAGCGTGCAAGGTCGAATTGATCCGATAAATGCTGCAGAAAGCGACGGTGAGGATCGTAAGGTCGTTGAGGAGGTTCAATGGGCAGTTTGCTGATGGGTGCCTGTCGGAGAGACGAAGGCGTTCGTTGCGTTGTGGGTCCTCCCGTGGATTGTTGTTTGGGTTTGGGGAAACGTAGCGAGTGAACTCACTCAGGAAAGTGCAGCAGTATCGGCTCTTCGCAACAGCACAAGACAAAACTCGCAGCCCATCTGACAGGCTAAACAAAGCATGCCAGAAAATAGAGAAGAAGAAAAAAAGAGGCAACGTGGTCGCAACGAGAATGCAGCGAGACAGATACAGCATAGACTCCCAGGGAACGAGCGCATAGAAACGGAGTCGAATAGAGGGGAGGGGGCTGTCCAGAGGGAAGCAGCAAGACGGGAGGCGGGAGACGGACGAGATTGAGCGAGATGAGAATTCTCCGTAGCTCGTCAGGTCAACAGACGTCAGGCCAGGTCAGCCGTGCACTTTGCGTGGGATGGCAGGAGGGAAGGGGAAAGGCAGAGAGCGTCGTGAAAGCGTCACTTTAGGTCTAGATTTACGGCCATGTTGCGATTGTGCATGCCCAGTTAGTGTCTTCCTTCCAGGTCTGGGTGACGGCGTGTTGACCTGACTGCGGCGTTTCCTTCCTTAGGTCGCGCCTAGTATTGTGGTGCGGCAAGCCTGATTGGCTCATATGATGCCTCAGCGACCGCCCTCGCCTTTGCTCTGGTGCCCAGCAACCCGACAGACAGGATGAAGCGCTCACCTCTGCCTAGGTACCAACCCCCCCCCCCCCCCCCCCCCCCCCCCCCCCCCCCCCCCCCCCACGTTTGCCCCGGGGCCCGCGACCCCGCCCACCAGGGGGAGCCCCCTCCCCGCCCCTGCCCCAGGCCACCCCCCCCCCCCCCCCCCCTTGCCGCCAGCTCCCCTGCCTACCCGTCCACGGTTGCAGTCGCAACGCCTCCCCGTGCCTTCCACTTGTGCCAGAGACACCTACCCGCCACTTTTTGCTTCCATTCCCTGAGCTCCACTTCTCGCCGTCTGCCTGTTCCATTGGGCCCCGAGCACCTGAGCCACACCAGTAAGGTAAGGTAGCCATCCGCCTCAATTGCTTCGCTGGAATTTCGTCACCCTCGGTCCTTGCAGCCTCAACTCCCGCCAGGCCGCAACCTGTCTTTTACCTTCAGGAACGTTGGACTCCACCTTTGAAGACCGACATCATTGAGTTAATTCATTTGACCTCACCCACGTTCTTGGGCCCTTTGACCAGCATACCTTGTATCAACTGTTCCCCACGAATCAACCCTCAGGATCAGTAACAGCATGGCGCAAAAGGCAAAAAAGGACAGGGCCAAATCCAACGCCACCTCGTTAAACAACCTCCACATCGGTTCCGCCGTTGTCAATGTCGCCTTTCTCGTCTTCTACTTCAGCTTCAAGTCCCGCTCCATCTTCTGGTTCATTCTGCTCTCCGCCCCGGCCTTGATCTGCGAGTACGTGCTAGAGAAGTCTGGACGTCCCAAGTATGACGTGGGGGGAGGCCTCAAGACCTCTGGCGAGGACTTGGCCGCCGCCGGCTTGACTGAGTACATGTTCGACGTCGTGTGGGTAACCTGGGCCTCTGTCGTTCTCGTCATCTTGTTCGGCAATTGGGGTTGGTTCCTGTGGCTCGCCGTACCCGCCTACGGCGCCTACGCTGGATACGGCCTGCTCGGAGCCGGCAAGCGCATGGCCCAGATGGGCGCCGCGAACAACGACGAGCCCGCCCCGCCCGCCAACAGAAGGCAGCGTCGAGCCGCCTAGTCGCAATCACAGCATGCTTTGCCTAGGGCTCGGGTGGTCCAAGTCAAATGTCTATTTCTATCGAGACTGCGGCGACTAGGTCTTATCTGTGCCATGGATGCTCCTCAGACCACTTCCTGATGACTTCTGGGTCGACGTCTCGCACCAGTACGTGGATGTGCTCCAAGGCCCGGACGCTCTGAAGGGCGACCCAATTCTTGAACCAGACCACCCGGTCTGCTCCGCCCTCACCGAGACCTTTGACAAAATATCTGTCGATGAAATCCTGGACAATGCGTCTGCTCTCTGCGGTCATGTCCCCCGTCCCAGGATCTGTAGGGACGATAGTTCGCGACCAGACCACGATATGGGTGATGCCAGGGTCAAGTCCGTACGGCCAGTCGTTGACAAGAACCCGGTAGTCGGAGGGATCCTCAAAAGGCACGATGGACTTTGGGGTGAATGGCGGCTCACCCCAGTGCTTGGGCAGGCGATTAGTGAGGAGGAATTTGGTCATGGAACCATACTCGGCCTTGGTCTCGGCCGTCCATTTCATGTATCGACGAAGGTCTGAAGGCTTTCGCTTCAAAACTTCGAGCTTGTTTGTCTCTGGCATCTGATCAGGACATTGGAACAGAACATGTATAAAGACACAAGGCAAACGCGCTTACCAATGATCTTCTTGAGCTCCTTCCAGTCATGCTTCTTAAACTCCTCATCCGTCTGTGAGAGGACCCACTTATCAACGTCTGTGAGCGGGAAAGGGGCCTCCTCAGCTGGAACGTCACCCATATTAAATATCTACCTAGCCTGGGTGAAGTCGTAGGGTCTAGCTTGGGTAGGCGGGAAATGAGTGTTGAGGTAAGTGAGGCATTGATTACCTAGCGACGGGACGGGACCAAGTCTTTTTGGCGGATGGGAGTATCCGTACGGTTAAGCGTGTCACGAAGTCGAATAATTGGCTGCAAGGAGCGGCTGTCTGCTGCGGGCGGTCCCCGAGCAGCGGAAGATCAGCGGTCCGATTTCCCTTTTCGGATACGACCAGCCAAGGTGCCGTGGTATTAAGGTAGGGCAGGGCGGCCACTTCCACGTCACAGTTCATCCCATTTCTCGAGCATCGTTGTGGCGGCTTCCAGCTCATATCAGCTTCGTGGCCCTAATATGTTCGATGAAGAAATAGTTAGGAAGGAAGTCGCAAGTTTTCATTAGATGAGGCATCCACAAGTGCTTGCGACACAAGGGACTCGTGCATCTTGGGTCCCTAAGTTAGTTGAACGGGTCTTGACAGCTTCCGCACGAAGAAATAAGTAACAACGGGCCTTCTTCACGTTGGGTATCCTTGACTTCAAGATTTCATCTCCATCGCATAGAGTAATAGTTGGACGCCAGAAGTTGCTGTCTGATAATTGATAGAAGGTGCGTCCGGCCTTGGTCAGGCAGCTTCGACCCCGGTTCGGCAGTCGAGGCCGCTCAATCGTTTAGCGACCGCAGCTCTCTAAGAACGGAGAACACCATGCAATTTGAACCCAATTCAAACTCCAGCTCCTTACATGTAACCAACAAGACGACGACGACGACGACATTCCGGGTACGGTCGAAATAAAGTGTTACTCGACGCATGCAGACAGATATTCAACTCTAGGAAAATCGCATTGAGCGCCAACCCAACATGAATAATTCGACAGGCACCGCCGCCTTTGCGCATCCTTACTACCCGGTCACCGCCGCCCTACCTCACTACGTCGCCAACAAGACGTCCGTCTTCAGCCTTCTCGTATTCTTCGGGTCTATCATCTGCTCCGTTGTCTTTGCTGCCGTTGTGGGTGCTAGAAGTGCCTATCCCCAGCTGGCAGCCTCTGACCAACTTACCGTTGCTTGGTTTGCTCTTTGTGCGTGGTGCCCAGAACATCGCTCATCCGACTCTGACTAATAAAGTCGTCTACACAGGCGGATTCCTTCACTGTTTCTTCGAGGGTATTTTCCAACATCTCTAGTCCTTCTCATACTATATCTGATGTACGCATAGGATACTTCATCCTCAACCACAGACGCCTTGCTGGTGACCAATCTCTCTTCGGCCAGCTCTGGAAGGAGTATGCACTCTCCGACTCTCGCTACCTGACCTCCGATCCATTCATGCTCTGCGTTGAGTCCTTTACAGTAGTAAGTTGCGCAGCTCCTTGTCATTGCGAACGAGCCCAAGTTTAACAGAGAAGCCAGCTCGTATGGGGTCCCCTATGTTGGGCCATCGTCATCACCACTGCCAAGCGGGATCAGTTGCGCTATCCCCTACAGATCATCATGAGTATCGGGCACCTGTATGGCGTTGTGCTATACTACTCAACCAGCTTGATCGAGTTCTACTCCAACGGAGTGTCACACAGCAGACCCGAGTTCCTGTACTTCTGGGTTTACTACATAGGTCTCAATGCCCCTTGGGTCGTTGTACCTGCGAGTAAGTCAACGTGCTCCCACTCCTCTCATCCGATGTTACGTTCTTAAGGCCGGTCTACTCCAGTTATTCTCTACCAAACCACGATCCATATCAAGAAGAACCTCACAGATCGCGCGGACGTGGTGGCCAAGCTCAACAAGATTGATGGCATTATGGGTGACAAATCTTGGCAGACGTATGTGCCCAAGGACGACAAGAAGAAGACGAAGTGATTGTCTTGACAGCGGTATGGAAAGTGTTACACGCATGCCGGATAGTTTTGTTTCAAGATAGTTTGATGACGTTATGAGAATGATTTGATTGAAACTTTTTTGCGTCAACTTCGATACCCGTCGTATGAAGGACCTAAACGTACCCCTTGATCAAATAATGGATATGGCACACACACAGTCAGGTTTGACGCCAGGATGGAAATTGGAGAAATTGGAGAACCAGATTATTTGGAGAATAAAGCTAACCAATTAAGGTATGGAAGCAGCATAAATTCATCTGCCACCACCCAATCCCAATACTCTCTCACAGTTACTCCCAAGCTGCCCATCGTCACCAACCTCAACAAAATGATATTGTCTTCACAAAAGTTTCAAAAGACATACAACACCAGGTATTCGCTGGTCGTCACCGACCCAACTACTAATCCGGCCCTCATTAGCTTATCTAAGGGAGAGCGGACGGGATCCCGAGTTTTCCAATGGGTATGGTCGTATGTGAAGTTCATGGACAGGTGAAGTCGACTATGATGCAAAACAGTGGCCTTGAAGATGTTCCTCAGCCCTTCAAAATGACCATTGAGAGCTGAGACGTTAAGGAGATGCTGGTTTTACTCGGTCCCTATGTTTGTTTCAAAACTAAGGTGGTCTTGTTTAGGTGTTGTCACGATAGTCGAGAGGAGGTGGTCTGCGGTGACAGCCCCTCACCACGCCCGACGACAACCATATCTTTTGCAGTATATTTTCTCAGTAGTTTGTTGTAGGAGAGCACTGAATGAATCATAAAGGGGAAATGCCAGGTGGTAATGCAACCAGTCCCCATAGAGACTGTCCTCGACCCCTAATGACTTCCCTTCTCTTTGAGGCTTTGGGTCGGTAAATTTATCCATTGCGGATGGAACCACATTCTGGTGGTTCCTCCAAAGGGTTTCTCACTTACAGGCTCTTGGTGATACGAAACAAATCTCGGCGGCTATTCGAGGTTCTGAACAACGTATGTGTCCTATGGATTGTCGCCTTTGAGCCCGGTGCTTCATTTGGCGATTCTTGGCGAGGACGGGTAAAATCAGCCTTCTTCACATGATGCAGTGGTAATCTTTGTCCGTCGCGTTCAGCATCGTCTCCTCTTACCACAAACTTGGCAAGGAAACACTGAATAGTACCTCTTTCCGTGAGTATGATTACCGTTGCTCGAGCTATGCCCTGGATGGTCACACGGCTTAGGTGCCACCTTCAGAGATATCGACGATAGGTGAGGACTGAAATAAAAACTCTCTGACAGTTTGGGAAGTTTTACCGTCGAGGCATCCGTGACACAAACCACATTTCGCGCCAACATGACGGACCCGAGGTTTACGTGACCGGCGTTTGTGCAGCAAAGTATTTGGGACAAGACGCCAACTCGTTTTTTTGTTTTTTTTTTGGTCCACGTCCTGTTACGCATAGAAGAGCATCTTAAGTCTAATTAGTGTGGCCCTTGTCAAACTGATACTCCGGTCCGTTTTTCAACAATTGTCCCAAGATCAGCCTAAAGTATGACAACGGACTGATGATAATCGGCCTAACTTTCAAGTACCGGCTAAGATAAGACACTCAACCACGCATCGTTGGAATTGAAACTCCATTCAAACCTTACTCTTGGCTATCGAGGACTCGTTGCAGAGTTGTGCTGTTTTTGGAGAAGTCATAGTCCGGAGCCTGGCGACGTTGTGGCTACGGTACGTACACTCAATAAAACAACAATTGCCCGAAAAGCAAATGTTTTTGGACTGACGCTTCCCATTCCCCCTTCCCGTCATACGGTCATACGGACGCCGGGCAAGATGGGTTGTAACTGGCTAACACACAACTCTTCTTGTCGTCACGTATAATGCAAAGACCAAAGAACGTCTCCAGTCCCAGCAAGAAACGAAAGAGTGCAAGGCATTGCTCGCGGCTTTGCAGTCGTTGACCGTCCTGACGGAGACGCACCTACCGCAAGTCCTTAATGGCCCTGATCAACTAGCGAAACCATGTTTAAAGAGCCATCCGACTATTTGGTTCGAAAAGATTCAAATGATGGCCAACACTAACGCGCAGTCTGCATTACACATGTGTTGAAAAAGTCAGAAGAGTTTCCAACGATAAATATTATGGGTATCAATTGTATTTTCATTTATTCAGCTCGTGGTCCAGTCCTCACGAAGCCGGCTTCGGCTGGGGCTTGGCATAAGTCGCAGGATGCCCGTGCTTCTTGCCGTAATTCCTAATCCGCCTCAACAGGTCAGGCAGCATGAAGATCCAAACCAGGGACGAGAGGCAAATTCCCAACGTGTCGAGAACCCAGTTGTTGCGCATGGAACCGCCGAGGCCGCTCCACCTCATCAAGCTGCCCAGCCACGCCACCGTCACAAAGTAATCGCCTCGCTCGAGTCCCTTGATAGCTGCCCTGGCAACCTCGTCGGGGGACTGGACGGGGTCGAGCTCCTCCAGCTGGTGCGTGATCTGGGGCTTGGTCAAGTTCTCCTTCTCGAGGCCGGGGCTCGTGATGGTCCCCGGGAACACGACGTGGACCTTGACGTTTTGCGGGTAGAGCAGAACCTCCTGCGAGAGCGTGTCGGCCAGGCCACGGATGGCCCACTTGGACCCGGCGTAAGGCGCGTACCCGGCGACGGTGAAGAAGGCGACAACGCTGGTCGTCATGACCAGGTGCCGCGGCTCGTCCTCGACGGGGGCCGTGGGCGCGAGCCACACGCGCAGGATCGCGTGCGCCATCTCGGCGGTGCCATAAAAGTTGACGTCCATGTTCCTGCGGGTCTCGGAGAAGGGCACATCGGTGAAAAAGCCCGTGGAGGCCATGCCGGCGATGCACCAGACGACATCGGGGCTGCGGCCGCCGTTCCACTCGGTGGCCTCGGCGAGGAGGGGCGCGGCGTAGTCTTCCTTTGTAATGTCGGCGGTGATGTAGGTGAAGCGCTGCGCGTTCGGGTTCTTGGCGGCGGCCTTGCACTCGGCGACGAGCTCCTGGAGGCGGGCGGCGTTGCGGGCGATGAGGATGAGGTTTGCGCCCTTTGCGGCGAGTTGGAGGGCGACGCTGCGGCCCATGCCCTCGGAGGCGCCTGTCAAGAGGACGGTCTGGAGAGGTTTGCGGGTTAGTATCCGTGAGTGAGTGAGTGAGACGGGGTGTTGAAGGGATCGAGCTTACCTTGCCATCGACGGGCATGTGATTCTTCCAGTTGAACAGACCCATTGCGGATGCGAGAAGGGCAGCTGCGAGGGCGGGCAGGGCAATCCAGAGAGCTTGTGATGCGTAATCCATACCTCTCGGATCAGGAGGTGTAACGGGAAAAAGCAATTGGAAAGGGGGAGAGGGAGCCCTCGTGGCTTTACGTTCCGGCTTGGTCGGCGATGATTTGCTCGAAGCACGCGAGGCGCTCATACGGCACGCTACAAAGGTGATTCGGTCCAGTTGGGGCGCATACTTGTACGGTTTGGCTGGCGCCCTCGGGATCCAGGTCCCTGTTTCTGGTGGGGTATCTTGGGTCTTTTAGTGGCTATTGACGACCGTCCAGCTGGAATGGATGGCATGACTATTTGGTAAGCCTTGGTGAGCTCTCAGGATGCCAAAATTCTTTGCACTCTTCTGCAGCAGTGCTGACAGCGTCGAAATCTCGCAGGTCTTTGTGTTGCCACAACTTGTCTAATGCTTCTTTTCAATGAGTTGACCGGCTCTTCATCAATTGAACAGCTTGACCCAAGTAGAGCCGCTGAGAAAGTACCGAGTGTGACTTCATAGCTCAGCCAACCAGCTTGAGTCCAATTCACTTGCTTGATTTAAATCCATTATATACCTTAAAATTTTGAGCTGAGAGACTTGTTCTAATATCTCAACGCATGGTAGTAGCAACTAATTTGCCTTAGACGTCGTTGTTTGAGTGACATGTTGGTTGGCATCCATCGACAGTCTAACCGCCCCGTGGACTGCTCCGTGTGGACCCCACCGTTAGCTCGAGGCTCGCGACCAATGAGAACCACACCCGCCATGACATCTCCACTAAAAAGTTCTGCGTTCGACGGATGCAAGAACATTTTTCGTAGCCGTCAAAGTGCAGCGAGATTCCGCCCCATCCACCGCCCAATTCTCACCACCGATATCGATTTTCGTCCCAACCCTTTTCCGACACTTCGAGAGTCGACCAGTTCGGTCAAATTAGTCGGTCGCAATGGCAAAAAAGAGAAAGGCATCCGGCCAAAATGCGCGCACCGGTCCCAAGGACTTCGACCCCGCCGATGCCCGCCTCGGTCCCATCACCACCTACGAAGATGTCGCCGATTCTGAAGACGAGTACTTCCTGAACCGCGACAAGATCATGTTCGATGAGGGCCCCAAGTCCAAGAGGAGAAAGAAGGCCGAGGAGGAGGACAGGTTTCTGGAGCACTCGGACGAGGAGATTCTGGACCTCGACGACGGTGACGATTCCGACGAGGAGGAGACCAAGAAGCCCGCCCGCAAATCCAAGAAGGGCAAGGCTGCTGCGGCCGAAGCGGAGGAAGAGGGAGAGGGCGAAGTAGCGGAGGACGAGAACGATCCGAATTGGTGGGGTTCCTCAAAGAGGGAGTACTACGATGCCGACCAAATCGAGACCGAGGCCGATGCGCTCGAGGAGGAGGCCGAGGCCAAGCGCCTGCAGCAGAAGAAGCTGGCCAAAATGTCCGAGGAGGATTTCCTGTTCGACGAGGGCGAATGGCTGGCAGCCGCCAAGGACGACGACGAGGACCAAGACGTTGTCACAGAGGTTCTCAAGGACGTCGAGATCACAGACGACATGGGACCCGAACAACGCACAAAGCTCCTTCAAAGCAGATACCCCGAGTTCGAGCACCTTGTGAACGAGTTCCAGACTCTGCAACCGCAATTGGCTGTCCTGCAGAAAGACGCCCACGGCAAGTCGAGTCAATCGCTCGAGGCCGTCAAGTACTGGATCCTCGGCTGCTACGTCGCCGCTCTCGCGAGCTATTTCGCCATCCTCACATCTCCGGCACGCGACGGGTCAACAGCCCAAAGGACCCTCGATCCCGCGGAACTCCGCGACCACGATGTCATGGAGACGCTGCTAGAATGCCGCGACGCGTGGCAGCAGGTCAAGAACGCCGCGCCGGTGCGACCCGACGACTCGTTGGAGGTCTCCTCCGCCGAGGAGGATCTTAGTGCCGTCGCCGCCGATGCAGACGACGCCGCTTTCGCCGCAGCAAGAGACGAGATCAGGAGACAGAGGAGACTGGAGAAGGCGGCCAAGTCCAAGAACAAGCAGGCGCAGAAGAAGGCCGCAGCCATCGAAGAGTCGCTTGCCGACCTCGACGATCTCCTCAAGCAGCCCAAGAAGAGCAGCAAGAAGGCCAAGAAGGCCGCCGCCGCCAAGGCCGCGGTCGACGAGGGCGGCGACAACTCCGACTTTGGCGAGGAGGAGGCTCTCGACGCCCGGACGGCCGCGGACAAGGCGGCTCGCAAGAAGAGTCTGCGCTTCTACACCTCGCAAATCGTCCAAAAGGCCAACAAGCGCGCCGACGCGGGCGCCGCGGCCGGTGGCGACGTGGATATTCCCTACCGCGAGCGTCTCAGGGACCGGCAGGCCCGTCTCAACCGCGAAGCCGAGTCCCGCGGTCAAAAGTTTGGTGCCGATCTCGGCGACAACGGCGACAGCGACGGCGACGATGCCCAGACGGCGGCGGCGCTGCGCGAGGAAGGGGACGACGAGTACTACGACATGGTGTCCGCGTCGTCCAAGAAGAAGAAGGCGGACAAGGCGGCGTATAGCGCGGCGCTCGCGGCGGCCAGCAAAGCGGACCGCATCGTGGAACAGGAGGTGGTCGGGGAGGACGGCAAGCGCAAGATCACGTACGCGATTGAGAAGAACAAGGGCCTGACGCCGAAGCGCAAGAAGGAGGTGCGCAACCCGCGTGTTAAGAAGAGGATGAAGTACGAGGAGAAGCAGAAGAAGTTGAGGAGCATGAAGGCCGTCTGGAAGGGAGGCGAACCCAAGGGCGGCTATGGCGGTGAGATGTCGGGTATCACGACGGGCATTGTCAGGGCGAGGAAATTGTAAGGCTAAGAAGCTGCTGCTGTCGGGCTCCTCGAGTAATGCAATCGGATTTCAAAAGTTTCAAAATGAAGCGTTTATTCTTGAGGCTGTGTTCTCAATTACCTAGACTACCTACATCGATAAGTGATTGTGAGCGATACAACGTGAGGGAGTGAGACCGGCATTGTAAGTGAGATTGCTGTTAGCCGGGGATAAATTGCAGGGTCCCGAAGCTCAAGAAAGCCGGCCCCCACCAATTTCCATTCCATGTGGCCAGAACAGCTCCAGCAGCAAGCTCCAACAAACACCTACACACCTGCAATTGCCAACCACGAGGCAGGCGCAAGACCAGCGCAAAGGCCTCACGAACATCAAAGACTCGGCAGAAGGAATCCGCAAATGAAACAAACCTCAATGAGCCCGACAACCCACCGATAATACTCTACTCGAACCCACGCCGAAGCCGCAAACGACCAAAAGACATGGCGACCCCCGACCTCTCGACGCTCACCTCCTCCGCCAAAGTCTTTTCCTCAAACTACACCCTGCCGCAGATCCGCGGCATCCACAGATCCCTCCATGTCGAAATCGACGAAAAGGCGAGCCGCCTGCGCACGCAGGTCGGCAGCTCGTACCGCGACCTCCTCGGCACCGCCGACACCATCGTCCAGATGCGCAGGGATAACGACGCCGTCCAGAACGTGCTCGGCGGCATGGGCGGCCGCTGCGGCCGCGGCGTCGTTGGGTCCAAAGTGAGTGGGCTGAGCGGGTTTGAGCGGAGTGCGACGGAGCTGAGCGGCGGCGGGGCCGTCGGCGTGGCGGCGAGGGCTCGGCTGCTCGAGGCGTGCGGGCTCGTCGTCGGACGCGTGCTCCGGGGCTCCGGCGTCGGGAGCCAGGACCTGAGCAGAGGTGATAGGGTCGTGCTCGCTAGCAAGGTGCTGGTCTTGAGTCGGCTTCTGGTGAAGAGCTTGGAGGCGGAGAAGAGGCTGGACGGCGACGTGGCGCACACGGTCGAGGCCGCGAAGAAGAGTCTGGGCGGGCTGAAGCGGAGGCTGTTGCGAAATATCAAGAACCTGCTGGAGCGGACGGGGGAGTCTGTGAAGCAGCAGGACATACTCAAGGCGTTGTGCGCTTACAGCCTGGCGACCAGCTCCGGTGCGCGCGACGTCGTCGATCACTTCCTGCGTGTCAGGGGCGCCGCCATGGCCCTGGCATTCGACATCGAAGACAAGGGGCGGCAGAGGAGCACCGCGGATGTGCTCAAGAGCCTGACGCTGTACACGAAGACGCTGCTGGACGTGCAGGCCCTGGTGCCTTTCAAGCTGTCCGACGCGCTGGCGAATCTCAAAAAGAGCCCTTTACTGGCGGACGCGACGCTAAAGACGCTCGAGTGCCTGCGCCTCGACGTCTACGAGCGGTGGTGCGGGGAGGAGATACAGTTCTTCACGCCCTTTGTCCGGCACGACGACCTCGACGGCCCGCAGGCGAGAGACATGCTCTTCAGCTGGGCGAAGAAGGGCGGCGATGCCCTTGTCGACGGCCTCAAGACGACGATGGAGCGGATGACGGAATTTAAAGCCATCACGGAGCTGCGGACGAGTGTGCTGCAGCTGTGGATCCGCGAGGGCAGCAAGGCGCGGGGGTTCGACCCGTCAGAGATGCTCGACGAGCTGCGCGGCGCCGTCAACGGGCACATGCTCCACGTCGTCGAGACCAAGGTCAACAAGCTGCACCTCATCGGGTCCGAGGTCTCGGCGACGCTGGACTTGTGGCAGGACGGCGTGACGGACGAGGCCGTCGACCTATGGGACGTGCGGGGCTTCGACGTCGACCTGATCCACGGCGCGGATTACTTCCTCCAGGAGCTCGTCGCGCGGCTGCACGGCCGCAACGACGCCGTGTCCAAGGCCGTGAACGGATTCCAGTCGTGGCGGCACATCATCGACGAGGTGGGCGAGGTGGTGGAGCAGCTCAAGAGGCAGCGGTGGGACAACGATATTGATGAGATTGAGGACGAGGAGACGATCGAGACGCGGCAGCAGTTGCTGAGCAAAGAAGACCCCAGGATGCTGCACGAGAAACTCGATGCAACGCTGGTTAAGGCGTTCAAGGACTTGGACGGGAAGCTCTCGGGTCTCTGGCGGACCAGGGCGGATGAGCAGAACGGCGGCAAGGTGGCCATGTACCTCCTCCGCATCCTGCGCGACGTGCGGGAGGGTCTACCCAAGCTCGACGCCGTCCAGACGTTTGGGTTAGAAGTGGTCCCGTCGCTCCACGAACGGCTCTCCATCACCGTGGCCGCGCGGCCGTTGGAGACTTTCAGGAACAAGGGACTCACGCAGAAGACCGTTGTCGGGCGACCGCTGTGGGAGGGTAGCCCCGAGCTGCCCACGCAGCCGTCGCCTAGGGTATTCCAGTTTCTGCGGGACGTCTCGACGGAGATGGGCGATGCGGGGATGGATCTCTGGAGCGCGGTGGCTGTGGGCGTCATCAAGCGGCATCTCAGGGCGCAATTGGGGGAGTTGTGGCTCGAGGCCTTGGAGGCGCGTCTTGCAGAGGACGTTACCGGGGGTGTCACTGACGCGAAGTCGGATAATGTTACTAAGAGTCCTGGAGATGAGGGCGCTGATGGAAACGAGGCCGAGGCATCCGACGCAGGGAAGCAGGAAGACGCTCCCGGCGAGGAGAAGCAAGAAGATGCACCCACGGAAGATAAAGGAGAGAACGAGGAGGAAACGTCAAAACAGGAAACAGAGACAGCCGAGCTAGCGGATAAGGCAAAGGTCGACGACGGCCTCGCCCAGCAGCGCCGCGACCTCCTCATCCAGTGGCTCTACGACGTCTCTTTTCTCCGCTGCTACCTCGATGCCCCAACAGAGAATGGCCGGGGCAGCGACCTCGCGAGCCTGGAGGACAGAATCTTTAAACACACGGGCTTGGACGGCGACGCGGCGCGCCAGCGGATTGGCAAGTCGTCACAGGAATACCACAAGAAGACGAACCTGCTCTTCGGACTTTTGTGATAGAATTGTATATAGATACCCAAATAGAGTACAGATGTATTCAATCACATGCCAAGATGTGAGAGAATGACGGCCGTGATCTATAGCATGAGTCTTTGTACTGTGTCCACCTCTCTTGAGACGTAATGTTCTGTAAGCATCCGTCGTATAATCCCCAAGTCCTATCCAAACACGTTACAACTTGTGCCTCTTCTCACCACTGGCAATCTTGCGAAACTCCTCCTGCGGGATCCCCTTCATGAATCGCTCCAAGCCCGCAAACACCTCAATCGAATTCTGCTTATCCATGGCATCCATCTCGGGCCTCCGGATGAGCGCCTTGATCCCCGTCAAGCTATCCCCAATCAAATGCTCCCCCAGCCGCTCATCAACCTCGTTCAGCACCAACTCCCTAAACTTGGCATCCTCGCCCTTGCCCGTCTCGAAAACCTTATTCACGAACCCGGTGTGCAGCAGCTCCTCGGCGGGGATCCGCCTGCTCATGATGAGCGCCTCGTTGGCCTTGGCGAGGCCCAGCCGCTGCACGAGGGCGCGGGAGGCGCCGCCCTCGGCGACGAGACCTAGGGACGAAAAGGGCGTGAGGAGAAACGTGGAGGGGGTGGCGTAGATGAAGTCGGCAAAGGACACCAAGGCGGCCGAGAGGCCTATGACGGGCCCGTTGAGGCCGACGACGAGGATTTTGGGGTGCGTGTAAAAGGCTTGGGTGATGTTTAGGTTGAAGGCGACGAACGACTGGAGCCAGTGCTTGTGGGCTTCTGGGCCGGAGGGGGAGGCGCGGGCGATGCTTACGTCGGCGCCGCTGTTGTGGATTTTTGTTAGTTTTCCGGGTTTCTTTTTTGATTGTTTCTAATGGTGATGTGTTTGAGGATTTTTTTTTTCTTCAGGTTCATCGTTTCATGGGGATTGGTGCCAGACTGGGTATATACGTTGGGGGTGGGGGGCGATGTAGCTGAAGTTCTCATGAGAGTTTGTTGGAGGGGCGGGATGAGATTGAGCCGAGGTACCAACCATCGCGATAGGTTTACAAAATATGCAGTTTACTGCAATGAGAGAAAGAGAAAAACCAGGGAAAACCACATAAAAATACTCACGCTGAAAAGTAGCGTCCCTTGGCCGTGAGGACGGTGATAAAGACCTCGTCATGCAGGGCGATCTCGCGCAGCTTCTGGGCGAGGTCGTAGTACTGCGGCTGCGCGAGGGCGTTGAGCTTACGGTCGTTGTCGATTGTGAGCAGCGCGACGCGGCCGCGGTACTCGAGGGAGATGACAGAGTCCTCGGGGCTTGCCATTGTGTGTGTATATGTGTGTCGTGTCTGGTTTTTACGTTGTTCTTGTTTATAAACGTGTTCTTCTTTTCGTTTCCCTGATCAAGTCGTCTACAATTGGTCTGTTCTGTGGATGTAATTACGAGTAGAGGGAGTAGAGGGATCTTGTCGAACAAAAGTTACTTGAAAACCATATACTGAATCTCATGTTTGACTCAACCTGGGGGTGGCAGGTTGTCGGGTTTATCAAACGTCGAGTGGCCAGGGTGGGAAGGTCTGCTACCCCGGACCCCACACTGCACCGAGATGCCTCGGCAGGTCGGGGTGGCATTGCGGGGTGCTAGCGCTCAAGTTGCAATGCACGTCAAGAATCTGAAAAGGATCGTACCGAGAGACGCGACGAACGATGTTCGCTCCTTTATCGTCATATTTATTGTATGTAGTCAAAGAATTTTAAACGCCGTTCCCTAGGCGGTGAAGCGTGTGTAATTGTACGCTCGTCTACTTCAAAAGTATCGCGTAGGTTTGTATATCATCATCAGTGTCAGCTGCAGACACGCATCGTCTCTCGAATGCTCCAATAATGGCACCCGCGACCCCCAAGACTTGAATCAGGGTGCGGCATACGCCCCTTTTCACCTCCCACATAGCAAAGATACATAGACCGGCGAGTCGTTGCATGTCCTTCTGCAACAGCCTGCCTCTCAGACCGATTTGATTCTGATCGTCTCACGGAGTCCCCTCTCCGGCGTCCTCGGCTCGTAGTCGCCCGCTTCACCTTCCTAACGGCGCTTCGGCGCGACTGATCTGAGCTTGGGGAAGTTCAACGGCAAGGCAAGCTTAGCCACATGCGGGGCCTTGACGCCCTTCTCCTTGGAGGCACCCTGCTTCACCTTGGCGCCGATCTCGTAGAAGTAGTTGTTCATGTCCTTCTGGTCGAGGCGCAGGTCCTCGCGCAGCTTGGACGTCTCGACTTCAAAGTTGTCAATGATGCACGCGACCGCGCAGCAGTGCGTGATGAGCAGGTCGATATGGAACTTGCGCATCTCGCCGCCGTCCGAGAACTTGCGGCGGATGTGCTCGATGACGACCTGCGGCGCGGGCTCCATCCGTTCCTTGAGCTTATCCCTGGGCGGTATGCGCTTCGTGCCGCGCTGCTTCCCTGGTGCCGCCATGGTGTAGAATGTGAAGAGGAAGTAGAAGTAGCGCAGAAGACGCATCTTTGTGACGTTGCCCGAGTCGGCAATCTTTTTGACGCGGACTGCCACGTGCCTGGAATAGCAGAGTATCTCCTCGCCCTTCTTGGCCGGGTCGATCCAGTCTTTGACGGGGATCGCGGCCAGGATCTCGCGGCCGATGAATTCGTTGGGGTCGTAGACATCCTGGATCGCATCGGCTTCGAGGTTCGGCCTGGGCACGGGCTTGGCTTCGTCGACGACGGCTTGCAGCTGTTCGCGTGAAGCCATTGTCGCGGTGACGCCGCCAATCTCTTGCAAAATCGCCTTCGATGCGGTGTCGAGCTTCTTGGGTTCGCTGTCTCTTGTTTTGCTTGGGTCGATGGCGTTGAGAGCGACGGATTCGATGGCCTTCTTCGCCTTCTTCGTACCAAACGTCTGGCCAAGGTCTTTCTTGAGATCGTAGTAGCTCTGCTCGGAGTTAGTAAGTGTCTCGAAGATCTTTTGGCGCAAAGGGGCGTACCTGGTAGTCTGCCGGCGCTGTCATGGCCTGTTCTGACGCATGCTTTGCTCTGGCAACACCACGCACTACCATTTTCTTCGCCTCTACTACTTGAATCTTGCCGGTCTCGGGGTCGTATATGCCGACATAGTGCTTCAAGGCCTGCTGGCCGTCGCTAATTCCGTCTTCTCTCGCCGTATAATCCATCGTCTGGTGGCTGGCAGAGTGAAGAACAAGATCCTGCGACACTGCGGGGGCTTTTTGCCGTCGCTTAGCGGACAAGACACCTTGCTTGACATATGGGTTGAATTGCACGTTCTTTGCTATCCGAATACCGGGAGAAGAAGCTATAACGCGTCAGCGATTGTCTGCGACTGCAATTGAGAGGCTGAAAGTGCAAATAGTCGTACCTAGCACTGGCGGGCAGAGTTGAGGTCTCAGGACTGAAGACACAACAACTGTGGAAGGGTCGGTGGCCTGCTTCTTCTTGGACTTGGCTGAACCGTCGAGGTCGCGCTTCCTCTTCCGTACACTTGCGTCCGCCATATTTGCGGTCTTGAGTCGGCGATCTAAGGAGGTGTGCTAGGCTCGGGTGGTGATCTGCCGCTGGTGGGTTGGCGAAAGCCTCTGGAAATATTTTTTGTAGGGGTCCTAGGCCAGAGACAGCCGGAGGGGGAAAAAAAAAAAAGTTGGCAAATCGGCGTTGACCTATCCTTAAACGGTAGGCGGTGTGTGGCATAACGGATTCTACACACGATAGTGTGGGTGCCGACCTGAAGGGCCCCACTCGAGCTGCGTTGACAAAACGTCACAGCTCGGCTGTCGCACCCAAATGGATGAAATCGAAGAAATTAGGCACGTTGGCCATGGCTACAATTGAAGCATTGCGATACATGGACCGAGTAGACAGCACAAATTAATTCACGGTCACTCGTTAGGTTCTTTCCGATCTTGAAATTCTTTGGTTCACTTTTTGATTTTGAGGAAGCAAGTTTCTGCCTTTCAATTGTCATGCAAGTCCTGATCCCAGTTCCAAATCCGCGTTGCGTTTAGACATCATGCTTCCTGCGGCCTTGTTCCGTAAACACCGCATCCTCATCATATCGTCATCTCGACCGATCGTGTTGTCGGGTCCATCTTCGTCGAATCCTCATCTACGTCCCCAGACATGCGCGCTGAATCATCTAGTCATGACCCCAAGTCCCATTGTTCCAATCCGTAGTGTGAATGTAGAAGTCTCGTGCGTGCCGAGACAGACTGAGTCGCTGGTGACAGATGCTAGCTGTAGCAAATCCATTTTGCGAGTCGCGTGAGTTTGTTTGTCGTCATCTCAAAAGACGGTCAGGTCGAGGGGAGGGTTGCGAGTTGTTTATTTGCTATCAAGCTGTCAGACCACAATCAATGGGGAGAACCATTGGCTGAATAAACTTACGAGCGAGCCCTCATCTTTCTTCTCTTACGCTTGAGACGACGCACGCGCTTCTTTCTCCACTTGGCTCTCATCGTGAATGACGAAGCTGCGACGAGTTAGCGATTGGATCGCACGCAAATGCGACACTGCCAATTGCTTGTCGGGAGCTATCCAATCCCATGCGGGATTGATGCTGACGACACCGCAATGTGCGTGGCGGGTAGGGGAGAGGCGCTACACTTACTCTTCCTTGGTGATGAGAGATGTTGGTGATGAAGGTTCCTTCTCCGACAGTCACGCGCATGGAGGGGGAAGTTTTAGTGGTTGAGCTCTGTAGGGCAGCCAACCCTACTATGGTATTACATAATCCACACAGACTCCACACTCCCGTTTACAGCTCCTCGTCCCTCACCAAAGAACGTCCGTCAAAGGCACCTGCAGATGTGTACCTCACTGCTCCACTGCGGGCAGCCGGCGCCCTCTGCTCAGAAGCTCAACTTCAACTCAGGCACCGCGCCGCTGCACCACCGGCATTTACGTACCGGCCAATTCGGAGCTGACGAACTCCACCTGACTCCGAAGTGGGGCTATTTCGGATGGCAGCAGCACTGGATCGATGCAGCATCCGCCCATGAAATGATCCGCGCGTGATGAGGTTCTATATATATCAAAAAGTACCTTCCTTTCCATGGCCGACCAATTTCTGAATTCTACTAGGTGGCTCAGCCTAGCACATGATCTCAAGACTCCGAGTCCCCGACTATCATGCAGCGTTTTGACAACCCCATTATCGGCGTCACCATCCCAAAAATTTGGCCGATCATCTCAGTTTTGCCTATCCTTATTTAACGTCTCGAGGTCTTCGCTCATCCGCTCTCATTTAGGCTTCAGATTGATTCTACACAGCAAAAGAATTGAGCTTACTTCACTTTAGACGTCAACTGGTTTTTTGTCAATCATCCTCCGCCAAATGAATGTGATACTGACACGGCTGTCGATGAAGTAACCAGTTCTAATTTGTCCCGTACGAGAACGCCTTCGTGAAATCTGACGTCAAAGTCGGAAAACTACGAGAACCTGTTTCGCCAGGAATTGCCCCATTGCTCAGAGTCGTGCGGTGCTGAACAGCTCTAGCGACCCAATCTCTCAGCCGATGAGCAGAGGTATCCATTGCCTCGGATAGGAAATAAGTCATCGCACTGCGAAGCACGTTCAAGCACGGTCTCTCCGATTTCTGCGTTAAGCATAATCTGTCCTTCCAAATCTTCAAATGCCAAGAATGCTCGGAGGCTTAAGCAGAGCTTCGCTTCATGCATGCAGAACGTGAATCTTTGACACCTAGGCGCGCAGGATCTCTATCACACCTCGCCCAACGTGAGCGTAGCTTCCCGCAAGCCCCCAGGAGGAAATGCCAAGGGGCGCAACTCCGGATATGTCTTGTCTTGTTCCCCCAACAGAGGCTCGAGCAGTCCCATCACCTGCTCCGCCAGCCGTGCATCCCGCGCCGTCAGCTTCTCCAGGTCCCTCACCACCACGGCCCTCTCGTCATTCGTCAGCGGCCGCCTCCGCTCCCTCTCCACCGCCTCGGCAACCTTGCCCTGCAACCTGCTCGCCGTCGTCCCAGTCTTTTCGTCGGCGAACGCAACCAGGTTTCCCCTCCGCACGACCAGGATCCGGTCAACGTAATCCACCCCGTCGATCCATTCGGCCACGCTCATCAACCCGCTGTACGAATCATCGTGGATCTTCACCGGCGTGAGCCGGATAGGCAGGCCCACACTCCCGGCCTCCGGCAACCTCTCGTAAAAGCGGTGCAGTATGCCCAACCTGCTCAGCGCCGCGGGCACAGCCATGACGACGACCTCGACGCGGTACCCCGCCTCCCCAAACATGCGCGCCAATTCGCGAAAGTCGTCCGGGTGGCGGCACGCGCTCTCGAGGAGCACGTCGAGCTTGCGGGCGATAGCCTCTGCGACGGCCATGGCCAACCACTTGCGCGCGTCGGTCCCCGTGGCGGGCGAGGCGTGCGCCGGGTTGTCGGACTCGACGAGGGTGCGGTAGGACGGGTGGTGAGCTTTGTAGACGTCGGCGATCAGGTGTGCGGGCGGGTGGATGCGGGTCATCTCGTCGAGGATGACGGGCGCTAAGCGGGTTTTGCCGGCGCCGGTCTGGCCGACTATGAGCACGGCGAGGGGCCGGGATCGGCGGGGGTGCGGGGTGAGAGCCGGCGGGAGGTCGGCGGGGAGGATCTTGGTGGTGAAGATCTCCCGGGCCTCTTCGTCTGGGAGGACATAGCGGGATAGATCTGAAGGCGGCGGCGGCGGCGGCATGTTTGTGGAGTTTGCTGGACGTAATCGCAATTATCCGCGTGAGTTTTGATATCGAGTCTATCTAGTGAGTTTTGAAACCTCCCGAGTTAGGTTTATGGTGAAAGGGAGGTGAGGGGAAAAAAAAAAAAGGTGACTCGATCGTTTAACATGCAGAGGCGGAGTCAACGCGGAAATCTGTAAACCCGGCATACCCGAGGAGATTAGAAGCAAACAGGCAAAAGTCCGCTCGCCTTGCCCTGCTTTCCAACCAAAGTCTAAATCCGCTATCCTTGGCGCAGCGAGTCGCGAGCGAGTCAAGGGCCTGGAAGTGATAGGTGGCGTGGGTGGTTGAGATGAACCTATCGCCCCCTCCCTCGCCTGACCAGCGAGCGTCTTCCTCCAGGAGTCCAGGCTCCCCCACGGTAACTCGGTAACTCCACTATTGACTTCAGTAGCCCAATCACGATTGACAATGTCGAAGTGACGGCGGCTACACCCTGAACTCGTGGAGTGTGAACTTTGCCTTCATCCAGGGGTTGCTACTCGACCGGTTGAGCAGTAAGCGGCCCGAGAACGAGCACGACCTGGCGACATACAACAACAGAGTCGCATTTCATGCTTGGCAATTTGTCAGATTTGGCAGTTTTATTCACCCGTTATGCCGGCACTGAGTTGCATCGTTGGTGCCCGACCCGAGTTTCTGGTATACCCCGGGCGCCGCCCCGGCGCTGCGCCGAGCCCCTGCAGATCCGTCATCGGATGATCGGATCTCGGTTGCCATTTTCGGGCAGCCGCCCCGCGATGCGCAACCCGCATTCGCCTCATTCATCAGACCCGGATGACAAACTGTATGATAATGTCGGGACGAAGTCTAGTCCTCGGACTTTGCTAAGCCCTATAAGTGGGATATTAATGTTTCTATATTGTACAAGTATGGGGCTCTTGTTGAGCAGAGGAGGTTTGAGTTTCGAGGTCAGCGAACTTTGTTCATTGGGAACTCTGGTAATGAATGGTCTGGAACACTGAATCGGGACATCTTCTTGCGTCACTGGTTCAATGTCATCCCTAAATCAACCACGGTTCGAGGTTTTAGTCCCACTTCTTTGCACTGGCTGACTGAAATCTCCCCGGCAATCAAGTGCAGGACGAAACATGGAACGACACATGTCGGAATGAGCAGACGAGCCCCATTACTGATCACACCGTCGCGTAACTTGCCAATCGAATGCATTCTTCCACAAAGCTTGTTTTATAAGTATCTTCTTTTTGAATAAAAAATTCAATAATGATGCACTGCCGCATACGGCGCTTGTCAGTGCGCTCCATTCAGCTCGTCGCCCCAGTGTATTATTGCGCCTTGTTAACAAATGATGTTCTACGACTTATTCAAACTTGCTCACAAGACAGGAAAGCTGTTCTGTTGTTTTCGGGGCATCTTTGGGAATCAATCACAAAGTCATCTACTAATTTTTAGTTCTGCAAAGAGGGAATTTCCGAGACAAAAATCATTCGATGATTTAATTATAAGCCTTGCATACCAGCACCGCCTCGATCATGGTCATCGACACGTTCCATATTAGCATGCGTCTCCAAACTATAGTCTACATCACTAGCTACACAAGTTTCAGTGGCCCCGACCTAAACACAACATTTGTCTCTGGATTAAGTTCGTATGCCCCTCATGCCGTAAGCTAATGTCCGAAGAGGATCGCAAAGTCCAGCTAGAAGCCTGCCCGCTCTCCCACCCGACCTTGAACAGCGACACGCCTGCCTCACTCACAGCGAGAGAATGCCGATCCCGCTCCACAAGGCCGCAGAAGAGAAATACGTCTGCGACAGCGACAACTGCGCGTTCAAAGGTGAGACCGAGTCCTCGGCGGGAGCTCACCCCAAGTTCGGACCACCTCGTCAAGTGCCCCGGCTGCGACTTTGTCTTCTGCATGGCCACGTACCACCTCACCGACGAGGTATTGGGCGGGCTGCAGGAGTTGCTGGCGCGGCGGGCCTATCGGAGGGCGCCTACCCTCGACCCGTCTCTGAGGAGGACGTATTCGTGTACTCAGCAGGCGATGGGGTGTCTATGGAGGGTGGAGGCGGTCGAGCATGCTTAGAGTAGGATCCGTGATATTCGGGAGTACATGAAATCAGGCGTCGAAACGGCTAATGGACACACAGGCAGGAGACCAAACACAGCAGGAAATTCAAGTTGAAACACATCAGTATTTCCAGACACCACCACAACCAGATGTCCATACTCTTCCATAGCAAGAAGTTCCCAAGACCACGAAAACATCATAGTTGATGAAACGCAAGACACAACCGTCGTGAAAATAGAAGAGGAAATCGAGAAATGCCACCAGTTGCAAGTACTGGCGACCAATGGAGATTGACCCGCATTGGAGTGAGAAAAGAGGCTGAGGATAGGTAAGGGTAGGTGAGAATATAGAATGAAGTGACGCTTGTGTGATGAAGACGCTTCGTTGTGTACTGAAACTTGAAGTTTAACTTCAAAGGGTGTATTTCTAGAACGAGGAGGAAATGAGTCTCCATGGACGACCTACAATATCACATCTTCAAAGTTGTCCAAGCTGTACTGTTTGTGACAAAGTACTTAGTAAAAATACATCTGCCAGCTAGACCCTCCTCACTGATAATCACTATGCCCCTTCGGCTCAACGCCAGACATCTTACCAGAGCCCCCAGAGCCGCCAGAAGAAGCCTTCTTCGAGCCGCCCCCCTCCGCCTCCTCCTCAAATTTGACAACCTCAATCGTAGTCGCCACATTCCCCGCCGTAGCCCGGCTGTAAGGACAAACCTCCTTCGCCTTGTCCACAACCTTCTGCACCTCCTCATCGCTCAGCCCCTTCACCCGCACCTTCATGTCCACACGCAACCCCATATCGAGCTTCTTCATGTCCCCCACGAGGTGCACCGTCGTCTCCACCACCGAATCCTCGGGCCGTTTGGGCATCCTGATCTTCATGCTCGTCGCCGACGCGTTCATGGCGCTCTGGAAACACGCTCCGTACCCCGCCGCAAACAGCTCCTCCGGGTTCGTCTTTCCCTTGTCCCCGGGACCGCCCAGGGCCTTCGCCATGGTCAGGTCGACGACGAGGTCGTCGCCCTGGACATGGCCCGTGCGTGCGCCGACGACCTTGGCGCGGGCCGAATACAGGACGGGTGCGCTTTCCGTGTTGAGGAGACGTTTTTGCTGGGTTGCTGCTGTTGGTGTACTGGGGCGAATGGAGGCGCGTGTCGCACGCGAGAGTGTTTGCGGTGCTCGCTGGGCGAGTCTGAGGGAGCGGATTGAGGCTGACATTTTGGACAATGATCTTACTTTTGGAGGACAACTTCCTGATAGGCAAGGAAAAAGAGGAAGCGTGGAGCCGAATTGTGTGATGTGATTGGGGTTGCAAAAGAAAGGCGTATGGCTTTCTGCAAGCTTCTTTGTCGACCTTATAGCTGACGCTCGGAGCTAGCTCTGGAATCGCCTGGAAAATGTACCGGTCACGGTGACGTATTAGACGGTCGAGCATCGAGGTTGCCCTCCAGATCACAAGTCCTCAAGCTGACTCATCTGAGGCCTCTCATCTTTTTCATTTCAATCGAGAATTGCTGGGATCAAGATCAGCCTATTGACGTTTCCTGTCTAGTCGAATATTTGTTCCCGTTCATGCCAAGCGTCTAACTGTTCTATTGTCAGACAAGATGAACAAGGCAGGGAGGCAAGTTACCTAGCCAGGTGCTAGCTTCCGTTACCGTGTACGATAGAGCCAGGGGCTAGCATCAGATTCTTGGGCATCTGGCGGGTTTGCGTTGTCGTGAGAAACCCGTCTCCGCGCTTGACCGTCATTTGGAGTCCCTGATCGCGGTCAACCTCGCGCAATGTGCTTGTCAACTCTGGAGCAAGGTAGACCAAGCGGCTCCATTTCCACAAAAATAAAAATAAAAACCATCAATGGCATGCGAATTTCTCAATATTGACGACTATAAAGCAAAGACCAGGTTGTCTCCGCCAGCAGTACTTCAAAAGGTATTCATCATCCTCCAAAATCAACCGACGGCCGTGTTCGCCCATCGCCATCCTTCGATGAACATCCTAACCTAGCGAGAAGAACTTCGTGAAAGCCAAGCTGCAATGCCGCTTCAAGGTCCTGTGATTGCCCTTCCTTGCACTCGTGCGGACTCCAGAAACAACAGGATTGTTTGGCCACACCGCCAATGAGTTCGCTGCCTCAAATTCCCAACGCCAATGAGATGAGGTATGAGTGAATAAAAAATTCCATGTCAAGCCCTAGAAATGCCGAATTCCTGTTACCCTAACGCCGATGTATAAAAAATGCATTCATTGAGGTATTCCGGCCCGTGACACCCGCTGTGATATGTGTGCCAGATCCTCCTTTGTTGGCCAGTGTTCCTCGAAATCGAATAGTGAAGGTTCGTAGCCGCGAGGCTGTGATAGTTTTGGTTTTTCTTTTCCATTCAAAAAGAGCGATGCTCTTTTCATGCAATCCCCTGTGGCTTAGGAGGCGTGAGATGGCACGCTGCGGGGCGTCACATCTCCACTACGTCTGCGACTTTGGAGCTGCGCGGCCTGCTGTGACCTAGATGCTTCTGCAATCATCGCCATCTTCTTGCGGACAGTTGAGAGACGTGCCGTGATCATTTGAATCACTGCCAGAATGTTAGTACCGCGACAAAACGTGAACATGACTTTCCAAAACTTACTCCGATTCACGGCCTGCTGGTCATCGCTGTCTAGATCGCTAGAGGTCTCCTCGCGAGGCAAGTCCTTGCCTGAGCTCGAGAACCGCCGCTTGACTGCGTCCTCGTCATTATCCAGGACAGCCTCCAGCATCCGAATGGCTGTGACATAGTACGTAACGCAACCCTCTAGGTTCTCGTTCGTAATCTCGTCAATGGCTGCTGTTCTGCTCATTTCTATGGCTCGGTCGTACATCAGCTTCTCCGCACTGATACCTGGCGTGAGATAGACATCCGGTGTGCCTGAATTAGCCGACGAAGCTGATTCTCCACCATGGTTGCTTGGGTGGCTAGGGTGATCCTCAGGGAGCTTCTGCTGAACGGCAACGAGTTTCATCCGGACGACCTCGGTCTTTTCCAAGACTTCGTTAAAGCGAGTCCGAACCCATTGAACAGTAGAGTTGATCCGCTGAGCGAGACCTTCTTTGGAAACCTCCGCCGCAGATGCGCCAGTTGTATCGCCACGCGTTTTCTGTGTCCACCATAAACTTGCAGCGTCCATGGCTCTAGCTAGCAGCGTCAGGGCCTTGACATAGAGGACCAGGGCCTCTTCAGACAAAGAAACCTCAGCATCGATTGTTAGGCCGTCCTCATCTCCAGCGATCTGATCAGTAGGCGTACCGCCGAGTCCGTGCTCCATTGATGGGGCGAGAGGGAAAAGCTGCTTATACTTGACTTCAGCGAATCCATAAACGCAGTCGCTCCGGTGAGCGAAATCCTGGATCAGCTTGACGGCTCGTGCATCTTCATCGGCCAGGGCATTTTGCTTTCCATCCCCAATGAGGCCAACAGGACCCGAAGGGGTAGGATATGCAGGATATGGACTGTAGAGGGGGGGTGACGCCCCCTTGCCGCCCAGCACATGCTGCGGGACCTTGAACCCGAACAAACGCACGCTGGCGTCTGAAATAGCTTTGGCGATGAAGCCCTGAGTCGTCGGGCTGGCAGAGAAATTCTTCCCGTCGTACGAGTCGCGGCGCTCATGACCGGGACGTCCCTTGCCTGAAGCGATTTGAACTGCATTGGATGGCTGGACACGTCCGGCGCCGGTCGTCGAGGTCGGAGGTCCCTGTTGCGTGGCTCGGCGGATCATTTGGCCAGTCTTGGGTGACAGTGACGTAAGGCGTGGGTTTGCGGCCATTTCATCAGCAAACGCGTTCACCTCCACGTGCTTCTTTTCAACCACAACATAATCCCGCTCAAATGCCACATCCTGTGCCGCCTTTTCTTGCTCGGTGACGCTTCGCTCAGTCACTGGACGAAGTCTGTTTCTCGCCGGATTATCATTCAAATACGATGTCGGTGGTGACGCAGAGGCTCGTGCAGAAGGTCGGTTGAGAGCTGCGTTCGAGAGTCTGTGAGGCCGGGCTGGTGCAGAGGTGGAGGGTTGGGCCAAAGGTGGACGACGAATTCCAAGTCCCTCCCCGGGTTCTTGCCCCGGAGACTGCCCCGGACGTGGCGCAGCATCAGCAGCCTGCTGAGCTCGCCCGTCAACTGGGCTGGGCAGTTTTGGCGATCTGAGGGGTTTCTCACGGGGCGACTTTGCCGATTCGCCTTGTTCGCGTACAGACTCGTTCTCGGTTTGTCGACGAAGGGAGAGACGACGTGATAATGATGATGTGGAATCGGACCGGCCTAGAGATCGCAGATCCCGTGAGGCCTTTGCCTCAGGTTTCGGGGGTGCATCATCCTCAACAGTGCCTGGAATGGGTTCCGTCAAGATTGGATCGTTGAAAAAATCTTCGAATCTCATGCGCTCGACGGGGTTGCGAGTAAGAAGCTTGCCGATGAGCTTGACCAGCTCTTTACTGACCACGAGCTCTTTCGGGTACTTGACCCGATCTTCGGCGGCTTCGATCTTACGCAAAAGCTCTACGTGATTTCGGGCGCGGAACGGAGGACGACCAGTAATCATCTCGTACAAAACCGTGCCCACAGACCAGAGGTCAGCCTTCGCATCGTACCGCTCGTAACGAAGGATCTCTGGAGCCATGTAGAGGGGAGATCCGCACAGAGTATCGGCGAGCGACGTTGACGGGAGCACACGAGCGAAGCCGAAATCTGCAAGCTTCAACATCGGGAGAGAAGCCAGGCCAGCATTGGGAATCAGCGAATCCTGGCTGGCAGTCAAGATGGGGCGGGAGTGTGCCTCTCTGAACCTCGGTGACGGCAGAAGCAGGAGGTTCTGAGGCTTAACGTCGCGGTGAACGTAGTTCTTTTCTCGCAGAAATTTCAGGGCGCTGCCGAGCTGTTGGAGGAAGTGGCGTGTGACTACCTCGTGAAGACCCGAGTTAGGGGTAACGGGGTACTTCCTCGCCATCTCGTGTGTAGCAGGGTTGGTGCTGAGCTTGTCCCTCTTCTTGATGAACAACGACAAGTCACCGAGCTCACAGTATTCCATCACCAGGTTGATGTGTGTCGCTGATTCGACGCAGTCATGGAGGGCAACGATGTGAGGGTGTCGGAGAGTCTTGAGGATCTGGATCTCTCCGTACAAGTTCTCTCGAAGCTTGTTGTTCAGGCGTCCCATCTCTACTGATTTGATGGCCACAGTTGCCTTGGAGCTCTACAGGAGAGAATTAGCACATTATGAGCAACGCAATACTAGCCATGGTTGAGTCATAGCACTTTGAAGCACAACAGAGGTGGCAGAGGTTGGTACACATGCAACAAATCTCAAGGAAACACCACGGACAGGGGAACTTGCGAACCTTATGGTGACCGCTATACACCTGGGCAAAGCTGCCCTTGCCGATTTCACCTCCGATAACAAAGTCCCCGATAGAAGCGTCGCCTTCGCGTCGCCTGCGTCCTGAGGAGGACGAGGTTGGTAACCGTTCTGCCATTTTGATCGCCTACAATGTTGCTTGTGTGGGTGCGAGTTCGGGGAACGTTCAGTTCAGGCCTGTGGCCTATGCTATTCGAAAAACGTCGGCCGGGTGAGGTGTCATGTACACGATCGAGCCTGAGGAGATGATCGTTCTGATGGATTTGTTTGATAGGTCTGGCGGAAGAAGGGTGCGCCGAAGAGAAGCAAGAGATGAGCAGGCAGAACCGCGAGCAGCAGCCAGAACCCTGATGTTGATACTTTGAAAGACAGGGACTGGAAAGGCAACGACAGGCAGCTATCCGATAGGTCGGGGTGCACGCGGACCAGGTTGATGCAGAGGGGGAGGACCGTCGCGGTGTCCGTGGGCGGGTGCAGGATTGTATCAACGAAGTGATCGGGAAAGAAACGAAAGTCGAAGAAGGCAAAGACTGGCAAGGATGGGTGTATCGGGGGTCGTTTTGATCGAGCGGCGATCAGAGAGGGAGGAGGGAGGCGCTGGAAGTATCGAGAGTGATGTGACTAATACCGGTGGCCGGTGAGCGTTAGGAGGCAAGGCAAGTAGGAGGTACCGGGCCGTTGGAGGCTCTCGCAGTATATCAGAGAGTTCGGAGCAAGTTGGGAGGGGAAATGTACCTTGTTCAGGACAAGAGTCAGGCAAATCCAAGGTCAAGCTAATGACTCGGAGCTACCAAGGACGTGACGTTTGTACTCGACAGGTACCCTGATGGAGAGAAGCGGCTGCGGGTGAAGCAAACGGCGGTACAAACGGGAGGCGGTGGTGTAAGATGGAGGTGGTTGTGTGCACAAAGGGCTTTCGAGGAGCGACCGGGGGCAGAGAAATCGAGGGGTGTCGTGGATGTGGGAAGTAGGGGAGGCAGGAGGTAGAAAGAGAGAATGTTTGAAGAGCAAGAAGTCGAGGTTGGCGAAGGAGAGAGAGGAGAGTGGCGGTCGGGATGGGATGGGCAGGCGATGTAGAAGAAGGTCAAGGGACGCGCCGAGAGAGGGTTGAGTGACAGAGCCAGCCGGGCAGCGCAGCCCAGGACGGGAGTGAGTGACGAAGGGTGGATGGGGCGCAGAGTGGATAAGACCGATTAGATAGGGAGGTGCAGGGTGCCCGGAGGGTCCAAATGTTGATTGCGATAAAGGGTAAGGTACCTTTCCAGGTTGGCCGCGGTAGCAGCAGTACCTTAGTCCGTCCTGTACAGTGTAGGAGAATAGGTAGCGGCGCAGCAGTAGCGCCAGATGGGACGGGAGCCCAGTGTGAGTGACAGTGACGGGAATTTGAGTCCTAGTCGGAGCCGGGCTACCTTACCTGTGCACTGCGGCCTGCGGTCTGCCGTGTGCGAAGCGAAGCGATGCGCTGCGTTACCCTGGCAGTTGTTGCTTTTGCTTTTGATTGGAGACCAGTCACCAAGGGAAAGGAACCGGGGGAGATATGGGTCTGAACTGGGTGATGAAAGAAAGGGATGCCTCGGTGGTTGTTGGTCTCCTCCTGATTCGGGATGTTGAAGAAGATGCGAGCGGTGGATTGGTAGATTGGTGGTTTGGTGACGGCGCCGTGATGCTGCAGGAAGAGACAGCATGGAGTGGCGGCAGCTGTCCTCTGCCTGTCTCTCCTCTTTCTCTGTGTCTTCTCGTCTCTCCCACTCACACTGTGAGTTACACCACGATCACGGCGTGCCTCACTGAGGCCGACCGAGACAGACAGATCCGGGTGGCCAGGGTTGATGTCGATGATGTAGGGTGTCTATCTGCCTGACCGGGGTGAGAGCGGAGGAGTCGCATTATGCATAGGGCGCTTGTGTCTGTTAGTCCATATAAAGTACTGTGCAGTCAGAGGACGACAGTCATTTTTCCTTTCCAAGGCACCAAATTCTCCGAGGAAACGTCCTCCTTGTTCTTGACTCGAAGCAAATTATCCGTACACACACAGTGTTATTATTGTTGGAGCGGGCGAGTGGGCGAGTGACCAGAGAACGTGAGCTGTGCCTAGGTGACCAGCCCGACCCTTGGGTTTGGGGGCTCGTGATGCAGTGCACTGCGCTGCCCGGTGGAGCTTTTCCCCAATTGTGTGAGTGAACATGAGTGTCACGATGCGATACGTACCGATGTAGGTGCCGCCCACCTCCTGAGGTAAGGTGGTGCGCAACCTAAGGTAATCACCTAAACTTCCATTACCTGCTCGATCCTCAAGATACGTCCCCCCAGCTACATGCCGTTCCGGAACAGCCAATGCAGGTGCATCGCAACCACCCCCGCTCGTATCCTCGTGGTCACTGGTCAGGGGTCCTTTTGGTGGTGGGTGGTGGTGGGACGGGGGTCTCACTGGAGAGGGATACCTTGCCTGTACCAGTCCGGTCTCGGTCACGCACGCGAGGATTTGCTGCCTTCTATTTGCGTTGGGGTCCTTTTGGGCAAGGGCCAAGTAGGGGTATCGGCTGCTGTCGCACTCGAATTGCCATCATGGCGCGATAAGGCTCATGTATCGCGATAAGACTGCCACCCTCGCACCTCGAACCTCTCACACCTCGCACCTCGCAGCCCACACCCTCGGTAGCGCACCAATCCATCCACCGCCCACCACCGCCTTCCTCATCCTGCACTCCTTCGTTGTCGTCCTCGATGTCGTCCTCGTCCTCGTCCTCGCCCTGCCCATCTCTTCCCGGCTACCGCGTCTTATCTCCTGCTTCTGTCAATCTTGATGAGACTAGCGGCAGCGGCGACGTGCCAGGTGGTACCGTACAAGATAGGGTATTCTGTTTTTGGTGTTTGCATCTGCCCCCATGGCTCGCTCGTCTCGTCCAGACTCTAGACTCTCCAGACTCGTCTCCACTCGCCGAACTCGCCTAGCTTCCGTGTGTGGGAAAGCCCAAGACAACGCAGCCAGCTCCAACCTCCTGGGTACGATGTGTGGATGTCAAGGTCCTCTATTACCCCAGGGCCCAAGCCGCGGGATTGCTTTTGCCTCTGCTGCTGCTGCTCCTCCTGCGAGGCAAGAGCATGCAAACGCAGGTAGGGGGAGCACGGGCGTCTCGATACGGTCGACGATAGGACTCCCGTACTCCGTGCTCGAGAACACTTGAGCCTGAGGCACAAGATGGAGGTGATGCCTGAGGTCGTTGTTTGTTGTCGACAGTCATGAATCCTAGACTTTGACTCCAACAACAGTCAACAGCGCCTCCCAAGAGGCCCAGGGCCTGTTCGTCACGCCACGTTGCCGTGGACCACAGTTTATCAATATCAAACCTCCCATGCATTGCAGAGCATTTCACTATACTTCAAAGGCACGGCGGTGAGAGAACGACAACGAAGGCATCAACGCGAAGAACCTAAACTCACCGCGTCACCTCAACGTCGATTGTCTCCGAAGTCGTAGCTTCCACTGTGCAGTACGATACTTTTTTAGCTGCTGGAACACCTCGCGCCTGCTCGCTCGTCCCTGGTACTGAATTTCATCATCGCCTCATCGTCCTGGCAAGGTTCCCAGCAACGGCCACCCTCCCGTCCAATCCATTCCTCCAGCTCGGCCTGGTCTCCTCACCTCTTACACCTCGAACACACCTTTGGCCCGACTCCAGCAAACCCTCTTCTCCCCTGCAACTGCGTATTTGCAATGAAACCCTATCCACCTTGCTTTACCTTACAGTGTGAACGGAGCACGGCAACCCTTACTATCTAAACTTACCAACCTACTCCGTACACGCAGCTAGTTGCTGCAATCCACCTTTCCAACATTCCATCCGCCCTTCCAGATGCACGCCAGAACACCCGGACTGCATGAAAAACATGCCCGCCGTCCCCGGGTCGCAGACCTCTCTGAGTTGTTTCGACACGTCAGTAACGCTGTGTTTCGGTATAGCTCTCGGCCAACCAAAGTATCGTCTACCTCTCAAGTATACTACGTACACCGCTGTCCTCGAGTACGATTGATCACCCTTTCGGACCACCCACTGATCACCACAAAACAGAGTGGGCTCCAGGGACCGGTGGGCCATGCATCAGATCTGTTCCGCTGGCCAACCTACCCTGATAGACGGCAACTACCTACCCGCAATCTTCCTAGCAGCAGTAGTGGCGGCAGCTCTGCAAACACATGCCGCATCTCGTTATCTCATGTGAAAATCACCAGCCGCTTGGCTAGCCAGCTGTCAACCACCGTTGAAACGAACCATTTCCAAGCAGGTCGACCGGCTGAAGTAGGCCGGGGCCTCAAAGCTGTTCTCTGGCTTTGAGCCGTGGCCGTACCTACTCAACATACTACTCAACCGTCGTGTTCCCTCATTCCGGCGAGCCATGGCGCAATTTGGTGTCCCACAGCCCAAACGACACAGACACTGACGCCGCCAAAGTACCTCCATAGTCCTAAAGTCAAAAGTCGACGCTACGTCCTGTCCTCCGCAGCGCTTGTCATTCATCGCCTCCCGAGCAGCGCCCCCCGCCAGATGGGTATCTGATCCAATCTTGACTAACAGCAAACGCAAGCCCCATACTTTGCAACGAACCTTGCGCAATCAATAAGTCTTCGCCTGCAGCACAGCGCTCAACTTTCCTCGGGGGCTGCTCGTCCCTGCTTCGCCTTACCTCGCCTCAAGCTCGTCTCATTGCCCAGACTGCTCGTCATCCTGCCTGGCGCCACCTGTTGCTCCTTGTGCCAGCCAACCGGATCGCCAGACGGCAGATCCGTGCTGGCACTGTCTCGACACTCGAGTGTCCAGGTTCCATACTTTGTCCACTTCCACTTCGCGTTTCTTCAATATTAGCGCTGACCGTGGCTGTCGCCGTTGTCTCCTTGCCTGGCGGGCGGGATGAGATAAGACATGCGTCCAAACACCACGAGACCAAACCAGGACACACCCATCACCCAATAGTCGGATTGTCACCATTGGTCGGGGTCTCGGGAATCGTTGGAGCTGGGGACGCAATTGCCTTACTCGATATGCATGGCTCAAACAGCGCGAGAACCAACAGGAACGTCTCTAGCATCCGCTACCTTGCAGGAATGTACCGTGCCGCTTCGGTGACCACCACGACGCACAAGTGCCCGAGGCCGATACTTCTCCGGCGTTTTCAACCATGGCCTGCTTCCGCATCACCCTCTCATCCCAATCCAGACGTCTTTACCATGTGTGCACGTCTCAGGCAATCACTCGTCCAAACGAAGTCTGTCCTCATTTTCTTCACCTAGGATCCGCCTCCCAAGGGGCACGTACCATTCATCAAAAGAAACGACTTGACTACCCAGACTTCACTTGCGGTTCTGTTGATGCCCCAGGTCTCCACCAGCCACTCGAAAAACCTAGTTTGGCGTCAATGAAACCATTGGAATCGCATGTAACCCACAAGAAATCCCATGGGGAAAAGAGGCCAAAAGGTGAAGCTCATAGGACCAAGGCAGAGAGTGCTGTCCGCAATGAATGGCAACAGTGAGAACGGCGCAACCCACGCCATTTACGCCTCCGAGACACATGTCTCGCTAGCCAGCCCCCCATGCAGGTGTCACTCACCGTCCCAAAGGGGCAAACCGAATTGGGTGCCGCGCTCTCGGAGCTGTCATCCATTCTCGATGATCGTCCTCCACTCGAGAGATGTCTTTCATCACACAAGAAGTTGTATTATCGTCAACAGCCATGAGCGAAGGGTGCAAAATGTTCGGATTCATACGCCGGCCTTGAGACTAAAATCAAGGAGCAAACGTTCCGAGTCGATCGTATTAGACGGCTCTTTGTCCCCCCGGCCGATACTCGCGCTCTAGTCTATCCCTCCCGCGCACCACACGGGGACCCATCCCCGCGAGCTCCAACCTCGAGCTCCAAATCCCAGCCGCCTGCCGTCCACCCCCTTGGCGGGCGGATGCCCGCATCACCCGAGGTCCTAGCGCCAAAACGACAGCCCCGCCGGCAGCGATCAACAATCCTCCAACTGTCGTCGGGCCAATCACCAATATATGCACAAGGAAGCTCAAACCAGATGGGGGAGGGATGGAGTAGCACAGGCAACAAGGTGCGGCTGCAAAGTCGACAATCAAGTCTGGGGAAGCACAACTGGCGCCCCTAGACGAGAGTCGAGATTTGCCACTCCATCCCGTCCTATTGCCAAGTTGGGTGTCCAGACCAAGCCATTTGACGTGTACTGAGCCTGACGGTAAGGCATCTTATTCTTCGAGACTAGCATCATCTTTTCTGTTCCTGGATGACTTGATGCTTTCCTGACTGCACTAATAACGTCGTCACCGAACATGACATCCCCCTGGTCTGTTTGGTGCTGCACCTGTACCTCTGATACGTCATGACTGACATCCCCACAGAGGAAGCTTGAGTGCGTCCAAGTACTGATGCCGCCCAGATCTTGTCAGGGCTTCTGGTTACACTTCTCATCTGTGTCGCCAAAGGTATGATGGCTATCGCAGGCTTCGACTCACAACATTCAAAGAAGCCGAGCACGTCCCTGGAGACAGCAAGCCTAGATTCGTGGTTCTGCCGGTGGCAATCCTTCCCTATCCTACACTCCGGCCCACGTACGACATGAAGCAAACGCGTCTCGAATTACACAACCTAGGTCTGACAGGCAAAACTCATCACCGTTCCGCGAGAAGCGGGAGAAACCGTCGGTTGCGCCCTCGGAACGTCACAACCCCCGCGCTGGAAGCTCGGAGTGATCGAACGTACTTACACATGACGTCTATGCCGCTCAAAGAAAACGAGCTGGACCACGCTTCTACGGAGCACACAATAATCTTGTTCTCCATTATGAGTTTTTCGACACTCACAAGAGCCGCAGTCGACTGGATCGACCAAGACAACTGTCTCCCATTGCGCAACTACCGGGCTTCAACCCGCAGGATAGCCTCAGTGCATACTTTTTGTGTGACGGAGAAGGTCCATTGGACTCGGCGTCTCCCTTGTCTGCCTATTGACTAGTGTTGGAAAAAACTACGTAAATGGCATAAGAGAGTTGGGCACAGCTTTGTGTCTCCTGTAGCAGTTCCTGTGAGACGGAACCCACCCTCCAGCGACTTGCTCCGATACTGAGGTATCTCGCCATGGCAAATCGACTTCACCTGCCCTATCGTATCTTCTCATAGCATGGCGATCTCGTTGGTTGAGGCACGGTTCCAGGCTACATCCTTGTCCATTCGCTTGAATTCTGCCAAGAGGCAGCAGAAGTTGGTGTGAGAAACTCTCAATTTGTGTAAGCGCGACCATCGTCCTCTATCCAAAGGGGCATGAGATCGTAGTTGGAAGACAGCGGGCCAAAAAGCTACCATCAGTCCAGCGAGGACACCTTTTCCTCTCCGCGATGTGCGCGGACGCAAATTTGGAACCCGACCTTCCAGGAAGAAGATGGTAGTCCTATCGAATGGTTGCCTAGAGGAGCCTATCTACAGTTCTCAAGGTCCGAAAACCTCCCTCCACTTCTACATGACTCAATGTTCACAAGTAGCTGTGGATCCGCTACATCGCGCTATGGAAAAGATGTTGTTTTTTTGGCCTCAAATCTTTTCGAGCGCCTGAAGTAGTTAGGTATGTATTCCTGCCTGCCTGCCTCCATCGCCAAGGGAAGAGAGAGAGCTCTTCCTCCCAACTGACTCACACCCTGGAGTAATAGTCAAAAAACACATCTCCTCACGAAAATAAGAGAGGCATGGTAGCGTAAAAGTTGTAATATCGAAGCCACACATCCAATGAGAAGACTACCTACCTACCTACCTACACACATACATAGCTGTAATCTACAAGCATTGGGCACGCCAAAAGCTTCCTCCAAGTTTGTGACTGGAAGGCAACCAGTCGTCGAGTTAATATACAAAAACCTCATCACACTCCGTATAGAAGACAACCGTGGGAGAAGGAGACACAGTAAGGAGGTCGTTCACGGATGAATAGACTCAACGATCTAGATGCAAGGTAAAAGGTAAATATCATCCCAACCAGTACCAGTTTCAACTCTCGCCCACCCCCCTCCCACCTCGTGTGTGTGTTTCCGCTCTCATTCCGCACGGCATCCTGCCAACTCTCTCTTGAAAACCAGACCTCTACGGCCTCGAACCTGGGGAGCCTACGGAGCCCTGAACCGAAACAGGGCGTGCAAACGTGCAGGTGTAAGCCGTCCATCAGAGGCGAATGGGTGGGTGGGCTGGTCGAGGTCGAGGTCGCAGAAGCCGAAGTACACTAGACCATGCAGGAAACGTACGTTTGCCGTTTCTTCGGATGGGCGCTATCGCAAGTTACCTTGGCTTAGGCGCTGGGCGAACATGGGGGTGGGAGCATGGGGGTGATGAACCACTCTCGTCACGACAACGCCAATATCACCAATGGTTCACGCGTGGGAGGAGAGTCAGAGGGGGATGATGGGAAAGCTTCGATGCAGCTCGGCGTGTGTCCCCACCACTCGCCTGACTGTCTGTCTGCCTGCCGAGACCATGCATGCAATGCAGCTTACCAGATTCGTACAACTCCAGCATCTGGCCACACCAACACATGTAGTTTCACAGAAACAAGCATCTACCGGTGGTGTCAGTGGTGCGACTTCCCGTGTACATCCCATCACCACGAAAGAATTCTCCGTCAATATTGTCTTTTCTCTCTTGCTCCGCTCATTTTACTCTACTCTCAATGTATCCATGAACCAGTCCCCTTTACCGGGAACCCGCCACAGCGCCGTTGGGTATGTACGTCCAAGAAGTAACATGGGGAGCGGCGAATGCTTGTGCACAGTACGCCCTCTGCTTCCCCCGCGCCGATGGCTTATGCTCCGTATGCTCCATGCTCCGTAACCGTGTGATGATGAAAAGGATCCTGATGCTGCCTGAGCAAGGCAGATGTGCCCTGACCCTACCCTGAGAACCCCTCGCCGCAACCTTGGAGCTGCCTCCTTTTCCCCGCTTTTGAGGGCAGAGAAAACAACATGCGCCCCAAGGAAGCTATGCTCCTTGACGCCCCCAACTGACATCCAAATCAAGTCGCGAACTGCTGCGTCATTAAGGCTGTTCGTCCAATCCGTCATTGGATTTGACCACGCCAACCGTACCCCACACTTTGTGTGGTGTGACAGGACACCAGCCGCTCGACGATCATCGACAAGTACACCCGATGGAGAACGTATTTGTCTGTCATCACTACTATCTCAGTAAGCTCCACGTTCACTTAGTGGTGTGCTGCCTTCTCGACAGTTGGGAGCTCCTTGAGCGCCTCGCCGATGATGTTCACGGCCTTGCGAAGTTCGGTCTCGGTGATGACCAAAGGAGGCGCGAAGCGGATTATGTTGCCGTGTGTAGGTTTGGCCTGTTGAAAGCAAAAATATTAGTTCCATGTCGCATGTGACGATTTACGGGACAGCTTGCGACTTACCAAAAGACCCTTCTCCTTCAACAAAAGGCACAGATCCCAGGCTGTGCGGCCTGCCGTGGCCGACTCGTCAATGACAACGGCGTTCAGCAGACCCTTTCCACGCACCAGCTCGACGGCGGGCGAGTTCAAGGCTCTGATGCCCTCGCGGAAGATGTTGCCCAGCTTCTCCGCCTTAGCCGTCAGATCTTCCTCCTCCATGATCTCCAACGCGCGGATTGACACGGCGCATCCGAGCGGGTTGCCGCCGTAGGTGGAACCATGCGTGCCAGGCTCAACGACGAGCATAATCTCCTTGCTCGACAGGACGCAGCTGACGGGGTACAGACCGCCAGAGATGGCCTTGCCCAGCGTGATCATGTCAGGCTTAATGCCGGCCCACTGAGAGCACAGCATGCGTCCAGTGCGACCGATACCAGTCTGGATCTCGTCGCAGATGAAGAGGACGTTGTGCTTCTTGCAAAGATCATTTACTCTCTTCAGGTAGTCGTCATCGGGAACCACGACACCAGCCTCACCCTGGATCGGCTCGATGATGATCGCAGCAGTGTCCTTGCCATGCGCTTCGAACACCGCCTCGATATCCTCTACATTGTTGTAGCGAATGACCTTGCCTGTCGAGGGGTTCAGGGCACCGATGTTGGGGACATAGGGGCCATAGTTGTCCCTCGATTCGGGGTCGACGGACAGAGAAATCGCAGTCATCTGGGAAAAGGGTGTGAGGTCAGCCTCGGCTCAGAAGAGGCAGCTATCAGCATCAGCACTTTGATTATATACTCACAGTTCGGCCATGGAAGTTGTCGTTCACGGAGAAGACCAGAGCCTTGCCCTTCTCAATGCCCTTCACCTTGTACGCCCACTTGCGGGCAATCTTGATCGCGGTCTCGACGGCCTCGGCGCCCGTGTTCATGGGTAGGACCATGTCGTAGCCAAAGACCTGCTGGATCTTCTCGGCCCACTTGGGGAAGACATCGTTGTAGAAGGCTCTCGAGCTGAGAGTCAATCTACCAGCCTGCTCAGTCAAGGCTTTGACCAGCTCGGGGTGGCAATGACCTTGGTTGACAGCGCTGTAGGCAGAGAGGAAGTCGAGATACTGCTTGCCCTCGGGATCCCAGACATGGACGCCGCTGGCCTTGGAGAAGACGACGGGTAGCGGGTGGTAGTTGTGGGCGGCAAGCTCCTCCTCGGACTTGATCGCGGCCTGGGTCGAAGAGGCGTGGTATCTCGACTCTACCCCGCCATTGGACTGAGGGGTGCTGCCGTTTGCGTGGGGGGCCATGATGTCTGATTTACGTAGAGTAGACTTTGGGGGGTTGAGTAGCGGGTCAGGCAAGCTGAATTGGGACGTGAAACTATCAATTGGCTCAAGGGGATGTTCAATTGTTGTTAGAGAGTGTTTGCGACTCAGGACGAGTGGCCGTTGAAGTAGAGTTCGTGGGCACAAGCAGATGGAGAGTAGAGAGTGAGGAGCGTCGAGAGAAAGGGACCGGAACGAGGGGCAAATCGCGGGGTCTTGGGTAATTATACCCCCAGGTAGAGAGCCCGGTCATCCTTGACTAAAGGACTCAAGCGCGATACGGAAGCAGAAAAGCAATCAGTCGTGGAAAGCGGCGGCGGCGGCAACGTGGACAGGGTTCAAACATGGCCGAAGGCGGACGACACGAGCACACGGCTAAGGTACAAGACAAGCAGATGGGTTCTGGCCAGTTTGTGCGTGAAAAAAACCTTGAAAAACGCCCAGTCGACATGGACCTGAAGCCGAACATGGACCATGACCTGGAACCAAACTCTTGGTGTCGGAGTCAGAAGGCGCGCCACTATGCCTTTAAGTGCAGGTATGTTCCCCTAAGCGCAGGTATAAGCGGCTCAAGTGGGTGAGTGGGCAGGATGACGCCCGAGGGGGCCATGTAAGGGAAACCATCCCGGTGCCATTTCTGTCACATGGCCCCGGTGTGAAGGGGAGGGTGGCGCGGCCGTAGGAAACCAGTACGCTCGGTGGTTTCTTTCATCCTTTTCTCTGGTGTAAGAATCTCGTAATGGATATGAGAAGGATGCGGTTGCTTGGTGTTGCCGTGGGTTGGAGTTTGGGGAAGGGGGGGAAGATGACTGCCGGGTGTTGTTGATCAAGGAATGTCAATAGAGGTGGCACAAAACCACCAATCCCGCCAGAGGCAGCGACCGAGCCGAGAGCCTCTTGCGGCTTGCCAATGTGGCGGGGCGGCGGAAGCAACGACACGGACAGACGTGGTTGGGATGGAGGAGGAGGAGGGGAGAGACAACAAGTGCGAGGAATGCAAGCACCGACGCCGATAACGGGCATTTGTGCTTGCGGCGTTGGGGAGGCACAGCACGGTACGAATACAAAGCGAATGCCTATCTACGCTATCACTCTTCTTTTCCTACCTGATGTTGTAGGCTGCCAACAATCCAACAGTTCATCGTAACATCTCGAGAAACCACATATCAATTCAACGGCGTACCATTGGACTAAGAAGCAGAAGATAGGGAATGAAATAAACCGAGCGGACCGTGGAGCGTGGAGAATACAGAGAGTGCCATTGGGGCTGATGAAGAGGAGGGGGTTCCGTCAGAGAGGTCCAATGACGAAGTCGCTATTTCCATTGCCACTGATCGGATCCAATAGGGTCGTCCATTGACATGGAGACCCTCCAGAATCCAATGAACCTGACATCTGCCGTCTCTCACCAGATAAGTGGACACATCGCCATTTATGCCTGAATAGCAAGGCTCACGAGCTACCTTAAGTGTGCATGCAGGTGGTCTTGTGTCTTTTCATTCTTCAGGCTTTCGGCGACTCGATTTTTAGTGACCAATTGCTTGAGGATAGGGGCCTGTCAATGAAACTTAGCGTCTCTACGTCCGTCCACGGCCCTGCCGCATCATCCTGGTCTACCCGTCTCGACATTCCATTAGCGATCAAGAACACCGCTTTTCGGCATCAACTCTTCAATCAAGCCCACACACTCACTCCCCGTCCCTCTTTCCCCCCCTAAGCTGACGGCCACAGCAAAGCGCAAGAAAAGGAGAACGGCGGCAAAGCCTAGACTCGGTTCATTCAGGTCGACACACACACACACACACACACACACACACACAAGGAATTTTTGGCCCTTGTGAGGGATAGGAGTAGGCACAGAGAGAGACACACACGAGGCATCCAACACTCACACCGTCACACGTCCTGACTCGCTCCATCGCTCAAATCCATCGGTCTCCCCGTTCCATGCCGCTTCTGCAAGAGGTCATCAGCGCATCCCCCGTCCGACCGATGATTACGCAATAGCTTCCGTCCGTTCCTCCTCCTCTCCCACGGTGCGCAACCCCGCCCACCACCTCTACGCCCGCTGCCGCCGCCGGCCACGAGCCGTGTCCACAATGGCTTCCGTCGGCTCCCCGCCCGCCCCCGAACTCCTAATGGCAGTTCGTAACGAGCGCAACAAGCCCTCCGTCTTCCGGTCCCTCCTCGTCATCCGTCTCCTCAACGCCTGGTGGGTCCTCACCTTTTTCCAACCCGACGAGTACTTTCAGGCCCTCGAACCCGCCTGGCGCATGGCCTTTGGCGAGGGGAGCGGCGCCTGGATCACTTGGGTAAGTAATCTTATACCTATTTGGAATCATTTTTGTTTATTTCCTTGATTACATTTGTTATTCAAAAAAAATTATTCTTTCACTCCAATGAGGTGTCTTGTGCTTACGCGACCAACACGCACCCTAGGAATGGAGAAACCAGCTCCGCTCCTCGCTGCATCCCGCCCTCTTCGCCGGCGTCTACACCCTCGCAGACCTCATAGCTCGCCCCCTCCCCTTCATCAGGCCATGGCTCCTGCTCGCCGCTCCAAAGGCCGCCCAAGCTGTCTTTGCCGCGGCCGGCGACTGGTACACCTGGCAGCTGGCCGTCAAGATATACGGCGCCGATAGCTCCGTCTCTTGGTTCGCTGTAAGTCCGCCGCACCCTCGTGAGTAAAGCGACAACTGATGGAACAAACCCCATCTATAATAGCTGTTCATGAGCATGTTCAGTCCTTTCCAATGGTACTGTTCGACCAGGACCTTTTCCAATTCGTTGGAGACGACGCTCACCATCATGGCCCTCAACTACTGGCCCTGGGAGCTTCTCGGTGAACCCAAGACCGAAAAGGAGAACCCGAAGCCCGCAGTGTCCATTTTACACACGCCCGGAACTCTCACAAGGTGCGTCCCCCACCTCTCACATTGACAACGGGCCTGCCAGCCTAGGAGGAAAACCATCACTTACAGAAACAAATCACACAACAGCCTCCGCCTATCCCTCATCCTCGCGGCAGTTGCAGTACTCCTCCGCCCCACAAACGTCCTCATCTGGTCAACGATCGTCCTCGCAACGCTCTCCCGGCCCCTCCTGTCCCGCTCCCCCTCCGTCCTCACGCCTCAAACCACCCTCCTCCTCTTCCGCGAGGCCCTCTTCTGCGGCGCTCTTGTCCTCTCCCTCTCTCTAACCTCGGACCGCCTCTACTTCGGCGAGTGGGCCTTCCCACCTTACAAGTTCCTCTACTTCAACCTCTCCCAGTCCCTCGCCGTCTTTTATGGCCGCAACGACTGGCACTACTACCTCTCCCAGGGCCTGCCCCTCCTCTCAATGGCCTACCTCCCCTTCGTCCTCATATCCCTCTATAACCCTCCCCGGACGCCCTCCAAGATCCGCACCAGCACCCTCAGGACCTTATCCTGGACCGTCTATGTGACCATCGCCGCCCTCTCGTTCGTCTCCCACAAGGAAGTCCGCTTCATCTACCCCCTCCTCCCCATCCTCCACATCCTTGCCGCCGCGCCCCTAACCAGCTTCTTCACGACCCCGGCCCCGGCCCCGACCCCAAAATCCCCACTCCCGAAGCCAAGGCTCCGCCACAAGCGCCTCCTGACCTCCGCCCTCGCCCTCCACGCCGCAATCTCCCTCTTCCTCACTCTCCTCCACCAGCCCGCGCCCCTGACGGTCCTCACCTTCCTCCGGACCTCTTACGCCCGTCTCCACCCCGAGAAAGCAGCCACGGCAGCCACAATCACCTCCCTGGCGGCCTCCGGCAACTCGGCATCATCCTCATCAGCATTTGAGCAGGAAGAGCTCTTCGCCCTCTTCCTGACCCCCTGCCACTCAACCCCTTGGCGCTCTCACCTCCTCCACCCAACCCTCCGCGCCCGCGCCCTGACCTGCGAGCCACCCCTCCACACCCAGCCAAACACCCCCGAACGCCGCGACTACCGCGATGAAGCAGACCGCTTCTACGACGACCCCCAGCTTTTCATGTCGACCGAGCTATGGCCTCCTTCTTCCATGAAGAAAGCAAGCACAGCAGAGTCTGAGTCCGAGCCGCATCCAGCACCACCAACAGCAGAAGAGATCCCTCGCTACATCGTCGGCTTCGAGGGTATCGAACCCTGGCTCCTCGACTTCTTTGACGACGGCCCCAAAAGCAGCGGCCGTGCTTTCGGCGTCCGCCCGAAGCGCGTCTGGCAGGGCTGGAACGGCTTCTTCAACGAGGACTCGCGTCGCCGCGGGAAGCTTGTCGTCTGGGACACGGGGCTGTATACTACTGTGTCTTGAAACACAGTGGAAGAGTAAGAGTAAAGCAAAGACAAAAGAAACGTACTTGTAAAAATTAAAACGGAGCAATTGACGGCATACCGAATCTTGAGACCTGAACTATAGTAATCTCATGTTTTTCAAGCCAGACTCACAACCAGCTAATGCCAATAAGTGAGAAAACAATTGCAAAATCTACCTCCAGCAAGTCAGCCCACTCTACCTACCTACCTATCTTCATTCATCACGAAATTGGGTTGTCTTCGTGAGTTCGAACATGGAAATTCCTTTCTTTTCCTACCTAGGCCCATGGACAAAAACCAGATCCCATGAAACGTTAAGGGTGGCGGGCTGGACTACTACACTCATGACAAAAAAACGCCTACTTGACAGGATACCCTTCGTAGCGAGCGAGCCCGTGGGCAATGCGTCGCTTTACACCAAGCCAGAAGAATCGAACGATACAACGCCATACATTCATGATGATTCACAACAACAAGCACGCACATGCCTCCTTTTTTTTCGAATGTTCAAACGTGGATTCTTCGAACTTCGGGTTCAGCCTCGTCTAGGCTAACCCCCTTTCTCTCCCTTCCGCTGGCCTCGGAAACTCTTGAGGATGCATAGTGTCCAACAATGAGTAAAAGAGATGTCCCAGAGAAAAATTTGCACCTTAAAAATACACCCTCACATGGTCGTACTAGGATTCGGATCGTTGATGTAATTACCGCGCTGCTTCGGGGGCCGGCTGCGTTGGCGGTGCTATTTCCGGTTGAGATGCTGCTGCCAATTGAGACTTTGCCGGCTGGGCAGTTGCGGGCGGGTTTGCTACATTAGGAGCTGGCGCTATAGGGCTCGCTACGGGACTGGTGACCGGCGGAGCCGATGCCTCCTGCGCCGGTGCTGATGTCGGCTGAGGCGGCAGAGGTTGAGAAGATGCGGGTGCTGGCTGAGCCGACGCGTTCTGAGCCGGGGCCGCTTGCTGCGGCAACGGTGGCACGGGGTGCTGTGCCCTCTCGTCGGGTTCTCTCCGGATATCCAGACTCTTTCCCCTTCCTGACATGATGCTAGAACCTCCTAAAGAAGATTGCCGGTCCGCTGGTGGCGATTTATTTCGTCGCTGTTCAGCGCTCTCCTTGGCCTCACGGTATTTGTTCCTAATCCAACCGATAGGCCCTTTGGATTCATCCTTGCCGTCCTTGTCTCGAGCAGACTCATGACTGGTTTGTGCCTCGGCAGCATACATGCCAGTTTCTGAACTTTCGCCGGTGAAGCTCTTTCGAGGCCTGTATCCACCACTGCCAATCGAGGTCACGCTCACGTCGGCATTATCGTTGGATCCAAAAGCCAGACGCGGAGAGGTGATTGAGGGGTGATGTTCATGGCCTCTCTGTCGTGACAATCGCCATCTTCTCCTTCGGTCCTTGTCGGGCTCGCTGGCGTCTGCCGAAGTCGTCACGATGGACTCTTCAGTCTGATCAACGTCAGAACCTTCGTTAAATGATGAGTGGAGTGATGTTGGCGGCGACTTCTTTGCCTTGAGCATCTGCTCGGGGTGTAAGGTGTTGCTAGAGGGGACCTGTGATGCGCGCGGAGTGGGTTCCGATGGCGTATCAACTGCACTAGGTTGCTGGCCAACTGCAAGGGAATCGTGCTCTGGGATAGTAGCGTCCACCAGATCCATGGGGTTGAGGGCCTCAAGACTAGGGGACACAGTGGCTGAGTGCGTACCGGACAAGGATGCGGCCGAGCTTTGCGCGCTCGGATTCAAGCTCCCAGGAATCCGCTTCTTCTTCAGTTTGTTCGGCTGTCGCTTCTCGCCCTCTGCCGTGGGAGATCTTTGGAAGATGCTGGGAAGGACTCTTTCCTTAATGGGTGTCGTAGCCTCGTTCGGGTCAAGTAACCTCTCCTGGCTTCTCCCTGCGTTGCCAGCAGCTGTGGGTGCCAGGCTGGATGTGCCTATCGCAGCCGGCGCAGGCGAGATACTCGATGCAGCAGGGGACTGATCAGGTGCCTCGACGAGCTCTTCCGTCGTTGTCGGGATCATGGGCTCGCGGGGCGATGAACCTGGAATGGGTGAAGCATCGCGTCTAAACCTTCCTGTCTGAAGAGCAGGAGATTTCTTGGACGGGACTGTGTTACTTCTGCCAAGGCCGCTGTTCGGGGTTGGTACTAGTGCCGGGCTGTTTGGAGTCGTAGAACCCTCATGGTGCGAGTGCCTCGAAGATGTCGATCGATTTCGCCTGAGCATTCCATCTCTTCTTACACTGTCAGCGCCGGCACTGGCGTTGGACGCAGAACGGCCCAGACCCGACTTCCTGTTAGGGTTAGGAGTTACCGGCCCACTCGCTGCCGGGGGGGTGCCTTTTTCGATCAGCTGCTTTGTCTTCTCGTCAGTGGCCGTGCCCTGCATGCCAATCAAGAAGTGGTCCTGGTTTTCGATTAGGAAAATGAGGACGCATTGGTTCAAGCGATACTCTTCAGGCGCCATAGCGTGCTGTGGGTGTGACAGCATGCCAGGCTGGAAAATGGCTGCTAGGTTCTGCGAATTCATCCTGTTCTCTTCCGACTTGGCAGCGAAGACAGCCAGCAAATCCAGAATGTACAGCAGTAGCTGACGATTCAGCGGCGGAAGCTCCGTAATGAGCTTCTGGTACTTGACGATGGCTGCTTGATCGTCAAAGTTTTCGACAAACTGCGGGCCATCGGCATCCCCCACGGCCTGCCTCGTGGCGCCTCGCAACGGTTCCCTGAATTTCTCGTACAGATCCAGCGGCACAACAGGTTCGGGCAGATCGTTCAGGTATCGTCGGAGCACGTTGGCAGCATCGTGGACCGTATAATTGTCCCAGACCAAGCCTTTTCCGTAGCGATCGGGTGAGTCGAAAATTTGTTTTAGTTCCTTGATACGTTTCTCGGAACCGCTAAGACGGAAAATACCCTCCACCGTTGTTGCTGAGACGAAATATGAGCACGCAGCGTTGGACCTAGAGTTGCGTGTACTTACCCTTTTCTTTCAAGAAGACGCCGCACTTGGCGACAACAATCGGTACGTAGCCATAGATATAGCTCTTTCCGTTCTCGTCGACGAGAGATATCGCGACATTGGCGTAGGTAATGCTCTGACGGAGCGGAACGCCGAAGATACCGTGGGGTCGGTTGTCTGCTGCAAAACTTTTAGCACATGTAGTAGAGGGCGTTTTCACAGCCGCGCGAATAAGCTTGATACACTGGCGCACAGGCGTGGTGATGGACATGGACAGCCTGTTGAGCCGACGACTCGGGTTCAAGGTGTTGAGGGTTGTCGCATCACTTGAAGCGCAGACTTGGGGCAGAATGGAATCGCTGGACGCAACGAAGTGGGCATCCTGCAACAACAGGACGAGACTGAGAGGTGTAGCCGACGTATCGATTGTCTCTTCGACATCTTCACTGAAGAGGGTTTGTATGGGAGTTTGGGGCGTAGGTTGCGATGCGAAAGTAGAAGGGGTGCTACCATGATGTTCCTGGTGCTTCGAGGGAAGCTTGAAGCCTTTCCACCACGATTTCAAGTCTCTCTTATTCGGGGTTGAGGGCCCGGCGGGTGCGGTCGAGTTGCTCGTGGGCTGCAAAGCCTGGTTGGGGGGAGGAGCGGCGGACGTCATCGCAATGACGGAGCGCAAGTGGTCGGAGCTCAATTACCGTTTCGTAGCCAGCGTCCTTTGGTTGTCGTGGGAATCGAAGAAGAACAAAGTGTGTCAAGCGACGGGCAGTTGTCGAGCGACGGTCAGAGAAAGTTGGATGTAGGGAGCAGCGTCGGTGCAGCCGGTCCTCGATCTCTGGGTCAATCGGTCGGTCGCTCGGTCGCCTGGTGGTGTTTTGGCACAAGATCGAGTTGCTTGAAAGGTATTGGGGTGTGAGCATGCGCTAATACGAGATGCGACGGGCAGGCGGTGATTGGCCGTGGGTTTCTTTTGGCGCGCAAGTGTTCCTTTGTCGAGTGAAGCGCTCCAGGTGGCCGTCTCTGGAATTCCGCCTTGTCTTCTACTGCGAAAGTCCTGCTGTTGATGTCATGGAGAAGGTCCAACCCAGGTATGAGCAGGAACAAGAACGGGGGGAGCGAGTGACGAAAAACGTCCGTGTAGGTGAAATGGCCCAGGTGTTTTCGGGCAGCGTTGACCGGGGACAGAGGGCGGCGGGCGACGACGATGCGGAGCTAGAGAGGGGATGGCGGGAGTCGGTAAGACACGAGCTATGCGTTGGTGGGATTTTGACCACAGAAAACGAATGAAAGCGAGCGACGTTTCCGAGCAGAATAATGGGCGCGACAACGACACGTCGAAACCTCGTCGTCGAGAGTCGTCGGGCAAAAGAGGGCGAGGAGGGAAGTTTTGGCCCGGAGGAGAGAGTCTGGGAGTCGGGTAGGGTAGAAGGGGAAAAAGCGAGGTATGTGCACCGGTTCCAGGTAAGCAATAGGAAGGTAAGTAAGGTGAGGTGAGGCAGGGGCAGAGGCAGAGGCAGAAAGAGGGCGAAGCCGTAGGTACGAATAGACGAAGGCGAAGGGACGCAGGAGAGGTTGCAGGTGCCGGTGCAAGTCAGAGGTCCAGGTCCAGTCCAGGTCCAGGTTCGGGTCTAGGTCCAGGCCGGGCGTAGGTGTATTGTGCGTGTGTGCGTGAATCGGGCGAGGTCAGGAAATGTAATGTAAGGCAAGGCAAGGTGAGAGCACCTAGGTGAGGTAAGGCAGACAAGAAGAGGTGTGGAGGAAAGTGATGGGTGTGCGCTAGACGGGTTGTCGTCAGTGGTGATGAGACTAGATTTTTCCTTTCTTCTGATTTGATTCAAACTCGCAGGCAGCAACTCCAGGCCAGGCTGGATTGTCAAGGCCGGTCAGGTTGACAGTGCAGAGCGAGTGTAGTTGAGTATACGAGTGAGAGTAGAAATGAGAGTGAGTGTGAGGTTGTGCGTTGCGGCAGCACTAAGGTATCCGGTTGTGGACAATGAAGTGTGGCACCCAGAGTACGATGTTGGACGTCAACGATGCGGGAACAGTAGATACCTGGAAACGAGTACGGATATGGATAGAGGAAATGCAAAATATCCAGAGCTGGACGAAGAACTGCTACCGGCGGTCCACGTACTGGATAATACAAAAGACACGACAGGCAGCGGCAAGCAAGCATCAACAACACACACACACACAGCAGCAGCAGGAGCAGCACATTTCGCCAGCGCCGCGGCGGCAACCAGGCGCTGACAATACAGGACGGGATGGATAACCCGGGCCAAGGTAGCAGCAGTGAGCAGGGTTGGCGCCGGTCAGGTGGTCTGGTAGGGCCAGCAGCGACGAGGATGGATGAGGATTGTGAGGGGTGGACGGCAAGGTCCAATGTCAAATCAATATCGATATCTGATGGGGAGGTGAGAGGGTACCCAGGGACGGAGGGGAAGGGCAGGGCAGGGCAAGTCGCATCGCATCCATCGCATCAGACCTGAGGGAGCTGCTTGCGCTGGCGGCTGGCGGCTGGCGGCTGGCTGGAGACGTCGGGTGAGAGGAAATGGCAGTGTGGGAGCGGGAGTCGAAACATGCGGTACTTGGTCGCCCCGCTACTTCCAGCAGGTTGTCGAGGTACCTCTACGAATAGGTGAGGTGTGTTCGAAGCACCCAAGAGACCTAGCCGGGACCTTGCAACAGCTCCAGAAGGCCCAGGGACCAAGACAGGCCAGGCCCTCCCACGGTGGAGAGAAAGACTCGTCGAGGCCCGAAGCCTGCAGCGGCCAACGTGTGGTGCTGATGCGCAGTTACGTGCGACGTGGGACGTTGAATGCTGCTGGGCGGAGGCCGCTGGGGATGGGTCGTTCATGAACGGTCTGTCACTGGTCGTTCCATAAGGTAGGTACTGTCGCCCTGGCCACCGGGGCTCCTGGCCTGGCACGTTAGCACGTTGGCTATCAACTAGTTATAAAACAGGTGGCTCAAGGTAGGTAGTTGCCGATAGGGTATCGTCACCCGACGATCCAAGAGGACGTGGGCGAGGGGGAACCTGAGACTTTGGTCGCTTGTTGCTCGCTGGAGAAACGCTGACAGCATGCAAGGGGACGACGGCGCGGCACTTCCTGGCAGATGGATGGGGAGGCACAGAGGCGTGCAAGAGGAGAGAGAGGATGAGTCTGCAATTCACGGTGTTCCTCGTCTCCATATCCCAGGTACGTATACACAGGAAACGCTTAGTTTGTCCATCTCCAGTTGGCAGGTCCAAGTGAGTGCCGTAATTTCCATGTTGCCATGCACCCAGCTCCAAACATGGCCAAGTACCATTGGTATGTCCCAGATATTGAAAAGATACCTTGCCGCCTTTTTTCTTTCTTCGGCTCTGTGGGGCGTCGCCAGGAAGGATCAAATGGGTCGAGGCCTGGGCCAACCTGGGTTCTGGGGGATGGCAGAGAAGGGAAGGAGAAGGAGCCCAGCGCGGAAAAGGGAAGGGCTCCAAGACAAGGAGGGGTGGCCCTGGCGACGGGAGCTCTTGCGCGAAATGAGACTGACGAGATGGGGTGGGTCCCCAGTGACGGTGCCTCATCCCCGCTGGCGGTTTTTTTTTTAAAAATATTTATTTTTCAACACCGGATCAATAAAGCAATCACATTCAATCAATCCTTCATTTCACTACCACGCACGCTGCACGCCCATGGCCCTACATACGTACTCTGCATCAGTCTAGTGAATTCAATCCACAGTCGTCAGTCCACATCTTACATCCTACATTACGGTAACAGATACCTCACGTTCTATATACTGTGTAGTAGAAGTATATTGTACATACGATACGATACCGTGCAGTAGTGGTGGAGTGAAGGCAGAGATTTCAAACGACATCCGGCGAGGAACTTTAGGTTAAGGTATGGCAAGGGAGGCGTGCAGATGCCAGCAGCCACGCCTCGCTCTCACTTATCAAGATCTACCCATCTCAACGGGGATGCGTCACCCATCAATAAGTGATATCTCCTCGGCATCCTGAATTCTACATAGTACCCTTGCATGATTCCTCGGCCATTGGGCATTGAGCAGGAGCTCGCGTATTCCATCTTAGAAATGGTAACTACCGGCATGCGTCAACCCCTTTACCTTACACGGCTTATAACTTACAACACCTTCGCTACGTACCGTATGACAAAGATGCTTGTATCAAGGTGCAGACCCCTCTCCCCCTCTTCCGTCTTTTCGGCCGTTCGCGAAAAGCCTCGCGAGTCAAGCCTGGGAGACTGGTGTCGGTACTGGTGCTGAAGCCTGAGAGTCATTAATCCCTCCACGAAAGCTCAGATGCGGAGTGCGCTGACTCCCGAGAATTTTGATGCGGGCAGTCATGTAGTCCGAGGCATCTCCTGAGTGTCTCGAAGCTCTGCCTGGTCTAATTAAATGGTTTAAATGGTTCATCCATGGTTATCGTCTGCTTGTACGTGGAGACAAGTCTCCTTCTAGCGGCCCTAGCGGAAGCTCACCGGAGCTTGGGCGCTCAGACACGGAGCCGGGAGACAAGCAGTTCTGGAAATTGGCCAAAAGGGAAAAAAAACAAAACATGGACCGGAATCAATAAACAAACCATACAGAAAGAACTCGGCAGGGAAAAAAGGAAAACAAACACATGCATCCATCATGAACGCCTGGCCGGTTAAGTCTATTCTTTATTCGTATTGGAGGTCGTGATGCACAAGGTATATCTCGATCTATCTCTGCAATGAGCTCCTCTCTCTGATCGGAGGAAACTTGTTGCGTGTTTCCTCCAATGACATCCAGTACAGACAATTATCAGGCAAACCCTAAAATGAGGCTGGCGGGCACTCTTAGAATGCGCCTCCGAGGTACCTGCATTGGCATCTGTTCGTCTCGTCCAATCCGGCCCGGGCAGCAACTGACAGATGCACCCCGGGCACCTCTTTTCCCTTCCCACCATTCTTGCCTTCCACGGCCTGGAAGAAGGAAGTGTAACTGTGACACGCGACTACCGCGACATCAGGCCAGCCGTAAATCCGTTCTGCATGGACTTTTGGCCTGGATATTACCGCATCGTCAGCCGCAGTTCTCTTCTCACATCAGTCGAGGCCGCAAATCACCACATCTCTAGTCTACGCCCACCGTGCCCCTGTGCCGCTCCGTTTTCCTCGAGACTCACTGTCTTCCCCTCTTGTTTGTCTCTTTTTCTCGGGCTGCTTTACGTACCTAGACCGTGGTGGCCCTTTGTCCGATCTCACCGTATCTCGAACTCGGAACCTTGGCTTCCATTTCAATTTCTTTCCCGCAACCTGCTTTCGGCCGGTGGATCTGCTGTTATCAGTCTCGGAGAACCTGGCAAAGTAGCGTTCGTCTCCTTGCCTTGGTCGAGTCATCAATTGCTACCACGACGACATCATGTTGCTCTCACCCATCCGTTTCGAGCTTCTCCTGAACAGGACTTCGTCCTGTTTTGACCAAGTTGACCTCGGGACGGTCCATTCCCTGGTCCAGCCCGAATGCCCGTCTCCGAACAGGCAAAGGCCGCTGTCGATCACCTTGCCAGCGCCGAACTAAGCCTCCTGGCGGATGGAACTGTGCCGGTGCGGCCATGCTTTGCAACCATGGACTCGACCGACGACATCTGGCCCTGGCAGGTCTGCTCTTCGGGACGGCCCAAGTCTGTGACGTATCAAATATCCGATCTGATCATTTCATGAGCACAGCGCCGTCCTCTGCTTTTGGCTCTCTATTGATTTTGACCATAGATGCGATACACTATGGGTGACCCCCGGGGGTCCTGGAAACCCTCTTCTCGCAACGTCGGGGCCGAGAAACAACTCCTTCAGGCGGTCAAGTCGTCATCCGTGGCCAGATACCATGCCACTTCCATGCTTTGGTTCGCAGCACTCATCTGCAACCGACCGAGTCTAGTCTCCTCCTGCCCCCAGGCCAGGCTGCTCCTGGCGAACCCTGCGCTGTCTGAACGACACATCGACCGACGTTCCAGGTAATGTCTGACAGCTTTGACACCAATGTCTCGCATTTTTCCCGACATACCTCAGAAGAACAAGGCCGAAGACCACTCCGGTTTTCTCATCAGCACAGCAGCGTGGAGTCATGGACGACTGATTTACCCTTTTGAAGTTTAGGCGCAGAAAAGCAACACAACCCACCTAACACAACCCAATGGCACCCCAATTCAACCCATCCGAGCCGACAAACTCTGCAGAGCCCAGATACTGGATCTTGCCGAACATCCATCGGTCCAACCATTCATCTGCCTTTCCATGCTGGCATGCCCGTGCCTATCCCATCTTCAGGGACTGGCGGGTCACAATGGCTCCCACAATAGATACCCCATCGCTACCAATGGCCATGCGGCCTCTACCAATGGTCCGGCGGTAATCCGCATGTACACATCCATCTCATTGGCAGTTGCTCCCACCCCCATAGCTACCTGATGACGTCGTGTACCTCCGGCTTCGACGACGATGCCCGCGTCTCCGCCAGGTTTATGCCAACGGCCTTCAGTGCTTGAAAGGGCTTGTTGCCCCGACACCCTCCCGGCTTCGACAGTGTTGCCTCCCGCCTTCCCGCCCAATGTCGGCGTCTACCGCCCATTGCTACCGTACAGCACCACGCCACACACCACTACGTATCATCGTGAGGTCCCTTCAGAATGCCGTCAATGAGCTGCTCCAACCAATGCCGGGTTCATCCCGTTTCCATAATTAGCACCAAATCCTTCCATCATGCAGGGACATTCAGCGCCCGCTCCCCAAGTCAGAATGTCGTGTTTCCTCACCCGGACATGTTGTCCAACGCCAACCGAGTGGGATTTGCGGAGAAGAGCTGCTTCGGACACGGCTTTGGCATCATCTCTACTGGCTGTGTCGCATTTCTGATCTTCGACTCACATTCTGGTCCACCTTTGGGGGTGGCGCAGAGCCACCGAACTTCGTCATCAAACAAGTCATTCGCCTCAGCTCGCCCAATCATGACTTGGTTCCGCCTTGCCCTGTTTACCGTCGCATTTTCGGTACATTCACAACTGGCTCGTCGCCGAGAGATCCCTGATCTACGCCTATCTACAGCACAACTGCAGGAAATGAAACAGGCTAAATGTTGAAACGGAGGATTCTGTCTTGCAAGTGGTGTCTGCAGGGCTGAAAGCGTATGGCAATCCTGCCGCCCATACGAGCCAAATTCGACGCACCATGACAACTTCACCTCCTTGATAGGCAATGTCGAACCCATACTTTAACCTGTTGTGAGGTCCAGGAGCGCGGGGCAGAACACGGTAGAAGGAGGGCATAGCCACATTTTTCCTCAATCATGCTCGCATGACTATGTTCTATACGATGGCGTGCTGACTCTATGCCATCTTGACTATACAAGGTTGCGCAAATGTGGAGGTTCGGAGCTGTCGGGAGGACACACTCTCAACTTGGCAGCTTGGACTATATAGAGTACCTATTTGTGGACACGCAGCATTTGCGATTCCAAGTTCTTCGACAACACTTGACCGCGTGGCTTCCTGGTTCGGCTGCACTTTCGAGCCGTTTTTGGGAATGATTCGCTAGGATGGGTACGAGTGATCGGCAGCGATGATGGGGAAGGGTCTTGCATGTTCCTCGAGGCAAGGTCAACTCTCGGCTGCAATCCACGTGATCGTATGGAGTGCAGGGATTGGAGGCACTACTATTGATGGGTGAAGGCTCATCGATACGAATCCAAAGAGAGAGATTTTTGCTAGGCTAGGCATCAGAAGGCGAAGGTGGTTGCTATGCCTCTGGATTTGGTACTCTCCCAATTCGACGACGCGACAATGGATCGAAGCAAGCAAATCATGTCACTAGACAATGCTTATGATTTACTTGCTCCGAAACTTGTCGTGTTGTCAAGGACAATGCATCATGCGGTACTGCTATGATGCGTGCTCTGTCAGCTAAGTTACAAGCCGGTCGTAAAGCCTACCGGTGACATAAGTTATTGGATATTCCTCAGAGTAGATATTTCTCGGGAAGTGGGAGTGTGACATTTTGGTGTTGTGAAACCCCGGGAGATGTAGGACAATGATGAGTATCATCCACATCTTGGAGCATGCTGCAGTCTCGCACTAAACTCTGGCAAACATTGTTTTACAGGAAATGCTTCCCCTTTAGTTTAAGAATTATAAGCCATCTTTGGAATCTATAATTGTGATCTTTGGCCGCCAACAAGTCACGGGAAATTGTGGTCCCGGCGAGTCGAATTTAGGTTGGACATCTGGACAAAAATCATACCTGGCCTAGGACCGGGGCCGGCAGCAGATTTTCCATGATCGGTTGGCATGCAAGCGCAACTGGGAGGTCGGCTTAGGCTGAGAAATAATGCTAAGCAAAACCGCCAGTGTCTTTTCCCGTGATGCCACCACTTCTCTCTCCATGGAGATGCGTGGTGGGGGAATGTGTGAGAGTATCATTACTTTTCTCTGTTCCTATGGTCTGATCAACTTTTGAGGTGCAGAGAAGGTCCAGAAATATTGCCCAGCGATCCACATCATTCGTCTCGGTCAGTTCCCATGATGGCCGAAATGATACTAGACTTCGCTGCTTCTAATCGGTTCCGGTCACAAAGTTTTGGCGCCGCGTCTGTAACATATTTCTGAGGACATGAACAGTAGAATAGACGGAATCATGTTTTTCTTTGGCTGTCTCAGTCCCTACTGCTCTAGTACTTCATGGATGGGGACCCCGATGACATTGAAGGGGGAGAGGTTGGAAGTAGTGGAAGGTAGCCATGGAATGTATTCCATGGACCTTAGAGACGTGCGTTTGGTCCCTTTGCGCAGAGATCGACATGTTGCGAAACATACGGAATCAAGCTGCCAAGCTTATGGAGGGCCTCGTTATCCATGCCCTCTCATAATCAGTACAGAAGACAAGTGCTGATGGCAAATTGAGAAAACGCAGACGGGCGCACTGGCTGAGGTTCTCGAATTCTCTCCAAGAATGAGTGTACGAGAGGCGTGTGTTTTTTGTCGAAAGCAACCCAGCATTTCGGTTTGCGACCGGTGAGACACTTGGCTGGTAAACTTCTCTTTCACAGAAGACGTTTCCCAGTCAGGGGAGACTTGGACCATTGACAGAGGTAAGTCGAAGATGAGCAGTTGTCATCAGAGGTCACGTCACCTGGTATACTACGCCTCACTTACACCGCAAGGCAGCTTGCGCGCTGGAAAGACAGCGGCGGCGGCTGGGAATCCACTTTTGGGATCGGCGGGTTTGAGTGCGGCCTGTGCGCCAGCACTTGGAGGGGTGAGCTTCAGCCACCGTGGCTTGACCTTGCGACGACATCATCAGCTTCAGACACATGTCCAACAATTCCCATTTCCATATTCTCGCCCAAGACCAACCCCGGAAGCGCCGCGAATCTGAGCGAACGACACCGAAGAAGCAACCATGGCTCGATTATCATCGGCATCACCATTCAACCCCGTCACATCCCCCGAGAAGGGCGCAGCCGAGCTCAGCCAACTCCTGCGGCGACTCGACCACACGATCCTCCACGCCGACCCAGGCCGCGAACGCAAGTTACGGGCTAGTGAATTTGAGAGGGCCAGACTGAATTCAGTAGGGTTCTAAATGGAGTCCCATTGCACGCGCACTTGTGCTCACAAGATTCTCTACAGAACCTCGAATATGCTCGAAGTCTTCTTACCAGAGTAGAGCAGGAGGCGCTGTACGTCAAGCTACTCTCCCGGAGGCAGGATATGCAGGTCGACCTGAACCGCAAACGCGAGCTTCTGGAAAGGCTTGTGGATAGGATGCATGATCTTGAACAGGTGCGCTCTTTGATGCCTGCAGACTCTCAGTAGGATGGGAAGGCGAACCCACAGGTCATTGCTAATGCTTGCGTAATAGTTACACGAGGATGAGGATGACAATAGCTCAGATGGAGAGGACATCCTGGCTGATATCATTCCGACACCGAGCGAGAGCATGGATTCACGATCAACAGACATACCCACAGACAACACCCCCGAAGACGACGATGACGAACCAGAAATAGCGGACCTACCTCCACCAGTGTCAGCTGTCCCCAGAGAACCGTCAGAGACGCCACCGGCACCGGCACGGCCAGCAACAGAACCATCACCAGCGTTGCAAGTCCACACGACTACCGGTTCGGGTACAACGACGACCCAGACTCTCCGATCCCGCGGCCCTGCTCGCCCAGGCTCCCCGTCTGCGACAACCACAGCAACGGCACGCGCGGCTCTCTTCGCCTCCCGCCGCTCCAACACCCTGAAGTCCTCAGCCTCTGGGCCCGCATCATCGACGGCGACGGCCGAGGCGATCCTGGACCATCAGCGCGCGGAGCAGGATGCGCTGTCCGAGTCGATCCTGAAGATGGCCAGCGCGCTCAAGGCCAGCTCGCAAAAATTCTCGAACACCCTCGAGCAGGACAAGGGCGTGGTGTCACGCGCGGCCGATGGGATGGACAAGACGGAGAGGTCGATGGATGCCGCGAGTCGGAGGATGGGCACGCTGAAGAAAATGACCGAGGGGAAGGGGTGGTGGGGTCGGATGATCATGTATGCTTGGGTTTACGGGCTCATGGTCGCCTTGATCCTGTTGGTGTTTGTGATACCGAAGCTAAGATTTTAGGAAGAAAAGACAGAGGGATGGCGTCAAATTTTCTCTTTCGAAGAGAGTGAGAGTATACGACAACATGTCTACAGAGGCGTTGGGATGACAAAGAGCTCGCCTGCAAATTGGTCTCGAGGGGCATGGCATAAGCGGCACAACCAAATGCAAGATGATTGTTTGATTTAACGATATTTCTCATGAAATCCGTTGATCATATGGTATCTACCTCACTGATTCATTCAGTCACCCAGAGCCCGTATCCAGAAGCTCCATCATAACCCGACCCAGGCCGCACAGAAGACAAAGGCCAGTGCAGCAAAAACCTCAGCGATGACGCTCTGTGTGCTTCCCACCGATGCTGGCTGCTCCGTGACCAGAGTGGACGACAATGGTGACGAAGATTCAGGGAGTCCGGACGTTGAAGACATTGATGCCGTCGAAGATTCCGAGAGGGTCGTCGCCGTCGGCGTGGCGCACGGCTTAGCAGATGCGAGCGCAGGCCTGGACGTTGTCGAAGGCGGCGGCGGCTCGGTGATGAACGTGGGCCACCTCACAGTCGCGAGAGCCTGGATGGATTTTGTCTTGAACTCGGAGCCGAAGCAGGCCAGGCCCGTCCTCTGGTTCTCCCCTGAGCCGCGGAGGAGTGTCCCGCAGACTGGGCTCTGTGTGTTACTGCTCGAGGCGGTCAGCAACCCTCTGTGCTTTCGACCGATAAGAGAGGCATGCGAGGGAAAGGATGAGATCGAATTGGAAAGTCGAGCAACATAACATACCAGCAGAGGGTCCTCACCCCGTTCTCTGTCTTACCATTGCAGACTGGCTCGGTAGGGCCTAGGCAGGTGGTGTATAGACCTCCGCAGAGCCATCTGCCTGTATTCTGGCAAGCGATTCCTGTGGTTCCCGTACCGCCTGTGCAAGTGACCGTTGCGTATTCTGACAGAATTTTTGACACAGCTTTAGTGATGCTTCTTGTGATACCCTTCTGATCCCATGAACCGAACAACTAACCTCCGCCCGTGCTAAAGAACCCGCACGTTTCTTTCCCGACGCTCTCCGAGAGGGCAGGATCTGGAACTTCTTGCCTCGGGGTCGGGATCGCAGGACATTCGTCCAACGGACCGCTGTTATTCAATTTGTCGAGGGTTAGACTAGCGCTCTTTGTCGGCCTGATAATGTCAAAGCCGCCAGCTTCCGCTGTCGTCGAGGACAGAAGGATGCCGATGAAAGTGAGCAGAACAGAGTGGTCGCGCATGTCGAAAGGGGATGGGAACTGCAAAGTGAGAGATTGTGGGAAGTTGCCTTCAGAACGACGGAGCCATGGAAAGATTTTCGCCGGAAGGAGACGCGAAAAAGCATTCCAACGTGGTACTATAAGTAAGTAGGTTCTCGGCATCGATCTGAGGACGGACTTGCGTGTTTTCTCAAAAAAGGTGGTCTAAATGTGATGGAACGGAGCAAACATGTACGACGAAGACACGAGCGAGGGGAGGAAGCCCTTGGATGTGTTCGAAACTGGGACCGACATGACCGGGACGGCGTCTCTTTGTTCGCCTTTTATCGCATCTCTGTCTTTGCGCGCAAACATTCGGCCGAGGCCTCAAGGGCGGATATCTCTCTGTTACATTGCATGATTCCATAACCTCTATGAATAGGTGTCAAGGTTGCGAGGCAAGACCACGCCCCCTTGAACTAGTAGTAATGAGAATAAGACGAGTAGCCCCGACCAGGAGGGCTGTAACCGTGGTTCTGGAACCGTCACTGTGATGCCATGCTCAAGCGCGCGAAGTTCTTGACTTTTTTCAACATCATAATTGCAATACACAAGTCTTCTCAAGAGTTTATGGAGACAAATTGACTAGTCATATCCCGAGAAGTCTCAGAATTGATTTGATTTCGGAAACATTTTCCTCGAAAGTAAGATCAAGGGTTCTTGAAATGACACCCTGATGAACCGTGGATGCCAACCGATTTCCACCGGGATGGTCGTGGAGGAAAACGTTCAAGAACTCCATCCAGCAGAATCAACGTCAAATAAACGTTGGATGTTCTGAGAAGAACTGTCCCGGCCGTTATATTGTTCTGCCCCCCCTCTGTAGTGTATTCAAGATATTCACGGCACTCTCCTTGGGACGAATACAGCAAGTCATCCGCATACGTATGTCCATTATCAAGCCTCGTGAGAAGCGTTGTTACATGTGACTTCCACGAAAACATAACCTGATTAACTTCTCAAAGAAGTGGTATCTCTGTTAAGAAAGAAACCGGGCGACTCATTCCCAAACGATTGCCCGACCCGACAGATCCCGTGTGCAGAATTGGATGTTGAAGGCCTGTCAAAAGACCACTGCAACGTCGAAATCATTCAGCCCAACTCAGCCGGCTTCATTGCACTTCCTATTGCATCGCTCGCTGGGGCCTGAAACACCTCTCGCTGCGCAGACGAGGACGCGCACGCAGACACCGGCGACATGGGCTGGTAACCGTACTGCTCGCCGCCTCCCTCTTTCGGAGACACACACGGTTGATCGCCGGCGAGCTCGTGACTAGGAGACGGTGAGACGTGGCCGCTTGACCCCCGACCTGACACCGCCCGCCTTCGTCTCACGACAAGCCACGTCGCGACGCAGCCGGCAATGGCCAAAATGGTCAAGCTACCGAGGACGCCGCCGACAATGGCCCCGGTCTGCGAGCCGACGGATGGAGCGCCGCCGCCGGTAGGCCCTGACGTCGGTGCGTTTGTCGAAGAGGCCATCGACAGTGTCGGAGCCGATGGGACGGAAGGGGTGGGCATGTCCGAGGGCGTCGAGGAGTCTGGGGTTGGTGTGGTCCGCGTCTCGGCCGAAGAAGTGGATGAAGACGTGATAAAGTCCCTTACGATCTGCAGATAGACGATGGGATCCCAGGCAATGTCGTCTTCGCGACATGCTAGGAGCGTCTTGTCGCCCAGGGCACCTTCACTCCTGATAAAGGTCTGGCACTCCCCGTTGTAGCCATTCGATTTCATGCTGGAATGTTCAGACACTGTCAGTTCGTCCACCCCCAGTAGAAACCAATTCACGGCAATCCCGAGGACGTACCAGCAGAGTGTATTCTTTCCGCGAACCTGGGATTGCCCGCACAGGGGATGATTGAACGCTAAACAGGTAACAATGGCGTTCCCTCCACAGCCCAGATAATCATTTGAGGCGGTGCAGTCTTTGGTTGCGTCGCAAACGCGTGTTCTCGGTACTGAGGAGCCCAACGAATGATGTTAGTCTTTTTTATCATAGTCTAGATTTCGCATGGTGGTCTTCTATTAGAGCGAGGCTGTTAATTTCAAAGTAAAGAAGAGACTGACTTCTCGGGACGTCTTTGGAGAGGGTGAAGAAACCACAGGTATTCTTGCCCAGGGTCTCGACTTGAAGAGCACTCATGCTCTGCTCTAGTCTCTTCAAGACGGCAGCTGAATGCATGAATGCTGGCGTCGGCTTCGGCCGCGGCCATCCGTTCGCCCTCGGTAACGCGGGGATGCTGCCATTGATTCCAAGATCTGTTGATAGATCCGGCAGGTTGGCGCGCCAGAATCCGAGACTTTCCGCCCATGGTAGGCTGGCCGCAACGACGAGTAGCAGAACCGGGAGGGTCTGCATCGTTGAAGCCGACCAGGAAGGTGCTATTGAGGAAGGAAGGAGAAGACGGTTATGTAGCGACGATGAGGAAGAAAACGGGTATGTGACGAAAGAGATGGGAAATCGAGGCGGAGTCCCAGCGAAAAGGGTGCCCTGAGTGGTTTTATTCGCAGCTTTGGCCATTGCCTTTGTCCACGGTCTAATCAGAACATTGACCATTTAGGATGGATGGATTAATGGAAGAGCTGTTTGTGATATGTTCGTCCGCGAGCTTGTGCCCCAGCTGTGCTAATTTCCTTCTCCAAGGGGGAGGGGTGGTACAAACACGTTCTCATGGTGTTTGCTCCCATGGTGTTTCTTGTCGTCGGCTGGGACACAAACGTCTTTTCATCCAGTCACTCGGTTCTCGCTTTGATTTTCATACTGTAAAGTCCGTTTGGTCCTATGCTTTTCAACAAGTTTGTGTACCGGAACCTGGCCTCTCCACCCACCCCTGCCCCCCTTGCTGTTGCGAGACTCGGTCAAATAGTTCCTCTTGCTTTGAAGTCCGTGGTATTTCAACATGAAGCCGAGTCTCCCTTTTCAGGAGGAAGAAGGGGGGGGAACTCTTCAACCTAACGGCGACCGTACTCTGAATCTTCCTGCGGCGAGATGGAGCATGTCTAAAGCTGTATCACGTCACGGGGGTGTTTTTCACAGCCACTCCCACTGTCATCAATTGCGAAGCAGTTTTTTCAAGACCTCTGTTGATAGAGAGGCTTATAGCACTATTTCGTGCTACGATTCTCTTTACCATGGCAATCAATGGTAGGTCTTCAGTCTCCTAATCCTTCTTCCCTGCCACCTCGCGCTTTCATCCGGAACCACTCACATCTCATCCTAGAACGCCGCATCCCCCATCAAAGTCTGCGATGCCTAGAGACATAGGAGATCCACTTACGTGGCTAAAAGATGGAGAAAAACTCAAGAGACTACTCATAGTGGTCCCAGGAAGAACCCTCACCTCCAGCCTCAGAATTGGCTCGGGTGGCGGCCGCGGGGTCGTAGGTCGTGTCGAACTCCTCTTTGGGGTAACTGGCCAAGCGCTCCCTGTCAGCGTAGATTGTGCGGGTAAATGCCCCGCCGGAGGTTTTCAAGCAATTCTTCGCTCGGTTGACGGAATTGGGATTCTTGGTGACGACGATCTGGTAAGAGTTGGCGCTGCCTTGACGGAAGATGATCGTCATGTACGCTAGAAAGAACTCAAAGGTCTATGAGGTAGATTCAAGGTCAGCGTCATCTCAATCATATATATAGTTTAAGGACGGAAAAGAAAGACAAAGTCGAGAAACTAACCCGGAAGATTTTCGAGCCGTACGTGGCCTCCAAAGCCTTTCGATTGCAGACAAAGTTGTTGTACCACTTGCGGACCGTTGCGGAGTGGTGGGCACTGATGTTCTCCACGCTCTTGACTTGGAAGCCGGCGTTCTCGAGCTGGTCTGTCAAGGATCCGAGAGAAGCGTACGGCACGGCGTCAGGGCAGACGTACTTTGCCGTCAGGAGTCTCCAGATGAGGTCCTCGTACTGCCAGGACTTGCGCGCGCCCGCGACTTCAAGGAACAAGACGCCGTCGTCGTCGAGAAGGCCGTGGAGGAGTCGGAAGAAGCCCGCGTATTCTCCGGGACCCACGTGCAGAGCCATGAAGTTGCCGGGGCCCTTGTGCAGGGCAAGGTGCATGCAGACGATTTTCTTGTAGCCGCCTTTGATGGCGGGGATGTTGTGGTACTCGCCGGTGTGGGTGAAGCCGGTGAAGGGGATGTAGGGGAAAATACCGTGTATGTAGTCGGCGAGCGCTTCCCAGCCATAGCCGATGCTAAGGATGCTGTCTTGCCGGTTGAGACGAATCTTCTCACAGATGACGCGGAGCTTGTTGTCCTCAAGCCCCTCGAGGGACTTATCCTCGTAGATGTTGCGGACGATTCCGGAAGTGTACATCATGCGGGGTCCCAGGAAGCAGCCCATCAAGCCTAGATCGAGCTTCTCGAGGGCTGGGTGGATTTCATCGTCGTCTGGATATGAATTAGACTTTGGTGATGGGATATGGACAAGCATAGAGAGAAACATACCATGAGAATAGAAATCCATGACGATCTTTGGGATGAGATGGAAGAGGAAGTAGTAGATGAGATGGAAGGTCAGACGGAAAGAAGCCCAGTCATGTCTCATCTCGAGGACATCCAGTGTGTCTCCCATCATCTCAACGTCTCCGTCAATGTACATCTGACACAATGTTGCCATCGGAATCTTCCTTCTGTTGCGATACTTGACCTTGACCGAATGCTTGAATGTCAAGTAGGCTTCGATAGGTAAACCGGGAAGAAGGACGGTCTCGTTGATACGAGGGCTGATGGCAGAGGTGACGAGCCAGAAACCGGCGGCGACGGGAACAGCTATAAAACTGCTGAGAATGAAATCCATGACGACCCCTCCTCCAGTACTGAAGGAGAGGTAGAGAAATGGGAGTACGAGGGCGTACCCCAGGGCCAGGCTGCTGAAAAGTTCTGGCATCTTGGCTGCGATGATGCTTGTTGGATAGGAAGTATGAGATTTTGAGAGATGGGCGAGGCAGAGAGCTATTTAAAGCAAGATCCTCTAGACACTGCTTAGTCGCTCGCACGTATTCGAGACACAATACGGGACGGGTGCTGGCGGGGGGAGGGAGGGGGAGACGTGAGTTGAATAGGATCTCAGATAAATAGGAGACGTAGCTAATGTTCGTTCCCGAACCTCTCCAGAATGGCGTCTTTAGGAGCGCCAACAACAGTCAACGGCCAACGGTCACCCTATAACTGGTGTAAGCAGCCCTGCTTTATTGTCCGCCCGTAGTTGAGGCACAACATAAGATTAGCACTGGGGCGGGACTGAAGTTAAACAGGAGAGGCAGTTAATGTTCATTCCTGAACTTCTCCAGAATGAAGTCCTTAGGATTGCTAGCAACAGTCAACGGCCACTGACTCATCTTTGCTGGACTGATGTCAGCGGCCCTGCTTTATCATCTACCCGTATATGAGGCATAGTATGGGACTGGCACCGGGGCAGGACCTACGTTGAATGGGAGAAATAGTCAGTGTTCATTGCTGAACGTCAAGGCTCTGCTTGGTTGTCTACCAGTGTGATTCTCTCTAGATTCAGGACACACCATCTTAAGAAGGGAAAACGAAAGTTGAAGCCCACGGTCCCTGGAAACTCCTCTGAAGGCTCTCGGCCTCACTGCTCCCCTTAAGGATCCTTGAAGTTGGGAACAAGGCGGGTTGTCCCACAAAGCAAAGAACGGCTTGAAGTTGCTTTCTCATCATGTCAACTTGTTCTTGTTGATACTGGGTTGAGTCTGTGGGTGTGAAGTTGCTTAAGTCTTTTCGCCATGGAGATTTTGGGTTCAAAGGGTTATGACCCTCGTCTCAGTTTGATGTAGCAAGACCACCTCACATGCCGTCCCATATGGATGACATATAGATGAGAGCCACCTTGGAATAGGGACAGCGAAGATGCTCTGTGTGTATATAAGTCTACCATCACAATGCCAGTCTCTTCTCGGATAAAGACCTTTGGTTTGCCGGACTACGAGCAAGAACAACAAAGGCTGTGGGGCCTCCAGTAATACTACTCTCAGTCGACTAAAGGGAAGAGAAAGATTGTTGCTTGGAAGAGAAATGACTGGGCTCATCTCAGAAGTCTGGAGCTACTGAACACTTTGGCTCTGTGTTGTGTGGTACTGTAAAGATCTCATTCCTTTTCTTGACTCTCCCACACTTCACAATGCCGTTCTAAATTAGAACTCAGCGCAGAAGCTTTCTTGAAGACTGGCAGCAGCACAATCATCATATGACAGTCTTTCCTTCTGCCAAGGTATGTAAAGGCCCATTAATGAATCAAATTGGCTTCTCCAACGCATCGCTTACAGGCACATTTGGGCGAGAAAAATTATCGAGCAAGTTTGGGTGTCAAAGGATTAAAGATGGCGTGCAGATGTAAGCGAATGCGGGGGCCCAGGAGAGAAAGCACGGACCCTGCAAGGGAGCCTACCCCAACTTTTGGGGGGCTATTGAAGGGGCTCCAGGAGAATACCTAGACATGATCGGGGTAAAGACGCTTGTGAGGAGTTGGGAATAGCTTCATTTGATATCCTAAACAAGAAAACCCCCAAAAAGTCCAGCCACCGTGGGCCAATCGTCTCTCTATAGACTTTGGACCAGTCCACAGTTCGCCACCTGCACCGGATGTTTCTCCGACATCTCATTGCATCCAAGTTTTGCCCCTCCCACCAGGTATATCCAGACACCCCACCTCAACCCTGCAAGTACAACCGTCCCTCCCAAGGTCTCAAAGCCGTCTTCCCGCCCTCGGAAGCAACCCGCTCCTTGACGTCGTCGTAGTTTCCAACCCGGATCTTCAGGCCCTCGCCGGGCACCGTAACCTCCTGCTCCTCCCCTGTGAAATTCAACACCACAACGGCGCTCCGGCCCCCCCGCGTCTTCTTGTACACAAACGTCTTTTCATTCTCCTCGTCAAACAGCGCAAACGCCCCATGCGTCAGCAGCTCGCCCTCCTCCTTGCGCAGCTGCAGCATCTCCCGCCAGAAATTCAGCACCGACCGGGGCTCCCGCTCCTGCTTGGCGACGTTGATGGACCGGTACTCGTCGTGGACGCGCATCCACGCGCCGTCCTTGCTGTCGGTGAAGCCGGCGAACGCCGTGTCGTCCCACTGCATCGGGATGCGCGCGTTGTCGCGGCCGAGCAGGTTGATGCCGTCCATGACGTATTTCAGCATCTCGCTGCCCTCGCCAAACTCCTTCTTGATGTCGTCGTAGTAGTTGAGCGCCTCGATATCCTTGTAGTCCTCGATGCCCCAGCTGCGCGAGACGTTGGTCATGCCAATCTCCTGGCCCTGGTAGACAAAGAGCGTGCCCGTCTGCGAGCACATCATGAGCGCCAGCATCTTGGCCGACGTCTCCCTCCACTCGGGCGCGTCGCTGCCCCACCGCGAAACGGACCGCCCTTGATCGTGGTTCTCGCAAAAGGCCGTCGTCCACCCGTCGGTGCCCTCGATGAACTGCTGCCATTTCGCCACGATGCGCTTCAGCTCGGGGAGGGTCCATTTCTGCGCCTGGTACTTGTAGCCGACGCCCTGGCCGAGGTCGACAATGTCAAACTGGAAGACCATGTCGAGCTGGCGGTCGGCGGCGCTGATGAATTTGAGGACGTGCTTGGGGTCCGGGGTGTGGGGGAGCTCGCCGACGGTGACGGTGTCGTAGTGGTTGAGGACCTTGGCGTTCATCTCGCGCAGGAACTCGTGTATCCGCGGGCCGTTGCAGTAGATCATGTAGGCGGGCTGCTCGTAGGCGTTCTTGTTCATGATGGGGGCGTCTTTAAAATCGACGCCCTTGCTGTACATGTTGACCGTGTCGATGCGGAAGCCGTCGACACCCTTGTCGAGCCAGAAGCGCATTGCGTTTTCGTAAATGGCCTCGCGCGTCTCCTCGTTCTCCCAGTTGAGATCGGGCTGCTCCTTGGCAAAGAGGTGGAGGTAGTACTCGCCCGTCGACTCGTCCCACTCCCAGGTGCTACCACTGAAGTGGCTTCGCCAGTTGGTGGGAGGCAGACGGGTGCCGTCCTCGGCGTAACGGGGTGGCTTCCAAATGTACCAGTTGCGCTTGGGGTTAGTTTTTGACGATTTGGACTCTTGAAACCACTTGTGCTGGTCCGAGGTGTGGTTGACGACCAGGTCGAGGATAAGCTTCATGCCGCGCTTGTGACATTCCTCGATGAGAACCTCCATGTCGCGGACGGTGCCGTAGGGGCGGTGGACGTCCTGGTAATCGGAAATATCGTAGCCCATATCGACCTGGGGACTGGCGTACATGGGCGACACCCACACGATGTCGGTGCCCAGGTCCTTGAGGTAGTCAACCTTGTCAATCATGCCCTGGACGTCGCCGAGGCCATCTCCGTTGCCGTCTTTGAAGCTGGCGGGGTAGATCTGGTAGATGACGGCATCCTTCCACCAGGCTCTGCTGGCGTTATTCAGAGTTATCGAACCCATTTCGGAAAACCTAGTCTGATGAAGCTTTTGAAGCCAGTCTAAAGAGATGTCGTTGGAGGGTCAAGAAAGAGAAAGCAAAGAAGAAGGGAGGTAGTGGGACATTAGGCTCAGAACAGAGCTGGAGCAGAGCAGAGCAGGGCAGAGCAACGACTAGCATCAAGGCTCGAAAGGTCGCGGTCGCGCTTCTGGAGCTCCTCGCTCTCGTTTATATACATCCTCACAAGCCGGACCACAGTCGAACTAAGCCCAAAAGCTATCGTCTTTCCCCACCCCCTCTTTTTCTTCTCTCCCTTTCTCTCTCTCTGTTTGTGTGTGTGTTTGTGTCTATCTCAAGTTCCATGTCCAAAAAGTCGAAAGACAATGGCAATAACCGAGGCGGGACACGAAACGTCGTGCATGTGTGGGCCATGGTGCGCAAGATCGTCCACTCGATGACAGGCCGGTGCATGCAAACGCCGCATGCGGTGGTGGCCCTGGAGTCAGTCCCGAGTTCCTCTGCCCGCGCGGGGTGAGGAGTCGTGGTGGAGGTGGTGGTGGTGGGCGCTGGGCCGACCAATGACAGAAGTTCAAGGGAGCTCAATTCTCGCTGTAAAGTCTGGCAGAAATACCATTGGTTCCCCTGCGTGAGTTTTTGGTGTGGTGTGCAAATACCGGCGAAGAAAAAGAGCGAACTACCTTAATACACGCAACCCAGGGGCGCGGGTTGGGTAGCGGCTAAGATAAAGATAGGCGTGCCGGGCAAACTCTCGCTAAATTGTCGATCGGGGCCCTGCCGACCTTTCTTGGAGTCTTGGAGTCTTCGAGTCTCGGACCTCTTTCTCATGTTCATGTGCCCCTCCACTGTCAACTAAGCTTACCGTCCACTTTACAAACCAATTACAACGTATCCGTCCAACCAACCCAACACACGCTACGTAAACTTGCGCACACTTATAGCAACAACCCCCATGGATTCGCACGTACCTTAGCAGGGCGAAACTTGACCTGAGAACAAGTGCCTAACATTGCCTTTCTCAGTCAAGCGGTGTCATTTGCCGGATGGCCCGAGGTGGATGCTGTGCCGCTCTCCCTGAATGGTTCCAACTTCCCGAGCAAAAGACGTTGCCCGTTTGTCCAGAACTCCAGACTCTAGGTATCCGCGGCCATCCATTATCCGCCCCGTCGTCCTGTCGCGCTATCGCACTGTCGCCCCCGTCTGATCTACCGTGACGGGGGATTCTCCGACGACAGCTCCGACAACATGCGTTCAACCGCTTTTCCGATTCTCCTTCTTTGTCCTGTCCTGTCCTCTCATATGTCTCTCTTGGGACGAGTCGGTCTCTGAGAGCAGAAAGAGCCTGAACGCTCCTCCTCCTCCCCCGCCGGTGTTCAACCGCTTCTGCCACACCGTTTCTTCGCACCTGATGCGACAACACTTCGCGACGACCACCGTCCCGATGGAGGCGGGGTTGGTTGTCGCGCTCATTCGGGAAATATTCGGGGCGAACGCTGACGACGAAAGGGGCACATCCCCGAACCTCAAGGTAGGACAGGCGTGGCAGGTTGCCAACCGCTGAAAGCTTGTCGGCGACGCCAAGCGGGAATATGAACCTTCGTCCTAAACTGTGCCCAACTTTAAATGTATAACAAAGTAAGCCAAGACCCCAAGTAAGGTCGCCAACGGCGGGCGGCAGTGCGGCGGCAGTGGGTGCGTGTGTAGCCCTGCACCGCATCGCAGGCCCGTTTTTCTCGGACTTCGACCGTCCCTCGCAACCAACCTACCACCCGGCTTCACGGCTTCAGAGGCCCGGACTGTGGGCAGCTCAAGCTCGCCTACTTTGGTCTTGCGGCTTGCCCTAGTCTGGTGGGAAATCCGGTATTAAGTGCAGACTTCCGTTCAGACTGCGGTCCACCCACGCGGGGTACCTTACCCTGTACACGTGTAGCACCGACGTCCCAGTCGGATATCGAGCCACACTATCGAGCCTCTGGGTCGACTCCGGATAGATTCAGGTGGGGAGAGATAGGAGCAACTCTTTATCTGCACAACAGGTTTGGCCGACTGGCCGCTGAGCTGAAGCGGGCAAAATGTAGGTCAGAGTTCCGGATAAGTTTCATATCATGTGCCATTTTTGTGTAATTCCTGTCCTATCATACTTAATACTACAACCGCCAGAATAGACGCAGACGCTTTTGGAGCTCCCGATTCCCAGGCGAACACATTGGGGATGCCCTATTGTCGCCATAATGACTAGGCTCCCCTTTCGGACCATTCCGAACCTCTACTCCTCGTCATCGTCAGCTTCTGCCATGCTGGTGTCTGCAGCGGGTTTCGCCCTGTCAGCCTCATCATCGGAGTCTGCACCCGCGCCATTCTTCTTGGGGGCTTCATCCTCGTCCTCATCCTCGTCGCTCTCAATGACTCTGCCCCGCCTGGAACGTGAGCTTTGCTGCCGTCTACCAACTCCTCCGTCGTCCTCGTCATCGTCGACGTCTCTGTTGTTGTCAACCTCCATCTTGTCCTCGTCATCCCCGGCCTTTTCTTCAGCATCGGAGAGAGGAGAGCTAGCCTTTTCGAGTGCTCTCTCTGCACGATCCAGGGGATCGTCATCCTCATCCTCGTCATCGCTGTCAACGATGATCTCGGCAGACTTGTACTTGTTATTAACCGTAGACTCCTTCTTTGTGAGGCGGCGTTTCTTCTTCGTTGGGCGTTCCTCGCCTGAATCTTCGCCGTCGGTCTCGGTAGCCTTCTTCTTGCGTGATCCTCTCTTCGGACGACTCTCACCATCGCCCCTAGGTGCCACCTTCTTCTTTCTCTTGACCTTGTCACCAGTCTCGCTGTCAGTCGTCATTTCAGCCTCTTGTCGGGCTTTCTCCTCCTCGGCACGACGCTCTGCAATCTCTCTGTCCCTCGCTGCGATTTCTTCTCTCTCCCTTCGAATTTTCTCTTGCCTCTCACGCTGCTTCTCGAGAGCCTGTTGTCGCTCTTCCTCACGTTTCCGGAGCTCTGCTTGGCGCTGCTCGAGAGCTACTTGCAACTTCTCCTTGTTCTTCTCCTCGTACTCCTTTTGACTGGCAATGGCTCTCTCCAGCTGCTTGCGTTGAGTGTTGCGGGCCATGTTGGCGCGCTGCTCGACATCGTGCTTGGGGTAAGGGGTCTGTGGATGGCTCGCAATCTCATCGAGTGCAGAGATGGCAGATTCCAGGCCAGTCGCAGCCTCCTGAAGTTGCGCCAATGTCCGCTGATTCTCGTTCAGGGCGTAAACAGTAGTTGCCATCTGGATCTGAACGAAGGCCACATTGAACTTGTAGTGAACCTGTTCCGGTGCAGCTTCGAGCGCCTGGGCGGTACGTTAGCAGCTGTGGATAGAACTCTCTGAAAACTGTGACTTACCTTTTGCGCGTACTTGAGCGCCTCGTGGTACGCGTCCAAGAGTTTCTCAGACCGGCCCTTGTTAAGCCAAGTACGACCCAGACAAGCAAGGATGACGGGATCGTTGCCCTTGCCCTCTTTGGATAAAGCAACCTCGTAATTCTCAATAGCCTTGGAGTATTGTCTGAGCTCGGCGTAAATGTGACCAAGGTTGACGTACACATGTGCATCCTTGATGGTGTCCCGAATCTTGACGAAGATGCCCAGGGCCGTCTTGTAATCCTTCTTGTCCTCAACCAAAGCAATGGCGATACCCTGTGCCGCGTACGCGTTTTTGGGGTCTAAGGAAAGGGCCTTCTCAAAGAACTCAACCGCTTTGCTGTATGTGGCACTCCTCTTGGCCTTGTCACTGTCGCTTTCACGCCGCATTTCTCGAGCTTGGATCAGATACAAGTTGCCCATGCCGACCAAGGCGTATCGGTCATGCTTGTCGTAGTTCTGTAGTGTGTGCTTGTAATGACGAAACTCGTGGTCCTCATTGATGTTGTGTGGGCGCTTTCGGGAGTGCACCTTGCCCATGTACCATCCATACAAGGCTCGGACCTCGAGATCCTGAGGATTTTCTTGGTACAGCTTCGCCACGGCGTCAGGTCCCTCCTTGTTGGGGTTCCTGCGAAGCTTGATGTATGCAAGTCTCGTCCTAGCATCGGTGTAGTCATCGTGGCGTTTCAGCAAACCTTCGTACACCTCGGTGGCTTTGTCGTACAGACTCTGAGACTCGTAGCTTCGGCCCAGGTTGAAGCTAATCGTGGTGACCAAAGCATCCGTGTCAATCTCTTGGTCCTTCTCGCCAATCTTCATGCAAGCACCCAGGGCAGCCTCGAACATTTCGCTGGCCTGTTCGTGCTTCTCAGACTGAGAATAAAAGCAACCGATGTTGTTAAGGAGCTGCGGTGGCAGGAATTTGCGGAGGGTTGCGCGGTTCTCAGCTTCATCTTCGATTCCGACCGGGCGTTCTTCCTCGGGAATCTGGTCGAGTTCCAGCTGCTCGACTTGAAGAAGACACTGATGGGCTCTCTCGGGGAACTCGTGCTCATACAGACGAGCCAGGTTCAACAAAACCGCAGCGTCTGGAGACATCCCTTTCTTGCTGTCCTTCCAAGCACCTCGCACACCCTCCAGAAGGGAAATCGCCTTCTTCATCTCGGCCGACTTGTCCTCCTTGCCGTCCGCGTCTTCATTCGCGAACACCTCTTCCGCGTACAAAGTGCCCAGCAAAATCATAGCTTCGTGGTTCTTAGACTGCTGAATCATTTTCTCCAACCGCAACTTCGCTTCGCCTAGGTCGCCTCGGAGAACGGCTAGCTGGGCGGCACCGAATTTTGCCGGCATGTAGCCCCGCTCGGCACCGCCACGCGCATCGTCAGCTCGGCGATAGAAGTCGCTGGCACGTTCTGGGTCGCCAGTGTAGTGCTCCTTTCTTGCCAAGAGATACCAGCCATCACTTGCGATCGCATTGACATCGGTGTACTGAATAGCTTTGTGTGCGAGCGAGTCTACAGTGCCGAGCTGCTTGCGCGACAAGAAGTAGCCAGCAAAGGTTGCGCATGTCAGCGGCATGTTTTTGTCGAGTTTGAAAGACTTCTGGGTGTACTCGGTCATTGCTTTCTTGTAAAGGTGAAGGAACTCGGGGCTGTTTGTGGGGATGCGGCTGCTGGCGTCAAGGTGGTAGAGACCGAGAAGAATATTTCCGACCTTGTGCTCGGGATTGATCTCGGTGCATCGCTCCCAGGCAAGTTTAGCATCGTCCTTGAAGCCCAGTTGCCAGAAGCAGCAGCCAATGCCTATCCTGGGATCGGGATCAACGAAGTCAGGCTTCTTCTGAAGGACTTCTTGGTAGGAAGCCAGGGACTCCGGGTACTTTCCGAGTGAGAAGAAAGTCCGCGCCTTGCCCATCACCGCAAGCATGTTTTTCCCTTGCGATACTCGAATAGCGTCTTCGAAAGCCTTGAGTGCTGACCGAAGCAGATCCGCCTTTTCAGAGTCCACCTGCCCATGGCCTGTCGCCTTGGGGGTCTGCAATGACGCCCTAAGCAGCTGCAGAACTCCACGAGCCAGGAACAGAGGAGGATACGCGGGGTTAATGCGCGACGCATCGTTTAGCGTAGAAGTCGCCAATTGCAGGTAGTATTCCTTCGTCTTGGCTTCAGAGGCCAACTCGCCATCGGGTGGCACTCTCGGGGCTTCGCGACTCTTCCAAAGGTACATCCAGCAGAGGCATCCAATCATGCTCAGCTTTTCCCTGGGGTTGTTGTCGCGCATCGCATTTCCGCCTCGGACCAGCATCTCGATGGCATGCTCAATCTTCTTCTGCTTGGCGTAGGCCAATGCAACGGTCATCCAGTAGGTTCGGGCGGCGCGCTCGTTTTCGAAAAGGGTGCAAAGCTCGGTGGGGTCATCGAAAAGCTCGAGGAGATCGATTTCGACAGCTTCGTCTTCGGCTTCGCCTTGAACCGGGACGTCGATGGCGGCTGGGATGTCAGAGAACCGCTTGCTGACTGGCGCGCTCGCTGCGCCATTGGTGCCATTTATCGCGCCGTTGCGGAGGGCTGACATTTTGGCGGATGAGAGGCTATGACATGCCTCGGATAAGTTTGTTGATGAAGTGGATGGAAGTGAGGCAATCCAGGTATTCGGTGGAAGCTGGGATGAGGCTGAGGAAAGATCAATCCGTCGCGTAGCACTTGCCCACTCAATTGGCCTTGGGCATGTGGATCCACAAAAGACGCTAGCGTAGTGCTCTTGCAGCTGTCGACGACCTAAGCGCTTGGTGGCCGAGTTTTGATTGGTCTATGACACTCGTAGTATCGGATACGGGTCTACATAGCATGCTCAGACTTGGAAATATGTACTGAGTACTTCTAACGTCACTTACACGCTTCTCAAATCTCCTCTGCCTACCTTCCTAGGCAAAGTACTTGCCTCGCCTCAAGGTGAATATTTTACAAAAATAGCTAGCCATTCTGAGTGCTTACTTTATGCCTCATAATTATAAATGTGACCGTACTAGTTAGTCTATAGCTTTAAATTTTGCGGTGTGGCATGATGGTCGCATGGGTGAAGATCTTGCACCAATAACTTCAGTACAGGCAAGACCTTTAATATTTCTAACGTCTGCATGAAAGAAGCAGACCACTCTGAAATTCTAAGTCCAGGCATATTTTATTTTGAATTTATAATAGTTGATCTGTTCTCTTGGCTTGGAAACGGTACAGAAAGTTGGCTTGCAATCAAGGAAGGAGTGAGTGAAGCTGCCATGATCAACTAACTGGGGCAGGTGCACCCTCACCACCAATTTCTCAGCCAGCCATTCCCAAACTTGTGTTCTTCTCACAAAACTTTCCACTTGTGATTTTTTGTTTCACGAGAACTTGTCACCCGATCCTCTTCCTTTCTTCTTCTTCTACAACTGGAGTGCCGAGCTGGCATTCAACCATATTTTCCACTTTCAGGACAGCCTTTGTCTTTCACATAACTCACCATGCCGGCCATCACCAAAGCTGAGAATGGTCCGGGAGGCCTTTGGAAACATCATTCTTCTTATGAGAGTAGTGGATTTCTGACAGAGCGACGACAGGTTGAAGAACCAAGCGGTCCATTACCCCCAGTGTCGCCAGCACCGCCAAATTCTGAAGTTCCATGTTCTGGATGGGGGTGCCTTAGTGAAGCGCAGCAGGCTGGGGTCCTCGTGACCATTGTTGTGGTCTTTCTCTCGCTCTTCCTCGGTCTACTATTCTTTCTACGATCCAAAAAGAAGCAGGAGAACTGGATTGATGGTGATCTCGTCCTTGTTCGACAGAGACGCCGCCCCAGAGCCAGAAGCCAAGCGACCTCTATCAACTCAAAAGGTCCACGATTTTTCTTCAGACATGAGGGACTGACGGGCACACAGCAACCTCACCAGCTCATGATCACTCATCCAACAATTCTTCATATCCCCCCCCCTCCACCTCTGCCAGTCCCGGTTCCCCTCCCAATGCCTATGCCATTGCCGGTGCCATTCCAACAACCTCAACCGATTTACCCTTATCCGATGGCTTACCAGACACATCAATATCCTTCGATGCAGACGCAGGCACCTGGCCACCATCAGGGACACTCTGCGATGTCAGGGTCCCCTATCAATGTCCAGCACCAACAACGACCGCAGCCCTATTCTCAAGCCCAGAAACGCGCTCACCATCGATGGAGTCAGATGCCCGACCACCAGCAGACTCAGCAGCGCTCTCAACAGCCATCGCGAAGAAGGCCGTCGCTTACCCGAAGGCTCTTCAGCCTGTTTAATAATCCAGTCGGTAGAGCGTCAACCATTGCCAGCTCCGAATCCGACTCAACTCGAGCGCCGTCCATAAGGAGTAGCCATCACTCGCGGACTTCGGCAACTTCGATCATCACCCCCCCATCTCCAGAAGCGCGAACCAAAAAGAATGCAACCGATGGAACAAACGCAACGAGACAGAATGAGGTGTCCCCCGCTGTGGCAACTGTCCAAAGTGACGACTACGTCGCGACTGCAACTTTGCGGAACGGGTCTCCTGAACGCCACAAGCCTGATTCGGTTCTGTCGGCGCCAGCCAACTTGAGTAGCAAAGTCCATCATGAGGCGCGAGGGAAGGCCACAACAACCGAGTCTCCGATGAAGAAACGAGACAATGTTGAGTCTGATATTGCAAAGATGTATCCGATTTCCATCCCAGTCTGCCAAGTCGCGGAGAGTATTGGAACCAGCCATAGTCTTCCCAACGTCAAGCCCCTCAAAAGGTGCGTAGTCTGAATCACAGTCACGGATTTGAAGTTAACAAAACGTAGTGCCCTAAAGAATGGAAATAAACCAATCATAGGAGCCAGAGGAGGCAACGTGAGCAATGATCAGAAGCTCTCGACTAAAGCAGACACTAGGTAGGGTGCCTCATCAGCAAGTCTCAATGCATACTGACTTGACCAGTACCCAAACGGAATTCGCGTCCAGTCGTACGATTACTTCATCAATGGCGGCGGAAGCCAGCCCGAGAAGGGGTCCGGAGTAAATTCACTTCCTGAGTCTTTGACTACTACCACAAACTGATACGATTGATAGAAGAGACCAACGGGAGAAATTCGTCGACAAACGCAGCCCCAAGGAGACAGCCCACGAGGTTAGACATAATCATCCAGACGTCATGGGTACGGTCACTCGTGCTCCTGAGGCGACTAAGATGCCAGTAGCGGATTGTACACATAACCCACTCAAAGCAATGGAGAAGAATCAAGACCTGAGATCGAGCCCCAATCACCACTTGTGGGAAACCTCGAGCAGAACTCAAGGACTTCGGTGAGCTACATGAAGCGGAATCTCAATATTTTAGCAAACTTGTGCTGACTGGTCTTGAGATCCTGCGTCTCTTGCTCCGATGCTACGGGGAGCAATGAAGCAATGAGCGACTACTCGCCGCCCCCGTCCCCTCCAAGACCAATCCACCAGGGCGGCGGGAAGTATGCACCTGACCAACTGCGAAAGAAACGATCCAGAAGAGCCAACTAGGCTACCGTGAAAGTTGCGTTGACATAAGCCTCATCACGGATGGAGGGTGGGAAGGAGCGACTGCTGGATGAAAAGGATTCTGAAATGAGCACCTCATGACATTAGGTTTGGACCACATGAAGCATCATAGCCATGGGACTGATGACTGTAAATGATGGCTCTGAACGTGGCTTTTTGGTCTCAATAAAAGGGATCGCACGTGTACTTGGCAACTTGCCTCAAAGAAACTTGTCGGGGCCAAGTTAGATAGTTAAGTCAGGACTAAGGGTTCAGATGTGTTGCAAGGATGTAAACGCATAGGAAGAGACAAACGGTTCATCCATGCCCAATGAAGCGATTGTGTGCAACCATGGTTCATAAAATGTGCCGAGATATGCACAGCCTGGAGAGCACACAGATGCGCAGCGGGGTGCTAAAGCAGGGGTAAGACAGGTATTTGTGTCACTTTGGCCCGTGCGCAATCGAGGTGAGATACCTTGTCCGGGTGCGTACAACAAAAGCAGCAACCAGCAGGGCCCCAGGGGAGGTGGCTTCGTCATTGCCTGCTTCTCCGGCCGGAAAGGCACTTGCTGCACCCTGGAGCTTACCTTAGTCCAACCTCACGCAGCCCCGATCACCTCTCCCCACGCTGCCACCCGACGAATCTGCTTGTCTGTACCTTGATTCTCTTTCACCTCGACCATTATTCTGCCAGGATCAATCCCTTCACTTCAGGATAGCTTTCACCATTTATCGGACACTGCGATTATCAACCGCATGCTTGTCGCATGCCGACAGACAAGTACCCTCCGTCACTTCCACCCCTCAACCCCCCACAGCTCCCGGCTCAGCTGCGCATCCCCGATTGCGCATTCTGATTGAGATTGCAAATCCTTCTGGGCGATTGATTTCCGACCTATAGCTTTGTTTGCTATTCCTTTCAATCCGAGGCCGACACGATGTGGAACGATGAGGATAACAATCCTTATGGCGAGGGCTTTGACCGGAGAGATAGCCTGACTTCCTCTTCGGCCAACCCAGCCTCTCCTACTACTCGTGAGTGTATGTTGCGGTTCTTTTCCAGTTCAACCCTCGTCGTTTGAAGGATTCAGAAAATGATGGAAACCATAGATCTGGATGATTCTTCAGACAGTACTGATGCCGAGTGGGAGTCTCTAGACCAGCGATTCGACATCCCTCAGACCCCATCGACTACAAGTGATGAGGCCCCTCAGAACCGCTCCCATACCCTCGAAGACAGCGATGTCGAGAGCAGCGACAATGAGCCGATTGCTAGAGACAGAGGCGATCTTGTCCCGCGCCCCAAGCCCGGCGGCTACGAAAGCCGCGTCGAACAGATCCTCTGGGAAAATCCGGCCATGACTATCCTCATTACTGATGCAGGAAAAAGCGCGGAAAGCGGAGGAAAATATATCGTGTACACCATCCGGACGGGCGTATGTGACTTCGCCAAGGATCGCCCTCCTAAGAATGAAAATACTAACTGTGTCATAGAACCTCGAAGTACGCCGACGATACTCGGAATTCTCGTCTTTGCGTGAGGCATTGACCCGACTGCACCCTACTCTAATCATTCCACCTATCCCCGAGAAGCACACCATGGCCGACTACGCCGCGAACCCTACGAGCGCAAAGCAAGATCAGCAGATTATTGACCTGCGCAAGCGCATGCTTGCGGTGTTTTTGAATCGATGCCGACGCATGGAGGAGGTCCGAACAGACGGTGTTTGGTGGAGATTTCTTGACCCCAATGCCAGTTGGGTGAGTCGGTCAGATCTTCTTCATCGTGACTCGGTCGCTAACCTATCGTAGAGCGAGGTATTGCACTCTCACCCAGTGGCTTCGGTGCCCAAATCAATCCTGAAGGCGCCTCCTCTGGACCCCGCGAACCCTACCCCTGCTCACAACTTCCTCCCTGTGCCATCGACTTCGGCTAAGCTCAAGACGACGGGAGGTCCTGGTGTCGATCCTGGAGCGATCTCTGGCACCGGTTCTCACGTCTTTGGCCGGTTCCCCCCCGACAGCCACACCCTGAGCGAGCAAGAACTTGACCCCTACTTCATTACGTATGAGGCATCAATCAAGGAAATGGAGCAGCTTTTGTCCGGTTCTATGGAAAAAGTCAATCGCCGGACCTTGAGCCACCTGTCCGCGCTGGCGGCTGATCTGTGTGAATTGGGTTCCAAGTTCAACGCTTTCGCGTTGTCAGAACAAGCTCCTTCTTTGGGTCCAGCCCTTGAGAGAGTAGGACAGGCAGCGGATTCCTCCTACATCGCAACCGAGGAACTCTCTGGCTCTCTAGGTGCCAGTTTCGCGGAGCCCATGCGAGAGAATGCGCAGTTCGCAGGCGTTGTTCGCAGCGTGCTAAAATACAGAGTGCTCAAGCGGGTACAGCAGGAGCAGACGAGCGATGAACTTAGCAAGAAGATCACGCTACTGGACCAGTTGGAGCGCAGCGAGCAGGAAGCCAAGCGCATCGAGCAGTACTTGAGCAGCAGCCAGCAGATTGTACCGGCACCGAAACGATCTACGAGCCTTAGAGAGGCGAATTCATCACACCATCAGCGCGAGGGCAGTGCTGAAGACACGGCTTCCATCGACTCCGACTTTCCTCCTACTCACGGCGAGCCAGTCCCGACCGCAACTCAAGGAGTTCCACAGAGAAGCAACTCTACCCCAGGCCATAAGAAGGCCGCGAGCAGCAACTCCATCACGAACAAGATTTTCGGACCAATTCGTCACGCTATTCAAGGTGTGGCTGACGTCGATCCCGAAAGAACTCGTCGTGACATGATCGGAAAGACCAGGGAGAGTATCGAGCAGCTTGAGCAGGCGAAGGTGGTCTCTGAACATGATGTGAAGGAGGCCAGCGCAAGTATTTTGAAGGACCTGAAGAGGTTCCAGGGAGATAAGGAAGAAGACCTGCGTCGTTACATGGTAAGTCGAGCGTTCATTAAGGGACTGGAAATGATGAAATGCTGACCCGGTTTAACATAGTTGGCTTATGCCAAGAGCCAAATTGAGTGGGCGAAGAAGAACAAGGAGACGTGGGAAGATGCCAAAGCCGAAGTCGCCAAGATTGACGAAAGTTAGTGGCATAAGCGTATTACGTAGAAAGGGAATTCGGGCAATGATATCAGAACAGACGGGGCTCAGAGGCCACGAGCTGTTCCCAATAATTTGATGAGGCGTTGAGTCTACCGAGCTTGCTGGGCGGCTGACGTGGGACAGCAAGACTCGTTTGGCGTTTACGAGGGATTCGACATTCGTAAAAGTCACGGGATAGTTACAAGCAATTAATTAACTCAGTTCGAATCAGAGCTCTCAAAATCCGCGATGTTTCCCGTGTTTGACCTCACTTGGCGTTTTTTGGCCTCATCTGCCACAGATATGGCCTTGACCTGTTTCCCTAGGTCGATCTTGCAGTTGCCTTGTCGACAAGGTTTTCAGTCTATGCCCCTAAAGAAAGGTACCTGCCTACTTCCCCAGGGGTACCTTAACCTCTCAGGTCTCACTTGGACCCATGAAACTTGACCATCAACTTTTTAAGACCCCGCGGAACTGACGTTGATGATGCACAGTCATTTCTCATTATCTTATCGATAAGAAACCGATAAAGCTCCGAGACTTTGGCGTCGCAAGGCTACCTACCTAGACCAACGGGGGACCGAACCCGACTTGTACATCCTTCTCTCTCCTTTTGCGCAACACCAGAAAAAAGTCCACCCACAACCATGGATGGCGTACAGGGTCCCCCCCCCGAGGGCCCGATTGCCTCGATCGCAGAACCGGGCATCAAGGCCGACGGCCAGCTGCTGTTCGACCTGCGGCGCGAGGTCGCCAATCTCTTGCATCGCAACCAGACCAGCTTCCCTGGCGCGCAGCCCGTCAGCTTCGCGCGGAAACATGTTGATGAGCTACGGAATAAAGAGTGAGTTGCTGTCGCGTTGTCTCCCTCCCCCGGCTCAGCATTCGTTGTATCACTGGCTTCGGCCACTCGACTTGTCAGATGGAGCTGAGCGATGATTTCTTCTTGGCTGACAACCAGCGCGCCTGTGCGCGAAACAGCTACTATGTTTGCGAAAAGTCAGACGGCATCCGGTATCTGCTGTACCTCACGGAAGACGACGGCCGGGAGATCCACTATCTAATTGACCGCAAGAACGACTACTGGTTCATCAAGAACAGCAGCTTCCACTTCCCGCGCAAGGACGACCTGACAAAGTTCCACACGCGCACGCTGATCGACGGCGAGCTGGTCATGGACGACACGGGCAAGGGCACAAAGGAACCGCGCTTTCTAGTGTTTGACTGCCTCGTGCTCGACGGGCAGGACCTCATGTCACGGACGCTCGACAAGCGCCTCGCCTACTTCAACGAGAACATTTACAAGCCCTACCGAGATTTATTCAAGCAGTACCCGGAGGAGCGGGACTTCCAGCCGTTTTTGGTGGAGATGAAGGCCATGCAGCTGAGCTACGGCATTGAGATGATGTTTCGCGAGATTTTGCCCAAGCTGCGGCACGGCAACGACGGGCTTATATTCACGTGCGTGAGCAGCGACTACAAGCACGGCACCGACCCGCATATTTTGAAATGGAAGCCGCCAGAAGAGAACACGGTCGACTGCCGGCTGCGGATGACCTTCCCCACGGTACAGCCGGGCGAGGGGGACGACGACGTCGAGGGGCCCTTTGTCGATTATGAGGCGGTCCCGCGGTCCGAGCTGTGGAGCTTCATGGGCGACGGGCGGTACCAGTACTTTGCCGACGTGCACATCACCGAGGACGAGTGGGAGGTCCTCAAGGGTCTGGGCGACCCGCTCAACGACCGCATCGTGGAGTGTCACAAGGACGACCTGGGACGGTGGCGCATCATCCGGTTCCGCGACGACAAGTCGGAGGCTAATCACATTTCTACGATCAAGAGCGTCATGGAGAGCATCGAGGACCGCGTCACGGAGAAGGACCTCGCTGAGGCGGCCAAGGGCATCAAGGATAATTGGAAGACGCGGAATGCCAAGCGGTAGTCTGTTGTGTTTCTGCGCGAGATGGAGAGGAAGAGGATTTGACCGTGGTGCGTGACCGAGGGGGGGATGGGTTTGTGCATGGCGTGGATGTGTGAGTACTGTATGTGTGCGGGTCGGAACTGACGAAGGCGTCTTGGTGTTTGTTTTTGCAAAGGCCCCGAGCAAGAAACAGAGAGAGAACAAGGAGGGAGTTCAAAAACAACAGACAGGGAAGGATATGGCCCCTTCTAATCACCCTCATCATCACCCTCTGCACGCATTCATAGGGGTGACTATTTTGGCGTTTTCCAGCTCTGGGATAGCGGGGGGGCATAAAGGGCTACAGGCATGGGATACTCGGATGGAAAGAAGTCTCTGTACTAAGTAAGTATCTTGAAATAAATAAGAGTATATTAATCGCTAAGATGGACCGTTACCCCGACTCGAGACCAAATATCGACCGTTCTCTGCCTAGCCCCGAGTCTCGCGGAAAGGGAGGTTTCTTGATTCCCTTGTGTTTGATACTACGGGCGGTCGTGGTATTTCTCTGAGACCTTGATAGTTTTTGTTCCACAGTCACAAGCCAAAAGAAAGAAGGAAAGGGGAAAAAACGTGTGGGGTCAGCCAAGGGATGTTTCGCACGCATTGCTTGCGTGCTTGCTACCCTTTGCTCTTCGTCTTCGTGCCCCAGATCAACAATGTCTCGTTCCTCGCTGCTGGGTTTCATCGTCAAAAATGTAGGTAGGTGCTGCCCTGATATTTGGCCTCGGAATCCTGGGTGCGTAGGCACAAAATGGACGGACGAACGTTCCGTGGGTACCTTAGGCGACTTGGGTAAGGTGCGGAAGCCCCCCCCAACAAACCTTGGGTGCCCGCTTACAGGTAGGTAGGCACCTTACTCATAGGTAGCTCAAGCTCAGGAACATGCATCCTTTCTCCCCCGCACCGCCCGTCTGGACCTCTGGGTATGTCTAAGCAAGCACGGCCACGGCCATCCGTAGCCTCGAAGACGTCACGAAGCAGCCAAAGTTTCTCAATCTTACGTTAGCCCACCGGGAAATCGACAACTGGCGGCCAAGGGAGGGAAGGAATGGGTAGATGGTGCCCATCGAGAGAAACCACAATCTTGACATCGACCTCAGTCCTTGATCCGATCGCCAATTGCTTTCTTTGATTCCCTGCTTCCTCTTGCGCTCTTCTTCTTCTAGACTTGTCCTTTCGCTCACGATTGACTCAATTGACGCCATTAATAAAGTACGACACGGCATCATTACCTCAACTTACCTTAACCTACGACACGTCAAGTTGGGAAAATAAAACGTCTCACTGTTCCGTCCAGCATCATTTGCAGCCACACTGCCGCCCGCAATGATCCTCGGACCGGTGTCGCTGCTCGACTGTCTAGTCTTTGTTATTTTCCTCACGCCGCAGCTCCTCATCCATGTCGGCTTCTTCCCAACGGTGCTCGCCACCCTTAGGATGCTGCCTTTCCTCGTGTTTCAACTGCCAACCTCGCTGTTCCACGAGCGATACCTCCTAAGTCATGACGAGCAATCGCCCTTTGTGCAGCGAGCGAGCATCTTCGAAGACCTGGTCATACGCTGCGTGCGTTACGCCTTTGCCAACCTCCCGACCAATATCGGACGTGTCTTCTTTTCAAAGTACATATCTCTGCCGTTTTTGCGGTTTCGTATGTTGCGGCATGGCTATCTCAGGTCACCTGCAACCTGGAGTGAGCACAAGGAAAAAGTGAGTGTAACCTACGCCCCAGTGCACAATGGCCGGTGGCTCAACTGAATGATAGGGCCAGCACGGCTTCGAAGGTGTTTGGATCCAAAAGGATGCATCCAAACCGCCCGACATTGTGCTTTACTACGCTCACGGAGGCGGTTTCGCTATGGGCTCCGCGTACTTTTACCTCGAGTTCCTTCTTTCGTGGCACTCGCTGCTCGTCCAAGCAGGTTACCGTAACCCCGCCATATTCGCCCTCGAGTACACCCTCGTGCCCGATAAGATGTACCCGAGACAGATGTACGAAACTATGAGGGGCTATAAGCACGTCCTTAACAAAGTCGGAGACTCCCGAAAGGTGGTCGTTGCAGGAGACTCTGCGGGAGCAACCCTGATATTGACGTTGTTGCTGGAGCTAGGCCATCTGAACGAGGCCCGGGCATTTAAAGAAAAGGGGGACGATTCCACCGCATCTGAAGGCGGAAGCCAGGAGCACTTGCGCCAGGCCTCAGAGTCTGGGCTTCCAGGGCTTTGCGTCTTGATTTCGCCGTGGGCCAAACTGATATCTAACAAGCATGAAAATTCGGCCAGCGATTTTCTTGATCGCGACACGCTCTGGGAATATGCGTTGCAGTACGCCGGAGCGTCGCATGCCTACGACAAGACCGCGTCGCCGGGGCAGTGCGCCGATCCTCGGGTGTGGGCGGAAGCTAGTCCACTTTGTGGCTTCTTCATCACGTACGGGTCAGAGGAAGTGTTCGCTCCCGACATCAAAGACCTGATTAACGTCTTGGTCAAAAGTACCGAGGTCGACAGTCGCAGCGAGGACGGGGGTATCCACGCCTGGCCTGTGGTTTCGTTGTTCTTGTCAAGCACCGAGGACAAGAGACTCAAAGGTCTGCGGACACTCACGTCAGCCATAAGAAAACACATACAGTAGAAGTCCGCCAGAGGCAAAGTGTCGTCAAAAGGAAAGTCTGATTAGATCAAGTAAAAACTGTCATAGACCGAGGCACGCCAACCTCGAAACCTGAGTTGGGATAACTCGGTTTCTACGGTCGTGGCCTCTTTAGCTGGTCTCCAGCTATTTCTCTTTGTTATCTTCATCCTTGGCCACCAATAGGAGGAAGCGCAAACAATAAAATTTAGTGGTTTGATTACCTGCATGATTGAGCTGCGTTCCTGCATACCGGGCCGTCCGCCGACGGTATATTGCGACGGTAGTAGGGTGATGTCTGTTTTTTTTTTGTTTTTCTTTTTAAACAAAAATGGCGATAAACATTTCGCGAGGACGCGTTGAAGGATGCAGACAAGTTCTTCGTAGCCCCGCTACCTTATAAAGCCGCCCCGACCTTTTGCGACGGGGCACTCAAGGGCCGTCGCAAAGCTCGGACGGGCAGGGAGCTGTAGTGGGTCTCGGATGAAGTCATGTGTGGTTCAAACAGTGACGAGTCGAGGGGGGCGATGGCTTTGCGACAGAAAACATCTTCTTCGGACGACGGGGTTCCCTGATGACGACGTGCTGCGAGAAGGGCTCGTCTGTCTACGGTGCAGGGAGGGTGCCAGCTTTAAACAGTCTTGAGGGCAGATGGCGGCGGGGTTGGACGATGTCCGGTGTCTCATGAAAACAAAGCAAGCTCGTCGATTTGTGGCCGCGAAGTATGTCGAGAATGGACGAGTAACGAGACAAGATTCTCTCGCGCTCAACCTTGCGCACACAACTGGTTTAGAATCTGAAAACAAGGCCGAGGTTGATGAGGGGAGCTGGAGCTGAGACGGCGAGCCGCAAAAGAGATCAGCCAGCCCGCAGTGCCCTACCTTGTGTGCTTGCTTCGGTTGAGACAGCCTTTTCAGCCTACCTCACGTTACTTCGCGCCTCGAGATGCAGCCACGTCTGTGATGTTGCGACATGCGGCAGGGGGAGACCTTGGCCATGTGGCGAGATGAATGATGACGCCAGTAGGCTGCGTCTTGGAGCAGGGCTTTCATTCAGCGTCGGGTGGCGTACAAAACAGCCGCGAATGTGATAACCGGAGATCTACAAGACGAAGATGGGGAGGAGAAAAAGAAGAACGAGAAGAAGCATAAAAGCGTTGTTCAAGAAGCGACATGGGCGGAATGTGAAAATTCGGGACGCCTTGTAGGCACCTCACCAATGAGAAGGCAGGTAGGAGTCCGGGACAGGTACCGAGACAGCTTAGCTAGCGTGGAAAGGTACCCCCCTCTCCATCAGGCAGGGGACTATCCGTAGCGGCTGTGCTTATGCAGGATTCGGGAAGGCGTGGCCACAGCTCGGGCATCCTGGGCCAATCAGCATGGCAGCGTGACCCCTGCTTAGGCGTGTTTTTTGGGGTGGGAAAGCAGAAGGCAGCAAAAAGGGGAGTTGGGGAGGAGCTCTGACCCGCGACGCGCATATAAACGGTGGACATTCCCACCGTGATCCATCGCCTGGACTGAGGAACCCGCCCGCTCACCGCGACAAGAAGGAGCCCACCCAGTCGCTGGCTGCACCTGCCACCGACCGCACCCGCACCGCACCACCGCACCGCATCGCCGTCGCATCGCCGTTCGCCGTCCTCGATCCGTGGCATCCTCCCACGGCCATCTTCCCATTCCCTTGACATCCACTTTCTTTCCAATCCAATCATTACCGTCCGTTCCAACTCAACCACCAACTGCAACAAGGTGCACATTTCCAGGTGGCGTTTGCGCCCAGTGTGTGTCTGCCTGTACCTCCGGGTTGTGTGTCTGCGGCTACCTGCCTGCCGCCTGGCCTTGCCTTGTCTGCCTGTCAGACCGACTGCATCCTTCCCATGGACGCATGCCGACTTTGAGGCTCGACTGACCACATCTTGCCACTAGGATTTGGAAAAGGTTGTCATCAAACTCTCCTCCAGACTCCTCCATCAGCAATCTACAATTCCGTTCAAGCATAGACCCTTTTTTCGTTTTGAATACCTATCTCCCACCGCTGCTTCAGAGCATTGGCCCGCTTCCGAAAGTACCGATGCTGGCCGCCCCGCACAGGGACACCTTACCACACCGAACACCCACCGCATTCAGGACTAAACCCCGAAATCCCAAGCTGACCGTACTCCTACCACCCCTGGCTCGCTAGACACACCGAAACCTTATCGAGTGTCACTCGCCAAATTTTGAGGTCTGACTCAGCAAGACGCCGCCTACACAACTAATACCGAGAAACTGTGGCATACGCTCATCAGGATCTTGGACGAGCCTTTCTCACAGCCACGCCCCCAACATCAACCATCAATCAACACCCACTCAGGCCTTATCCAGTCCAGAGGACTACACAGTCTCACTCTCGCGCCGTCTGCAAAGCCTAGATTCCATCGCGAAGCGACACCGGGATTGGCCATTTGCAACGCTGGGTCTCAATGTACATGCAGACTCGCTGTGAGCTCAGTGAGCCTGATTCTTCTGTACTGCAAGTGGCCGGTTCAGTTTACTGAATCCGAGGGCGGTATCATCCTCAACTTCCAAGCCTACAGGGAGACTACTGTCCTGCGCGACACCCTGCCATCGACCCTCTAGGTCTAGCACACTGTTGCAAACACGCTAGGGTGCTGAAGACATCACGAACCCTTCATGTTGTAGGCCGTGTATTGGCTTTGATCCTTTTCCATCGTCAATTGCTCCTGTATTGCGGCCCTGCCCAACATATTGGCTGAGGCTGTCCTACACACGCAAAACACTCACACTTCTCGCAAAGGTGTTTGTGCTCTGTCTCGTCTTGTTATCATATTCAAGCCAAGCTTGGCAGCAACTTCTTGCCTCGACTTATTGTCATCAACACCATACCTTGCCTTGGTTCTGCGTCTTTCGAAAATTCACGCCATCTGACTCCCAAGGGTCTGTGACGGTGGGACAACCTATCACCGCATTCACCGCACGCAGCAGCCCAAGGTGACTCAGGACTTATACGCCGTCTACCCCGGACCTAAGCTGTTCAGCGACTAGAGACGATCCACACCTATCATCATTGCCAGACGGAATCACACAAACGTTGCAGAATTGTTCGTGCTGAGGCAGTCGATATCCCAAGCGCGGATAAGAAGGGGGGGTGTAGGCTGATTTTGTATTCAAAAATCAGTCCCTGCTCTTCGCTTAATCATCCAGCGTCCCACGCCCACCAAACTTGGGTTGGAACCTTGGCCTTTTTTGGGGGGGGGCACCAGCCCGGGGGGGGAGGGGGGGGGGGGGTAGGGTGATTTTGTATAAAAAAACAAGACCCCTGTCCTCGCATATACAACCGCGGGCCCACAACCCACAATACTGGGTTGAAACATTGGGCTGTGTGGGGGGGGGAGACCAACCAAGGCCCCTGTTGGTTGCTCCCCCCTACCAAAAAAAAAAAAAAAAAAAAAAAGCGGCCATCAATTTTTCCAGAAGGCCCGGCGGTTGAGAGGGGAAAAAATAATAAAAATGGCGGACGACACGACCTACGCACCAAAGTCGCCGGACCTCTCTTCTTTTTTCTCGGCAGCACCCGCCCCGCCTACACCTCCACTGCACAGTCTGCAGCACTACCAGCAGCAACTCGGCAAGCTGCAAACCACTCCGACTGCTGTACCGCCGGTATATGAATACTCCTCCCCCTCGTCGCGCATCTCCCATCCAAGCCAGTCGTCTTCAACTCCTGTACACATCAAACAAGATCAGCCCCACTATCCGTCACCGGCGGCAATCAAGACGGAATTCTCTGCCTATCAGCCACCGCTGCATACCCATCAAGGCCAGCACCAGCACCAGCAACAGCAGCACCAGCAACATTACCTGTCTCCCCAGTACCACCAGGCGCCGCCACAACAACACCCATCTCCGCAACATCCCCCACGACTCATGCAAAGCGCATATGGGATTCAGCCCGCCGTCAACTACCAGGACCAGCAACCTCATCAACCCCCCACACCACAAAGCCAGGGATTTTTAGACCAGAAAAGCTTCAGCGTCACGCCCCAATTACACGACATTCCGTACAACCCGGATTCGCAACTTCTACCACAAACACCCGGTTCAGCAACCATGCCTCCCAGAAAGAACACAAAGCAGGCGGACTCGCCACCTCCAATTGACCCTTCCCCTGTCCGGACAAAGTTCCCTACAGCGAGGATAAAGCGCATCATGCAGGCTGATGAGGAGGTTGGCAAAGTTGCCCAGCAAACTCCCATTGCCGTCGGCAAGGCTCTTGAGATGTTCATGATTGCTGTTGTCAGCCGAAGCGCGGAAATCGCCCGGGAGAAGAACTCCAAGCGAGTCACGGCTCAGATGCTCAAGCAAGTCATTGAGACAGATGGACAGTACGACTTCTTGGCTGACATTGCCGCCAAGGTTGGTGAGGAAGAGAAGAGAGGTGGTCGCTCCAAGGCCGAGTCGTCGAGCGATGAAGAGATGGAGGTTGAAACGAAGAAGAAGGGCAAGGGTGGCCGTAAGAAGAAGACTGCTGCATGAGCTATCTCACATTCAGCTTGGGGCTAGGGAAAATCTCCCATGATGAGAAATATGACAAGGATTATGAGGATTGGCGTTGGACCGGCTAAGGTAGCATCTACATCGGCGTTGGGTGACACGGCGATAAACTCGTCGAGCCGTCACCTGGAGGGGTTTACATGGTTTATGGAAATGAGGAACAAGCGCTGCTTCCTCGACTTGCATCCCATCATCGGCTTGTCTTCTGTATGTGCATCGAGCCTGTCTTGGACATGCCTTCATACAATTTTAGAATGAGAGCATATTATTATTGTCTGCGCACCAGGACTACTGGAAGGAAGACTGGACGGCTATGAAGCGCATTTTCAACCATCTTAACGAGGTACCTTCACCGGGACACGTCTCATGTGGAACTCACTTTACACTCACTCAGACACCCTGCCCAACTGAGGAGGCTACTTCTCCCTCGCTGCAAAGTTGTACTTACCTCACTTAGTTACTCAAAGTAAGACAGGAAAGTATCGTCTTCACTGCAGCTCCCTCATTGCTCTCTTTCCTCGTCTGTCAATGAGACTTTTGCTTCTCAGCCTTACACTGAAAAGAGAAGACAGTAAACAGATGCAAATAACGTCACATATGTACATAAAACGATGCTGCCCCGCAGACAGGGATTCGGCCGCCGCCCCCATTTGTCCTAGCGCAACATTGATCCTCTCGGGTCCGGCACTCTTGCTCTCGAGGAGTAAAGGTGCGGCTGCTCCCCCCTCCCTCCCTTTTGGTCACCGTGGCTCCGCCCAAGGTTCATGCTCGCTGAGGTAACCGGCGAAGTACTCTAATTTGAAGCCAGAAATTTTAGGCACTAGTACTGGGAAACGGCGGGTCGTGCATGGGGCATTCCTCCCACCTTCCAAGTCATGCCCTCAGATTAGTGGACAAATCGACTTCCAATTCACGGCGGAGAGGGAGCTACCTATCTGCATCGAGTAACCGGCCACCGTGTGTACCAGGGCGTCCGTCTTCTCTTGCGTGCTGCTCGAATCAATTTCCCAAAGTCTTCTGAGCTTCCCGCCATGCGAACCCATCCCTCGACCTGCGAATCCCATTCATGTCCATGATCAAATGAGGCACCGAGCCTCGCTGCACTTGCATCCTTCTTTCAGCTCCGTGGCGTAACCAATGTCGTGGGACCTGCTCAAGCGATTCCTTGAGTCCGACGTCTTCAATTCGAACCCCTTTCTCTCGGTCTCCTACCTTTCGTGAGCTCCCCTTTCTTTGCGCCGAACCCGTTGCGGCCATGCGCCATGCTTCCAAATGACGCTGTCACGGCAATTGGCGATTGAGATGCTCTCTCTGCTAACCCCTGATCTCTCCTTTATTTAGTCGCTACGCCGACCATGTGGGCATTCATTATGTCCTGTGCAATAAGCTGCGACAATTCCCCTACGAGGATATCGAGTTCTTCTTGCCGCAGCTATGCCACCTTATAATCAGCGTCGACAACGAGTCCATGGCCTTGGAGGAGTTCCTCCTGGACTTGTGCGAAGAGTCCGTCACCGCTGCGCTTCTGGTTTGTGTAGTACCCCTACTGTTGCGCTGCCGCGTTCGCTCACAAGCTCCCAGACTTTCTGGCTCTTCCAGACGTACCTTCACGATTTATCATCCAATCCGCAGTCCAAGGCCTTTCAAACATGCCGGAGGGTGTACAACAAGGTGCAGCATATTGTGTTCGGCCTGCCAGATGCCGCGAGGCACGACAAGATCAAGGAGAACATCTTGCCCGTCACAGTCCTAGCGAGCTTCGTCTTGGCCAGTGTCGCGGTGCCACTCGTTCCCCAGTGGGCGGGACCGCTCGCCGTGGCACAGGCTAGGAAGCCTCAGCCGTCCGATGACCTTATTTCCGATTCTCGAGAGAGCAACCCCAAGACAGCGCAGGTGACGCGAGCCCACACGGTGACGGCTGGGAGCACGAGGTCTAGGCGTACGAAGGATGGAGGACGGATGGTCAGCGCGCCGGATCTGGTATCCCCGGGTGTCGCGTCGGCTAATTTGCAGCATCGGTCGACAGATCCCTCTCCGTCGAGGCCGGGTTCGTCTGGCTCCAAGACGCCTATCGAGGTCAAACGTCTGCCCTCTCATCTTAACATGAAGAATGACGACGCCCGTCTAAGCTCCTCCTCACTACCGCTTCCCGAGCTACGATCTCCGAGGTTGGCCATCACGAGACCGGCAACCCCAGTATCGGCAGGATTTCCCCCACGCCCTAATGATGCTCTGAACAGGAGACATTCCCTTCACTTCAAGAGCGGGGCGGCTGGTTCTGAGTTGACCATGTTGCAAAAGACAAGACTGCTGCGCCAACACTACTTTAGATGTGAGACGCAATTCCTGACCGCGCTAGAGGGTATCTCCAACAGGCTTGTGATTGTGCCAAAACCTGCTCGGCTCAGTGCTCTTCGTGCGGAGCTGGCTCTCATTGCGCAAGACCTGCCGGCGGAAGTGGACGTTCCAGTCATTTGCCCACCCACGCTGGTGGATGGCTCCCCGGCAAAGAGTCGGCATCATCGAATTGTCCGTTTGAATCCAGGAGAGTCGACGGTACTGAACAGCGCGGAGAAGGTACCATATCTTCTCATGGTTGAGGTATTGAGAGATGACTTCACATTCGACCCGGATACGCCTGACAACAAGAGGCTTTTGGCCACTCTATTGTCCGACCCCGGCCACACCCGACGGATTTTCGACCTCTCCGACTCCCCCCGCATACATATAGCGCCCAAAACTCCCGAGACCATCATCGACAGCGTGTTTGAGCCGGTCTCTGGAGACTTGGGAAGCTCTCCCCTGATCAAGCCCTACGATGACGATCCTTTCCAGAAACCCCAAGGAAAACAGAATCCGCCTTCGCAATCTCAACGTCTTCCTAGCGCCGGCACATCTGCAATGTCGACTGTCATGTCAGAAATCGCAACTCCGCGCAGTTCTGGCACATCTACCTCGAGATCGAGCAGCCCAACCGGCCCACTCCGAAAGATGACCCTTACCGCGCGGCCTAATGCTGTGATTGATCAACCAGATTTCTCCGCATTAGCCACGCACATGCGCACCGCTTCACAGATGTTGGCTCAGCTCGAAGCTACGAGCGGCAAGCGACCACGACATGAGGTACAGGCAATCAGAGCCAAGATTATTGCGAGCATGCAAAGTCTAGAAGAGCAGAGCTTCGACATGGACGAGCAGGGCCCGACCTTTGACACCATCATTGCCAAAGCCTCTGCCGCACAGGCGAACTCTGTCGTACCCACCGAACCCCCGGAAGCCGAGAGTGAATCTCCTGTTGAGCCGGGACCCAACGCTGGTGCAGGATTGGCGAGAATGGAGAACGATATCAAGACCGGTGGTATCCAGAGTAAGGGCGACCGCGACGATCCTAGCGCGGCTGTCTTCGGCGAGGCGTGGCAAGCGAAGAAAGAACGCATTCGCAAGACTTCACCTTATGGATGGATGAAGAACTGGGACTTGGTCAGCGTCATTGTCAAGACTGGAGCCGACTTACGCCAGGAGGCGTTCGCTTGCCAGCTCATTGACGTCTGCCACAAGATTTGGGTTGACGCAAAGGTCAACGTCTGGGTTAAACTCATGCGGATTCTTGTCACAGGGGAGTCCTCCGGTCTCATCGAGACGATCACCAATGGCGTATCGCTGCATTCCATCAAGAGGAGTCTCACGTTGTCATTGGAGACGAGTCCCGGCCAGAAACGCCGGTTTGCTACGCTCAGAGATCACTTTGTGAAGGCATTCGGTGCTCCGGATAGCGAGCCGTTCAAAGCGGGAGTAGACGCCTTCAAGCGCTCACTGGCCGCATACAGCATGATTTCATACATCCTACAGCTGAAGGATAGACACAACGGCAACGTTCTGATCGACAGCGAAGGTCACATCGTCCATATAGACTTTGGTTTCATGTTGTCCAACTCGCCAGGCTCTGTAGGTTTCGAAGCGGCACCTTTCAAACTCACGCAAGAGTATATTGAGGTGCTGGGTGGCATCGGGTCCGATGATTACGAAGACTACAAGAAACTCTGCAAGCAGGCTTTCCAAGGTAAGTTCTGCATTTAGCACCGGCACACGACATGGCTAACTCTCTCTCAGCTCTGCGGCGGTCTGCGGATAACATCATCGACTTGGTGGCCATGATGGGACGTGACTCAAAGATGCCATGCTATTCAGCGGGAGTTGTCCAGGCCACCCACAATCTTCGCCAACGCTTCCAGCTCCAACTGAGTGCGGACGAAGCGGAGCAGTTTGTGGAGACTGATCTGATTGGCAAGTCCCTCGGCAGCTACTACACACGGCTGTGAGTTTGATTAGTGTTCCCACACCAAATTCTCGTACTAATGTGTCTCTCCAGTTATGACACCTTCCAGTATAGAACGCAAGGCATTTACTAGACAGGTTGTGACGACGGAAGAAACTTCGATCAACAAGCTCTCGAAAGCATTGGGACATGAACGTGCATCTAGGCATCTGGGCGGCGTTGCGGTTGAATAGACGACTGAACTGACTAGGCTAGTAATGACGAAGCCGAGGAACGATCCTCTCGGTCATTTTTTATGATTTGATGGGGAGGGAGAGTAGTTATCAAAAGAGGCACAGCAGATAACTGGCCGCTGAGGGGTTGAGCATGATGTATAGGATACCGAAATAAGCTGAATAACACTATATATTCAAGACGTGATGCGATTACCTACGCTGAGGTCTTGTAACAATTTGTAGCAGAAGCTGCACTTTGTGAGGCAGATGGGAGTGGCTCGGATCGAGTCCTACATGGGCGGAGTAGTAGTGGGCTGGTACTAAGTTAAAATGGTGGTTTTCTTTTAAAGGGAGACATGAGTAGTTTTACAGCTTGATGGCTAGAATCCACACGAGAGAGACATGAACTGACTTGATATCCATGTTCGACCGATCCTTTCGCACCAAGTGTCAGCCGCCATTCTTTCATTATCCTCAAGAGTATGCAGCTGCAGATTCAGTCCCCCAAGTTCGCCGCGCCTGGAGAAAACGGTTGTGTCTTTTAGGCTGCTAGCCTCGGATAGTCTCGGGATACTACGCGCAGGTCACTCACTTTGACTGAGTTGCTGAGAGAGTTACGGTGATGAAACGCGCGACCTAGGGGGACATTCAAGTACGTTGTACGTTCTACTGCCATAAAATGTGCATCTTTATTGCCCTCTCACCATCGCCCTTGGATTCATCATCATACGTAGCACCAGAGACGTCCGATGATGGCCGTTGGCGTTATATTAATACCAGTGATCTTCGATCTTCAATCTTCACGTAGTTGAGGGATTTTGTGACCAAAATCGTCTAGTTCGCGAGTCTAGGGCGAAATGTCTGGTCATGTATGTGCTGCTCCTCAAGACGGTGGACTATATAGAGTAGATCTAGTTCCGACGACATGCGAGTTCCCTTGGTGTAGCTCAAGACGTTTAGTTATGGGCTTTTATCTTTTGAAAATCTCCCTCTTTTATTCCTCTACGAATAAGAGAAAGGCAACGCAAGAGGAGACGGGTTAACGATTTCAAATCGTCATTGATGGATTGTGTAAACGGGTTTTGCATATTACGCTAACACTGGCAGAGAAACCTGCCAGGTCTTGGGCGATGACGGCGCTTACTGTACCGCTGAAATTCACTAATCATCATTTGCGGCAAATACCGAAAAAGTAGAATGGCCGCAGGAAGCCAGATATGTAGGCTGATATATAGGCCTGCTTGTCAGTGCTATCTGGAGACACGTTGTTGCAGAGAGCAACAAGGAGTGGACTTACTATTGCCCCACCGGATCTCGTTGACAGCTTGCCATTCATTCCTGAGAGTGCCATCGTTCTGAACTAGGCACTGTATACCGAGGCCAGTAAAGAGTCGATACCCAGACTGCTTCGGAGGGTGATGTAATGAGCTGATGCCGGCAGACTTGCTCAACATGGCTGCCAGATTCTAGATCCTACCTTCGTGTCATATCCCAGGCTTTCTCAATCCGTCCAAGAGATGTACTTGCGGAAAGTTGAATAAGCTATTCACTGAAAGGGGGCATGGGTCAACCCTGATAGACCGGAATATTTCCTCTGCTTCCCTTTGTCAAGAAAACAATAGTTCCCATCGTACCGCCATGCCTCGAACAACACCCAACACCTAACCCCATGGGCCTGATCCAGTTACTAGGCTTTTATGCCCCCTCTTCTACCCCAGTCAAGTACGAGGGCGTAGTTGCCCGAGCCCGGGCAAGAGAGAGAAGGGGAATAGAATCCATCGCGATAGGCCCATGGGGTTGGGTGGAGTGGTCCGTGGCATGATGATGCGATTGGAGGCTTGATTTTCTTGACCAAAGGTGGTAGAGGAAAAGAGCAAGGACGAGGCAAGAAGAAAGGATGAGATCAACTTCCAGCTGCAGAGGGGATTTTTATGCCCGTTTTTCAGCATGAAGGCTTTCTGGAAGCGAAGGTCTTGGGGCAAGATATGTTGATTTAGTGTGGTTCCGTCGACGAGGACATCTACGGCATGTTAGTCACGCCGTGGCTCAGCCTGATACCAGCCATAAGGTTGAGAAGATATACCGTCTTGGATCGTCACGGTATATAGGCCATTTGGTAGCGCCACATGCGGCGTATCGTTTTGAAACGATGCTCGGCCGCTTCGATCTTGGGGGTATGGCTAATTTGGCCGAGTGGGTAGTTTGCCTAAGGTAGAAACACATAAGAGACCCGATAGCCTCATCAAGTGACACTGTCCTATTCTGTTGGCAAGGACTCTTCCTCATCGGATCTCCATTACCATGGAGACATTTTCAGGGCAAACGACTCACCGACGCGGAGAAATGGCTCTAACCTCACCAGGCCAGACAGTCGTTGAGAGCATAACGCATCCAGTATGCTGGAATCAAAAGTATAGATGGTCTTTGAACAGAATGTTGCATTATGTCTAGGGTATCTTGCACACAGCCTCCGCCAATTTTGTTCTCTCCGTCCTCCTCTTACACACCACTCCACTTGCCAAATTTGGTGTACCTCTTGTACATCTCCCTCAGGATCGCCCTTCCACTGGCGTCCATGCTATCATTCAGAATCTTCCTCACCTCGAGCGGCGTAATGTCGAACACGGAGTTCATGCCCGGCTCCAACGCCTCGCGGACCTCCCGCGGCACGTCCACATCCAGCTGCAGCTTGACGTACGCCATGAGGACGAGGTACATGTGCCGGCCAGCGGACCGTTTCGCCGCGTCAGTCGCTGAGTCGAGGGCGCTCAGGTGCTGCACGCGTGAGACGGCCGCCGCGGCCGGCTCGCACACGAGGGTGACGAGGCGGGTGAACTGCGCGGCGTGCTTGGCGCGCAGGGCTGGTGATGAGGGGTGAGCGAGGGCGCTGAGGAGTGCCTCGAGGGTGGTGATGAGGATGTGGTAGTGGCCCTCCAGACGGAGGCGGTGCTTCTTGATGATGACCTCCATCAGCTTGCAGAGCCACTGGTACACACTCAGCGATGCGTCGAGGAGGTGGCCTTGGTCCTTTGCCACGATCGCTGCCACCGTGCTGAGTGTTGTCTCTATGTTCCACTGGGTCATGGAATCAGACTTGACATCGAGAAGCTGCTGAAGTACTTCGGCGGTTCTGATGAATTCACGCACAGTCCCGGCCTGGACGAGGTACCTGATCAATTTGCCATGGGCCGTGGCCAAGTCAAACGTGTTGGACTTCTCGAGACCGACAGGAGATTCTGGAATTGTAATTAACATCAAAATCGATGCGAAGAGAGGAGAACACCTACCACTCATCTGGGCAACCACACGGCGGATGGCAAGCAGCTGGCCTTCGGAAGATGAGCCAGCCGCAGGGGCGGCGTCTGCCTCAACACCTACAAGGAGGCTCTGAACATACTGAACCTTGCCATTATAATCAAGACCAGCGACAGCGGCGTCGATGATTTCTTCCAAAGCGGACTGTCGGTTAAAGTCAGACAGGGGATCGAGAACTGCGCCACTCGACAGCGGTGTGGGCAGCGTGCTGCTGAAGAGCTGGCCGAAGGACGTCGGCCGAGAGTCTGCTACTTTTGACGGGAAATACTTGATGAGAAACGCTTGAAGTTTCCAGCCGCTGAAGTATCCGCTTGTAATCGCCTGCTGGCTCACCTCCTCCAACTGAGAAACCTTGATCTTGAGCCGCTCGATAGCGGGCTTTGGCAAAGCTTCAGCCGCGTCAAGTGCAATCAGGGCGCGATTGACAAGATCGCCTTTCACCTTCTGCTTCCGCCATGCTTTGGAGAAGTCACCCAAGGTGTCTTGAATGAGACTTCCCAAAGACGAAGCTATCTGATCGCTGTCGATGACAGCAACCTTGTCATCAGAACCAGCTTCGGGTAGCATGACAGAAAGCAGCGCCTTCAGCAGAGTCATTTGCACAGGGGAGACATCGCCACCAAGGCCCGTCAGAAGGTTGGGAATCTTGTCGAAGTACTGCGTGCGCCATTCCTGGTGATCGTTCATTTGTCGCACAGTCAATGTCGCCAATTGGAAAACAAGCTGGGTAAGACCTAGAGCCGTCTTCGAGCTGTACTCTGCGCAGACTTTTGCCAGGGAGTCGGCAATCTTCTGAAGGTCGGAGAACGCCATATTCTGGTAAAAGGTTGGCCTTTGCATCAGTTTGATCAGAAATCCCAGAACCAAATGCCAGTCTGAAGGATCCAGTTCGCCTGCCATGTGGACTTTCGGAATCAATATGTCCATGAGACGCTCCCTCTGCTGTCTCGTGATGGATTCATGGGGGATTCTTGACAGCTCAATCATGGCGGTCCTGCTTCGTTGCTCAGCCCAGGGCGAAGATTTACTCGAGGCCTTGCTAATCACGTCTATGGCGTGATCCACCACCTCAGCTGTGAGCTTCCTTTTGCAGAGATTGTTTTCGTTTGACGTGACCGCGTGCAGTACATTCCCTAGCCTTACGTCGCCGCCCTTGGGAGAGGTCTCGTCACCCAGGGCACGCCGTAAGTAGTCTGGCAAACCGCCCGAGGATTTGACAAGCAGAGCCATGAGCCTCGACGCAGCGAGGGGGAACTCTGCACAGAACTTGGGGACGTCAGAGACATATGAAATTGCAAAGACTCGAGAATCGAAGAGACCCTGGAGGTCTTCTACCTTAACCTTCTTCAACAGCCTCTCGATGAAGCTTGTGAGCAAAGAAGAAAGAACAGTATGGTCACGTCCATCTGGATACATTGACAGCCAGAGGCCATATGCGCACTCTAGAGCCTCGCACGTATCTTCGTCGTCAAATTTGGCTTTTTGTAATGACTTGGTGAGGTCGGTCTGGACCTTGTCCCAAAGAGCGGTAGCCTGTTCGTAATCTAGCCAGGAAACAGTCTTGGAGATGATTCTCCAGCGCAGGGAACGTATGTCCGAGGGTGTCTTGCTGGCTGACCCGACGTTCAACGCGATGTCGGCAAGCTTGCTTCCAACCACATCGGCATAGTCGTCCTTGGTGATTGCAGACGCGAGAGTGTTAAGGAAGATGAAGACTGCAGCCGGACGAAGTTCCTCTTGGTCTTCAACCCATTGCAGCAGATTGGCCAACTGCTTGGTGGTCAAGGACTTCTGGATGCCTCCAATCAGCGTCGGGTTGCGGTGTACCATGGTAAACCAAACAGGCCTGTCTCCGGAGCGCAGTCTTTTGTCTTCGAACTTGGAAATTTGATCGAACCACTTCTTCAAGAACGTCGACAAGTCGCGGGCGTTTTCAAAACCAGTAATCAACGACTCAATCAGTTGGCGCATGGCGTCCTCATCCGCCTCCGGGCCAACTGCAGTGATTCTGTCGCACACTTGGTTGAAGAGTTGCGAGCCCTCTTCGGATTGCAAGAAGATATCCGCGTCACATTTCGCAATGAGAGATAAGACACGCCAGTCGGTCTCGCTTGGGCTACCAGAAAGCGCGTATGTTTCACAGACTGAGAGAAGGTCACTCGGAGCGATGCGAGACTTGTTCGCGATTGCTTCGTCGAGGATTTCTCCCATCGCTTGCGACTTTTCGCCACCGGGCAGCTTTCTGATGGTACGCTCAGACATCTTGAAAATCTCCTGCATCCAAGCCTCTTCGGCCTTGGTTGTTGTGAGCCCACCAACCACTCTCGGGGCCGATGAAACAAGACTGTAAAGAATAGGAACTGAGGATAAAGCAATGCTTTGCACCATCGCGAAGCAGCGAGTAATGATCTCGAGATCCGTCTTGTTAAGGTACGCCGACCTCGCAGGCAGAACAAGGTTGCGCTGGAGGAACTTCTCGAGGTCGCGCGTCCATACTCTGGCCACTTGGTCATCTGTGCTCGACCGATTCTTGATCTTGCCAAGAATAGAGAAAGAAGTTCGTGAGAAGTGAGTCGCCACTTCGAGTGCATCGGCGCCGACCTGAAGATGCAAGTTCCAGGCGGATGCGAAGACCTTCACCCATGATTCTTGCCCCTCGAAGACTTCGGTGTCTGACGCAGCCAGAGAGAAGTCGCAAAGGGACAGCAGAGGCGAGAGCAACTCTACCGCCTCAGTCGCAGGCTGGGCAAAGAGCGCCTTGATATGTTCTGCTCCCATCCTGTCGTGGGCAGACCACTGTGCCGCCGGATCCAGTCGATCAAAGAGGTTCCTCAATGCGCTGAAGATAGCCTCCCCCGTTCCTAGGCAGCCCTCAAAAGATTGCAGAGTTTGCAGCTCGAAGACGGCGGCATTGGTCCTCTTCCTCTTCTTCGACGTGGAACCTGAGGTCTGGGCTTCGGTGCTCGGCTTCGCAACGTTCTTGAGGGTTTGTTGGAGAACCGTTATGAACTTTCGATCGGCGAGAGACTTTGCGAGGGAGAATAGAGGTATTCTCTGGAATGCGCAATCGAGAATGCGCCATGTCAGAGGAAATCGTCGGATCGTGTCGGCTTCGTCGTTGTTCGCTTTCATGACTTTGAGTAACCATCGAAGGACGCTCTCCTCAGCGGCAGAGAACGGCCCCTGGCTGGCAGAGGTAAGCTGCTTCCATACTCGATCGAGGTTTTCGCCATTGGCTCCGGGGCCGGTCTGGTCGAGAGATCGCACTGTCTTGACCAAGTCCCTATCTGACGTCTTTGGTAATGGTTAGTAGACAAGGATGGAGTTAAGTACATGGTCGATGAAACTTACAACAGTCTCAGAAGACCGGCTGGGGCTTGCATCGGTCATTTCGACATCCATGATAGGCAACCAACCACCGGAGACTTCGAAAGACGTACAGATCTTTTGAGTGCGCTCAGGTGTAAGTCGCATCGACTCCCCGCGATTTTTGGCTGGAGCTTTCCCAAAATTTCGGGATTCTGCCGCCCCACCTAGGCCAAAGGGGTCACCGAGAGTCACACCGAGACTTACCGCCCTCGGGTGTTCATCATCAATTTGCCGGCTCTCTCCGAAAACATCACTTGGTTCAATTCCATAGCTGAAGCTCCGATCTCGACAAAACCATTGCGCATCGAGTCAATTGTGTAAGCGCCGCTTCCCACCTCTTCGTTTGATCCGTTGACGCTGACGACGAGCTCCCCAGGGTATCGACGACCATGTCAGACACCTCCGTTCCCCCTCCCCCGAGCGCCGTCGCGCGGCCCGTCAGTGAGGCGCTTCTCAACGAGAAGGTAGCTACCCCAAGCAGTCACCAAGTTCGATAGCCCGAGATCTCTGACAGTGCTCTAGTGGGACCACTGCCTGTCCAACCTTCTTGTCAAATCCACCCTGGGTCTTGGCTTCGGCGTCGTCTTCTCAGTCCTCCTTTTCAAGCGCAGAGCGTGGCCCGCTTTCGTTGGTGTCGGTTTCGGAGCCGGACGCGCATACGAGGAGTGCAACTCTAGTCTGAAGCAGGCCGCCAGAGAGATCAGGAAGCAGGCATAAGATGCCACGACTGTCGATTCGATAGACGACGCGATCCGGATCGGAATACAGCTGTACAAACATACTACGTCACACGCACGTGAAGCTCGCTAGGGAGCCAGAAGCCGGCGGGCCCCTATGCGATCACCCTGAGGAGCCGGTAAACTAGGTTAGGGCGGAGACGAGCGAGGGAATAGAGTCTTTTTTATTTGTCTGTCCAACCTTGACTGTCCTGTTCTGCTCGCGTGCTACAACTCAGCTACCACGGATGGGGCGTCTGTCTTGCATTTGCGTCCTTCAACCACTTCTCGCCAAAGCGCTTCGAGGGTCTCCGAACAATGTGGGCGAATATTCTTTCATCATTCGAACACGTCGAATCTTCTGTGTCGGCCTCAGAGTGCTGGTTCTAGTCCAGGGGTGCATCGCTGAGTACAGTCGATGTGCCATCGAACTTTCCGATCCCACCGTTGCGCTCATCGGCGGCGTCTCTCTAAGGCCTAAAGATGTGCTTCGGTGCGAGGGAAGCCGTCTCATCTCTTTCCAGGAGATGGAGCTCGTTTCTCTCTTGTCCCGCCACCGAATCGCTTCGTCGCTGGACGCCGTTGATGAAAACCTGTGTCGTGTCGTGTGAATTCCATCTTTCCCGTCCAGTGCTTGCCGGAAAGCTGTTGGCCTCATGTTGGGCCCGAGAGCGTCTGGTTTTGATGCCGATTAGAACAATGAAACCAAGGATGCAGGCAAGAACGAAGATGGCAATGGCGAGACAGAGGACTTCTAGGGGTGTGGCCTCGGGCGTGTATGGTGACGGTTCAGGAGAAACTCTGTGGTCGTTTGGTAGACCTTTGCTGGCAGCCACATCTCTCGCATGTTTCATGAAGCTCGACATGTCTGCCGTGCTACCGGGATTTGGGACTTGAAGCCCTCCACGGCCGAAGTATGGCCTTGCTGCTCTGTGTCGTGTTGGCTTGAAGTTGTTGGCAAGGCCGAGTTTGTGAATTACAAGTGACATGGAGGACGGATGTAATAAGTAGGTATTTTAGGTGAGTCTGAGTTGTTCTCGAGAAGAGGTCCTAGGAGCGTCGTGGAATTGAGGTTGAGGAATGACTTGCGCGATGCACCACTCATGGTCTCATGCATCGCTGCTCGTCAGGGGTAGCTTCTGCTCAGCTTAAGCCAAGCAGCGCATACCAGCAGTTGCTATGGGCACTTGGAGGCTAAGCGCAGGTATATCAAGTCAAATAGTAGAAGGATGGAAAGCGCGGTCCTGTTCAGCCTTATCAGAGTCGAGGGATTCTGTCACCAGATCCAGTCGGAAAGATCGGTATCTCTTGCCATGGCTTTGACATTGAGAGCCTCGACTACAAAACTTCATGCGACGAGAAGGTACTGGGGACCTTAGATGGCCCATTTGGCTAACCCCAAGTCTTCCAATACTCTCAACAAATACTTATATGCTGTAGATTTTTTTTTCGACAAGTATAATAATAAAAAGGTAGAAACATACACTCCTTCTAATTGTCCTGCCAATTCAAATGCACACACAGTGGCCTGTGTTTGCGGTAGGTCACTGAATTTGAGATATTGAATGTCGCATTAACCTTTACGAACAGTTCAGACATCCGTTTTCGAAAAACATCAATCAATACTTGGGCGCCTATACAGATGGACCGTAAGGAGTGACAGCTATCACTACATCCGGTTTCCAGCGGCAATCTGATCTTGGCAGCTGCTTGAGCATTTGGTCGTACGATCGTCAATCAGGGCAGATTGCAGGACTAGCTGAGCAGACATGAAGAACCGTTGTCTTGAAGATGAAGTCTTGATAACGACAGGCACTGGATGTGCACAATTCAGTCCTCAAGTGGCTGACCGGAACCCGTCCCGAAAGCTCGGCGATTGCAGCTGCGTGCTCCGACAGATCCCCACATTTCCGAGGGACCGGCTCCGACGGCAGAGATGGCCGAACCGACCTGATGTTCCGCAAGGATTAGCTAACCGGCCAAGGCAGTCAGTCACTACCGAAAAGAAAAACTAGATGGTACAATGACAACTAAAGGAACGCAAATATTTACAGCCTGTCGCAGAGGGAGAGAAATTGAATAACAAGGTATCGAAGGCCTTGGTCAGGGAGTTGAAATCCGTCTACGACCATTGGACGAAGGCCATCAAGCTCCCCAGGCTGACTAATACCATAACCTTGCAAATGCCGCCACCTACCGCCCACCACCTTTTACATCATAAGCTACCTTGTTACCGAACATCAGCATCTTTACTTTTCTCTATCGCTGCCCCCGTTCAATAATTACCCGCTGTCACGACTCCAACAGCGAAACGGTACAGCCCAAAATGGCCGTTTCACTCCGATGTTTACACACGCCATCGAGCGCAACTATCTTCGTTCAGCTTGCGCGATGTACAACACCGACATCGAATTCCCCGGCACCGATCCTCTCGGTACTCGTTCCGAGATGGAAGCCCGCCACGACAACCAGAAGAGCCGGCTTCGGCACCACCCGCAAATGCAGAAGCGAGGGTGCTCCTTGGGGTATGATCCCGCAGCGGTTTAGGACGGTACAACAGCAGACCCGAGCTTTCACGGCTTCCGCCATGAGGAGGCAGACGAGATGCGCCTGGAACCCGAAGACGGATGAGGATGGCCAAGAGATGAAGCTCGATATCACGGAGAGAGCAGGCAAGGTATGTGCGGCCACACGCCATCAAGAATTTGGAGGAGTTTTCAAGGTCTGACGACTATGATCTGCGATGCAGCGTCTAGCAACCATCATGAAGAAGGACAACAACCCGAACCTCGCCCTGAGGATACAAGTCGAGAGCGGAGGCTGCCACGGCTTCCAGTACCTTATGAGCCTAGTGACCTTACCCGAGAGCGAGAGCGCGGAGGACTGGTCCAAGGTTGTTGGGGAGGACGACACCGTGTTTCAATACCTGCCAGAAGATGCCGACCCCTCCAGCGTAACGTTTGAAGGCCCCAAGGTGGTGATTGACGAACCGTCGCTTGATCTCCTCAAGGGGAGCAAGGTGGACTTCACGATGGAGCTCATCGGATCCCAGTTCAAGATTACAGACAACCCATATGCATCGAGCAGTTGTGGATGTGGGACCAGCTTCGACATCAAGATTTGAGACTGAGTCAACTTGGCTCGCACCAGAGGAGTGGGAGACATTGTAACGATTGGTATACACTTGTACAATATTAATGTACCGCGTAGAAACGCTGCTCTCGCATCAAAGTCTGGAGATCATGGCACATCACTACAATCACACATGCACAAGACATATACAACTCTCTGAAGAGGCTTGCATTGCTACCAGTTGAACAAGGAGGATGGAGAATCCAGTGGTCGTCAAATGATCAATTCACAAATTCCCTTTTGTGGTTATCAACGCCGCGCAACCGTGCCAATCATGTAAAAAACCCTTGGTATTCTCAAACCTGCCGAAGCCCGAGTAACTAGACAAACCCTGCCAAATCCCCTTTTTTGTTGATCATGAAGCCTTGCGAGCCACCAGTTTAGTTCATCTGGCGGATGAGAGCGTTGATCTTCTCCTCGCGGTTGCCAAGGTCACCACCCTCGATGAAGTGCTTGAACTTGCGGGGGCGGAAGCCACCAGTGGGGTTGGAGAGCTTGAAGGGCCAGAGGAAGTTGGAGGCCTGCTTGAAGTTGGGGCCGACGGTGTAGATCTCGTGGATGAGATCCTCCATGCAGACGATGCCATACTTGCCGAGGTTCTCCTCGATGATGGAGTTGTCGGTAAGAGCGACGCGCTGCTTGTTGACCTTTCCGTAACCGCGCTTGTAGACAAGCTCCTTGACGGACTTGAGGTTAGGGTAACCGTAGGCAACCCACGGCTCGATGATCTTGATCATCTCGGTGGTGGCCTTGGTGATCTTGATGAAGACTCCGTTGTTGATCTGGAGGAGACGGAGGAGCTGGAGGATCTTGCGGGGCTTGGGGGCGATCTTGTTGATACCCTTGATGCGGATGAGGAAGATCAGGTTGGCCTCAGCGGGAACGTAGGCGGAGTCGTTCTCGCGGGCAACGCGGGAGAGGCGGACCTTCTCGCGCTCTGCGTCGCGGTACTCCTTGACGTACTTCTCAGCACGCTTGAAGATGACACCACGCTTCTCCTTGTTGGCCTTTAGGAATCATGTTAGCAACTTATTCCTTGGATCATATGTGCAATTAAAATGTGATGAATCCGGTAAGTGTCAGACCCGAAAGAAGGTTGATTCCAACAGCATCGACCGTAGTCTAGTCGTGAAGGTATGTTGTGCATCATGTAGGCGGGGATTGGGAGCGGTTTGGATGGTAAAACTTACAGCCTTGCGCTTCTCGGTGGCCGAGTTGCGCTCAGCGCGAGCCTTCTCCTGAGACTTGCGCTTCTTGAGGAGGGTCTCCGGAACCAGAACCTGGTTGGAGGTGGGGACGGATCTGTTGGCGCACATCAGATTAGTACGCAGTCCGACATACTGCAAGCAGCATGGGTAGAGCGCCGATGCGAGAACTGTAGCTGAAGCGCGACATTCTCGCTGTGGCTAACTCGAAGTCATGACTTTGATCGGTGAGCAGGCCAGGCAGATGCATTGTCTCTAACAGAGCAGCAATCACCGCGGCATGGTGCTCATCCGACAACACCTCAAATCACAGCAAAGTGTTCGAGAGTAGATGCACGCATGTAGATGGCCCAAGAGCAGGCTTTTCAGCACTACGCCAGTGGCCCGACAAGCGGCAATAGTTTTGAGGGAGAACGAATGACCGTTCATCCCCAACACCCCGAGCACCGTCTCTCAATCCGCAAGCCATATTCCAGGACATGAAGGAAGGAGGGAGGTCGCCCAGGAGGGTTCGAGCTGAGAGCCAGGCATTCACTTGGTGAATGCAAGAACTTCAGCGGGAGGACCACGACAATCTGCAAGACATCGCAAACGGGACGAGGGGTGATGCTGCCGCTGCTTTCAAGAGCACTGGTGTACATACGTAGTGGCAGCCATTGTGAAGGCGGGTTTGGTTGTCGTCGGCGGTTGTCGTCGAAAATTGGTCGCTGAATCAGAAGAAGGAGGGAAAAGAGAAAAAGCCCAGTGCGGGATCGCAGAAGTTTTACCCAAAATTTCTCTGGATCCGCCTGGGGCTGGTGCAGGGGCCACACTTGCAAATCAAAAATTCTCACCGCCCTGGTTTTTTCTCGCTTAGGTAGGGTTTCTCAAGACGCTAAGCCCGTCCTGGCGGTTTTGCCGCTGCCAACCGCCCAACCCCCGTCAGGGCATTCTCGTCCACTTTTTTGTTCGTGCCGGGCGGGCTTGTGAAATTTCGTTTGGGATTCTTGTGAGAGACGGATCGAGAGAGCTTTCTTTGCCAACCACTCCGACTAACCACCACCGAAGACAATTCGCCAAACACAGCAGTCACGATGCCTCCCAAGTCCAAGACCGTCCGTCCCGCCCAGGAGAACATCTCCTTGGGTCCCCAGGTCCGCGAGGGTGAGTTTCATTTGAATCTCTTCCATTTGTGAAGTCGCTGCGCATGCGCTCCCATGCGCGGCCTTCAGTAGAAAAATGAAGCATTTTTTTGCTAACTACCCCGCGATCTCTAGGCGAGCTCGTCTTCGGCGTTGCCCGTATCTTCGCATCCTTCAACGACACCTTCGTCCACGTCACCGATCTTTCGTAGGTCTCACCATACGCCGTTCTGCTTGCGAGTCCCGGAATCTCCTCCGGCCCTCCGGCCGAAACCTTCCCTGCTCGTGGGCGAACATGAAGACTATATTCAAACCTTTGGTGTGCGAGATGGCTAACGTGTCCGGGTGATTCCAGCGGCCGTGAGACCATCTGCCGTGTCACTGGTGGTATGAAGGTCAAGGCCGACCGTGACGAGTCCTCCCCCTACGCCGCCATGTTGGCCGCCCAGGACGTCGCTACCCGCTGCAAGGAGCTCGGCATCACTGCCCTCCACATCAAGATCCGTGCCACCGGTGGTAAGTTCTCTCGGAATTCTCGAACCCCTTCTCGTCAATGAGCCGTCGCGCTGATTCAATTCACCCTCAGGTAACGGCACCAAGACCCCCGGACCCGGTGCCCAGTCTGCCCTCCGTGCCCTGGCCCGTTCCGGCATGAAGATCGGCCGCATTGAGGACGTCACCCCCACGCCCTCCGACTCTACCCGCAGAAAGGGTGGTCGCCGTGGTCGTCGTCTCTGAGCGCCCGGTTATACATCACCTGGGTGGCTTCCGTGGGACAGGAGCGCTCGTTATTTGGTTTCTTGGTGGCATCGCGAAAAACGCGGGGAACGGCGCCATAGCCTGGTCCCTATTCTACGCACTGTGACATGCCTTCTGCTGCGGGCGACAGTATCTATCGTAGACAGAATAGAAACTCGCCATATATGGCCTGAACTGAAGAGTAGCTCCTGAACCCTCGACAAAATTGTGCACACATTCCAATGCATCTATGTGATGTGTGAAATAAAAGGCAGTCACTGGCTCTGCTTCATTCTCTTTTTTCAATTCTTGGTTCTATCGAAGGCATGGAATCGGTCTATCTATAACCAGCACAGATGTACATCGCCACTTCGTCGGAGACTCATCATGGGCCCTCTCTTGCGCACGCTGTTCTCCTGATCCCTGGCTCTCACACCTTCATTCTCAAGCCATCCACTGGGCATTTTCCCAGCTGCTATTTAAATGAAGGCTTCAACGTCCAGGTACCCCTTCCTGTACCACTCGTCTTCCCCAGGACGGCCACCTTGTCCAGCGCACTCTTGAAGTCGTCCGTCTGTTTCGGAGTTTTGCAATACGGGTTGAAGTGATCAACCAGCATCTTGGTGACTGATTTGCCTCCTTGGCGTCTCATGAAAGCCTGGATCAAGGGTATAAAGTCTTTCTCCTTCAAAGGTTTGTCCGCACCTGGAGTATTGGCCCGCGAGCTGGAGCCACTAGTCGGCTGGCTGAACCCCTGACGATCCGCTAGGGCAGACATAACAGCCGAAGAATTCACTCCCCGGCGCCGCGGTGCAGTAGGCCGGCCTCCCTCGCCGATCTCGCCGGTCCAGGTGACGGTTCCGATGGGGGTGCGGCGCGCAGCTTCTCCAGACCGTCGCAAATGGGCGGCAGCCTGCGCAGCTATCTTGTTCGCCTCGTGTCGGTTCATGGCCTGATCAGCCTGTACCTTCTTCTTGCCATTCATGATTTGGTCATGTTCGTAGGCGCTATCCACGGTTCGGGAAAAGAGGTTCTCGGTTATTCGCTTCTCCTCGCCGTCGTCTGTAGGTTCTGTGAACTCCTCCATCGCAGCGACGCCGGAAAGTTTGCGGACTGTGTCAACCTCATCTTCTGCCTTGACTGAGGAGATGGGTACGGCGTTCTTCGACGGCTTCTCCAGCTGACTGTGGCCCTCTGACTGGTTGAACTTGACTTCTGCACCCTCAAATACCTTACTTCTGTTGGCGCTGGCCATACTGTGGCTATTGTCACCAAAGCTGAACAGGTCATAGAGGTCGGATAAATCAAAGTTGGCTCGCTGCTTCGGATCTCTGAGGACTTTGTTCGTCATGAACTGCTTGAAGATCTGGCGGTGGTAAATCTTCTCCTCGATAGTACCTGATGTCATCAACCGGTAAATCGCAACCGGCTTTGTCTGGCCGAGTCGCCAAGCTCTCTCGCGTGCTTGCAAGTCTGTCGACGGATTCCAGTCAGGATCATAGATGATGATTCTGGTTGCACCAGTCAGGTTGACACCCAAGCCGCCCACCTTGGTTGTCAAAAGAAAAACGTCAACTGAAGGGTCATTGTTGAACTTGTCAATCAAAACCTGTCTCTTCTCGATGGTAACGTCTCCATCCATGCGAAGGTAGTTCATTCCCTCCATCTTGCCGATGAAGTCTTGAATTATGTCAAGCATAATTTTGGTTTGAGAGAATAGTAACGTCTTGTGCCCAAACTTTTTCCACATTGGAAGAAGATCGCCAACCATCTGTAACTTGCCAGATCTCCTGGGACTACCCCAGTCATATCCCGGTTGGCTCTTCTTATTCACACTGACGAGGTCTGGGTGGTTACAGATCTTTCGCAGGGTATCGATTCCGGACAGGGATTGACGCTTTTTGGCCATGATCTGGGAGACGGCATCCGAATGAATGTACCTGATGTACTCCTCGTTTTGTTCCGGCGTCAACTTGCAGAACAGCACCTGCTCTGTCTTCTCTGGCAGATCTGACGCCACGTCGACCTTTAGCCGCTGAAGCAGATATTGACTGATTGTCTCCTTTAATGTCGTTGCGCACTTCTCAGCAGTCAAGACCGCAAGATTGGTTGCGTTTGCGTGACCACCCATCTTGATGGGAATCTCGAACTGTTGTCTGAAGTTGACGAGAGTCCCTAGGCGCATGGGGAAAATGAAGTCAAATAACGACCACAACTCAGTGAGATTGTTCTGGATTGGTGTGCCCGAGAGAATCAGTCGATGAGGCGTATTGAGACACTTGGCTTGGTATGTGACATTCGCGTTGGGAGTGCGAATTCTGTGGCCTTCATCGAGGATGGCGTAGCCCCATTCTAGGGACAGCAATTGTTCTCCGTAAGTGTTCAGGCCTGCGTACGTGGTGACCAGAACGTGTCCATGCTTGGCAACACGCCGGACGATACGCTCTGCGGCGTCACGATTCGTTCTATCTCCAGGATATGTTTCGTCATCATCATCTTCAGCCATGTTCACCATGCCGCTGCCAGATGAGTGTAGAATCGACACTCTCAATGGAGGCCACCATCGGTGAAATTCATTGACCCACTGCTGCATGACAGTCGCAGGGACAACTACGATGACGGGTTTGTCGAGCTTCTTGGTGTAGTGTAATGCCGCAACGAAAGCAATGGCTTGCACTGTAAATCGTGTTAGTATAAGCTACATTGCGTTCGTCTGCCATAACAAATCATCTTACCTGTCTTTCCCAGACCCATCTCGTCCCCAATGATGCCGCCTACGCCCTGTTCGTAGAGCTCTGCAAGCCAATGAACGCCGGTCTTCTGATACGCGAAAAGAGACGCATGTATGTCTCCTGGGAGCCTCAGTCCATTGTCAAATTCGTGATCTGGCTGATCAGGTGAAGGCTTGAACCACTCTTCTTCGCCATTCTCTTCAGTTGAGACGTCACCGCCAGCATTGCCCCTTTGTTGTTGACGAGCTCCGCTCCGTCTTCTGACCCAGTCGGCAAGGCGGGCTTGATAGATCGCCTCTTTCCCGTCGTCGACGCTGCTAAGGTCGACTTTTGTGTTGCCAACAGTCACTGTATTCTCTGAAGCCTTTTTACGCTTATCCTTCTTGTCCGTGGTCGTGCCTTTCTTACGTTTGCGACCGGTAGCTTCTTCTTCACTAGTATCTGAAGCGTACTGGCTCTCTAGCGAACTGGCAGCTGACGCATCAAACTCGTCGGATGATGCTTCTTGGTCCACCTTGCGCTTTTTCCTCGGCCGTAGAGAGAACTCTGTCTCCGCAGATACCGGGGCTGTCTCTGGATGTTCCGCGAATCCCGGCATCCGCAGTACTTGATGAGACTTTGGCTCTTCATCGTCGCTTTGGTACTCCTCCGCAGCTGCATCCTGCTCAGCTTCGACAAGAACATCTGCTAGTTCGCCTTCGAAACCAGCAGGTCGTTCACCACCAATATTGGCAAAGGGTGTGATCTTTCCTGTCCTGACTAGGAATTCTCGGTGCGACTCGCCAGCCAAGCGCTTAGACTTGCTCTTGACAGGATCCTCCACAACTGCAATCTCCTCCTGTCTCTTATCAATACGAGCTTGGCAGTCAGAGATGTCGTTGATAGCATTCTCGATCTCTAGGTCCAGCTTGTCCAGTTCCTTCTGTATGATCCGAGACTGATAAGGGTTCCGACGAGCTCCTTCCAACTTCTTCCGTTGGTCTACTCTTTTTGCCTCGAGTTTATCTTTGGTGGCTTCAAGTTTCTCAATGCGCTGCTTATCCTTTTTGTCTTCTGCCTCAATCAAGGCAGCGTTGGCCTGTGTTGTGATATCGCGCTCTAGATCATCTTGATCGCGGATATCGGCTGTGATGGTTCGCAAGAAAGCCGCCTCGTCGCCATCGCCATCGAGATGAGATTCTGTGGTTCCGGGTGCGCGGGATTCAGTGCTGGGAGCTGAGCTGGCCTCCTGTGCTGCCTCAGCACCTTTGCCATTGTCTTCTTTGTCGGACGACATCATGAGATCTAATGCTCATCGACTTTTATATATCCATGCCCGAGTGTTCAGGTCGCAACCATTGCAGTGGTGAAATTTCACAGTGCCAATTTTCATGAGCCAGTTGAGGGATAGAGAGATGAACGGCCAGGCTGGTTGTAGAAAAATAGGAAGTCGAGTGATTTTGGCGATGACCATGTGGCAGAAAGGCTTGTAGGTACCTGGCTACATGCGGAACTGCCTACGACCGGCGACCACCAGTATCTGGAACCCAAAAGACTGCCGTGAAGATGATGATTTGTGGTTTCTGAGGTGACTCACTCCGGTGAGTTTGTGAGGCACAGACGTAGGCAGCAGCGCGTCGGGCTTGGGCGTCCACCAGCGATCTGCTCCGGAAAACGATGACGCCACGGCGAGGCAGGAGCGAACGGTTCGCGCGGTCAGCTGCTCTGGACAGGGATCTTAATTGGAAAAATCAAAGGCGAATTTGATTGGTACAATCTGGATCTACTAAGGTAGCCCATTCTCACCTGCCCGGAACTGCCTTAGGTAAGTCCCGCTCTTCCCTAGCCACAACCAATACCTAATGGATCAGCCACGCCTGACTAATGCATCGCCCTGCGGGATGCAGGAGCTCCTTACCTAAGGTAGTGTGGATGTACGCACCTGACTACTCATCTTGCTTCGCCTGTCTGACTTTATGCCATTGCCGGAAACTGACTTCTCCCAAGCCAATTGTATCAAGCAGATAGAAAACTTCGTATCTGAACGCTTCCACTGAAAGTCGCTATTGTTCTCTGCCTACGACCATGGCTGGTTGGAGGCCTACGCCTGGCATTCTTTCAACAACTGGCCGCGGCCTAAGGTCTATGCAACTCTCCTCATCGACCATCCGGGGTGCTTCCAAGATGGCTCCCGTCTGGCTACAGCCCTACCTCAATCATTCGCTCGAAAAGGAATCACCCAAACTCTATGCTTGGGGCCTGTCCAATTTGGAAGACCAACACGTAGTCTCAAACCCATCAGCTAGCCGGCGGGATGGCTCGATATCTCGTCAACAACACTGCAGCCCCCGACAGCGCATCTACATTCTTGGCGTTGGAAACCTCGGCATTCTTTTCGCCAGCTCGCTTGCATCTCTGTCGAATCCACCGCCGATAACCCTCGTTGTTCATCGCAAAGATCTTCTCGAGTCATGGAGACAGCAACCAGGTATCGAGATCACTCGAGGAGACTTTACGCACAAGCATTTAGATTTCGATGTTGAGCTATGGTCCGAAGAAGAACCGCCTATTGGTCCGACAAGAGAGGTTGCTGATGGACAGGGGATTCCGAATCTCATCGTCACAACGAAGGCATCCCAGGCTCTTCCGCAGATCGATCGAGCACGTCGCTATCTCAATGACCTCTCCACGGTAGCTTTTGCTCAGAACGGCATGTGCAAACTTTGGCCACCTCATGGCGATACTTACATAACTTCGCGGTACTTGGATGCATCTGCTTCTCATCCCAATTGGCTGGCTTGCGTGACAACTCATGGAGTAACTTCCTTGGGCCAGTTCAAGAGTCTCCATACCTCTGAGGCAGACCTCAAGGTTGGCCTTGTTTTCCCTAACAGCTTTGCTGACAGCGCCTCTTATTTATTAAATCTATTTTCTCAATCACCTCATCTCAACGGTCACGTTGTGGAACGTGACGAGCTATGGATCCTACAGCTAGAGAAACTCGTCGTCAACTCCGTCATCAACCCGCTGACCGCCATTCTTCGATGTAAAAATGGCGATTTGTTCACCAAAAAAGATGGAGTGATTGCGAAGCTTATTGATTCTTTGTTGATGGAAGCGAGCAATGTCCTTCAAGCCTTGATCAAGGACCGGAGCACCGAATCTATCCTGCAGATAGTCCCTAGCATGACCTCGCCAACGGAGGACGAGATGACTCGCAAGTACGGACGTCAGCGCCGCGACCTCTTGGATCGCTTTTCCGAGGAAAGACTCAAGGATATGCTTTACAGTGTTGGACACAAGGTCAGAGACAACACAAGCTCGATGCTTCAAGACGTTCGTGCTGGGAAACCAACCGAAGTCAACGAGTTCAACGGATGGCTTGTTGAGATGGCTGCCTATCTTGAGGGTGAAATTGACGTTGTCCACCACAAGAATCTCGTCAATCTCGTAGAAAGTGGCACTGTGCTGAACGAAGAGTCTCTCGGCCAGCATTTTTCCAACCTGACAGACTATAATTAGGCTTGCCAATGCTAAATATCAATGTTTACACCGCTTGGCCTGGATCACAACGCAACGAAACCACCTAGCGAGTCACTGAAAAAGATGCGATGACACGCTTACGTTCCACAGATCATCATCGATCCTACTCCAGCACTTTACGAGATCGATCACGATAATACTGGAATTATTAACGGTCCAGGGTACAACCCTTCTGATGCTCAACCCATTCCAATAACCCAAGAACCCGCAAACCAGACGAGACCGGCATGGCGACCACCTGACTACTGAGTGGTTATGAGTGGATTGAACGAACGCCGAAGACGAAGCGCCTCGTTTCGTGGTTTTGCCGTACAAGCTGCTAGACAATCTGAGCTCGATACTTCGTACAACGGTACCGTACTTTGCCGGGCGAGTTCCTTCCGTCTAGCAACCACAATTCTCGATGAGCCGCTCGCCAAACTCGCGGTATGTCAACGTGGTCAAGTCTCCTCCAAACGTTACCCGTATTACAAGGCAATCCCCGAGCCTGTTAGCCTGGTTGTTGTGGCGTTGCACTCCAGGTGGTCTCCTTCATTTGCCACATTCGCTTACTTGCCGCCCCTTAAGAGATAACATTATAGCCATAATATCAGGCATGATATACTGGTATACCGCCACGAGTATCGCGCCAGGGGCGGTTGGAACATCAGCGACCACCGTGGGAGGACCCGGCCAGAAGACTTTCCCTTCCAAGGAAATGCCCACACTCTTGGCCCCTCAGGATTTTCACCCGCCGCTTACCTTTTGCCGACGATGCCGGTGAGGCGTGTGGGAGAAACCTCATGCGAAGGAGGCTACGACCACACCCTCTGGCATTTCATGATGGACAGTCTCTTCACCCAACCAGGAGCGTTTCTTGAGCCCGCACTGCCTTCGCACTTTTTCTCGTCACAATCCGCATCGTGTTGATGCCATCACGGAGCCCCGAAGTTTGTTCGACACGCCAAGAAGAAGCACCAATTATGGTGAGAGCAGATTGAACACCAATAACTACGCAGTGAATCATCATCATGAGTCCAAATGACAGCATTGTCAACTCAAACAGCGGAAGCCAGGAGTGCACCAAGTTCTGCCCACACAATCTCGATATTGATCTGTCATAAGAAGTGGATCGCCAGTGGCGGGCCATCAGTTCAAAAACGTTGAAAAGCTCGATCTGGAGTCAGCATGGATCTTGGGATCATCTGGCTTGAAATCAGGCCATTTCCGTAATAGCAGCAAGATCTGGTTCCTTGCATTCGGTCTAGAGCTTGCTTTTTCTCCCTAAAGCATGTCAAACCCTGGATGTTCGATGGTAGGCCGACGGATTGCCAAGCAGCCAAAGAAGAAGCGGAATGTAGGGTACACAGAAACCCAGAGAGCTCAATCCAATAAGGCCCTCAATCCCCTCTGCTGAGTTGTCGCGTCGCCATGCAACAATCATGACCGGCAAATACTTCTCTGGAATTTGAGAGAACCGCGCGGTAGAGAGAACGGCGGACCCAACGATTGCTAATCATCAGCGCTCCATTTTCCAACATATGGATCCAACTCATCTTGATGCCTCAATTCTCCGATTGGCCGACAGGGGTCGAGTGAAAACTTCCGGTGCACATTTGACGGAGATTTTTTTTTTTTTTGGGCGATGCATGTCTGATCTGATGGGCTCTTGTAAGCCCATTGGCAATTGCGGAGACTGTGGACGACATCAATTCCGTCAAGGCTACGTTCAATAACATCCCACAAGCGAGTGGTCTTGGGGCAATAAAACTCCCTGACCAAAAGAATTTATAGGTGGAATTTCAGGGATATTCTAGTACACGTCACGTTCACTTCGAGCTGGTCCCAAGTTTTCCAGGTTCCACGGAGGACCAAGTCTTGATTGGCGCTCGAATAGGCACAAGGAACAAACACGGTTGCTGGGTGGTTACATTGCAGCGTCGACCCGCATGACGCACCTTCGAAGAGATTGTCTTGCCTAGCCATTAACGTACAATTCTTTTTGCAAGGCTCGGAAAACAACAAAGCTCCCAAGGAATTTTTTTAAAAAAAAAATTTGCTTAAAAACACCTGATGGTAAAATGGAAGAGACCCTTATTAATGTACGGAATTATGCTAAACCTTTTAAAAAT